AATGGAAAGGGAACAAACCTTGCGCAAGATCACCAATCCCTCAAGGGTGCTGCTCAGAGGAATGTATTGTTCATCCTCTAGTTCTGCACGTTCTCCATGTGACAGGAGCACCGGTGTGCTCTGGGTCTGCCAACCCGTGATTGTCTTGGGCCGGCCGGCTTGGCCGACAACATCAACGGCTTGTCCGACGCGAACGTTGACCGTAAGAGGCTGCAGGTCCTCATCAAGGGTTACCAGGAAGCGTGGGTACATGGCGGTGATAAGGAAATAAAGCAGGTAGTGATGCTCCCCGAGGATGAACTGCTTCGCGTCGATCATGGCAACGAGGACGGTGAGTAAACCGGCGGCGGCCACTCGGGAGAGGACCTGGCGGTCTGTGTGAAACGGGTTAAGGGTCATGGTGCCCTTGCCCATGTGGAGGAGACCCTGGGCTATCCGAACCATGAACAGGGAGTTCTGGTCGCGGTGGTAATAGCTGGCGAGCTGTCTCAGCAGTTGGGCCAGACGGGCATTATTGGTGCCGGCTCCACAGAGACCCATGGCGAAGATGGCATTGATAGCCACATCGTTGTCGTTGTCGTGACTGTAGCGAGACAGGGTGTCGTAAACCTTCATCTGCGGGTTGCTGGGGCTGATAAGTCCCATGGCGAGAGGGACGGCTTTGCGAATGTTGCTCGCGCCGTAGTGCATGAGATGACCAAACTGTCTGAGGATCATATCCTGACCAACCTCTTCTCCCATGGCAATGAGGGATAGTCCCAGCACAGCGTATGACTGCACAAGTTCATCGCCCTTCTTCTCTTCTTTTTCTTCAATGATGTCATTGCAGATATGGAGAAGCTCCTGGAGCTTGAGAACTGTGCCTGTGCCTGCCCATGCGCATACGGATGCGAGAACAGAAGTCGGCTTGGCCATGGGGTGGTCGACGGCCTTCAGGATGTCCAGAATGACATCTACTTCCTCTTGGCGACCAAAGTAGAGAAGCGCAAGACCAAGGGCCATGAAGCGGGTCCACTTATCCTTAAGTTGCTTTTGTCGCTCCTCGTCCATCAGGGTTGTGGCAATGGCCTCGCTGACCTGGTGGTTGGAAGAACCAACAAAGATGAGACCAAGAGAAACTGCAGCCATCGCGGACAGCTGCATATCAAGCGAGCTGTCCTCAACGATGGGGAGGAGAACATCGAGGAGCTCTTCCTTGTTAGAGCCAGCATAAGCCAGGCCAAGACCCATAATAGACGCAACTCGCATCGGCAGGCTCTTCGCTTCGAGGTTGTCGGGGTCGCTGAGCAGGGCCAAGGCCGGGTCTGAGTCGATCCTGACACCGGAGTTGAGGATACCGATGGCCAGCAGGGCACCGGCCTTGATCTGGTCTTCAGAAAGATAGGTGAACTTATCAATCTTGTCCAAACCGATCTCCACATCTCTGTGCAGAAGCATGCCCATCGACGCTGCAGTCGACATCATGCCGTCGTCCTTGGTTTTCCAGACCCAGGAGCCCTTGTCGCCTTCCACCAGCATCATCTTGTCGTTTCCGTAACCGGTGTTCACAAACGCATTCACAAAAGCACTAGCAAGATTGTGTCTTGCCGAATCGACGTTGGTCAAACCGGCTCCTCGACTGCTCTCGAGATGCGTCTTGTAGATGTCTTCCGGCATCTTGGGATCCAAAATGTTGAGCTCCTTACCCAGGGACTTGAAGTGATTCGGGATCAATGTGTTGTTAAGACAATCCATCAGCGACTGATCTTCTTCCTCCTCCGGGAGGTCGAGCCAAATTTGCTGCCTCGACACCAAGAACGCCATCTGCTTCTTAAGGGACTGGTCTGTCGTTGCCTCCATGTCGCTCTTGATAAGCTCGATATCGTTCAAGCGGATCGCAAGGACAATAGCCTGGGTGAGCTTGTTGTAACGAACGTAAATCTCGTGGGCCGTTCGGAGGAACTGTTGGTCTTCCGGGTATGTGAGCAGGTTGACCATGCTGACCATATAAAGGCAGACGCGTGAGTAGGTGTTCTCGTCCAAAAAGCGCGGAATTTCCTCGATGATCTCCATTTCGCTCAGAAGGTCAACAGCGTCCGCCTCGGCGTTGTGGCTTAAGAAATACGGAACCAAAGACAGAGCCAAGTCGATCAGGTCCTGGACGTCCTTCTCAGCATTCAGCCGGTTCTGATATTCCTGTCCAATCTCCAGCGCCAAGTGTCTGATGTACTCGTGGCCCCAGGATCCCAGATCTTCGGACTTTGTGAGGAGGCGGTACTTGAGGGTCTCGAGTTTCTCTTCATCTCCGTACGTCATTCCGAGCACCGATAACATGTCCGCCAGGGAGTCCTGTATGATACAAAGAAAAAAATCACCAAAATATTAGCCAAGTCCCAGTAAGAAAGATAGATACATGCCAACGCACCTTGGTAGGGCCGGCGGGCCACTGCTCGTAAAGCCCTGTCAGCTCATCGTAATGCGGCCTGAGGAACTTGAGGGGTTTAGGAACGGCCGTCATCGACGACGTCGAGGTTTTTATGAAGTTTTTGATGGCGTCTAACGCCGGACGGTAGAGCGTGGTGTCTGGCTCCTACAGGCAGAACATGTCATCGTCAGCCTCGCGGACTCCCCAAAATCATCAGTACGGCGGATCAGCAGCTGACCTTTAACCTTTCAACCAGCATCTCCAGCTCGCTCTTTAGCTGCTGGTCCTCTTCACTGAGCTCCTCTGTATCGAATTTACCGCATTAGCGTCTCTCGCAGAGAGTTAAGAGGGGTGCGGATCGGCCGTGGCCGCATCACCATGTCCCAGCACCTACCTTCCTTCGGCTCCTCCTCCTTCTTCTTGCCATTTGCCTGGGCTTTCTCGTCGCTCGCAGGTTTCTTGCTGCCATTCAGCTCCCGGACATCGTCGACCTTGCCCTTTCCCTTCTCAGCGGCGTTTGATCGCTCGTCCTCGTTCGCCATCTCGGACGGAGTGCTTGGCGAGGAGGTCTATGGTTGTGGACAGGGAAACAAGGTGGAGGAAAAGACCGAATCCCAAGGATGATGCGATCGAAAGGTACAGTAGCTGGTCAAGGGATGCCGACAGCGATGGGGAGAGATCAAAAACGGACGCTGCAGAGAGGATAGTAATGCAGCTGTGATGGGTGTGACGGGAGAGCTTCTCGTTGTTGCGGCCTTGGTGGAGCTGGCGGTTTGCTTATGTAACAACATCGCCAAGGTTCCCTGGGCTTCGTATCTTGTCATCAGCTTTACGGAAGATGGGATTGTTTCCTTGCATGCCTTTGGTCAATTTTAGGCTTGGAGGCAGTTAGGGGTAACTCTGTTCACTTCATTATACACTATTCTACTATCTTATCTAGTAAATCCATTAAATCTATTCACAAGTACACACATTTGATGAATACACTCTATCAGTGCTCTAAGGTATGATTCATCTGATTTGAAAGACAGTATTTATACAATAGGGAAGACAGATCTCCAAGATCCAAGAGGTAGAGTCAGCTGTTGAGCGCATATATGTTGTACATGGGGAACTGCATAAGCCTTCTTTCACGAAGACTCCAAACAGAAAAGGGCAGACAGGCCAGCAGTCTGAATAAACGTCTCGTGGGTATCTTCATGGCAACCACCATAGCGTGTTCGGAACTTGTTAGCATAGTGAGCCGTCTCCTCTCTGTAGACGTCGCCCGTTATCCGGTCTCCGGTGTAAGAAAGGAGGGGCAAGGCAAGTATTTCAGGGAGGCGCAGCGAAAATTGGTCTAGCAGCGAGGTGATTGTTGTTGCTTGACTCGGTAGTTTCTCGATGGATCCCAGATGTTGAAGATTTTCTGCCGCAGATCCACTTTCAGATTCAGAAAGAGAGACCTCGGGCAGAAATTCCTCTGGAGGCTGCCACAGTTCATTGTGTATGGTCGCCAGTGACAACGTGTCTAGACTCGAGAAAGAGGGATACAACATGAAGTAGCCTTGAGCGCGGGTGAGCTCCAGCAAGTGCTCCAAGAAAGCCGGGTACTTTCTCGAAATGACCTTTTTATCATTAATCGTCTCAGGATGATCCTCGCGAGCCGTGAGACGGTTGGAAAGGAACGTATGGAACTCCGCCCATTTGTCACCGAAATAGAGCGCCGCGTTACTGTTGGGCATCTGCCATACGAACAGTGGAAGGACGGTCTCTTTGCCATGGACTGCTGTAGGTTGCTCGGCAGGCGGAGAGACGAATGACTCGCCATCAGTCGGTCGAAATGACGGGAGCTCTAACGATAGTCCCAGGAGCCTTTCAGAGATATGTTTCCCACGGTTAGAATATTTGTAGTGCAAAACACTATACTTGAGATAGTGATAGAATGAGGGGGCAAGTTCCGCTTGCGGGGACAGGACCAGCACATGAGACATGCCGGGATCCCGAGGATAGAACGCCTCGACACTTCTGATGGAAGATTCAGTGGACGTCATGTCATGTGGCTCTATCCGACGGCGAAGAGTGACCTTGCCTGACGGCCATTTCATATTTTGGAGGTATTGAAGCAGGTGTGGATCGGTGTCCAGAGGAAGCTCAATAGTCACACTAGGCGTGGAACCCAGATAGTCTGCCTTCTGCAGAGAACGCAGGAGCCTAATCAAAGAACCTGATGATTCAGATGGAGCATGGATGAGTATCTCGATGGTGACATCGTTCCAAGCCTGCAGAGCCTGACCATCCAGAGCAGAAATCCACATCAGGTCGTTCGCCGCACGAGGCAGCGCAATGTGACTAACACCAAGTTCCTTCATTCTCTTTTCAAGGCCAGGCAAGAAAACTCCATCCTCCATTGACTCCGATTGTGTGATTATGGCTTGCGGGCGTAGATACATGTGTACATAGGACAAAACAGTCACAATGGCTCGCTCCATCCGAAGATCGGTCGACACTTGAGAGGCTTCCAGTCTGCCATCTGTCAAAGATTTTCCTATTAGCATATACACTTATATGTGCGAATGTAGGGATGGGGAAGGAAAGAAAATAAAGATGATAAGAACACACCATGCCAGCTGATGGGACAGCTGTCAGCATCCACGCCGTTCACCTGCTGTATTCTTTCCATTGATACCTCACCCTGTCCCATTAGCACAAAATGCACCAAATTCACCCGCTGCCGGCCCATGGAACAGGCAAGAGGTATGAGGTCTGCAACGCTCTTCAGGTTTGAAGCCGCGAACACAACAGTAGAGCGAACTTCGTGGCGGCTGATGGGTTTCGGCACACGCAGTAGCGAATCCACCAGCTTTAAGAGGTTGCCTGATGTCCTGGGACTCGGGTCGTCTTCGCCGTCGTCGCCATCATCCTCATGGTCAGCCACGTTCTCAGGTTTTGGCGGCTCTACTGCCGGAGCTCCTTTCAGCGGAATTGCAGGCGCAGGTCCCGAAGAGATTATCCCCAGCGCTCGGTCTCTCTGCCGCGCTTGGGCAAGAATCGGGTTGTAACGCTCCTCGGCCGGACCAAGATCTGTCGGCATGTGTTTAAAGAAGAAATATAGCGCATAGAGACCTATTATCGCCAACAAAAACCTCCGCGGCCGCGGTCCTCTCCAGTGAGCTATTCGCCAAGCTCTCCGTTCGGACGGCCGGTGGTCGTCATCCTTCTTGCCGAGCTCTTCATCGACCAAAAACGGCCGTTTGAAGAGACTCATCCTCTCGACATCTAACAGAATGCCCCACGGGAGCAGTCACGGCCAGGCGAAGCATCGATCACCCCGGGGTGGGACTGGAAACTTGGCTGCTTCTGAGCCGGCGTGTGTCGTCCTTGCGGGGGGGATGGAAAAAGAGGCGGGATTGGCACGGGCGGTGTCGAGGGCAGTTTGACTGTGGACCTCAGGGCCAACACTCTCGACTGTGACAGACAGCATCGACTGGCTATCGGGCTATCGACGCTGAATAAATCGTGAGGTGAGACGAAGTGACCGGGAAATAAGGTAGCGATTTGTTTGGAGCGCTTTCCGACTGTTGCAGTGGCTCTCGGAGACTCTGAGCTGTCTGGATTCTGCCGTCTACGGAGTACGGCATCTGCGAAACGTCATACACCCCTGGCGCTATTGAATGACTTATCGAGCCGGATAGGACAAACAGTTGGTCGATTTTTTTGAATCAAGATGGATTCGGCTATGAGTGGCGATGATACGGAGTCCCATGGCACGAAACGGACCGCATCTGAGACCGACCTTGCACTGCCAAAACCCAAGAGAATCAGGGTCAGAAATATCTTTTGAATAGAATGGATCTCTCGCTGATTGATGGTCTCTAGGCCTTGGATCCAGATGTGGTGAACAAGATTGCCGCGGGGGAGATCATCGTGGCTCCCATGCACGCGCTGAAGGAGCTGATCGAGAACTCGGTAGACGCTGGTTCGACCTCCATCGAGGTGCTGGTCAAGGAAGGCGGACTCAAACTTCTCCAGATTACGGACAATGGCCATGGGATAGAGGTCAGTTTGTGTAACAGTGTTTCCGTTTGGTTCTGCCATGAGGAGCCCTCGAGTATTGACTTTGTACTGCAGAAAGATGACCTTCCCATTCTATGTGAGAGATTCACCACCTCCAAGCTAAAGGAATTCGAGGATCTGTCATCTATCGGCACATATGGCTTTCGAGGCGAAGCGTTAGCAAGTATCAGCCATATTGCTCACCTCACGGTCACTACCAAAACTACCGGGTCTAGTTGTGCCTGGCGAGCGCACTACAGCGACGGAAAACTCACACCAGCTAAACCAGGGCAAAGTTCTGCTCCAAAAGCAACAGCTGGCCGCGGTGGGACACAGATTACGGTATAGCCATAGTAGCCGAGGAGACTTGGAGAGGGCGGCACGCTAACGATAAGTACAGGTGGAAGATCTCTTCTACAATATCCCGACTCGACGCCGTGCTTTTCGATCAGCAAGCGAGGAATATGCTAAAATCCTTGATGTTGTTGGCCGGTACGCAGTACACCGCACCGGGGTCGCGTTTTCATGCCGGAAACACGGCGACTCGGGTGTCAGCATATCGACAGCTGCAAATGCTTCCACGGTTGACCGCATCCGCCAGATTCACGGCAGTGCGGTAGCTAATGAGCTGGTGGAATTTAGCGTCGAGGACGACAAGTTGGGGTTTCGCGCCTCCGGCTTCGTCACGAACGCAAACTATCACGTTAAGCGAACCGTGATCCTTCTCTTCATCAATCATCGTTCTGTGGAGTCCACCAATGTAAAAAGAGCGATAGAGCAGACATACTCTACCTTCTTACCAAAAGGTGGCCATCCGTTTATCTATCTCGACCTTGAAATTGAGCCACAGCGGGTCGACGTCAATGTGCATCCAACCAAACGGGAGGTGAATTTTCTCAATGAAGATGAGATCATCGAGTCCATCTGCAGCGAAATCAGAGGCAAACTGGCGCAAGTAGACAGCAGTCGGACCTTTTTGACGCAGACACTTCTTCCTGGAATCCGGTCAATGGAGTCCATCGATACAGAGCCTGACAACACGAATGTGACTCCCAAAACTCCAGCGACGGCCAAGAGACCGTATGAGAACAATCTGGTCCGCACGGATTCTAAGATTCGCAAGATCACATCCATGCTCTCCCCCGCAGTGCCCCATGGAATTCTTCAAGCCGATGCATCATCGCGCGAACGCCCGAGCGTTCTGGATGAAGGGCTACAGTATGAAAGCACAGACCGCGAGCCACTCCGTATCGCACTCACTTCTGTGAAGAATCTCCGAGCCGAAGTACGCGCTGAGATGCACAATAACCTGACTGAGATGTTTGCATCGCTTACCTACGTCGGGCTGGTTGACGAACGACGGCGAATCGTCGCTGTACAGTCCGGTGTCAAGCTCTTTCTGGTTGACTACGGCATGATCTGCAACGAGTTCTTTTACCAGGTCGGGCTGACAGACTTTGGCAATTTCGGAGTCATCAAGCTAGACCCGGCACCCAAGATCATTGACCTTCTTCGCATTGCGGCTGATTATGAACAAGACCAACATCAAGTAGCGGCCACTCAGGAATCCGAGCAAGACACCGAAGAGGAGGACGAGGGCTTTAAGAACACGGCGGAAACAGCCGCCCAGACTTTGATTGACCGCCGTGAGATGCTAAACGAGTATTTCTCCATGGAGATCTCGGCTGATGGGGATCTGGTCTCCATCCCGCTCCTGCTCAAAGGCTACGTCCCGTCACTAGCAAAACTTCCTCGGTTTCTACTCCGCCTCGGACCCCATGTCAACTGGAACAGAGAGGAGGAGTGCTTCCGGACTTTCTTACGCGAGCTCGCTGCCTATTACACGCCGGAACAACTCCCTGTGCCGCCCGTGACTGCCCCAAGCGATGAAGCAGCGGTTTCACCAAGTGCACAAGAGCCTGTAGGCTCTTCTGGCGAGGCCAAGGAAGAGGACGACGGATTTCTCTCGAGCCGTAGACAGCAGATGAGCCGGATGTTGGAACATTCCGTCTTTCCAGCCTTGAGAGCCCGACTAGTAGCCACGGCGGACCTCCTCAAGGGCGTAGTAGAGGTCGCAGACTTAAAGGGGCTATATCGAGTATTTGAACGGTGTTGAAAAAGGAGGGAGAAGTAATGTATTTACCATACACGTATCGATACACAGATACCTTACGGCTTACCTTCCCAGGTACTCTTATTAAAGATCCTGTCAGATCTCCACGGACTTTCCGTTGACCACAAACCCGGCTTTCTGTGCCAGATAGCCATCAGTTAGGAAAGGTAACTTCCCTGTTTGATGATTCAATCGACAGAATAATGCGCCCGAGACGCCAACGGCCGGTGTCGTGCCATTTCTGCCGGTCCCGCAAGCTGAGGTGCAGCCGACAGATGCCATGCTCCAACTGTGCCTCTCGGGGTATCGCGTGTCAGCCGTTCGGGGCTCTGCTTCGAGCGATCCCCAGTGGGACTGAAGTGACTGTCGATTCGTCGCAGCAGTCGGAGATCCTGGCGCGGTTGAGCCAAGTGGAAGAGAGGTTGCGGCGATGGGACCAGACTACTATGATGCCCGCCCCTCTACCGGACGGCTCTTCTCCCCCTTCGACGCCTACCGATTCCGTACAATCCAGAAGACCATTGTCTGACGTACCCCAGTGTCGCTCGCAGCTGGAGGTACTGACTTCAGACGCCGTGTGGCTGGAGCGGGTGTTCACGGGCCAGGGCTTCACAGCCGCCCTTTCGGATAGGATTGCGTTTCGTATCGGGCCCATCCAGCAGATCCGCGAGACGGTTACGCTGGTTCCGGCTTGCGAAATTCCGGGATCGACCCCGGCCTGTTCAGAGTTGGTTCGAGGCATCTGGCTGCCGCTGTATGGAGAAGCGCAGGTGCTTATGGACAAGTTCGCCACCGATGTCTGCTATCTGCACCCCGGGGTACACGTTCCCTGGCTGAGACAGACAATTGATGATCTATATGAAACCTTACATCGACAAATGCCTGTGAAATTGGGGAGTGTGGCCTTGCTGCTAAGCGTCCTCGCGAGTACAACTCGGATGTGGACGGTCGAAGATAGCCAGCGGACGGGTTTGTACGTCGGGCTCGCTGATTTCAACCACCAGGCTAGAGCTTGGGCCAAAGCCAATCTAGATGTCTTGGATTATTCGCGGCGCGTGATGTGTGTCTCCCTGGAGACCATCCAGGCCATGGTGATCGTGTCTCACGTGCTTTGCAATCTGGAAGGGCCTTCGCCTCAGTTTCGCGATCTGGTTGCCTCGGCCATTTTACTTGGTCGTGAGATTGGGCTGCACCGAATCGATCACTCCCAGGATTTCCCTTGCACTGAGTCACTCCGTCTCGATCCGGTTCGGGCAGAAATCGGACGGCGAATATGGTGGTTCCTAGTAGCCACTGACTGGTACGTTTCTTCTTCTTCTTGGAGCAGTCAATCACTACCTAGATAGTACTACTGACGGTCATTTTGAAGGTTGATTGGCCTGTATGCTGGCCCCCAGGAAGACATCTACATTATCAACCCACGGCATATGGCGGTCCAGAAGCCGAGGAATTTCAGCGATGAGGACTTGTTTGGCGGAGTGATGCAGGAACCAAAGCCCCTGTCACAACCGACGGTTATGTCGTACAATTTGCAACGGAGCCAACTGGCAGAGATCTGCCGCAGCTTTACCGATCGCAGACCATTGGCTCTCTCTTCGTCGGTGCCGATTGACTATCCCAGTGTCACGGAGATCGATGCTAGGATGAACAAGTTTATGGAGCAAATCCCGGCCTTCTTCCGCCTCGATGGTGGTGGCAGTGGGCCAGACACGCTCTCACAGATCAGCGAGCATCTGCGCCGGGGAATTATCACTCAACGATACCTACTCAGCACTCTGGTTCAAGGGCAGCGGTGCAAGCTCCATCTGCCTTACTTCATTCGAGGATATTCAGAGCCTACATTTGCGTGTTCCCGTGATGTGTGCATCGAGGCTGCGCTTCTTATTGTGCAGACGAACCTCCAGGCCCGGAAAGAAGAGACTTTCTTCAATTCTATTCGAGGGAAACTCGTCTGTGTTATACACAGCGCGTTCATGGCGAGCTTTATTCTCTCCCTCGACATGTGTCTAAACAAAGATTCCAACAAGAAGTCCAACACCCACCAGACCGAAGCCTTGCAGGCCTACCGAATTCTAGAAGAAGCCCGAGAGCAATCTGAGATCGCTGCCCGTCTCCTCGACTTTCTGATGGGTCTCCTCCGCAAACATAAGATCCCAGCTCCAAGCACCACAGGAAGCTCAGCCACTTCGGCACCGGCGCAGATGACGCATCCCACGCCATTGCAGGAAGCCCAACCAAGCGAGCACACGCCGCCTGTGTCCGTGCCCCATGAAAATGACACCTTGCCTACCGATCCCATCTCATACTTTGACGACTTATGGCAGAATCCGGATAGCCAGGCCATGTCTGACATGATGGATTGGAATGATCTGTTTGCCGGTCTAGACAGTGCTTTGATGTCGGGTAGTTATAGTTGATAGGTTCGGTAACTAGTAACAACTATTCAAGAATACAATCACTTCCAGACTATCTGCCCCAACTGTTCATATGTAAGTAAGTACCTAAAGTACTAGGTATAGATTTGATACATACCGTATCTCCGTAGTAGAATGTATTAATTACTGTTACGTTACTTACATGCTGATTTCTAATCTGGTGGATCCCCTTATTTGACCCACTCCGCTCCCTCCGCGGGGATTTGCGCTTTATGATTGGATACGGCGACGCAAAGTCCGCGGTACGGGGTATCTGTAAAATACCAGTATCAACAATACGAACAATATGATATGATAGAACTATACCAATCTACTATAGTCCACAGTATAAAACGGTTAACAGCCTACAATATTCAATAGAAGGAGTGCAAGTGATTAATTTGTTCTTCTACAGGCTTCTATATATACTTCTCTTTTAAAAATTTTTTGAGATGGACGGCGAAAAGGTATTCCAGCCTCGAGACGAGGGAAAGACGAGTCAAGACATTGAACAAGAGGCATGGGATACAGATAATAAGGTGCCTTTCGAACAAGACTCCAATATCGTGGACTGGGATGGGCCAACCGACCCGTTGAACCCGATGGAGTGGGCGATGTCCAAGAAGGTGACGATGATAGGGATTGTGTCATTCCTGACTTTCTTAACGTAACGTCCACGAAGATCCTCAAAAGGTACCTACCTAGCTAGTCCTTCTAATGCAGTGCAGTCCTCTCGCGTCATCTATCTTTGCCCCCGCCGCCGAAGAAGTTCTGGCAGACTTTGGCTCGAACAGCATCTACATGGAGAGCTTCATCGTCTCCGCGTACCTGCTGGGCAACTGCTTTGGACCGCTGGTGATAGCCCCATGGTCCGAACTGTACGGCCGTTCGCCGGTCTACCATTGCTGCAACGTCCTGTTCGTGCTGTTCAACGTGGCGTGCGCCAGGGCGCCGAACCTGGGCGCCCTGCTGGTCTTTCGCATCTTGTCCGGTCTGGCGGGGGGCTGTCCGCTCACGCTCGGGGCCGGGACGATTGCAGACCTCGTCCGCGCGGAGAAACGGGGAGGCGCAATGGTGTCGTGGGTGATGGGACCGTTGTTAGGGCCTGTCGTGGGACCGATAGGTATGTCTTCCTCCTTTGTCCCTCGGCGTCTCTCTTCTGTCTTTCCCCTGTCTTTTTCTGTGCTGACTTCAGGTTCAGTCGGCGGGTATCTGTCTCAGGCAAAGGGGTGGAGGTGGTGTGCCTGGTTCCTGGTAATCATGGTAAGGCTAAAGGAGTATCCTGTCTGCATATGTTGGCCAAGATACTGACAGATGGACAATCTGTAGTCAGGCTTCGCAACCGTTCTCACCTTCCTCTTCCTGAAAGAGACGTACGCCCCGATCATCCTGGAACAAAAGACACAACGTCTGCGTAAACAGATGGACAACCCCCATCTCCGCTCGAAGCTGCAGAAGGACCAGATGGCAAAAGACCTGTTCAAACGCTCGATCGTCCGCCCAATCCGCATGCTCGCTCTGTCTCCGATCGTCTTCCTGCTCTCGCTGCACATCTCCATCATCTTCGGATACATTTACCTTGTCTTGACTACGCTCTCGGAAGTGTTCGAAGACACGTACGGCTGGTCGCAGGGCAACGTGGGACTGTCATACATCGGCATCGGGGTCGGGTTTCTCCTCGGCCTCTTCTTCACGGGGGTCATCTCCGACAGACTCGTGGACCATCTCACGGCTAAGGCTTCTCAAGGAGAGAGGAAACCAGAGTACCGCCTGCCCCCGATGGTGATCGGGAGTATCTGCGTACCCATCGGCTTGTTCCTGTACGGCTGGACGGCAGACACGAAGCAGCAGTGGATCTTGCCTATCATCGGAACGGCCTTTCTTGCGATAGGGATGGTGATTTCATTGGTAAGTTTCTTTACCTATCATTTCATTTTCTTTCTTTCTTCCAGTTGCAATGTATTGATGATAACTTTCAGATGACATGCACCACCTACCTCGTAGATGCGTATCCTGTATACGCCGCCTCCGCGACAGCAGCCAGCACTGTTTTCCGCTCACTGGTCGGCGCTCTGCTCCCCCTGGCAGGGAACCCAATGTACGCTGCCCTGGGACTAGGGTGGGGGACATCCCTGCTGGCGTTTATTGCGTTGGTGATGGTGCCAGTGCCGCTCTTCTTTTACCGGTATGGCGAGAAGATTCGGAAGGCGACTAAAGCTGAATTCTAGAGCGGTATAAAACTGTCGTGTTAGTATAACCAAAAGATAGAAGTAATAGTCAGATATAAACCAGTGGGAAATAGATTGATCGGTAACGGTACAGCCAGCCAGCCAGCAGTTCAAAGTCACATAGAAAACAACCCGGATCAGAGATGAATAGAATAACAGAAGTTAGTAGAGATAAACACCAGACACCGATGCGCCAAAGATCAAATCAAATCACATAAAATCAAGGTTGAAAAGTCAAGTCATTATCCATCATTACTCATTTCACTTTGTTCGTTCAATGCTCACTTTTCCTCTGGGACTTTTTTCCGCCCCCTCCCCCCCCCCCTGCACAACAACGTCCTGGACGGACTAGAAATATGTATAGATCCTAGATCACATATCAAGATGAAAGTTTGCAAACTTAAGAGATAGCCCAGTCAAGATAGACCATTCTATCGAGAATAAGGCTTATTCATCAGGGCGATTTCACGGGCAATAGTAGGCCATTCGAGATCGCGCTTGATGGGTTTGTTCTGCTTTTCGAGCTGCTTTTCTTCCCACTTGAGAAGTTCATACCTAGTCGATATCAGTTGGTGTAACCATACTTGGGAGTATAATAATAATCAACTCACACGAAGCGCAGATGTGGCTGGATAATCACATTCAGTCTTCTCGCTCGTACATAGCAGCTGACTCGGTTAGATATGAAAAAAAAAAAAAAGAAAAGAAAAGAAAAAAAAAGTTATTATAATGAGATGAGCAACTTACTATGCTCGTGGAAAAGAGAGTCCCATGGTTGCCATGACCTCAGCAATACAGATTGTCGCAGACCTGGAGACACCGACACGGCAGTGAACCAAGGTAGCGCCACCATCCTGTTTTCCACGACCTGTAGAAGTCAGTAAGTTGAAAAAGAAAGAATAAAGAAGACGAAAGATTGAGAAATACGTACGGATAAAGTCCAAGCAGGCAGCAAATTCCTGGGTCAACGGATCGATGCCGTTATCCTGCACCTGGCCAATATACATCAAATTCTCGACGCCGAAGCGGGCCAGGTCGGCCCGAGTCCAACTCACAGCCTCGCCGATGCTCAAGACGCGGCGGATCCCAAGCTCCCACAGGAGAGCTGCGTTATTGGCGTGCGCCAGGTTACCCAGATACATGTAAGGCAGGATTCGGCTTGGGAGAGAGCCGTCCAGAGCAGCGAACCAGACTGGGTCGGGCAGGCAGGTCAGATGGGCGGCCTGGGCTGCTGGGCTCTCCTGCAATACGCGGGCTTGAATGCTCTTCAGAAATTCCACGTCGGTCGGGTAGGCGAAAAAGTTGCGCTTCTGGTCGCAGTGCAGCTTCAGCCAGGCCTCGTGGGCAGGGACTCCGTGGGCGAACATGTAGTACGCGATGGTCAACAGCGAGCTCTCGGTGTACCCGTCAGCGCAATGGATCAGGATCTTGCAGGGTTTCTTGCCAAAATTGACCATGGGGATATCCCCGTCAGCGTCGACGTCGGTGTCGGCGGCCAAGTCGGGAGTAAGAGGAGACTGGTGAGGATTGGCCAAGGAATAAAGCCACCGCAAGGTGTTCACGAGACTGTCTGTCTCTCGGGAATCTCCAGACGCGACAATGGACCCCGAAGACGGAAACTCCAGACGCTGGGGGCCCTCGGCTAGCTGTTTGCTGAGCGTCGCGAGAAGTCGGGTGCCAGGCATACTGGCCACATCGCTAGCTTCGACTAGGAGGTCGAAATTGTCGTCGGCCTCTGCACCCAACAAGCTGGGTCGGAGCAAGTGATCCGGGGTTGGACCTTGCCATACGTTGGTCGATATCTCCGAGGCCTTTGCCATGGTGCACATTTCCAGCCGTTCACAGTGAACTTTTGGGAAGGTAAGTCAAGGAGGGAGGAAACAGGGAGCAGGATGAGAAACTTACAGAAATCGACAACCTGGCCAGTCATCTGTCCCTGAGTGTTGAACGCAATCAGGCTGGGACATCGCTTCTCTATGTCCCGGAAGGAATCTATGCGTGTAAGACGAGTTGAAGAAAGGATATCTATCATATCACAGCCGATGCGAGATGACTTACTGGAAACGACAAAAGTATTGTAGAGAGGAACCTCACGGTCCCCGTCAAATTTGATCCTCCAGTTCTGCTGCGCGATGGCGATCTGCTCTGCCAGCGTCAAGATATCTTTCTGACTGACGTCATCGCCTCCATAGACCACTATATCGGACATGGGAGCGAGCTTGGCCGTCTGGATCTGAAAGTTCCGGACAGAGAACCCTTGGGGCGGGTCTGCGATCAGGAAATCAATGCCGGACGGGGTAAGGATCTCCTCCGGGGCGATGGCGCCCTTGAGCCTGGCCGTAGCAAGGTTCCCCCCGGCCTTCACGATAGTGATCCCTCTCCAGCACTTGGGTGATCGGCGCAAGGAGCGTCTCCGATGGACAAAGAATGCCAGTTGGATCTGGTTCTCTGGGTGCAAGCCATGCAGCCAGGGGAACATCAGGCTCGGGTCCGGCAATGGCTGCGAGGCATGCAGATCGACGGCCGCCCGTAGAGTCTCGGCGTCGATGGAGTACACCGGCAGAACACTCGAGGCCCGGGGGAAGGCATCGGGGGGGTACAACAACGAGGGAGTTGGCAACGAGTCTCTCAAGACGAGGGGGGCCTTCAAAGGGGCTTTCACAGGGCCCGTTGGGCACACAGGCAGGTGTTTGTTAGGGATAACCGTCGGCGGCGGACTGAGAGTCAACGCTGGGGCAAGAGGCGGAGGAGTCGCATGCCTCAGGGTCTGCTGCTGCACCACCAAGGTCGCCATGATGAAGAACACCAACAGATGTGTGTTCTGGGAAGGGGGGAGAGAATTAAGGATATGTCCAGATAGTTGGCAACTCCGTGAAAAACGCGACCGTGCCGTCAGACACCAACTCACATCTCCTGATGGCACGATATTCACCAACTAACTAATATCACGTGGGGGGGGGTCAAGTCACGGCATCCGCGTCACTCCAGCAGTATTGTATAGGGGTAAAGGAGATATTCCGGGAATAGACCTTTATGGACTATCGCTTGAGGTGGGGAGAGGTACTATTAGTAAATAGAGCTGTTAGCAACGATCGGATCCCCGACAGCTAGTGAATTATACCCAGCAGTACCTACCTTGGTATGTAGTTACTCGTCTTACGGTCGAGTCAGAGACAGACAACAAAACAACACACGACAGCCCACAGTATGCGACGACAGTTCAGCGGCAAGTGTCCAGCGACCGCGTCAATCGATAACAGCCAGCCAGAATGGAATGATAAGGGTCGATCGTGTCGTACCAGCGAGAGAAACGGTCTCCAGCAAGCCGTGCGATCGGCTGGATCAAGAAGACCCCTAAACACACAAGTCAAAAGGAAACAATAGTCAGAGTAAGTCAACAGAGGAGCATCAGGAATCACCCAGGCCAGGCAAATAATTAAATCAGGCAATGCCAGGCCCTGTTGCTTGGTGGGGAGGTTCGAGTCGAGTCGAGTCGAGAACCGGCTGCTGGTGCGGGGGTGGACGAGAGATAAAGTGAGCAAGGACGAAAGCGGAAACCAACAAGTCCCTCCCTCCTCCTGGATTGTTTTTTCTCTCGTCAACCACCACGGTGATTTGGCTTGGCCAGCCACCGCTGCCGTTGCTGCTTGCTACTGCTGCTGCTTCCCTGACAACTGTCGGTGCTTTGCACAGATTCTCTGCCAATGGAAACCTGGTGTCTCGCGGTAACCAGGGATCGATACCCCGGTTCGCCCAGTGACGACGCGTCTTCGCAGTGGCAACTAGCAAGCCCAGGCGGGCACTCCATGACACAAAACGACGGCGATTCGGGACCATTCTGAGCGCTCCGTCGATGACGATTACGATCCTCGATCTCTCCGTGTTTGGGATCCACAATTCGTCCTATCTATAATCAGTGGGTTGTACTTGATACGGAGCAGAGTGTGTTGTTACCCATGTTTTACGGAGTCCCTTGTGCTGATAACTCTCTTGTTATTGTGTCAGGTAGGCAGGATCAAAAAGCCAAAGTGCCTGGTTGGCTCCTAGAGAACCGCTCTCATCAACACAAGCCTGTTGTATAATACTACATACTCCCTGTTGACTGGGAATCCCTGTCCCGTGCTACTAATCATCGCTCTGTCATCGGCCCCTCCCTCAGCTGTGTATCCACTGTCCAACGTGAGTTCCGAGGCCGGGCAGGTAGCCTCAGTGGTCCCTAAGGTTGTTGATATCGGGCATTCGGACTCGGTGGACCTTGGGTCGCGTGAACTAACAGGCGACAGTTGAGCGTCGATATGGAGGAGAAGTATTATCCTTATGGCTATATATTCAAGAAGCTGCATGCCGACACCTGTTGTACAACCCTATTGACTCAGCTTTAACTAGATCGTATTAGAGGCCTAGTGACATGATACATACCCCAAGTAATTTCCCCATTGTGATAACTCTACTCAAAACACATCTCTTTCTCTGAAATAACCCTTCTTCAATTAGAGTTGAATGACCCTCGTCCCTGTGCCCAAGGGCAATAGAATTAGACTCTGAGAACCTTTTATATTTTTTTTTGCTAATTTGTAAATAAGATTGTCGTCCTGATCACTTCCGTCTCGAGAGCTGAATCTTGCATCAATATGCTAGTCCTCACATCGTTCCAAGTCGGGATAAGGGATATCAATCTTGTTTTTTTTCTGATGTGAGTTACTTCCAGGGAAAGACTGGTGTAAGCATCATCAATCAATGAGACAAGACAACTTATCTACTCCATGTAACTGGTATACTCCGCACTAGATGATGGGTGGCAATATAGATGCCGTATGCGGACCAGGCAGCACGTACCCGTCAAGATCCAATCTAGAATCGCTCACTGGACGATCAGCGTGCAGTACTTTTGTATCTTCCCTGTCAAGGTACTCCGCAAGGGTCCACAGTAAAAACCTTAGGTTAGGCTTTGTTTGTAACCCACCAGTCCTCGTTTCTCGAGAGGCTTAGCGAGTCAAGAGGGATGGATTATTCGCCGAAGACCACTGATAAGCGAAATGAGGCACTAGTTTGGGACTAAGGGAGTAAACTAGCAGACTGGAGCTCGTATTGTGACCAAAAAATGAGCCAATGTTGACGCCATAGTGAGAGATGTGCTATATAGAACATCAGACACCACCAGATAAGGCGTTATCCTTCAACTCCTGCGCGAGCCGGAGGAGGTAGAACCGCGCCATGTCCGGCGGAAGGGCCTCGAAGGATTTCGCCATCTTGGAGAGCTCGGTGCGCGCCCGTTCATAGGCCTGCACATCCCGGTTGCCGTAGACATCTCTGCCGGCAGAATATGAAGCTGCCGTCATGTTGCGGAAGAAGACGTTCACAGCGACGCTGACGCTGCCAATCGGGGAACACGCCGTGTGGAGCCATAGCGGAGGTATAAAGAGAATGTCGCCGGGTTTCAGTCTTGCTTCGTGCGGCGACGTGCTGGGGATCGATGCGATGGGTTCCTCTGCACCATTCTCCCCCTGGAAGATGTTGATCGACGAGCTGGATGCCCCGGGAGGGAGTTGGAGATGCTGCACGTCCTCGGGCGGGTAGAGCACAAGGCGTCTGTCTCCGCGGATCTGGCAGTAGACATTCGCCATTACCTGGAATATCAAGTCTTGAGTTTTTGATCACTTGGGTAGTATGTCGAACACTTACATCGTAATGGAGCCACATGATGACAGACCCCGAGATTCTCAGCGGGGAACTATGTGCATTCTCTGCCACCAGAGACAGCTCCTCGGGTAGTCTGAAGTCAGGACTCAAGCTCGGGAAATCTGTAGCAATATTCGCTGGTAGCTTGGACGGTTGGGCCGTCGAGATGGAGCGAAGGTATTGACGACCCCCGGCATGTACTTCGTCCAGGAACGGCCCGAATTCTTTGACGTTGTAAACAAAGTTCTTAGCCAGGAAGTCCATGCTCTCTGTTTCAGCCTCATGGACAACGACCTATGCACCAAGTCAGTTGTCTTGTCTGGGCAAGATTTCGAATCTCATGTCTTACCTTGCGGTCACTGCCTACTGCGCGACATAGATACTCCTTTGTCCAGGACTCAGAGCAGGGCCCGATGTCAGATCCTTCAATCACCACCGGCTTGCCAATAGATACAATCTCCTGGAACTCGGCTGCTGTCCGGACATGAACTCGAGGGATCCGGATACTATCATCGCTGTTCACTGGAGATGGAGAAGGCAGTGTCTTTGCTGCCGGCTTGACTGGTATCGGCCTCAGAATCCATGGGCTCTGTGCGGACTGCTCCGCACGCTGCAACACCCAGGTACCCTCGTTCCAAAACGTTCCAAAAGAGAAACACACTGCTCCACCACCGAGAATGAGCACTCCGTCTTGATTGATATTACAGGACACATGGCCGCTAAGGAGGGGTCGAGAGACTTTCATGTCGTTCCCGAGGCCCACCCGGCGCAGTAAGGTCATGTTCCAGGCCTTCTTGCCAACCACGCAATCTTGGAGCTGTGCTACATCGACAAGTAGCATTTCCGAGTCTAGTGGCGTGAGATGGCAGGGAACTATGCCTCCAATGATCAAAAGCCCCCAGGGGGTCGACTGGGTCGTGGCTCCAAAGCGTGAGAGGTGATGGAAGAGAGGCGTGGCGAGCTTGAAATTGGCGGTTTGGTCAGTCAGCTTAATAATTATTGACCCGTCATCTTGCTTGATTAGACTCCATGTCCAAAAGTCCTCGATGATGGTGCCATCTGCCTGTATACCACCAAACAAAACACCTGAGGTATTGTCGACACTGGTCAGGCATTGACCGAATCGAGCAATAGGCTTGGAGCCAACACGCGCGATCTCTTGCCAGCCGTCTTTCTTGTCCCACAAGATCCAGCTGTCCAGCAAGTCACCATTACTTGTCTTGCCTCCGTAAAGAAGCACCTGCTCAGACCCCGGTTGCAGGGTTATGCGAGTTGCAGCGTGTCTAAAGCGAGGAACTGGCAAGGGGTGCGTTGGGCGCCACACATCTTTCTCGCGCAGCCAGCAATCCCCTAACGCTGACGCTGGAGATGTCCGTCCTCCAACGAGCAAGCAGTCACCATTGGCAAGCCCCGTCACGGTGTGGCACATGCGCGCAAGGATATCGCGTGGAGGTATTTGCGTAATTGATTCGGTGATCTCATCGGCGTTGCTGTAGAAATCAGTACTTGCAAGACGTGCTTGACGACCTAACCCTCCATGATGCCCTATCGAGTTCTTGCTGTCCGGCACTAGAGCGCCATATCTGCGCTGAGAACGCTCGGAGGAGAGATGGTGTACCAGTTTGAACTGGTTGGAGATGTTTAATTCTGGTGAAGCCACGGGCTGCTCGGCCACATCATCGGGCAGCTTTTCTCTCGTGGAGGCTATCAAGAGGAAGTAGTGCGAAGCAAAAAGAGCGAATTCTTCCCATTCGTCAAACGATTCGACCTCATCCAACGATCTCCGCAGGGAGTCACCCACAAAGTCATCAGACCAGAGGTCCCACAGACTCCTCGCTCGAGCTTGCGTCCACCCGGCATTCTTGAACCGCCGTTCCTGGTCACGGAGAGACGGATACTCGTGGATGGAAAACAGAGGAGCCCGGAGTTTATGGAAATGTTTCATCATCGTCGCAGCGAACGGATGCTCAGGGCCATCCGGGAAAAACTGCTCTAGAATGCAGAACTGGACGTCTATCACCAGTCAGTAGAATTCCCACCAACGAGTATCGTATTTCAGACCGTCGCTTAACTTGGCCGCCCAGCTGAGGACCGCATTTGCCGATTTCACGTCCATATAAGTCAGAGACACCTCGGCTAAGCAGAGGATGGAGCACTGAGAAGGAGAGATCTCAGTCTGCAGCGTAGCATCTAGCTTCGTCAGGTTCTTCAGATCGCAACCGACGGCGATGTACGGAGCACTGCGGATCTGCACAGCGCTGTCGTCCGGCAGAAACTCTACACCCTCGAGCAGGCCGGTGATCTCTTCTGTCCTTTGGATAGCATTCTTCTTGGTGACCATCAACTTCTCGTAGTCGATATCCACGAACCGTGACCCATCACACAGCTCACGGTGAGAGCTCAGTAGCATGAATGGGAGGGGATCACTACGCCAGACACCAGCTTTAGCACATCGACACATCACCCACCACGATTTCCCAGCACGTTCATCTACGACTTACAATCCACAGCCTAGGTTCAGCACGTATTTGGGCCTGTCAGAGGGCTCTGCAAGAAACCGCCGCACCGTCTCCATGATCGCGTGCATCCGCAGCCAATATCCTCGATTAATCAACGGCGCTCGTCGCTGCGGTTTCTTGACAAAGTATCGAAAGAAATGCGGCTTGGGATAGTACAGCATCTCCACACTCCGTTTCGACACAATGCTGCTGCTGTTGGTCTATTGCGTCCGTGGTTAGTACTGTAGGTACTAGATCCGGTGCTGAACTTGCTTCAAGGGACGTACATCCATGACCAGGTCCGCTTCCTTCTCAGACTTGGTACTGGCCACTGCCATGGCTGCTTTCTTCTTCGCTTCCATGACGAACAAGCCAACAGGTGAAGAGTAGGAGTGCCAATGGGGCGTGGTGCTCGAGGGAAAATTTCCCAAAAGTCCCGCTGCCGCCCTCTTTGCTATCAAGATGTGGCCCAAGCGTCTCGCTTGCTCTGATCGTCCCCCAGATCTGTCGTCACCGCAAAGGCTCTGTTTTGATCGCTCGTCTTTGCTGCCTGGGCTGCTTTGCCCTCGAGATACCCAAACTGAACCGTGACTGCCTGCGAGTCGGGCGTTTTCTGAAGCCAAACCAGCGTGTGATGGGATTGTCGTGAACCTTTCCCCCCTCCCCAAGTGTTCGGCATCCTGCAAGCGGGGTACTTTTGACCCAGCGGTCGCTGAGCAGGGCAACGCCGTGTGAGGTGGTGTCTTTTCTTGTGTGCTGGAGATATATTCACAAAGGCGCCGTGGGTCAAAATGGCGATGAATTTCGTGACGTTCAACCAGGACTACAGTTATCTGGCGGTCGGTAAGGCGTTGTTCCCCCTGCTACAGTCAAGCCCTCCCCCTCCCCCCCCCCTTCGGTCGGAGCCACGAGGTTGACTTGATCAGCGACGTCAAAAGGATTCCGGATATTTACGACCGATCCGTTTGCCAAAAGCTATGAGACCAAAGAAGGGAATATCGCCATCATCGAGATGCTGTTCTCGACGTCGCTGGTTGCGCTGATTCTGTCACCGCGGCGCTTGCAGATCACCAACACCAAGGTTCGTGGAGTCCGTGAGGTATAAGACAGATGCGGAAGTGGGCTTGCGTTGACAGGTTTTTGGTTGCGTGGTTAGCGTCAGTCGACGATCTGCGAGTTGACCTTTCCGACGACTGTGCTGGCTGTCAAGCTGAACCGGAAGCGGCTGGTGATCGTGCTCGAGGACCAGATCTACCTTTATGATATTCAGACCATGAAGCTCCTGCATACAATTGAGACGTCGCCCAATCCCAGCGGTAAGGCTTTGAACGTCGCCATCACCAGTATAAAACGATCTTGCTCCTGACTCCCCAGAACAGCGATATGCGCTCTGTCGCCTTCCTCCGATAACTGCTATCTGGCGTACCCCTTACCGCAGAAAGCTCTACCCTCAACATTCAATCCGCCGTCACACGCCCCGCCGGGGACTACACATGTGTCCCCGACGAGCGGGGAGGTCTTGATTTTCGACACGTTGAAGCTGGAGGCCATCAACGTGGTCGAGGCACACCGGTCTCCGTTGGCGTTTATTACGTTGAACAGCGATGGCACCCTGCTGGCCACGGCATCGGACAAGGGGACCATTATCCGGGTCTTCTCGGTGCCGGATGGTCACAAGCTCTACCAGTTCCGTCGAGGCTCGATGCCCTCCAGGATCTACAGCATGTCATTCAACACGACCTCGACGCTGCTGTGTGTCTCATCATCCACGGAGACCATCCACATATTCAAACTAGGCCACCAGGGGGGCTCCTTAGACGCATCGTCGTCGCCATCCTCCTCGCTGTCCCCTCAGGATCGGTCCCTCAGTCATCCGTATGACGATGACGACCCCAAGGGCGAGATGGGAAGCCCTGATATCTCCTCCCGGAAGCATAACGGGACCCTCATAGGCATGATTCGACGAACCTCTCAGAATGTTGGCAGCACGGTGGCCGCTAAAGTTGGGGGCTACCTGCCACGCGGCGTCAGCGAAATGTGGGAGCCTGCTCGGGATTTTGCATGGATCAAACTGCCTAAACCAAGCCAGGGGCCTGGGGCAAACGGTAACACGGGGCCTTTGCGGAGTGTCGTCGCAATGAGCAGCAACACCCCGCAGGTGATGGTTGTCACCAGCGACGGTAACTTTTACGTGTTCAACATTGATCTTTCTAAAGGCGGAGAGGGGACTCTAACAAAGCAATACTCGTAAGTAACCACTTCTGTCCGAGTTCTTGTTAACCTTTCTTTGTCTTTTCTTTTAGTTGACTGGCTCTATAGGGTCCTCGAGACGAACGACCGAATGGGATACTCGGGGATGGACTTTTGAGTATCCCAGCTTTCCTATCGATGTATTCACGACCTCCAGGCCTATGATCAATTTTGGCCCACATTCAAGTTTTTGTTTTTTGTTTTATTTTTTTTTTTTTTGCCTTGTAAGCGTTTGTTCTTGTCTATGGGTGCTGGCTGTACTTCTGATCTTCTCGACTTTCTATATCCTCGACTCCTGCTTTCCTTCTAAATAAAGGTTGACACCGTGGGCAATCCCTGCATCTAACGAGAGCCTGTTCCGTCTCAATTTTCTCATTTTACCTGGTTCACCTGTAATTGAGAATATCCGCGTCTTGTCCTACCCTGGGCTTCGTACACACCTTACTAGCTACATAGATGCCCAGGTAACCAGTATTTAATAACTGCAAGGTCATATAAGCGGTACCAAATCTTTCTTTCTAGAATGAGTCCTGTATTTTAATTCCCAACCTTGTCTATCTGTTCCTTCTATGGACGACGATGACAATGAGATAATTTTATATCAGGTCACGTGAATGTACTGCGGTGAAGTCTGGACGAGAACCCCCCATATTTACTCATTAACGAAATTCTTATTGTGTCATGTCAACCAGCTAACAGAGTTCAAATAGCGAAAGTAATAGCGTCCCTGCGAAGACTGTGGCAGGCTATACGAACTTTTCTTCCTATAGCAGCAGGAGTCGTATGCATGGAGGACTCCAATTGAAGATGGACGCAAACACCGAAGATCAAGCCAATAGTCCATTGCAAAACAGCTCTGCGAGCCAAAAGCATGGTAAAGAGGAAAAAAGGAAACGGCCATTGAAGAAGCCGAAGGGTCTGAATCCACTGCAGAGAGGAATCCACAAGTTCCTCACCAACGAATTGGCTGCACTTGCCCCTCAGTCACTCGACAGCAACAATACACCACCGGCATCAACAGGAAGGACCGCCGAACCCAGACCCGAAGCTGAGACGCTGGTTTCGTCTCTGCCCAAACGGTTCACGGTGTACCAACCGCTGCTCTTGCTCCCGGCCAATGCATTCAGCGTGCCTCAAGCCTGGGGAACCATCTACGCCAGTCTCAACGATCAACAGAAAGATGTACTCTACGCATCGATTGTGGAGGCTTTTAAAGACCAAGATGTGACCCATCTGGCGATGAACGCGCCGATCGTTATGACGGACTTGCAGGGACAGGAGAACATAATGCGTTCCCCTGTCGGGTTGACTCCCTTGTACGGTGATTTCGGAGATGTGAGCTTTACAAATTCGACCCTCGCAGGCTCCCAACCCAGTCAATCCGATCTTGAGACGGCCTTCTGGGTACGCGCAGTACAGAACCATGGCATCGTGCAGATCTGGGCGCCGCTTTACACGATGTTTTCGCGAGGGAATATCACGGAAAAGGCTCGAATCCTGGGCCAGAGAGAGGATTCGGGGGCGAGTAGCTTTGAAGGCCTCGACGAACCTTCCTTACATGACCAAGCAGTACACGACACCAGTGTGGTGGACATGTATGCCGGGATCGGCTATTTTGTCTTTTCATACCTGAAGCGTGGCGTGAAGAGGGTTTGGGGCTGGGAGATTAATGGATGGTCGGTAGAAGGCTTGCGCAGAGGATGCGTGGCGAATGGATGGGGGTGCAGAGTAGTCAGGGTTCACGAAAATGGCACCCTGGAGCCCAGCGTCTCTGACCTGGTTCACACTCTCCAGGACACAGATCGGGTGGTGATCTTCCATGGCGACAACTCGTCTGCAGCGGAGATACTGGAGAAAGTCAAGCAGGTGATGGAACAAGATGGAGAAGCGTCATGGAGCAGTGTCAGGCATGTTAATCTAGGTCTCCTTCCATCGTCGCGCGATTCTTGGGCCAATGCGTGCCGGATGATCGATGATCGCCGAGGCGGGTGGCTCCATGTTCACGAGAACGTGGCAATCCATGAAATCCAGCAGAAGAGTGAAGAGATCCGCACGGCGCTGACGGAGTCGTGGGAGCAATCTACGAGAGACACTGCCTCGACAGTCGAGTGCCGTCATACCGAACGTGTCAAGACATACGCACCAGGAGTCATGCATTGTGTCTTCGACATGGCTCTATCACGTTGCATGAAATGATTCGGGAGCGCTCTCGTTTCTCCAACACGGAGCATGTACAACTCATGCAGATAATCTAATGAGGCGAACACAAGGGTATCGGTTGACCAGCGCTGAACTTGACCAATATTTATATACATTCCAAGGGATTATTTCCTGATGTCCTCTTCCCTCTCACGCGTTTCTCAGGAACTTTTGAGGGATATTCGCCTCGACGATCTGCATGTTCTCCAGCTGCTCCAGTTTAAACTGGGCAAGCTCCTCTTCGTCGTGCTTCCTGAAATGCTCGATATCCTCCGGGTGGGTCAATTCCTCCTCCGTGGCGTCCTCGCCATGGTACTTTTCGAAATGATGGATCTCATATTCATACTCGTCGTCTCCATGGTGCCCCGGCCCGTAACCGAGATCGGGGAGCCGGACGCCGTCGTCCAGCAGCCGCAGCCACTGGTTGCGCGAGATGACACCCGTGTTGCTCGGGTCGAACACTGCGAATACCTCCCGCACAGCCCGCTGCTTGCGGTCCTCGCTCACCCCGGCGTTGGACTCGTCATCAAGCCCGTACATCTTGCGCACCTCGTCCGCCGTCCAGGCGCCTGAGGTATCGAAGTCGTGGAGGGAGAAGAATGCGCCGGCGTCGAACGTATCGATATGATGCTCCTCTATAGTATCAATTAGCATCCATAATGTACTACCATCCTAGAGCGATTTCCCACAAGAAAGACTAGATGCCATACCTATCATATGTCGTGTTGCCCAGTCCTTCTCGTCGGACGCATCGCCATGAGAGCCGTGGGCGCTGGCAGTCGTGCTCAACGCAAGCAAAGCAGCCCCTAGGCCGAGGAATGGGAAGAGCATTATTAATCTAGCCCCTCCGTCAATAAACAAGCCAAGAAAACGACAAACGAGTCTCAACCGACAGTTGATCGTTCTTTGTATGAACAGTCGAGCTGGCAGTTGTGGTGGGAGACTCGTGTTTGCACTGTTTGCTCCTCACCACCTGACACCACGACAAATCCCGTTCCGGGCCGGGAACTTTTTCGTTGTCAAGAGTTGACAAAGTCGCACCTGCTTCTGAGCGAATTGAGGCATCGCAGGGCTCACGGCTGGTTTTTGGATCGTCCCGGTTTCTTGTTTCTGCAATCCTACACGTACACGAGAGAGGAGCGATGCAGCGATAGAGAATGCAGAGTCTGTGGTCCCGCGCCGCGGCGTCGCCGTCGACCTGCCGTTGCGTCTCCTGCCTGAGCACGGCCAGCCAGGGACTGGCGTCACGATCGGCCTCGGCGGCGAGCAGGAGGCGTCTTCGGATTGCGAACTCCGTCACAGCGTTATACTCGAGTATCTTTGCTGCCGCAGCGCTCGCTGACGCGCGGGCCAAGGACCAGCGACGGCTGGAGTTACAGGAACAGATCGCCGCGGCGAAGGAGGAGTTCAATGAGCTGGTCGACGAGGAGACTCGGCTGGTGAAGATCCTGGCCTCGCGGAGGGACCGACAGGTGTTCGGTCGACCGGTACAGACTCGACAGTTCAGCACAGCCACGCCATGGTACTCGGATGCAAACTCGTGGGGGTTAAGGCGGAACCACCCAGCACACAATGGCCATGGGGATATCAAAACGTTGCAGACCATCTTTGCTGAGTCTACAGAGATGGAACCTGGTCAACTGGAGCGGCATGCCCTCGAAGACGTCCCTGGGTATGTGGGCGATGAGATGGACGAAAAGTTTGACATGGATGACGACCATATCGATGATGCCGGCTGGAATGGAGAGCTGCCAAACTGGCTTTCCACTGACGTTGCTCGGATGAAGGCCATTCAGATGCTGGCAATCAAGCAGCTGGCGATCCGTTACATGCTCCGACCCGCTCTGGCACACAACTACTCGGGGCTGCCCATGCGCTACAATGCCGATTTTGAGACCCCCCAGTTGAAGACGACGGAACTGCTGAAAGAGTTGAACGTCGTCCGACGCAGGATCCAGCAATTGAAGAACTCGCGAACGGCGCCCTTTGACGACTTGAGAAAGAACAAAACAGTCCTGCCCGAGGAACTTCTATCCCACACAAAGAAGCTTGATGACGAGCTGGAAGGCGTGATCGACCGGTATCTCAGCGACTCAATTTCTCTACCAGAATTTCTCCTCAGACTCTCGGGCAATCTCATGCATTCAGCAGACCCGGATCGCCCCAGAGCCTTCCGAATGATTATACTCGCATTCACCAAAACTCACCAGAATGACCTGGTGGATCTCACCCTCAGGACATTACTACCGAATAAGTTTCTGTTGACCACATCGCTAATCACCACCATCGTGGCCTTTTTCCGCAAGTCTAAAAACCTCCAGGGATTCGATTCGTTCATGAAGATGTTACGCGGGGAAGGACATCCGGTGAATCTTGGATTGCTGCACCCGTATCAACGCAGAGTTATCAATCACGTCGAGATAACCGTGCCACCGTTCGACGGGACTAACCCCGTCATCTACGCGGCATTGATTCACGCAGCACTGCGTTTCAATCAACCGCATCGTGCCGACGCCTGGCTTCAAGCGGCTCGGTCCACCGGATTCATGGATGATCAGGTAACGATCACTGCTTATCTGAGACACTACACGCTTCGAAAGGACTGGGAGGGTGCCATACAAGTACTCAGACGATCGCTAGCATTCATTGCATCGTCCAGCCAGCACGATGTATCACGTATCGAAAAGATAATCGTACTGATGGTGTATCTGTGTGATTCATGCCGAAAGCCCGAGGTGGCTCAATTGATCATCAACGCTGCAGTACGCAGTGGGTTCGACTGGGGAGCCGCCGAAGAGCAGACCGAGGTGGAGTCTCGGTTTGATCCGCATCTGGAGCGGTGGCGGCAAGCTGCCCAGGCTATTCCAGACACAAATCCCAACCAACTGTCCTGGGAAAAGTTCCATAGCTTTTCATCAGAGGTCGGGGCACGGTTAGACGCGCACGAGCTGCATCACAACGTCTCATCTGAGGCATTACGAGAGAGACAGGCCAACCGACTATCAGAAGATGTTCTTTACAAGACGCTTTCGGGCTACAGTGACAAGCCGATCGAGTTGACCGAGGAGGAGCGACTCTCAGCCGGGACTGACCAGGCGTCCATCAGTCGACCCGCAGAGCCATTCTTTAGCCCGATCAGTGAGCAGGATGAGAAGATCACGAGTCTCCGCAAGGAGGTCTCGCTGCTCAAGAAGATTGTCCTCCAGCTACATCAGGCTCATCTCGACGGCGGGCAGTACCTACGACACGATGTACCTGACCGTGCGCTCGACACATCGTCGTTACCCGGCGACGCTGCTTTCAAAGACGACTACGAGATGATAGAATCCGTAACGGCGAGCCCGAATCATGTCGAAGAAGATACTGACGTGTCCATTATCGGTGACTTTCGCAACCTGGTCCCTTACCCTACCAAGCTACAGGAACAGGCCGATCTGAACAAAACCTCCAACAATAACAACAACAACAATCCTCATCCTCACCCCTCTCTCGATCCATCGAATCCACCTACTCTGAGCCGGAAACTGCAATACGCTTGACCATGCACTAAATATACAAAAAAAAAGAAAAAATGTAATTATATTTCATCACAGCCAGCACTGTCACTGACAGCCAAATACCCTTTTTTTGCATTATAAAGCATGATACCTAGATATCTAGATCGGCGCAAGAGACCCTTGACGAGCTTCATTTGGGGGGGGTATGATTCGATCTGTATTATCTACTTCCACTGATCTAGTATAGAGAAATGAAAGATCTTGGTTAATGAAAGGAACGAAAGTATAAGACTAGGACAAAAAGACATTTTTCGATTTGATCATGACGGACTTTATGTGCGGAAAATGGCTGATATCTTAAATTCTAATCAAGGACAATATTGGTGCACATGAATGTAATCGGAGAGCATGGGTCTATAGGTAGGTAGCAAAGAGATTCTAGTCTATCTTCGTCGTCCGGAATCACTGCGCATCTTCTCCTTTCGTGACAGCCTCTCGGCGGCACGAAGCAGGGCGGATTTGATCTCACGGTTTTCAAACGAGGGGATATGATAGTAGGCCGGGGCGATGTCCTAAACAACTTGTTAGCGGGGGAAACTTTTCTCGGGCATGGAAGAGATGGGAAAAAAAAAGAAAAAAAAAAAAAAACTCACCAATAGCCATTCGGGCTTGACAGCCGTCACTGTGCGGATGTAGTTTTTGGTCGTGAGGACGAACTCATTGTAGAGCACCCACTCAGCATCGTGGGCGAGGACAGTGGACGGGTGCAGGAGGACGTTTTGGTTGTCCTTGACCGTCATGTACTGCGATTTGCCCTGGCTCTCCTTCTTGGCGACCTGCATGAAGAAACCTGCGCAAAGCGCGCGCCGGATGTTCTCGTAGTACTTCTTGTCTTCAAAGGGTGTTGAGATCATCTCAAGTTCCTCACGCTCCATGATCCGAAGCAGCTGAGACCGCACGTTGTCGGCGGACTGGAGCGACCGCAAGGAGAGGAAATGGTCGTGACACCACTGCCTGAGGTCCGCCTGCGCATCAGCGCTCTTGAAGGCATGGTAGACGTTGAGCATCGTCAAGTGGTCGCCATCCGGATGGGCGAAGAGATTCTTCATCTCATCGGCGCGCTTCCGTTCGCGGGCAGGTCGGACAAAGACCTGCGGCACAGAGAGCAGCGCGGTGATGGAGAGGATCTCGTTCGAACAGTAAAACTCGGGCGAGCTGATCAACATCACAGCGAGGGCAGGATCGAGGGGGAACTCTGACGCGAGACGTCCCAGAGGCGTCAGGTTGCCTTCATCGTCGAGACAAGCCAGATAGTTCAGTTCCTCCAACGCTCTCATGAGGGTCTCTGGCGCCGGGGGGTCCATCAGGTCAAAATGCACCAGGTCATCGATCCCCAGCTTCTTCAGCTCCAGGACGGTCGACGACAGGTTGGAACGGAGAATTTCCGGGTAGGTCTGGTCGATCAGCTCCTTCTTGAAGGCGCTTTCGGGATATAGGCGGAAACACTTGCCCGGGCGAGTACGACCGGCACGACCAGCTCTCTGCTGCGCGGACGCCTTGGAGATGGGGGATACCAGGAGCGACTGCACGCGGATGCGCGGGTTGTAGATATTCTGTTTGGAGAAGCCCGGGTCCACGACATACACAATACCGTCGATGGTAAGCGATGTTTCTGCGATGTTGGTGGAGATGATACACTTCCGACCAGGGCGGCCACCGGGCCGGCGGGGCGCGGGCGCGGGCTCGAAGATGCGCTGTTGCATGTGTGGCGGAAGACTACCATAAAGAGTGTAGACCTTCATAGGCCCAGCATCTGCTTCGCGCATCATCTCGTCCGCCTCGAGAGAGATTTTCCGAGCAGTATCTTCGATCTCCTCCTCACCAGTCAAGAACAGAAGGATATCGCCTTCCGGTTCTGTGGCGTGGATCTGGAGCACGGTACGAACAGCGGCCTCAACATAGTCCCTCTCCGGCTCCGGGGTATAGAAGATCTCGACAGGGTGAGTTCGCCCGGGAACAGCCAGCAGAGGGGCATCGTTGAAATACCGTTGGAACTTCTGAGCGTCCAGAGTGGCAGACATGATGATGATCTTCAAATCGGGCCGACGTTGAACCACCTCCTTGAGCAGACCCATAAGGACATCCGTGGCCATGGTACGTTCGTGAGCTTCATCCAAAATGATTGTGCTGTAGCGCGTGAGGTCGTGGTCGTGCATCGCCTCCCGCAGCAGCATACCATCGGTCATGTACTTCAGGAAGGTCTTGGGGCCGGTCATGTCCTCAAAACGGATACTGTAACCGACTTCTTCACCTAGCTTCACGTCCATCTCGGCCGCGACACGTTGAGCAACCGACATGGCGGCCACACGACGGGGCTGAGTACAGGCCACGAGTTTTCGTTGGGTATGGGGAAGGTCATCCCAGATGACGAACTGCGGGATCTGGGTGGTCTTTCCAGAACCAGTCTCACCAACAAACACCAGGATTTGAGACTGTTGGTATAACCGAAGGAACTCATCACTGTAAAGCATGACAAATTAACCCATGCCTGCCACAGTAAAAAAGGAGAAAGGATCAAGCAGCGGCTTCACTTACCGTTGGGCATGAACGGGCAGATCGCGACGAGTCTTGAGGATCGAAAAGTACTTGCTGGAGAAAGGCTCGTTGGTGAACGGGTTGGTCTCACCATCCTCGACCTTCTCGGCCTGCGCAGCGGTGGTATTATGTCTCTCGAAGCCGGCAAACGCAGAGCGTCCGTCCGCCACGCCGCTGGGAGTCTCATCGGCGTACATGTGGGCGAGGTAGGGGTTCTGCCGGGGATCCGACTCGGTCTTCTTCACCTTCTGGCGCTTGATGCGCACGCCGCCTTCGTCGGAGTCTGAATGAGCCATGGTGGCTGTGTACTGCAGGAGGGGGGTGTATCAACAGTCGTGGTGTTGCAACTGCCTCGCCGACGCCGCAGAAAAATAAAAAAGCGGCGGCCCCGATAGGAAGGTGGTCCGAGCCGCCAGAGTTTCCTATCTGCGCTCACCGCTTTGGTTCTGCCGGCAGCGAATTCCAGTCACGTGCAGTTCCCCGATCTATGCTTGCTTAGTCATCGGGCCAAAACATCTCTCCCAGGAAGGCAGTCTACGAGGTCCTTCTGTCGCAACGAGATCCCAGAGGGCTCAAGCCGGCTTGGAACCGAATCCTGGGAGATAAGAGGGGGTACTTTGGGCATTGGTATCCTCAGCACCGGTCTATATATTGCGTTGATGGTATAGAGCTCCTGTGATTGTCGAGCAATCGGATCGAGGAGACTTTCTGCCCCTCACTTGGAGCGAGAGCGAAGCAAGGCAGCCCATACCTACAGGTAACCACTAGTTATCCCTACCATCCGCTAACGCCTTGGGTAGCTGGATCTGTCAATCCTTGGGGTCTTTTCTTCTATCAGCATCTGTTCAAGACGATCAATTGCCTCAGCTTATCGCAATGAGTGATGCGGATGATTTGTTCCCCGCATTCTGCATCGGGCAACATGAGACAGATCGTGTCTTGCCCATCACGACTCAGATCGTGCAGAGGGCACATGAAAGCAATGTACGTGGCAGGTGTCTTGGCTGGGGGGACGTTTGAGCAAGACTAACGTATTCAGTATGATATGCTCACGTATCCGGTGACGACGTCGCATTTCCATACCCGCGTTCTCTCCGTGTTATCGTCTCATCTAGCGACGCTGGACAAGCCAACGCTTGATGCTAGTGGCACCATGGGCACGACGCAGAATACCAAGTTCCCTGTGATCCCTCCGTTGTCGACGGCGGACACGCATCTCAGCCCGAACGAAGCAATGAGCCAGTTGGTTGGGGTGACCAGCAGCTGGATTGATCTGTGCTCTCCGGACCCGTTGATCGCGGATCTGTCTCGGCAGGTACTCATGATGGAAGTCGCCTATGCCGCCTTCTGTGGCCTTGGATACTTACTCATTCCCGGGCCGAAGTTACATCATGGAGGCATGCACTCGGATGGCGTGGCCTACTATGCCCGAGTGATCCAAGACGCCCTGGCTACCGGCCCCTATATCCACTTCCATATCTGGCTGAAGATGGTCGACAATGTAGATCTCGAGGTCGATCAGATGGGAGACTTGGCCCCGTTGGCACGGAAGGAGTTTCTTCTAGATGCGGACAACAACGAACAGTCTCCTAAGATAGATCCGTTTGGAACTTGGGATGCCTGGGACGTCATCCGGAGAACCTGTAAATACCATTCCAGACTTGTCGTAGGTGAGACTCAATTTTTTCTCCCTTTTTCTCAGTCTTCTCTGCTTGCGAAGTCTCACTAAAGGTTTGTCTAGCACTATGTTTGCCAAAGCATCTGCCTCAGCCATCCGTTCAATCGCGATGGCACTCAGAACCGGTTCGTCTCCTCACGGTCGACGCGGGGACATTCATCAAAAACCAAAAGGGGTATCCGGTCCTTTCCAAGGGCCATCAATCCCTGATTTCCCGGCTCATGCGTCTTCGAACGCCGCCGTGGATCATCCTCTGTGACATTGGGCCCATTCCTGGCGTGGAAGGTAGCGAAGACGCCGAAGGCGACCGCGGGGCAGCGACGGCAGAGTTCCCCAGCCTGGCCCAGGCTGTGAGCTCGAATAAGAAGCACCACGATCCAACCCCTCACCTGTCATACATGCGGAACCTGCAGCAGAAACAACCGCCGCGGACAGCCATCGAACGGTTTGGCGTTGGCTACCAGGACTACCTGCAGGCCCCGCTGCAGCCGCTGACAGTGAACCTGGAGAGCATCACCTACGAGGTTTTCGAAAAGGATCCCATCAAGTATGAATGGTACGAGCGCGCGGTCGCCCAAGCCCTGACCGACTGGGCGGCGCAGAAGAAGCCGACGTCGAATCCCGATGGCCGGGTAGTCGTTGCCGTCGTCGGCGCCGGGCGAGGGCCCCTGGTGACCCGCGCGCTGCGCGCCAGCGCGCAGACAGGCGTCGCCATTGACATCTGGGTAGTGGAGAAGAACCAGAACGCGTTTGTGCTGCTGCAGCGACACAACCAGACTATCTGGGAGGGCAAGGTGAACCTGGTACATTCGGACATGCGCAGCTGGAGGGGCCCAGAAAGAAAGCAAGCCCCAAACAACGAAGAAGGAGAAACAACCCCTACCACGCATTCTACCGTCGACATCCTCATCTCCGAGCTGCTAGGATCCTTTGCCGACAACGAGCTTTCACCGGAATGCCTGGACGGCGTGACGCATCTGCTGCATCCGACGCATGGAATCTCCATCCCAGCCTCATACACGGCGCATCTGAGCCCGATCTCCGCGCCGAAGCTCCACGCGGACGTCATGTCGCAGTCTGTGTCGAACCCTGCAGCGCCCGAGACACCCTACGTGGTGATGCTGCACGCGATAGACTTTCTCAGCACCAACGCCAGCACCAACACCAGTACCAATCCCCCCAGCGACCCCGTCCCCCTGATCCAGACAGCCTGGCAATTCGCCCATCCAAACCGCGACATCCCCGCGCCATCCCATCACAGCCTCTCGAACAGCCACAACGTCCGACACACACGCCTGGTGTTTCCCTGTCCGGACCGGGGCGTGTGCCACGGTCTAGCAGGCTACTTCGAGACAGTCCTCTACAAGAATGTAGAACTCTCGACCAACCCGGTCACCATGGAGGCCAAGAGTGCCAACATGATCAGCTGGTTTCCAATCTATTTCCCATTAAAGGTACTTCACCTTCTTCAAAGTCAACAAGTGGTCTTTTCTAACCTTTTTTTAGAACCCGCTCAATGTCCCCGACAACAGCGAGGTGATAGTCACCATGTTCCGACAAACGGACAACCGAAAAGTCTGGTACGAGTGGATGGTTGAGGTGCGGTGCGGCAAGATGCGCGTGGGGATAAGCGATTTGCACTCGAGCATCAAGGAAGGGTGTTTGATGTAGTTTTAGTTTTGGTTCTAACTTGAAAAAAAAAAAAATGATTTATCCGATTGAATGATTGAATATATATTCCTACATCAACTTATCCAAGTGCCGGATTTATATGCAAATGGTCCGTCCGCACCGCGGTATCCAAAACAGGAATGTTCATCGTCTCTTTCAGCCGGGCTTCCTCCTGCGAGGAGATGGGTCCCGGGCGCGGCGACACCGCGGGGGTTATTCCCTTGCTCCCGCTTTCTGTGAGGCCCTTACGGATGGCTAGGACGGAGTCGACGATGACGGCGTCGATGCCTTCAGCGACTTGCAACTGTGATTTTGTTAGTAAACACAAACAAGAAGAGAGAGAGAGAGAGAGAGAGAGAGATCTTACCTTTACGTTTGAAGGTTCGTTGTTCATAGCCCCATACGAGACACAGACAAGACCCGACTCTTTAACAACGCGAACAAGACGCGGGCACAAGACCAGCGGTTCCGCCTGGGAGACGATCCCCAGCAGGTTCCAGCGCGAGGCGAAGCGGATGGCTTCCTGCAGGGAGGAAGCGCGGATATCGCCCACGGGGGAAGCGCCCGAGTCCGTGAGGAAGAGGACCGGAATCGAAGGCTGCTTAAAGGCGAGCAGGAGGCAGATGTCCGGGTTGAAGCTGGAGAAGATCATGTTCCGGTCCGAGCCGAGGGTATATACCATTTTCAAGACTGTGTCGACAAACGAGTTGAGCTCGACGGCGTACGTGTCCATCTCCTCCTCCTCGCTCTCGTGGAGCATCGGGTATTCTACACACACACACACACACACCCTCAGATTAGCTGGTCCTTTGGTTGTAAGGAGTCACTCACTCATTTCGATATTGAATCCCACCGATTTCGGCAGCTTCTGGAACAGTTCCTCCAACGTCGCAAAGGGGGCTTGGATATGGTTGCCCCGGCTGTTGCCCTTGAATCCCTTTTTCTTGAAATCGCGCGTGTGCTTGATCCGCTCGTTGAGTTCCGATGGGTCGTACTCGGAGCCTCCGACGGACATGGCCCGCTGGCGCTGTGCTGCAATACTACCACCACCAGCGCTAGTAGAGGTGGTAGGAGTGGCAACGTCAGGAAAAGCACTACTCGTCGTCTGCAGACGCGGCGGCGAGCCCGCGCGCAGCCCCTTCCAGGCCCGGTGGTCGCCCAGTTGCAGAAACTGCTCGAGCGTGAGGGTATGGACCGGGGCATCGATGCCGGTCTCGCTGACGAGGAAATCGTGGTAGATGACCGGGACGTGGTCCTTGGTCAGTTGGACATCGAACTCGACGTACGAAGCGCCGAGGTTGGCGGCCGCAATGAAGGACTGGACGGTATTCTCGCCCAGCTGCAGGGACTTGCGGCTGGCGATATTCTTGCCGAGACCACGGTGGCCGATGACCATCGTGTCGCTCATGCGGCGCCAGTAGGTGTGGTCGCTTGTGATGGACAGATTCGGGTGGTGGAAGGGGGTGATGATGAGGAAGTTAAAGGTCACCGACCCGATGACTTCGAGCGTGTTGGCCGCCACCACGGCCACGGTCGAGTCGCCCTTGAGATTGATGCGGTGCGAGCCGACGGAGGGCTTGACGCTCGAGAGCAGCGCGACGCCGCGCCCGACGATCTTGTCGCGCGAGCCGGCGTACGTGGGGACAAGATCGAAGAGCAGACGCACCTTGCTCGCATCCGCCGCGTGGAAGACAATCGGCTCCGTGCAGATGTTCTCGTGGATGGGCAGGTCGATCACCTCGGGCTCGCCGTGCGCCCCGCTCGCCGAGACCACCAGCGAGAGCGCCGTGTCCAGCTGCGTCGAGTGCGCGCTCGCAAAGGGGATCCGGTCCAGGTTGACCGTCTCGGTCGGCTTCCGCATGTCCATCGTGCCCAGGCTGACGAGAATCATGGTTTCGTCGGTAAGATACCGATGTCCAAAAGTCTTAATAGGCTCGGTCCGTGGAGCGCCAGCACCGCCAGAACTCGCATTCGAGGCCGACGTGGTGGACCGGCGCTCGATCAGCGAAGATTGGGAGGCGGGCGAGGAAGCCAGAGCGGTAGCAGCAGCAGCAGCAGCAGTAGTAGTAGTAGTAGTAGTAGTAGGCGACACAGCTGACGGTGGGAGTGGCACCGGGATCACTTGCTCAGGATCGGCCGCCTCAGGCTCCGGGGTGACCTCGGCCAGACGACGGGCGATGTCGAGATGGCCGCGAAGGGCGGCATGTTCCTTGGCGGTCCAGCCGGAGGAGTCGGGACGGGTGAGATCGGCACCGAACTCGATCAGCAGGTTGACCACGCCGAGGGAGCCGTCGACGCAGGCCGTAAACAGCGGGGTCCACGAGTAGGTGTGCTCGGCCAGCTCCGGGTCTGCGCGCTGGGCAGCGGAGCCGTGCAGCAGGATGCGGGCGCAGCGATCGCGAGCGAAACGGGCGGCGATGTGCAGGGCGGTTTCGCCCTGTTCATCCTGGTAATTGACATCTACGCCGGCGTCCACCAGCAGCTGGACAATGTCGACGAAGTTGGCCTTGATGGCCAGGGCGAGGACAACGCTCGACTTGGAGATGTCATGGCGGATGGTCACTTGGTCCTTGGTGGTCGGATCATGCCAGTGCTCAGCCTCCAGCAGAGCTTGGGTGGTGAGCGGATGGCCGCCGACGACAGCCAGGTGGAGGGGCGCCCAACCCTCTGAATCTTGCCAGGCGGGTCCGTCAATGCCGCCGCTGACGTCGAACAGACCCCAGGCCTGCAGGTGTTGGATGACGATCTCGCAGACGATGCGGAAGCCGTACTGGGCGGCGTAGTGCAGCGGGGTGCGGTTGGAGATGTCCTTGGCAAGCAGGGCGGTGCGTTGGTGCGGGCGCAGCTGGTCGAGCAGGTGCTGCAGCAGGGCGACGGCGGGATCCTCGCGGCTCAGCAGCTTGGGCTGGTGCGACTCCTGGAGGATGGGGCGAGGGGGCAGCAGGGTCGGCGGAGCGGCGGGGATGATGTAGTTGGCCGTCTCGGCGGCGGTGGCGGTCGTCGAGGAGCCGGAGAGGTTGATGAGACCGGGTTCGGCGGAGGGCTCGGAGTCGGTGGTGGTCTGGGAGCGGCCGATGGAGATGACGAGACGGTGGATACAGTTGCGCTTGTTGATGTCATCTTCCTCCTGCAGATCATTCTCGATGGGCGCCAGCAAGACGGGGATGCAGGCGAGAGCCCGACGAGAGATGGCACGCTGCAGCAGGCTCCGGAGGGCCTGCTGGAAGCTGCGGGCGGCAGTCTGCTGCTGGTCGTCGTCGGTGATGGCGTCGGCGGCGGCAGTGGTGGTGGTGGTGGTGGTGGTGCCGAGGGCAGCGCGGACCTCCTCCAACAGCTCCAATAGGACATGAACATCATCGGTCTGCAAGGCACGGTCGACGGCAACGAGCAGACTTTCAGGCAGATTGAGATTTGGACGGCCGGCGCCACCTTTCGTCAGAGATCGGGTGGAGCGGACGGAGGCGGTCTCGTCGGCGGCGTCCGGGTCGCCGACGGAGGAGATCCAGTCGCTGAGACGTTTGATGGTATCGAAGACGCCCGTACTGGAGGCAAAGGGGGTAGGATCGACTTTTGTCTCGAGATAGCGTTTCTGGGCGTTGGTGCCGACCTTCTTGTCGAGCTTCTTGGTGATCTTGACGAAGCCCCGACGGTTCACCTCGGCGTAGTACTGCAGATTGCGCATCTGACCGCGCAGCTCCACGAGGGCATTGAACAGGTCCTTGGCGTCCTCGATTTCCAGCCGCTCGCCGGCCTGCATTGTCACGCCGTAGCGGTCCTCGAGCAATTTGTAGCGGCGGGTGAAGTCGGCGAGTTTTTTGTTATAGAAATGGTCGACATCTTCGACGTTGCGGTCGAGGGCATAGAAGAAGCCTATTCATTAATAACTTGAACAGAGGAGAATAGAAAGAACAAATTAAAAGAAGAGAAGAAAAAAGAGAAAAAGAAGAGAAGAAAGAAGAGAAGAAAGGGGAGAAAAACTCACCGGCCAAGTCTGGCTCATGTCCCGCCTTGACATCGCCGGCGGCCAACTTGATGAGCTTCTTGAGAGCCTTGTACTTGATGTACGACGTGCTCCACTCCGGCACGACGTTACGGGGGAGATTATGGCCGAACTTCATGGTGGTTCTAATGATTTTATCGGTTTGTATTTATGTGAGGTGAGGCAAGAATCAACACAATGGAGGTTAAGGAGATCGAGAGTCGGTGAGGGCGAGGGTTGGCGAGGTTCAACGCAGACGAAGGGAGGCGGGAGAGGAGACGAGGAAAAGAGAGAGTCGAGATGAGGGCGCCATGGGTTGATCTGATGAATATGAAGGGTAAATCTGTGGTGTACAGAGAAAGAAGAGAGAGAGAAGAGAAGAAGAGGAGGAGAGGAGGAGAGGAGGAGAGAGTGGAATCAGTGGGACTGAATGAACGTGGGAGCAGCCTCGGCTATGATTTGCGGAAGAGACCCAGACTGTTCAATTCAGTCAAAAGTGATTAAGTAAGAAAGAGTGAATGTCTGGATTATTCTCTTTCTTTTATTATTACCAGGTCGGAGGCATATTCTCAGGGGTTTGTGTCTTGTACTCTATCATGTATACTCCGTACGGCGTATTGGTGAACAGGGGTATGCATTAGGGTATTATAAGTACCTAGTGTGATAAGGTAAACAGTTATTTACTGAATACTAGAGAAGAAGAAAAGAAGAAGAATAGCAGCTAGTATTAGTAAACATAAGTCATTCTATTCATCTATCATAACTCCCAACACCCCGCTGACCAGCCGAAGAAAGACATAATTAGAAAGAAGGAGATAAAAGAAAGAGAAAAGGAGCAAATTGGAAGAGATCACTCAATCAAAGGCCGCAAAGCATCCACACCTGCCTGGAGGACCGCCGGATTCCTCGTCCGCTGCAGACAGGTGCGCAGGATATCAACCCCGCCCGCAAGGCGAACCGCCTGGCGTGCGCGGGAACCGATATCCCCCCCCGCGGTGCAGGTCAGGTTCCGCACGCACACGACACCACGGTGCGCGAGGTCGGAGTCCTCGTCGGCGCAGAGGGCGAGGAGCAGCTCGACCCCGCGGGGGCGCTCCAGCACGGCCGCCACCGCGGCGTCGAACTCGGTCAGCATCGCCAGCGCGCCGCCGGCGGCCTTGCGCGTCGCGGCGTCCTCCACGTCCGTCAGGGCGAGGAGGATGTGCAGGCGCTGCGCGGCGCGCTTCGACCCGTCAGCGAACTGCACGATCCCGGCCTCGCTGGTCATCAGATTGCAGACTAGCTCGCACGCGGCACGTTGGACCAGCGTGTGCCGCGAGAGGAGCAGATCTTCGACCGTCGCCCAGGCCTGTCGCACAATCGCTGCCGCTGCCGTCTCGTCCGGGTACGACGCAAGGTTCGTCAGAGCGAGCAGGCTCTCGAAGACGGGGAGCAGGTCGCGCGATTGTTCGGCAAATACGGCGCCATTCCCGTTACCACTACCACTAGCACTAGCACTACTACCCTGCGAGGCTAGCAACGAAACCAAAGGACGGATCGCCGACGTGATCGGGGGAAACCCCGAGGGCGGGAAGACGTGCATCGGATTGACCGAGATGAGGATGCGGGCCAGTGCATGCGCCGCTGCGGCATTCACGGGAGCTGCTGCAGCAGCAGCAGCAGCGGCAGTAACGTTGCCTACAGGGGCTGCGCCAGTAGTAGTCTTGATAGTAGCCAGGGTGACGAGCAACCTGACGGCGCCCTGTTGGGCGAGGGTGCCCCGCGTGGCCCGGTTACGAGAGAGTGCCAGTAGGACCTTGCTGACCAGGTCTTGGATGGAGGGCAGTAGAGGGGACTTGGCGCACTCGACGAACAACGGCATGACGCCCGCATCGACCACCGCCTGGCAGCGTGACAAGACGTGGTCGTCGTCGTCGAGGGGATCCGTTATGCCGCCGCCCGGCCCGTTGGCATTTGCGTACGACTTGAGCTGCGACATCTTCTTCTGCTCCTCGGAGAGCGCGGGCAGGAAGGCAGTCACGTTCAGCAGGATCATCAGACCGCCATAGAGCACCGACGAGTCGGTCAGGTTCGCCTGCATCGCGGCAATCAGGTCGCCCAGAAAGCCCGCATCCTGCACCAACTGCTCCTTGACGGTCGGTTTAATGGATGAATAGGCCAAGCCCTCGATCGCATGGTGGAGATTCTCGACCGTGACCTTTTTGTTGCGCCGCGACATCAGTCCCTTGAATCGTTCAACCAGCTCTGGAACACTGTCTTCCTCCAGCACCTTACCGTGATTAGGGTCGGAGGAGGCGGCGGTGGTGCCCTGATCCTGCGGGGAAGCGCGCAGCTTGGCTAGCACGACGGCAGCCAGCTCGGAGCTCGAGTCACAGCCATTGGTGAGTAGATGGGACAACCAGTCGGAGAAGTCGCGGGAGACGGCCTGGCGGCACGTGCGATCGATGCAGGCGGCGTTGAGCAGTTCTAGCACCGTCTCCTCGACGCGGCGGCTCTTGGCGGCGCGGGAGGCGAGCGGGCGCAGAGACTGGAGGAGGCTGTCGGACAGGAACAGAGCGGCGGTGACGGAGGGGGCGACGGGGAAGACGGCGGTGAGGGCGGAGAAGGCGATGATGAGGTCGTCGTTGCGGCCCTTGGCGATGCGGGCGGCGAGTAGATGGGAGAGGCGCTGCTCGCCGGACTCCTTGGCGGCGTCGAGGTACTTGGCGACAGCCAGGGTGGCCTGGCTGCGCACCTCGAGCGGCAGGCGGCTGTCGCACGAGCAGAGGATGACGTCGAGACCTTCGTCATCGACGAGATGCTGCAGCTTGGCAGCGTCGACGGCCAGCAGGCGGGTGATGCCCTTGAGCGAGCGACCGTCGAGGTCGTGGCCGGATTCCATCAATTTGGCGATGAACAGCTGGAACAGCTCGCTCTCGCAGTGGGCGCGATCGTCGTCGGAGGGCCAGACGGAGGGGTCGAGGACGACGGTATCCAGACAGACGGCGGCGCCATCGCCGCGGTCGTAGATCTCATCAAAAAACGCCGTGACCGAGGCCAGCAGCTGAGTAGCAAAGTATTTGCGCACGCTGGCGTTCTGCCGGACGAGACCCGAGATGATCTCGTCCTGGTGGGCGGATAGGGTGGCCGGGTCGTGGGCCAGTAGCAGCTGCAGACACTCGAGAGCGACATCTTCCGGGGGTTTCAACCCATCTGTGCGCAGATAGCGCACCGCATCCTTGCCCGCTTCCTCATCAAGGCCGGCGGCATATCGCCGACAGCGATCGAGCAGATGGTGGCTCCCCTGTTCCTCCTGGCGTACTTTGTCGAACGCGGACCGAACCTCCGGGTTATGGGGAGCGAGCGAAATAGCTTCACGGATATTGCGAGCAGCGGCCTAAACGAATATAGATCAGCAATGAGATCAATATATATATGTATATATATATATATATATATATATATATATATATTTATGTGAATGTAAGAACACACCTCTCGGTGACCGGCGTCTCCCAGCTCAACCGCCTCTCGGGCCAGATGTACGGCACGCTCTTCGTTGGTCGTGACCATTCCGGCAGTAGAATCGATTTCGAATAGGGTATCAAAGTCGTCAAAGGTCCTCAATCGGAAGCAATCAGATCAGATCTCAACCCACGACCACCGGTACGACGGTCGAGAGAGCAGACAAGCGTGTAGTCATGGAGAGAGAGAGAGGAGAGAGAGGAGAGAGAAGGACGAGGGAGGGTGAACAGAGAGGGTGAACAGAGAGCAATAAGTAGAGAGAGATGAATAAAGAAGAAAGGAAAAGAAAATAAAATAAATAAGGCGAGCTGCCAGACAGGATCGGTCGGGTTGCTTGTCTTTGAGTCTTTGACAGCTGTGCAGGATAGATCCAGATGAAAGGCGAGGGTGGCCAGGATATTTTTTGGTCGGGGACGGACCCCTCCACGCACGGCCGAGTATAGTAGGTACTATAGACAGGTATAGTTAGTGACTGATAAATAACAGTAATAACCAATAACCAGTTATTAGTATGTATTAAGACTATATCTGTTAATATTGGTAGTTATTGGCATATCTACTCTATAAGATAATTCATACTACAGTATTCAGTCAGCTTATTACTCCCTAACCACTCGATCTGTTCTTGTCTTGTCTTCTGTTTATCCTCTCTACTAAATAACTACTGCGTTTCTTATCTTCTACTCTGAATATTATCTGGGCCACATTGCAGCGTATGGATTGTATCCAACCACGGCAGCCCGCGGCATCACGTTGCCACTTCCAGGAAGGTCGAGGACACCGTCTATGCCAGGGATGAGCTACTCCGTTAGTCTGTACAACCTTGGAAGTGTCCTTCTCTTCTTTGTCCCCCATGGATCTATCATAAGATTAGCTGAGCTAGTTCAGATTTAAATCGAGAAGACTTGTTCTCCTGCTAAGGACTGGTAGACTCTCTCTGGTAGACTCAAGACTCAGACTGCCAGGCGTAAAGACGGAGGACTCCGTAAGTAATAAAGCTTTGTCTATCAGATGGGATCGATTGGCTCGAGCTTTGACGCTAGGTCTATTAGGGTTAGTTGGGCGGGACCCTTCAATAATGGATGACTAATACAGTCCATTCACGTGATGTCACATGGGCCAGTGACCAATTAGGAATAGTTAGTTAATTCTCATACCGCTGACTAACACCTTCATTGCGATAACAATTTATCGTTACTCCGTACTCACGTCAGACTCTAAAGACAAGAGCTCGGCAAGTACTAGTCGAGGAAAAAGCTACAGTATGATTCAATCATAACACACTCCCACCACAATGAACGCCGTCGATGCGACAGAGCACTACGAAGCCAGGGCTGATGGTATTACTTGACTACTTCTCCAAAGCTTCTTCCCTATCCAGCCAAGGTACTGATTTGCAGACCCCAGTCCATCCCTGTTAACCATCATCCTCGACACGAACCCGCACGCCTGGGCTACCCTCGAGGACTCCCTCCCCTTGGCCACCGCCGTCGCCAACCTGCTCGTCTTCATCGATGCCCATCTAGCCTGTAACTACGCCAACGAGGTGGCTGTCGTAGCCTCTCATACCCACAAGGCTGCGTGGTTGTATCCTTCGCACGAACAACAACAACAACAAGAACAACAACAACAACAACCCCACCAGAATGCCCCCAAACATATCCGGACAGACGGTGATGGAGATGTCGCCATGAAGGGAGAAACACAGGGGAAAGCTCAGCCCGTCAACAAGTACCGTCCGTTCCGTCTTGTCGAGGAACAGGTCACTCGGAACCTGCGCCACTTGCTCGAGTCCACCGATCTGGCAGATGTAAAGGCCTCCTCCTCGACCATGATGGCCGGTGCCTTGACTCTCGCCCTGAGCCATATTAATCGGCGAGGTATCGCTTGGGCGGACGCCCATGGTGGCGATTTGGATACCGCTCAGGAGGGTGCAAGCAGTACTCGACTTAAAGATTCTGCCACTTCTACTTCTACTTCTTCTACTGGTGAAGGCCTACAGTCACGCATCCTGGTCCTCTCGGTCAGCAGCTCGACCGACTCCGCCCATCAGTACATCCCCATCATGAACGCCATCTTTGCCTGCCAGCGCCTCCACATCCCCATCGACATCTGTAAGCTGCGAGGCGATGCCGTTTTTCTGCAGCAGGCCGCAGATGCCACCCGCGGCATCTACATGGCCCTCGCCCATCCAAGCGGCCTCCTCCAGTACCTCCTCATGGCTTTCCTCCCGGACCAGCGCTCCCGCCGCCATCTCGTCCTCCCCACCCGCGTCGACGTCGACTTTCGCGCCGCCTGCTTCTGCCACCGCCGCGTCGTCGACATCGGCTTCGTCTGCTCCATCTGCCTCAGCATCTTCTGCGAACCCCCGGAAAACGGTGACTGTCTCACCTGCGGCACCCGCCTCGACCTCGCAGACTACGGCACCAAGCCCGCCGTCCTCGCTCGCAAAAAGAAGAAGAAGAAGCTTCGTCCAAACGGTGCCGCCGCCGCAGACACCCCAACACCGGTCGGTACGCCTGGGCCCTGAACCGTGAAAAGGGAGCAGCTCTTCAAAACCACCGCTCGGTAAAACAAAAAAAATAGATTCGCAATATGCCTTGATTTGCTAGGTCAGAGGATCTAAACATGGACACGTCCAAATATCAACCTGGGCATTCACACGACCAACCCCTTGCCACCGACAGTTTCCAAAAGGCTGGCTTCTAGTTTTGCCTCGTTTCCAGAACAGGACAGGATTACAGCCCCCATGCATATCAGGATGAGGGTAGAAGAAAGATCCGCAGAATGCCGCAAAGTGCGTCATAAACCTAGTCGGTCCAGGGTCACAACTTAGGTAAAAGAATTAGGCATAGTTAGGATTACCCCTAGCCCTCCGCCTCCCATTCTCCGGTCACATTTCGGCAGCTCTGTATTTACGACTAGCCATTTAGTCAGAAACATTCCGCCGTGATCTTGATAATCATAAATAAAAAGTTTATACCTACCTCTTAAGCCGGTACGCACGTCCGCCCTGAGCAATAGTGCCAGACCCGTTGCTCCGAGACATGACACATGCTGGCTGGCTGTCTTCGCTGCTCATCGAAGCAAGCGCCTAATGAGATTCTTAGCAATGCATTCAATCTTTTGATCCAACAAGGCCATCGAAAAAAGAAAAGAGCTTACAAAAGAGTCAGTATTATGCCCAAAGTAAAGGAACACTCCATCGTTTGTCTTCTTGACAGCCATCAATCCAATCGCAGCTGGGCATGGACTGCTCCTAACACCAGGGTGGCCCATGAAGTCTGTCGCGATCATGTCAAAGATCACCTCCTCTTCCATGGCCTCCTCCTGTGCACCACTGCTGGTCCTTTTGGTAGGATGGTATATGCGTGATGCACAAGTACTGGCAGCCAAGGTAGTGGCAATATGCTCTCCTGTTCCAGAAGTGACGACAGCAACAGAGGTCCCGTCGGGGTCATTGGGATCTACGGGAATCACTGTTGTTCCAATGCCCACCAATGCGGCAGGACCGACTCGTCCACGATGTTTCATACCGATTCCGCCTGATGACGATCCCGCAGCGATGTTCCCATAGCAGTCAATAGCAATGGCGCCAACGGTGTCGGTGATGTTGTCGGCGTTGGCATCGTTGCTAGCATCTGGATTAAGACGATGTGCGGTTCTGCTGCTGCGTGAATTTGCATGCCGAAGGAACTCTTCCACTCCATCGCTATATTTGACTTCGCTAACGCTAGTTTGGGATTTTTCCTGGATAGGCGTGCTGCTCTGCATATCTCCAGACACGGGCTGATCTATTGGGGAGCTGTGCTGCATGCTGTTAGGGGATGCAAGGAGTAGACTTGGGTTGAGAGTGACGGGTCGGCGAAGGAACCAACTCCGGTAGTCCTCTGGCTGTTTTTCCTGGAGATCAATCGATGCGATCTCCTGCTGCCAGCGGGTCCAACGTTCCTTGGATGGTGGAGAGATCAAAGCATCCGGAGGCAACACCACGAGCCCATTATCGTATGCGAAATCCGTTGCGCCTGGTCCGACAAGGAAATTGGGGGGAACTCTCTGTAGCGACAGTGGCTTTGACGATGTCTCCAGGATCACCCTAGCCAACGAGATAGGATTTTTCACCACTGTTTTTTTCTCAGCCAAAAGAGACAGACATTAGGGAACATGAGTTGACGTCGTGTTGTACTTACAGGTGACTGCTCCAGCAGCACCGCTTCTACCCATGTGGTCAACTAGCGTTGCATCGCATTCGACAGCACCCTGCAGTGTCAGGTTACTGCCATAGCCGGCATTCGTGATTTCTGTATCTTCTAGCAGCATAATCGCAATCTCCACGGCGTCAACCGCAGTGCCTCCATTCCGTAGCAGGGCCATGGCCACTCGTGCAGCACTTCTGACTGTTAGAGGCTTTCGTAGAATCATAATCAAGACAGAACTGCAAAACTTCTTTCTGATAAAGCAGGACACCTTACTTTTCGCAGGCTTCGAGATGGATTCTCTCATTCTGGAAGCTATGATACCCTGCCCCAGCATGCACAAAGATGGTGGCGACATGACTGGAGCCTTTAGGAGGGCCCATCGTGGCAAGATTATGCTGGTCGCTATCTGATATGCTTCAATAAAGGAATAGCGGACTGGATTGTGTTGTAATATTACCGTTAGAGCAACAGGTAAAGAAACGGTCATATGTCATGGAAAGACTACCTCTACCAGAGCTCCTTGGGACAACTGAGAATTTCACGAGGACATCAGGGCCAGCATGGCGCAGCAAGCAAACTATTTTCTCTGTCTGTCTTCAGGATGGAGATCAGAGCAGCTATTGGCGAGAGAAAGCAAACACGTAAGGGCGACCCTCGCGACTCTGTCAACCACACGCACAGAGACACGACGACGCGTTGGGTCAGTGCCAACGTCCTGTCCCAGCTAAGAATACCTCTAGGGCTAAGAATGATCTTCTGGAAAGAGAAAGGAAGGATACGAAGGAAGAATACCGCGAGTGAGCGAGTGGAAAACAGTAGGAAAGGCTGAACGATCCGCCTGCAGGAGAGACACTGGAGATACTCAGCAGTCCAAAAGACGAGGTGGTTTGGCGTACCTGCCAGATTGGGTCTGTTTTAGTTTTGAGGAAGGCACGACTGAATATATATGCCTCAGGAATATGGCCACCAACACTTAACTGTTTCTGGCATCCAGCACACCGTGAATCCCGTTTAGAAGACCATTGTTACGCTTAGCTACCCCCCCCCCGGCCAGTCTTTCATGAGCCTATCTCTACGAGAAGCCTTCGTCGACACAGCATCAACGTGCTGGTAGTCTCTTGAGACAGTCGAGGACTAGAGTAGGGCTCGGCACATGACGTGGCTTGGCGCCTCGCCGCCTCCTGCCGACCTCCCTGACCTCGCCCAGCACGGATTACAGCATCGCTCACCGTCCACTCACCACTGTTTCCCCCCCAATTTCGACCGCCTGGCTGTTTCTGGCTCAGGAATGCTACGGGTGGTGGTTGTTTGATCTATTTGATATTTCCAACCGGCCTCAGCGTCTCCGTGATTCTGTTCTTTCTCCTTACGTCAACCCCGCATTTCCTACAGCTCAGCGCTGCCTGGTAGCTCACGATGGCGTCCCAAACACCCGCTGTTGTCATGGACAAGTAAGTGCTGTCTGCATGCAATTGTGGTTGATGAGAATGTTGCTGACGTCTCGCGCTCTCTAGCGGTACCGGTTATTCGAAACTCGGTGTGTTCCATGCCCGCGTCGATCGAGCGTTAGGCTGACGTATAATGCAGGATTCGCCGGCAACGACTCTCCCTCCTTTGTGTTTCCCACTGCAATTGCAACCAAGGCGGCTGGCGGTGGGGCGGCCTCAGCTTCTGGCCGCCCAGCTGTTGCCAACAAGCCGTCTTTCCTGGCCGGAGGCGGCGGAGCGAGTTCACACCTCTCTGCGAAACGGGGGACGGAAGATCTGGACTTCTTCATCGGCGATGAGGCCCTTGCGGCCGGCAATGGCCCGGGATACTCTGTCCACTACCCGATCCGTCACGGGCAGATCGAGAATTGGGACCACATGGAGCGATTCTGGTCGAACTCGATCTTCAAATACCTGCGTGTCGAGCCCGAGGACCACTACTTTTTGCTCACCGAACCGGTCCGCCTCAGCCCCCTACATTGTGATACATGGCGCGATACTGATTTTTCCTTTTTTTTTTTTGGTGGTAGCCTCTGAACCCCCCGGAGAACCGTGAGAATACCGCCGAGATCATGTTCGAGTCGTTCAACTGCGCCGGTTTGTACATCGCGGTGCAGGCCGTTCTTGCTCTTGCTGCTTCCTGGACCTCCTCCAAAGTGACTGACCGGTCTCTGACCGGAACGGTCATCGATTCTGGGGACGGTGTCACCCACGTTATCCCCGTGGCGGAGGGCTACGTCATTGGATCCTCGATCAAGAGTATACCCATTGCGGGTCGCGACATCACCTATTTCGTGCAGAGTCTGCTTCGCGACCGCGGTGAACCGGATAGCAGCCTGAAGACCGCCGAGAAGGTGAAGGAGGAGTACTGCTATGTCTGCCCCGATATCGTCAAGGAATTCGCTCGCTACGACCGGGAGCCCGACCGCTTCCTGAAGCATACCGTGACCTCCCCCAACGGCCGGAGTGTGAGCATCGACATTGGCTACGAACGGTTTTTGGCCCCGGAGATCTTCTTCAACCCCGAGATCTATTCGTCCGACTTCTTGACCCCGCTGCCTGTCGTCGTCGACGGGGTGATCCAGTCCTCCCCCATCGACGTCCGGAGAGGGCTCTACAAGAACATTGTCCTATCCGGCGGCTCCACCCTGTACAAGGATTTCGGCCGCCGGCTGCAGCGTGATATCCGCCACCTGGTGGATGCCCGCATTCGTGCATCCGAGGCCCGCAGCGGTGGTGCCCGCAGCGGCGGCTTGGATGTCGCGGTCGTCACGCACAAGCGGCAGAGACACGGCCCGTGGTTCGGCGGCAGCTTGCTGGGCCAGACTCCCGAGTTCCGCAGCTACTGCCATACCAAGGCCGAGTACGATGAGATCGGCCCCAGCATTGTTCGGAGATTTGCCTTGCTTGGCGGGCCTGGCAGCTCTTAAATACTGTTTGCGTGTCTATTCAATCCACGGCCTCTTTTACTGTTACTGTAGATAGTTTTAAGTGACAAATCAACAGATCTATGCATTCCTATTGAACAGATATATTAAGACAGATAACTTTTTACTACGTAGAAACCTTATTCAGAACGGCCACCCCCTCGACATGCCCTGTCTGCGGGAAGAAATCGAAGCCGCGGATATTCTCGATCTCATAACGGACCTTTGTTTGCGCATCGCCCTGCACCATGACGGCGACGTCGCGGGCTTGCGTGTGGACGTTGCAGGAGACGTAGACGACCCGCCGGGGCCCATAAGCAAGAAGCTGACGGAGAAAGTCGTCGCTGCACCCTTTGCGCGGGGGGTCGATGACCAGCAGCGTCTCGTTGGCCGGGTACGGGACGTCTTTGAAGAGGACGGCAGCGTCGGCGGCGGCAAAGCCTGTGTTTGGGAGGTTGTTGGCTTTGGCGTTCTCACGGGCGGAGACGATCGAGTCGCCTGCGACATCGACACCCAGGCTCGACTTGAACAGCGGCGAGAGCGTGATGGTGAACAGGCCCGAACCCGAGTAGGCGTCCAGTAGGTACTTGATGGGCGTTGCGTTCTGGCCGTTGTTTGCCGGTAGTGCGTGCTGCCGAATATACTCTGTGAAGGGTGACAGTATCGAGTTGTTGTTCTGGAAAAAGGCACCGGCTTTGTTCGTGAAGAGGTAGTTGTCGATGTACTCCACCGACGTCGCGTTATTGTCGGTGATGCACCGCTTCTCCTCGACGTAGTCTTCCCGATCGAGGAAGATCACGTCGCCAGAGTCTATCCTCGGCGCCGCAGAGCCTGGCGTTTCTTCTGGTTCTTTCTCCACCTCTGCCTCTGCGCTGGTCTCACCATTCTTGGGTATCCGTTTCGTTGTTTCGCGCAGCAACAGCGTCGCTCCCTTGCGGAAATGGCTCAGGTTCTCAGCCACTCGCCGGCGCTCACTCTTGAGTCCGCGACGCACAATATCCGTCCCCAGCGGGCAGTCTTCGATATCCAAATCCGTGCGCCGGTTCTTCATGGTGAAGCCGATTGGGGGTGCCTCCGTCATAACCTTGTGCTCTCTGTTCCTCCGGCCGCCGGGGACCGAGAAGTGTGGCGTCAGCTTCGTGCGGTATCCGTACTGCAGCGGTGATCCAAATGTGTCGTCGATGGCAGGTACCAGCTCCGGGATCAACCCGGAGAAGTTGGCGTACGCCTTTTCGACGATCCGCTTCTTGTGCGCCAGCTGGTCCTTATACGGCATCATCTGCAACTGACACCCGGAGCAAGTCCCAAAGTATTTGCATCCGATCAACGAGTCATCTCGCTGCGGACCAGGGTCCAGCACCTTGACAAAATCCGTTAAACTGTAGCCGAGGCTTGGGTGCTGCCGCACAACCTTGACAAGCACCTTATCCCCCGGCACGGTAAAGGGCACAACGTAGACATGTCGTCCGTCCTCTGACAGCGCCAGCCCGTCGCCTGTCGACGAGAGCTCTGTGATACGCACCTCGATCTCTGTAAAAAGCTGGGGCAGCGAAGGCTTCGCAGCGCCTTCCTCCTGGTCGCTGCCGCTGTCGGACCCGGCTCCGTTCTTCTTCAACAATTGGTCGATATCGACCTGCAACACCTCATCAAACACATGTCCCTTATTCGCTTTCTCGGTCTTGGCCTTCTTGGGTCTCCTGGCCTCCAGCTTCGGTTTCTCTGACGTACTCGACATATTCTTTGCGGCGGAGGAGGGCGCTCTGCACAGCGGGTGTAGGGCCACGGGGGAGGCGACAGCAGACGGACGCCAGACACTAGACGGCAGAGAAATCGCCAAACGGTACGGTCGCAAGCTCACAAACGGTCTCAGTCGTCCCACGCAGAACATGGAGGCTCACGGCAGAACAGCGCAGGATAATTTTGTGGTGGTTGTTGGGTCAGGGCAAAAACGCGGCTGCGGATTGGCTCGTTGGGCCAGCGCTGAGAATTTCGCTCCGCCTGCCGCCTGCAGTCTTGTTTCCACCTCCTGCCCGGGAGTCTCGAGAGCCACCGTTTCGCCTGTTCCGTTGAGTCCTGGTCGAGGAGTTTCCAGGCATCGTTTTTTCACTTTTTCTTTTCATAATGAACGTCTCACGCCCGGCACGATGCGTGTTTTGCAGTTTCTCGCGCGCCGCGGCGCCCGGGGCTCGCGTGCCTCGCCGTCAGTTCCACCTGTCCCCTGTGCACTGGGCCGAGTCGAAGGCGCCCAAGGCGGGTGTCAGGGGCCCTGAGGGGAAGACGCTGAAGCAGATTACTCAGAACATGAAGGAGGGGGATTTCAAGGCGTACACCAGCGAAGAGAAGGAGGCCCTGGCGAAGCACTACACGCCGGAGCAGCTTGCGGCCATTGAGACGGGTGAGGCGGCCATCAGCCCGCAGGATCTGGCGGAGCAGTTTGCCATTCGGAAGGACCAGATGAAGCTGCGGTACCTGGACGACCTCTCGGTGATTGAGCCTGGGGTGGACAAGCATATCCGGGCCCCCGAATCCAACTCCGACCCCCACGCGCGCTTGAAGACTGAGGAGGAGTTGCTGGAGGACTTTTCTCGTTTCTTTGCCGAAATGCCCCCCGATGCCACAGCGGTGGATTGGGTGCGGTTTGCCGAGAATATGAGGGTGACCGTGGGCAAGGAGGAGAGCGAGCTGAACCCGCACTCGGTGCTGATCCCTAGTCTGTTCGCTCCGGGCGAGAGTCTGTCCCAGGACCCGCAGCCCGAGAAGGCGGCCACAAAGCTGGAAAACAAGCCGCAGGAGTCGGAGGAGGCGATGGAGGCCCTGAAGCGGCTCCGCCTGGCGACCGGCTACTCGACCGCCCAGATCCGGGGCCTGAAGCTGAAGACGCTCGTCCAACACTCCGTCGTTAACCAGACCCGTCTCGGTAAGGTCCGGCGCATGTACTGCCTGTCTATTGCGGGCAACGGCAATGGTCTGCTGGGCATCGGCGAGGCCAAGTCCGAGGAAGCCACCGATGCCTCGATGCAGTCGATACACCGTGCCATTCGCAACATGCAGCCCATCACTCGCTATGAGAACCGCACCATCTACGGCGATGTCAAGGGCAAGGTTGGAGCCGTGGAGCTTACACTGATGACTCGCCCGCCTGGTATGACCCCGTGCCTTTCTCTCTCTTTCTCTCTTTTCAAGTCCTCGCTAACTGTTCAGGCTTCGGTCTTCGCTGTCAACACCTTATCTTCGAAATGTGCCGCGCCGCCGGTATCCACGATCTCGCCGCCCGCGTTACCCGCTCACGAAACCCGATGAACACGGTCAAGGCCGCATACCAGGCGCTGATGGCCCAGCGCAACCCGGAGGATGTTGCGCGTGCACGCGGCAAGAAGCTGGTGGATGTGCGCAAGGTGTACTACGCCGGGAGGACCTAATTTTCTTCAAAATCCCATCTAGATTGTCTTGTCTTTCTCGACACATGGCCGTCTAGTACTGTATCAGTACTTACTCATATCTGGATCATGCGTGAGCGTGTATATATTCGTTATCTGTATTCTAGCACCGGTTCTCTATAATTCGTAGTCTCCATGACTTTGTATTCACTTTTTTTTCCCCCTTAATTTTAAAACAAATTCCTTGATATACATAACTCATTAGATGCCCGCATCTACAGAGTATACCCCGACTCCTCGAGATTCTCATTCTCATTCCCATTCTCATGGTTATTCTCCCCCGTTTGACCCTGTTCACTCTCGTTCCAAATCTGCTGTTGAAGGACAATACTGTACACGCTCGCCTTGAGGAGCGTGCATACCGTCGCGGTCTTGCGTTCGAGTAATCGGAGTCCGTCGAGGGTGAGTGTTGAGGGACTGCCCGCCAGAGAGGACAGTTTATCAGATAACTAAAATAGAAACACATTAGGGCGACGCTATTGACAGATCAGAATTGTGCCTCGATTACCTTGTTGACGTTGCTAAGCAGGCGCGTGTACTCGTCCAACACCTCTTGTTCAAGGGGCGAGACGAGCGGGTTGGAGAGAAGGAGCGGGTTTTCTTGTAGTGGGGGGGTGGTTGTTGGTGTACCCATTGTGATGGAGGATTAAAGAACTGAATTAAGCACTTGATCAAGGAAGGAAGAGAGGTGGATGATGACTTTTATGAGTGATGAACGGAGGTGAGTGGGAGTTTTCGAGCGTCCCGCATCTGATAGATAAGATAGGTATAACTGCTCTATAGAGGTAGCAGGTAGTTAACTACTAACTAGGTAGCAGACAGTCACCAATGCCTTAGTATACTTTTTTCCTATCTGTCAATAGATGCGAGAACTCTATTAATGCCTAAACTACATAGTCATGCCAAGGCACAGATATCCACCTCTAGCTGAAAAAACAACGCCAGATTGCAAACACGTATACTCAAGAGGATCTGATATAATAGACAGACAATAAGAATGCCGAGATAATGCAGGCAATGCCACTCGAAATATGATCAATGTCGAGGATAATGAGGGTAATAAGGAAACAAGCCGAACACCAAACACCAAAAAGAGATCAAGTTACAAGTCTCGTCATGCATCGTGTCGTAGAAACAGAGAAAGCTCTCTGAAGGGGGGGGAGGTAAAGGGTCAACGAGGGGCGTTCAAGGGACTACATATCATCACCGTCGTGGTGGAGCGTCACGCTGTTGAATTCTTCAAACGGATCGGCAATTTCGCCGTTAGGCGTGGTCAAGCCTGAGTCCATGGGAACGCCTTTAAGCTTGCTCGGGGTCGGCCCGCCGATGTCCACGCTGGCGCTCTCCTTGACATTACGGAAGTTGAGGGTGTCGGTCCCGCGGCCCTGGTGGGGGATCATTGGCGGCTTCATGTGGCGGATGAGCGCCCACTGCGTCTGGCGGAAGAAGGGGTGAGTTTTGACGTCCGAGGCGCCTGCCCGGGCCCCCAGACGCTTTGTCTCGTCTTTGATCAAAAGCTTCCGGATCAAAGATTTGCACATACTAATTTTTATTAGGAAACGAGAGAAAGAAGAAAGCGTAAGGGATAAACAACTCACTTGGAGATCTGTTGGGAGCCCTGGTGCTCTGGAAACGGCACCTCATCCCGTAGAATGTTGGCAAAAGTGGCATTGCGGTTCTTGCCCTTGAACGGGGTGGTCCCGTAGAGCATTTCGTAGATCAAGATGCCCAGGGTCCACCAGTCGACTGCACTCGTGTGGCCGCAGCCTTTGATGACTTCGGGGGCGATGTACTCCTCCGTGCCCACAAAGGAATTTGTCCGGAAGTCGGCAATACACGACTTGGTATCGATGGTCGGGAGAGCCATGGTGGAATTGCCGCTGCGAGCAGGGATCATGGTGGGCGCGCCGCCAGGGCCAGACTGTTTCGACAGATCAAAGTCCGACAACATGATGTGTCCTGATTGATGGAGGAGGATATCTGAAAAGAAAAAAAAAAGTGAGCATTGAGGGATATCAGCAATTGAGAATCGGGAATACGTACTCTCTGGCTTCAAATCACGGTAGATGAAACCCATGAGGTGAAGATATTCCAACGCGGCTGTGACCTCTGCCGCGTAGAAACGAGCAGCGTCTTCGGAGATGCATTTGCCGGGACGCGTTTGAAGAGCTTAAGACTTATTAGTGGTCACATTTCTATAGAGAGAAAGAGAGAATAGGCTCACCTCTGAAGAACTCCCCGCCACTGCAGTACTCCATGCAGAGATACAGATAGTCCTCCGACTGGAACGAGTGATACAGCGTGACGATGAAGGGGTGATTGCTCGTCGCGAGAATCTCCTGCTCTGCCAAGGCCCGCTTGATTTTATTACGCTTGATCATTTCCTTTTTGCTCAAAACTGTTCATGTTAGATGGACACACACAGGGGGGGGGTGGGGGGGTTCAAGGAACAGATTGAGCTCACCCTTCATGGCATACAACCGGCTCGATTTCTTCTCACGAACCAGATAAACCTTGCCGACATCGCCCTTTCCGATTAATTTGATCTTGTCGAAACTGCTTGGCCCGACCTCGACATTGCGAACCTTGATGGAGTTGGAACTATAAGTGCGGCGGAAAGAGGCCGATTCAAGGATCTGGCCTGCAGTCGGAACTTTGCTGCCCGTCGGCAGCGGAGGGACGGCCAGGGTGACGGCGGAGGCAGCACCACCCTTAGCGGTGTGCTGATCGACGAGGCCAACCTGGAGCGCAGCGCCCGGTTGCTCAAGCAGGGGCTCCTTGCCCAGCTCGGCTGTCTGGGGCCGCCCGTCAGAGGCCCCGTTGGCGAAGAGGCCCTGGGCGTTGGGAGCGGAGGCAACCCGGCGCAGCTTGCGCGCCAGCTCCTCCTTGTTGGCGGTGGTGGCCTGCTCGGTCGGCGACACGCCATCGACCTGCAGCTCTGGGGTGTCGGGGGGCGAGGAGGGCACGGAGCCGTCGTTGCGATGGCGCAGCGCGGGCTGGCCCTGATGGGCAAAGTAGGGATTTGCCGTGGCGGTTGGCGAGACGGCATCGTCCAACGGATTGCCCTCGCTGGCGACGGTAGTCGAGCGATTCCGTCCGATGGTGGGCAGGAAGCGCGACTGGCGGAAACGGGCATCCGCACGGGCGGCATTGGCGTCACGGTCCTTCTCGCTACCCTGATGGCTGCTGTGGGAGGAGGCGGTGCTGCTCGAGCTGTTGAGACGGAAGAAGTTCTTGATCCGGGTTGGTAGATGGCTAGTCTCATGTGTGTGCTTCTTCGAGGCCGGCAACAGGCCAGGGAAGTTGCCCCGTTTCTCGCTCGCCGTCACCGGGGACGCACTCGACGGGAAAAGCTGCGTCATTGTGACTGGTTTATAACTGAAAGATCTTAAACCGATAATAGAATAATAAAATTATTTTTATTATTATCTCATCAACACCCCAATCTCGTTCGTATTGATGATAGGCGACCGACCGACTGGATGACAAGCGAAGGGGAGGGGGTTGCTGGACACTGTGGAGGGCGACCACAGAAGCCTTTCGACGACGAGAGACGATGGCAAGCGACAGTCGGTAGAGGCAGCAGGATAAACCCTCGAACAGACTTCACCACCGACGTTCAGCAGACATGGAGAGAGGACGACGGGCAGGGCATGGCAGTCGGTTGTCGTCGTAGTTGGGGAGGAGGCGCAAGTGGAGACGTGGAGAGATCGTTTTCTTAGTCAGTCTCACAGCCCCAGGCGGAACCAGCAGAAGAGAAAAAGAGTCGAAAGGCTCAACAGGCACAGAAATGAAAGTAACCACAGGCTCTGCCCCCTGAATCTTTTTTTCCGGAGCCCAGACCGTGCGCACGTTCTCTCTGACTGGCTGCCGTGCCTTTTGCCTCGCAGGGTGCCAATTTCCATTCCTTGGAGCGCTATCTCGCCACTCTGCCACCCGGAACGATAATGATAATGTTTTATCGGCCGTATGGGGGAAAGAAATTTCTGGACATTTTTATTCAGTATGATACTAAGTGTAAGAGATAATGTTCGGTTTGGAAGTATGTAGTAGATATATAACTAACTAGGTAGTGCTTACTACTAATTAGTAGTTAACTATATATACAACTTAGGTACCTATCTGGTAGTTATGCTACAAGGACATGTAGTATTCGAAAATCAATTATTATCTCACTACTTTTGTATCCTGCAAAAGCTATGCCTATACTGCTATCGATATCTCGACACTGCGAGTTGCAAGACGACCGTTGCTTCCTTCAATCACCAACTAGTTACCCCGTAAGAAGTACTCCGTATTAGTTGTTTACGGAGTTTTCCTAGTTCCGAGTGGTTATCGGCTATCGATGGCGCCCCCCCTGACAGATGATTATCTCACTGCTTGATAACAAGATGCCCTATTCCAGCGCCATCGAGTACGGCTGCCCCATATAATACTGGTGTATCATATTGTCCTCGTCTCTCTCAATCTGCCGAAAAAAGGCTTGTAGTACGGCGGGACTAGGGCGTGGACGCCGCTTCCTCTCATACCAACCAGCCTTCTCGACCCTCCCATTTTCAGCAGACTGCGCTGCAACGTCATCTTCGTCAGCAACAGGTCCTGATGTACGGCTTGCAGGAAAGTCGCCGGCACCGTCAAAAGGAGGCAAGAAAGCATGCGCGTTGATGCTTTGGGAGATGGCCAATGCCGCTGTCTTTTGAGGCACCAAGGTCCCGTCCCCTTTCAGGTACTGCGTAAAAAACTGCGGGCAGTCGCGCTTTGCTGCAGCTGAATTCGTGGAGAGGATAGATAAAAATGACTCGTGTGAGCCTCGGTTCCTGGAATTCATGTATCGTGTCCGCTGGACTGTATCACGCTTCTTCGGTGATGGGCTTCCTGTAGACGATATTGATATTTTCTTTCGTGTTGAATCGCTAAAGCTACAGAAAGTCATCGATTATCAATCCTGAGTTTGGGAATGAAAGTTGTAGGACTTCAGAAACGCCTACCTTCCTTTCAATCTATCATCGCTGCCTTCATTCTCATTGTCACTGTCTACTTGTTTGGAGGCTTGGCATGTGCTGAATCAAACATCATGATCAGTAAGGTCTGGCAGGCAAATTTCGGTGCTCTGACCAACTCACTCGATTCGATGGACGGTAGCCATCGATTCTCCGGTTGCTGTAGATGAACATGAGATACTATCGTCATCGCTATCGGCCACGTAAGCTTCACTCGAAGTTTTCCTCGACAACGTGTTCATCGTCGTGTGATTTTGGGCTAATGCGGCTCCATCACCCGGGTCTGTTTGAGCCTGATTTGAATGCTTGCTTTGAGAGAGTTGAGAGCCTCGCGAGGCGGTCTTTGATGCTAGATGACTGCCTTTACCTATTCCGAGCTCCGAATGCTCCGAACTCTCATGTGACTTAGAGCTCGTGAGTTTCAGTGTGATTGCAGCAAGGTCCTTGAGCAATCCGTCAATGGGATCGCCTCTGCGGTTAGCTTCGTCTATCTTGCGATACAACTGACGGAGGTTAGTTGATGGTTTCGACTTTGTGGTAGTCACCGGCCTGTTATCAGTTGGATCATCGAGAAGACCCTGGGCTTGGCTAGTATCTGTTGTCCAGTTCTCGTAGCATGGCTGCTCAATGTCACCAGTATAGGCCAGGTTAATGTGCAAATCCCCACATTCTTGGTTTTTTAGACAGGGGTTGTTGATGTCCTGCCACTGAAACGATGTACTAGCCGTGTGAATCAGCGGAAAGTACGGATTCATCATAGGCGTAGGTGATGACAATCCAGGAGTGCCCCAGTTACCGAGACAGCCGGGTACCCATGGGAGCTGGCTATGTTGGCTAGGTCCGAGATCTATCGGTTGAACTTGTGAAAGAAGTGTAGTTGTCTTTTCCTTCCGGAAACTTGTTGCATTCGCTTTTGCTTGTGACAGCACCGACTCTAACTGTTCCTTGCGCAGGCGCACGGAATCAAGGTCACGAACCAGACCCCTACGCTGTTCCACCAGCAAGTTCTTCGAATTCGTGTCGATATCCCACGCATGCATCGCCATATATCTGTCGAGCTGATTGAGCTGGTTGGAGATAGCCTCGTGGTCCTTGACAGTTTCATGAAACAGCTTCCAAAACGCAGTTTCTCCATATGATCCCATCAAAGAGGATTGAGAATTTGTGTCCGCAGCAGTCTTGCTATCACAGTATCCACCACTAGGTGCGATATATGCATTGAAAGGCGACGTGCTTGGAACTACTGGACTCAGGGCGGGAGTAAAACTGTATACCTGGCTATAGGGAGGCGAAACATCCAATGGCGGAGCAGAGAACGTCGAAAGGGGAGTACCCGCCGTTGTGATGGAAGAGCCAGCAGAGTAAGGCCAGTTCCAAGTTTGTATGCTATTTGAGAGCCAGTTTGTCTGATCTGGTCTGAAGTTCAGTGGCCCATAACTCGGGACACCCAGCATACAGTCACCCGGCTGTTGTAGTGTCGGTAACAGCTGGCCATTCGACATCAAACAGGTGGGTTGAGAAAATGGGTTGGTAATAGGAGACGGCTGCATGTCAGGTAAAGGATCTGGGATCTGGAATCCTTGGCTATTAATACTGGGCACCCTTGGCCGTTTGATAGGGTCTGCCGTGACTGAAGGCTCTGAGGGAGATGAATAGTGACCATCCACAGTCTCACCGACCAGAGTCTGACGGTGTTCCGAAATATCCATGCATTCATCAGCTTGTCGGTTGCTCTTCAATTCCTTGGCCATAGACCTTTTCCGGGCCTTTGCATTCTTGCTCCGCACGAGCGGTTTCATCTTTGGAATAGATTCTGTTGGCTCCATGGGGACAATGCGACCTCCGGCCGTAACACGCTGGTGTTTGGGAGATGTGTGTTTCTTCAAGAACTGTGCAAATCCGGCATTTGTCTGTGCTAGGGCTCCTTGAGGTGGGTGATATGGTTGACGGATAGGAAATTCCAGGCCACGTTCCGAGGCTGTCGATGAGACTGCCTCGCTTTGGTACGAGGAAGCACGCATGTCTCGAGCTTTATTTGAGGACAACTCTGACAAGAAGCTAGCCCTATTTTTCCGTCGGCCAAGCAGGTTGTCTGAACAATTCAATTCACGTGAGTTTATATCCAGGGCCTCAACAGCCTGGGGTGAAGTACGTACTGCTAAAGGCATGGACGCTGAACCTGTCCATCTCAATTTTGGCACTGTGGCGTAGAGCCAGCAGCGTCTGGGTGTCGTACTTCATGGTGTGTAGGCAGCCGTGGGGATTGGAAGGCAAGCAGAGAGTGTAGATGAGAGCGAGAAGAACGATACAGGACCAGAAGACACGAAAGATGAAGCAGATTTGGGAGGTCAGTGAAGTGTAACCAGGGAGTTTACCTCAGGAAGGTAGCAATACAGGGTCTGAGGAAAGTGTTCGTCAGGTCAACGCCCTCCTTCCTTGTTGGGTCCGCTTTAGGGAGAACACACAACAGACGGCCACAAAAAAAAGGAACAATTGGAAAGAATTGGGGATATTATACTGCTAAAATTCATTACAAAATCGTTGGAAGCTCAATTTTTATGCCTCGGTGAGAACTCTGAGGCGAGAGAAGCATCGGATTAGATACTCTCACGAGCCTTGACAGGCTGCATTACACTATGAATCCGCCATTCGTCTTCATCCTCTTCGTCAAAGGCAGGCCCGGTTCTGCTAATCTGTGCAGGACCTGCACTACTGGAGTCCCTGTGTTGCCCCATCTCCCAACTGCCCGAACGATGGTGCCCCGTGGTCGCAACTTCGCCAGGGGTGCCGGTGTTGGCTGGCTGATTATCTGCCGGTGCCTTGAGATCTCCCCATACTGGATTATTAAAGCTGACATCGCAGTCACTGGCTAGCTTGCGATCCCCTTTAAACCCTCCAGGTGACGACCTGCGTCTCCAAGACTGCCGGCGACCACGACAGACGAGGAAACCGATGGCCGCTAGAAGTCCGATAACCGCAAGAGTGACGAATGCCCCGATAACGCCAGCGACAGCCAGGCTCATACCGTTGCTCTTCCCAGACTTCTCAGATCCAGTGCTACTGACCAGGCCGTCGCAGAAAACCGAATTCGAGTTGCAGGTAAGACACCATTCTTCGGTCGACCCCATGGAGATCTGCTCCATTCCGGCTAGGAACTCGTCAAAGGGAATGGCGATATTACTGGGACCATGGCCGAACAGAGGATATGAAACAAACTGGGTCGACGAGTTGGTTCCATTGTGGAGCAGAAAGCGGACGAAGAGTTCAGATGAGTCCGGGTACACCGGATAAGACTCATTGCTGAGGCTGAAGAGCTCGAAGACCAAAGACGCACCCAGGCTCGGGCGAGACTGGAACTTGGAGTAAGTGGGAGCCGCAAGCTGTAGGAGGGATGCAAGCGCCACGGGAGACTCTGGTCTGCCGAAGAGAAGAGTCACTTTATCCGAGGACCCTCTCGCCTCCACGTTAGAAACAAAGCTCTCCAGGATTCGTGCCGCCAGTGTCTGGCCGGCAATGGAGCGTATGTTGCCATTGTTGATTCCTGTCTCTGAGGAAGAATTGCTGTTTACAGCGTAGACATACTTGTCTGCCAGCGAGCGGGCAAGAATGACATCGTCTTCGCTGACGCTGTCCAGTAAGCTCGAATTGTGTAGTTGTTGGTAATCCAAGTACTCGGAGATCTCGCAAGCGTTCATGTAGTCTGTAGCCGAGGTTTCGAGCACGCTAGAAAGAGCATTGGCGGAAAGGTTTTGATAGAAGGCTGCCGTCTCTTCATTGATCTGCTGGTACTGGTCACTGACTTGGTACTCAAACTCCGCGACCTCGTGGGCGAAACAGTCTGCCTGACCGGCGATCGAGATGGAATTGGGATCCGAATACCCCTGCGTCACAATCTGCGGGTACTGGTATCCATCCAACGGGAAGGCGACAATCGTTCCATTTGCCAGCTGCGAGCTCGGTTCAAGAAAGGTCGCATTTATCAACTGGCCGACTGGGGGAAAGAGACCTTGCACAAATGCTTGTGCGGACGCCACCATGAACTGCTCGGGAGTAGACAAAGTGACAACCTCATCAGGGTCAATGGTATATGCCGACAAGCCCTGGACCCTCAATGTAGCTACCGAATCGTCCGCAGGTATGGCAACGTATCTCTCTCTGAAGGTCGCCCCGGCGGCGTATAGTTGGTTTGCACCGTATGCCGTCAGAGTCTTTGTTTGAGGCAACAGATCAGGAGTGCTGTCTCCGTGGATAGTATACGCGAAGATACCCCAGACCTTCTCCGTCAAGTCCTGCGCATACCCAAGATAAGCAAAGAGCGCAAGCATCCATATCGAAACACCGCGTATGACAATCATTTTGCAGCGAAGACTGATGATTTCCAAACGCAACCTCACTTCACGGACTGTAGGTTATAGATTGGCAGGGCTAGGAAGATCCGGGCTGCCATTGATATATCCTGTGGGCCAGAAACTTTGGCAGACAGGCTCGCCGAGTTTAAATTCATCTGAAAACGGTCACCGTCGAAGAACCAGCTTGTCTCTGGCCTGATCCCCTGGCAGGTTGAGCGTCATTAAAGTTCCGGCACTGGCGGGAAGCCAAGTGACGACATCGATACCGTTGTACACCTCGACCATGAACTGGTGTGTCTGTCTGTTGCAAAGAACGGTTCAGTAGCTACTCCATAGATCTCCATCGAGTGAGGTTCTCTGCTCCATAGAGGATATTAGGTACCTGTTTTGTCAGTCTTCCATGCCATGCCTGTGGTTTCTACTACTTTGTGCTGAACGGTATACCCATTGAGCTTAACCCAGCTTTGCTGGGTTAAGCAAGCTGGCATGTATGAGACCCAGTCTACAATCCCTTCCATCCAAGAGTATATGGTGCGAATTCCGCTCATCTCCCCATGGTTGTCAAGGAAAGGTCGTCCTTAATTCCCGGCGAGTGGATCGTCCTTGGCATTGCTTGATGGCTGGTGGATGCCACCCAGAGGTAACATCGACCATTGCAGGAGAACAGCGGACGAGACCACACGTCAATCACGTCAGACTGTTGCAGCAGCATCCCTGGGACATTATAGAGAGCGCCTTGGCCCTTTGGTCCTTTATTGGCATTCTCGACAGTTGCTGGTAGCCGTGTCGGTGACGTGGATTCGTGGCCGAACCTCGTCTCAATGCTTTCCATTCAAGCTAATCCAAGCAACAAGGCAGTCATCATCTCTCATTAGTATATTCAATAGATAATCATCTTGAAGAAGTATCCAGAAGACTAGATCGTATGTAGTGAATGTACTCAGACTCTAGAGTAACTGTCAAGTAGTAGCCCCGCAAGCGCACAGACCAGCTGCGTTGGCAGAAATTTCGAGACGGCTGAATCCTCGCAAGCCCTACGCCTGCGCCCTACCCCTAAGCCCTCATTTCTGCTCCTGGAAGGCCAGACGGCATCAACAAGCAGCTGGCATTGCCCAGAATGGCGGACGAGCGAGGCAGCGACGACTCTTTGATAGAGAAGGACTCTCTGGATATTTCTCACTCTCCTCTCCCCAAGCAGGAGGATGACAGCGGCGGTGAGTCTATCTTGGTGGCCTGTTAGGGGGTACCTCGCAACTTGACCATCGGCCCGGTGGCCGGGGGGGGAAGGGGGTTTAATTGATTTGTTCGAGGATGTGAAACTGATTGCTTGTCCCCCATGTATAGTGTCTCAGAAGGCGACTCGTCCGCTCGAAAACGATGAGGAGGCGGTGTCCCCCCGTGCCTCCAAGAAGCGCCGTACAGACTCCGAACCGGGCGAACTGGCTCTTTTAGGCCATTCGGCGACACTGGCGGAGGAGAATGGCGGCAGTGAGCTAGACGAAGAGCTGGTGTCGGCTCTGGCAGAGGCTGTCAGCCAGAGTGCTGATGTACACGGTCCAATGGAGCATGTCTCCGAGAGCCCGGCTCTGCCAGACACCGGTTCGGATGTCGTCGCACCGGATGTGGCGGCGGTAATCTCCAATATCATGAACCATGCAGAGCGTGTTGAGGAACAATGTGCAATGGGCCCACAGCAGCTGGGGGACAGTGCAGGCCAGGCGCCGGCAAAGGGTCTGGTTTATGTCAAGGCGAACTCCCATCTCAAGATCCAGAGTCTTCCCATTCTTGACAACCTGGTGGGTGGATGGATATTTTCTCTTGTCTTTTCATGGTCGGATGCTTGTAGCTAACAGTTGATGCAGTCGACGCAAATCTTATCGCTGCTAGCCAAGTCGTCCTACCAGGATATCACCTCCTTTGTTTCTGAACCCGAATCCGAGAATGGCCAGGCGTATGCAACAATGCGTTCGTTGTTCGACCACACCAAAAAAGTCTATTCCACCAAAAGCGCGTTTCTCTCCTCCACGGAACTGGACTTTACAGAGCCTGCCCAGGTCGATGTGATCCGCAAGGCAAACTTGGCGTCGTTCGTGTCAAGCATCTTTGGTACTCAGGAAATTGGCTTCTCGGAGTTGAATGATCACTTCCTTGATGTGTTCGTTCCAGATGGGGGTCGGTTGCTTAAAGTTCAGGGGGCCCTGTTTCTGGAGCTCAAAACGCAAGCCTTCATCGCCTCGATGAACAATACAGAGCGGACGAGGACCGAGTTATTATACGACCTCTTCCCTGATGATCTCGAGCAACGTCTACTTGAAAGGCGCCCGGGCACCCGGCAGGTGGCTCCCAGTGAAGCTGACTTTGTGAAGCGGGCTTATTCGCGACGGGAGATCCTTCTCAACGATATTAATAATGAGGAAGCTATGAAGTCTTTACCAGATAAATATCACTGGGAAGATTTCCTCAGGGACCTCAGTTCCTACATCACAAAGAACTTTGACGCAATCAGTCATCAACAGGTTCGAGATCCCAACATTCATGTTTACGCACTGCGATTTTGCTGATTATTTTCAAGGCAAAGAAAGCAGCTAAGACTCGCCAGCCATCCACATCGAGTGGAGAGGTACAAGATCCGCCTAGTGCGCCTCTGCAAAGCCAGTTCTCGGTTGCCCCCCAAGCGCCTGCTGAAGTCCCTGTCGACAAGAACATGCATGGTGACCTGGTTGCTCGTGCTGCGCGCGCTGCTCAGATTGCCCTCCAGGGTCATGGGCTGCGGCGCTCCCAGCAACAGCAGCAGCAACAGCAACAACAGCAGCAGCAGCAGCAGCAGCAACAGGCTCAGGTCCAGCCACAGCAGCCGCCACAACAGCCGCCACAACAGCAACAGGCTCAAGGGCAGGCCCAGGCGCAACAACCAATGCATCAACAACCACCGCAGCAGCAGGGTGGCCAGCAGGGGATACTTCACGGCTACTCACCTGCACAGCCAGAGAGTCAACTCGCTGGCCACCAGGCCCAACCTTACCAGCAAACCCCGACACCGCCGGGGTATCAACAGCATTCGGGCCAGCTGACGTTTCAGCAGAGTCCTCTCCAGGCCAACTTCCAACAGTACCAGCCTCCCGGCGGCCATGTCCCTATCCCGCCCCGGAACGGCCATCATGCTGCCAACCACGGCTACATGCCTGGAATCCCCCACTATTCACAATCCCAGCCCACCCAAGTGCTTTACGAACGTGCTCGGATGGCGGCTTCGGCCAAATCATCACCGAGCAGTCGCAAATCGGGCCTCCCGAGTCAACGTCGACCGTGGACGACCGAGGAAGAGAATGCTCTCATGGCGGGGCTGGACCGGGTGAAAGGACCGCACTGGAGCCAGATCTTGGCCATGTTTGGACCGGGCGGTACCATCAGCGAAGCATTGAAGGACCGCAATCAGGTCCAGCTGAAAGACAAGGCCCGCAACCTGAAGCTCTTCTTCCTCAAGAGCGGGATCGAGGTGCCTTACTACCTCAAGTTCGTCACCGGCGAGCTCAAGACTCGTGCTCCCGCGCAGGCCGCCAAGCGTGAGGCTCGCGAGCGCCAGAAGAAGCAGGGCGAGGAGGACAAGGCCCACGTCGAGGGCATCAAGGGGATGATGGCCCTCGCGGGTGCCCACCAGCAAGTCTCGCTCGGCCATGCTTCCTCCGAGAGCCTTCCTGCATCCCCCGCCCTCACAGATCCCAATGCTCAACACCTCCTGGACCAGACTGAGGAGCAGAACCTCATGCAAACGCTGACTCAGGAGGTCCATGGAGATCAGTACACCCAGCACCAGCACCAGCACCATCAGGATTCTGTAAATGCCAATATGCAATTGGGGCAGTGATTATGTTGCTCAACTTTTGTATCTATAGGATAATACTTCATTTCTTTTTCTTTCTTTTTTTTGATTCGGGGGGGGGCTTCTAATACATATTGAAACGGGATGGACAGGAGTTAATTAGTTGATATTCACCTTGCTGTAGAAATAGCTGGTTTCAAATAACTCACAGATTTTTACTCGTCCTGATTATAATATTCTATTTTACCAGAAAACATGTCCAGAGGACCTAGAGAAGCTCTTAAACTCCTCTCCCTTGGGTTCCCCCATCCCCGCAACTGGATCGTTCTCATAAATTCCATCGAACGCGGTCCGCTCAACCAAAGAAATCCATGACAATTCAATAACCATTGCACACTGAGCTGGCATTGCCAAACCAAACCATCCAATCGAACAGCGACCGACCGGCATCTGCCTGTCCTCCATTCACCCGCAATCCTTGTCCTTTAGCTGTTTGTTTCTTTTTTTTTTTTTACCACCACCTTCGCCCTTGCAACCATGGCCGACACGTCACGTCCCTCGGTCCCGCCACCTCACGCATCGCAAGAGGCTCCCTCGTCGACGACGACCGCAGCAATCACAGCGTCCGAGTCCGGACGAGAAGAGCCTGACACGGTCGGCGGAGCAGATCTCGACACGAGCATCGAGCAGGATATCGACATGGACAATAACCTCGGCGCCAGCAACACCAACGCGAGCAGTAATGCCGCAAACCTACAACCGAGCCTGGACCCTCTTGCCTCTGCGCCGCCCTCCAAGAAGGAGACGAGTCTGCGCGAGTTTCTAGGCAAGATGGACGACTATGCGCCGATTGTACTTCAAACCAAATTGATCTCGATCGTTATTTTCATTTCTTCTAACTACTTATAGATCCCCGACGCCGTGACAGCCCATTACCTCACGCTCGCGGGCCTCCCACCCCCAGGCAACGGTCCGAACCAGACTCCACCGCACCTGGCGCGGCTGCTCGCGCTCGCGACGCAAAAGTTCGTCTCCGACATTGCCGCCGACTCGTACCAGTACGCGCGAATCCGCGCCTCGAACAGCTCCTCCGCGAATAACCCCATGGGCAGCCTGACGGCAGCCTCGGGCCTGAATCCCCCTGGGGGTGCGTCTTCGGGGACAGGCGCTGCGGGCGGGGGAGGTGGCGGCGGTGGCTCCGGTGCCGCTGGCGGAGATGCAGGCAAGGGCAAGGCGGCAACACATCTGGGCATCCAGAGGCCGGGTTTTGGAGGTGGAGGGTCCGGTGGTTCGGGCCAGGGACGTACCGTCCTCACCATGGAAGATCTGGGGATGGCCGTGTCGGAATATGGCGTCACCGTCAAGAGAGGGGAGTTCTACCGGTAATTTTCTTCTTTGGAGCAAGTCTTACAGCAGTCGGTCGGTCTGGTTCTTTTCTTTTCGTTTTTTAAGGCGTACGGGAAATATCTAGCAGGTGATATTTAGAGATACCGGAGGCGTTGTGGATAAAATACCTTAGTTTTAGTGATTGATCGGACGGGAACCCCTGTACCAGCCATTCTCGTAATCTTTTTTTTTATTATTACTTTCCAATCTTTTGTGTTTCTTCTAGGCAAAACATATTGTACACATCGAATAATTGTAACGCCAGAACTGATGCAATGAAAGATCACTCGTTACCACTTCAAATGAGAAGAAGTCTATTTGTTCTTGGACTGCTTATATGTGAACCGCTTCCGAGTCCTGCAAACCATCAGCTTCAAAATCTCGAACGGAGGTAATGAGAATCAATCAAACATACGGCACAAATTCTCCCAGCTTCCGACCGACCATCTCCTCCGTGATCAGCACATCATGGTACGTCTTGCCATTATGCACGGCGAAGCGGATCCCGACAAAGTTGGGGAGAATGGTCGCACCGCGTTTCTGCGTTCTGATGGGGGGCGTGCCTGGAGGGGGAGGAAGAGTTCGCGGCAGTGGTAGACTGTTGGTCAGCAAAATTCTGAACTCGCTGTCGCATAGATTGTGTATATGTGCATGATGGACTGTGTGGACTTGGATCAGAGGATGACTTACGGGACGATGTTCGGGCCTGTCGCAAGTTAGATGCATATCTCAATAGAATATATACCCGATAACGATGACTTCTTACCTTTCCAGACCGAACGCCCAAGCAGGGCGCGTGTAGGAAACATGATGCCGTTGCTGTCGTGGTTGATGAAGCGTCCAAGGCTCGGAGATGAATTTGGAGGTTGGATTATGTAATTCAGGTTAAGCTATGACTATCTAGATAGGTAGGATAGGTAGTTACAGCTCAATAATAATAAATAATAATAATAAACACTAGTATTCATTGATTTGGCTAGCTCGTTGCTAATGGCCCTATTGGTATATGTACAATGGAAATGCACAAGGCCAGTAACGACAGTCCAGGTCGCCAGCGACCTGAATCAGTATGGATCAGCTCAACTGGCAATCTCATCGAAGATCTTGACTAAACTCCTCACGCCCATGAGAACATTCTCGTCCGGTCCCTGCCCCGGGGTCCAGCTGGCATGAGCAAAGTCAATCAAGCGCAGGTCGTGGACTTTGGGAGGGTCTTCCTCTTCGTCCTCGTCCTCTGTGAAGTCGGCCAGCTGGGCTGTTTCAGGATCAATGGTGATATTAATCGCCTGGTAGGAGACACCGTTTGGTCCCATAGTAGCAAGATCTAGTACCTCAAAGGAGCCATCCTCGGGGGCTTCTATTTCTTCGCAGTCATCATTGTCCTCTGGCTCTTCGTAGTATCGAGGAGGCCTCTCTATCGCTTTCTTCTCCTCCTCTAGCGCGAGTTCCAGTGCCTCCATGTCACCTTCGTAGACGATCAACACACTCGAGGAGTACATTCGGCTCTCCTCTGCCTCTAGTACCGACTGTACACGTCGTAGTTCATCTGCCAGCCGTCCAGCCATGAGTTTCGAGCGATCGATCGGACCGGCCTTGGCGCCCGCCAGAAAAGCCTCAAAGCCTTCTTTGACGTTATGTTGGGAGAAGGCCCGTCCGTACCACCTATTGTAGCGCCTGTAGCCGCCCTTTTCAACGACCTCGCCGCTTTTACCACTTTCCGACGCTTCGTGCTTCGTTTCATAGGGGTTGGTTCGTTCGCCTTCATCCGTCTCCCCGGCTACCCCCGTCCAGACCTTCATCCCTGCAATACGAAACCCCAGGCTGCCACTTGTGGTCTGCGTGGAAACCTGTTCCAATTTCGCTCGTTTGGGAGGGGGTGCATCGTCCGCCCAGAGCCGCGCGCCAAGCTTCACATCGAGGACATTCGGTCTCCGGAAACCTGAGGCGACGTTTTCCAATACAATCGATATGTCTGTCTGGAGCTTCTTGCCACCCGACGGTGTCCAAGGTGTATCGCTGTCCTGCGTAGACGTAACCACCGGCGCACGGGTGCTGGACTGCGGCGTGTCAGTCTTGAATGCGTCGGTCGAGACGGACAAGCGGTCGGACTCGGTGATGGCTATCGCCCCATTCTGTTCCACTGTTGTAAGAGCCAGAGACAACTGCTGGTCTGCCGACGATAGCGTGCCAATATAGGTTGGGATGAACTCCCTGAACTCCGGGTGCAGAGCACTGGATTCGTAAAAATCCACTTCCTGCTGGGTACACGGTTTGGCGATCAGCGAGCCGGAAGTAGTACAGCGAACACCCTCACTACCGAGAAAAAGAGCTGTTAGTGTTTGTTTTATGCTTTTCTATCTTTACTTTCGCTAGGGAGCTCGGACAGCGATCATTGCGCCTCCAAGGCGACACTTGACAACCAAGGACTCAAAACCGAGAAGGGAAAAAAAAACCTACTGTCCAGCAGCAGCATGGTCAAAGGCAACAAAGCTGTCGCCGTCGATCCCCTGCGTCTTGAGACTATCTGATCGTGATGACGAGGGCATAGCGTGTTTGAGCGGGAGCAATTGTGCTGACGGGGGGAGCGGAAATTAGACACTACAATGGCATTCCGTCTGAGGCTGAGACAACAATAGAAGTTTCAGGGAAGGTAATGATTAAGGAAAGAAGAGTAACATCAAGAAAGAGAGTGTGGATTAACTAGTAATAAATCATCCCTATGATCGGCAGAAAGCAGGGGAATGCAGGTTTAACTTATCGGCGATTAATCAAGGCAGGGAGTTGAGAGCGCACGCGATAGGTAATCATTTCGTACGCGAATCCTTGCTTAGGGATTAGCCAACGTCAGCCTATAGTTACTCTACTTTATTCTTACTTTTCTATACTTGTATTATTAAATGTTCTGCCCCCAGAGATACACCGGTCTGATAATGTTTGAATGAGCTGGGAATTATGGCCGTGTGGAAGGATCTGTTTGTTGGTTGCACAGCATCAGGAACAGATCGACTATTTCAGACTCATAAGCTCTTAGAATGGAATAGTTATAGCTTTGAGGTCTATAGAGTACAGACAAACAGAAAGAGCAGTATTGGCTTTCATTGAATGGTTGCTTCTATAATGTAGAGCAGTCACTGCTGTCAATTAGTGAATGGTTGCTTCATCTTAAGACCTGACTGACCACCACCTGCCTTCTCTCCTCCTAATTTCCTCCCAGAGACTACAATTTTCTCTTCTCGTCTGTTTTCCCTCCTTTGACTTTAGCATTTTCTGGTTTGACAATCACTATTCGAACGTTATGACAACCGACTCAGAGCCATCTCTCCCCAGAGACCTGCCTCTCCGTCTGAAGAAAGCAGACTCTCATGGAGGAGAAGCTGGAAAGCCCATTGTGACCGCTGTTGAGGACATCGGTGAGAGTGTCGATGAGGCGGGTGAGCGCAATCGTCAGGTTTTGAATGAGGCTTCGAGTGATGTGAACGAGAACGAGCATCAGGGCGAAGGCCAACAAACTGCAGAGGTTGAACTGGTGCTGCCGGAACCGAAGAAGAAGAAGAGAAGCAAGAAGCCCAAGAGCAAGCGAGGAAAGGTACAGTGTGAAGCTAGGAATTATGCTCAGTCTGCTAACAGTTTCTAGAACAAGCCCACCGGATTCGAAGAGTACTATGTCGACCCTCCTATCACTCTTCAGGAGCACCAAGAGGAGAAGGAAATCTACGACGTGTAAGTGAACTAGCGTGCTTTTTGAAGAAGAAGATATACTGACAAGGAAGGACAGCTCTCGCCCTCTTTTACAGTAAGTTCCCCTGATCCCTTTGCAAAGATACAAGCTCAGAATCTAGTCGGATCGAGCTCGCCATTCTTCGCTTCCAGAAGAAGCGTCGCATTGAAACTGAGAGGCGGGAGGTCTTCCTCAAGTATCTGGCATATGGAGGTGTGGACGTCTCGCCCAGGATGTTTGGGGGAGTCGATAACCGCGACCTTCAAGAGATGGACAAGGACGAGATTCTCGTTGCTACGGGACAGGCCAGCATTGACCGTGATCGGATAGATCTTCCTATCGACTTTGACGCTGTCGTTCGAGGATACCTGTGAGTAGATTGGGAGAAAACATGTTGTTGGAGAGGCTCCGCGCTGACTCGAAAAATTGCAGGACATCTTTCTTTCCGTACTTTTTCAATCCCGATACCGAAGACATGGTGAAGCTAGCCACGGTCACGATCCGCAACTTCTTGACATACCTTCTCTACCACGACGTGTGTCCAGAGTATAAAGAGAACATAGACCAGGCCCGTACCTCGTGCGATATTGCGGGCAAGGAACTCTGGAAGAACCAGCAGTTTACCGCCAAAGGTCCCGGGGATTTCAATACTGCCTGCTCGGCACTGTTCGGCGGCTACTTTTACGATATGTACGCAGTAGAGGATGAGTGGGAGAATCCCAAGGATGAGGCCACCCGCATGAACAGTGCCGTCGCGCGTAAGGTCGTCAAGTTCGCCATCGCGGGCGCTGGATCAGACGAGCAGGCCGGGCAGTTCCAGGCTCTCGCCAACGCAGACTCGCTGCGTGCGACTCACGTCAAGGACATTGACGGCTTCGAGGTCATCTCCCTCAACGTTCCAGATGCCGACACGCTTGCCTTTTACGGCGTCCATGCCTCGGATCTGCAGCCAGTCGGTAGGGTGCACGCCCGTGCATACCGCGACCCAGGCAAGCCGCGGATCGATCTCTCGCCTGAAGAAAAGCGCGAGTGGGAAGAGCAGAGCAGTGGCGTCCAGAATCTCCAGGAATTCGACTTCTTCCTTGAGGAGGATCTTCTCCGTCTGTGCTATCCGGGCATGAAGGTAATCACCTCCATTTGGGAACTGAACTGCGGCCTTTTCTTCTTTGATGAGGTCTTTACGGCGTACTCCTCTATTTATACTGTGCTGGCCAATGACCTCATGCTAGGTTGGAAGAAGCCTAGAGATTTGGTTGCTGAGAGTGAAGAGGCAGAGGCAGAGGCAGAGAATGAGAGTGCAGAGAGAGAGGGCGCCGAGCCAGTCAACACGGATTACATGTAGTCAGGACATCTTAATCTCACATTTCATTGAACCTTTTGAACTATACATCTATACTTTCTCTACGCACGCAACAAGAGCTTCCCGGTAGACTTGCGACCCTCGAGATCCTAAAAAAAAACCATCAGAACAGATCAATTACAATAATCAAAGATCGTGTGCATACCTTGTGAGCCTGCGCAACCTCTTCGAGAGGATAGATCTTGTGAATCTTGACCTTCAGCTGACCAGACTGGAGGAGTCTAAAGAGCTCATTGACGTAGAATTCAAACTCTTCGCGGGTCTCGATGTAGCCGAACAGCGTAGGGCGGGCAATCTTGACGCATTTGGGAGAGAGTTTGCTGCAGCAGTCAATAAAGAACCATCACAGTAGAAAAGTAAGACACCTACTTCAATGGCAGAGGAGGAACAGGGCCCGATGCATTTCCAAACCAGACGATAGTGCCCTTGCGCTTGACGGCCTCAAGACTGCCCTCCCAGGTATCCTTGCCGACAGAGTCGTAGACGACATCGACACCTCTGCCGCCGGTGACTTCCTTGACCTTCTTGACCCAGTCCTTGCCCTCTTCGCTGCGGTAGTCGATGACGACGTCTGCGCCCAGACTCTTGACGAGGGCAACCTTCTCGGCACCGCCCGCAGTGCCGATGACCTTTGCGCCGATAGATTTCAAGATCTGGGTCATGAGGAAGCCCGCGCCGCCCGCCGCGGCGTGCAGAAGCACCCATTCGCCCGCTTGCACGGGATACGTCTCCTTGGCGAGAGTGAGAACAGTCAATCCGCTGAGAAAGGAACCCATCAGGTCCTCGTCTGAGACACCGGCAGGGATCTTGACGGCCTTGCCAACAGATACGGCCGAGTACTCAGCATACCCGCCTGTTGCGAGCCAGGCGACGCGGTCGCCCACCTGGAAGTTGGCCGGGTTGGGGCCCGGCCCCACGGCGGCGACGGTGCCTGCGGCCTCGCGACCGAGAATCTCAGGCTTGGGGGACGGGTACAGGCCTGTACGGAAGTAGGTGTCGATGTAGTTGATGCCGCAGATGTTGTTCTTGACCAGCAGCTGGCCCTCGGCGGGGGTTGGGACGGGGTAGTCCGTCTTGAACTGCAGCACCTCAGGGCCGCCGGTCTGCTCGACGAGCACGGCCTTCATGGTGGTGGGGAGCGACATGGTGCGGGAATAGAGAGGAGAACGGTGTTGGTATGGCTGAGGGAAGACGCGGAATCGACGACTCTCGACAATTCGACTGCTGGGACGGATGAGAAACAATGAGCTCGTGGTGGGTGTTCGCACGGCGCGGTTGATATACATCGAGGAGGGGCACAGCCGAACCGGAGGACCGAGGGGAAGAGGGCGGGGAGAATTCGCGACCACAGCGGGTTTCCACAGGGATATCGTGTCTAGTGGATTGCCGGGCAGGGCTGTCAAGGCCTGGTGGATTTGTCAGGAAACTATTATTCACGTTGAGGCGTTTGTCATCTATCTCTGCGGTCTCGCTTTTTCTCGTATGGTCTTTGCTACTCCCGATGACGTCGCCGGTCAATATGAAGGGCACTAGTTATACTCTAGATAGTAATGCTAAAAAGCAATATTTTAGTGGTTTCTATCCAACTCGGCTTATTATCATTGCTGAAACAATTCAGACTGATTTGATCCGAACGAGTCAATCGAAAGATGATTCCATCGGATGTCAGTTCCGACGGATAGAGTCGAACGATCAATTGAGCCGACGGAAGAGGAAATCCATAACGTTCTATACTCATTATTAATATTAGAGAAGACGTGATATGTGCTGGTATGTCGTATGCTCGGGTATGAAGTCAAAAGGATAAAAAAAAACAGAGGGAATCGATAGTACGTACTTTCTTAATATTAAATATAAAATTGATGCCCATTGAAACCCAAGGAAATGATGCTGTTGTTGTTGTAGTTGTTGTGTTGGTTGTTTCGATTGTTAGGCTTCTACGAAAGTCCAAACACCTCCTTTCTATCGTCTCTACCAACCAGTTCTCTCTCCCTCTCTGCCAGATGCCCTGTGAGACCCATCAACTAATTCAATAACCTGATTCGACTATTCCCTCCCTCCTGCACTCCATAGTCAACGCTCAGGATTGTTGTCAACCCCGGATCTGACGTTGTCGCCCAGTGCCGAGGATGGCAGCTCCACCCACTGACCTGACGAGCTGGTGGGCAGACAGACACTGGACAGCCAAACAATGGGCTGCATGAACATTGGATGGTGCCTGATCATGCAGTTGGTGGCAGATCATACGAGTCAAGCCTTAATGGATCGTCCAGGTGGTTTTCTACGTATGTTTCTAGCGCCATGACCCGACGACCATCACCAACAGTGAACTGAACACCCGCGCCTCCATTCAGACCGCCATCACATCACACACACAACCCCCCAGAAGGAACAGTTCTCAAGGGAGAAAACGAGGTGAAACCGTCGCCTCAACACATAATCCTTTGCCACGCTCCAGTGAGCTGTCCTCGACGCACTCCTGCGCCGACCCATTCGCTGCCTGCTGCCGCCCAACCGTTCTGATTGTCGGCCCTACCAGCCACTGTGTGTTTCAGGGGGGGGGCCCAGCTGCCAACGATGCCCGATCAATCTGGATTGGACAAATGACGAAAGCGAGAGGGGGGGTTCCTTTGTCCACCAGGTAAATTATATATACCTATACTGCAGTATTTGCTCTGCAGCTAATGGAAAAGCAATTTCTTACTCGGCGCTTCTGGTCTCATCTGTTTTTTGTCTGTACATTATTAGGGAGGAAAAGAAAAGCAATTGTTCCGTCTCCTTGAGTCTTGATATCATTGTGAAATCCAGCTGGTCTGGTTTTTGAGCTTTCTTGTCTTTGCGATAACATTAATATGCACTCAGCAGTTAACAGAGAATCCCCAATTCGTCGTGTCCTTGCAACCGGGTAGCTCTGTCCTTTGGTTGCCTGCAATACTACTACTACTACTACTACTACTACGCTCGACTTTATATATTGTCAGGTTTTGTCTCAAGCGGAGACATGCCCTTTTTCACCCGCCTGCGGCCCCGTTGGCCGCCATCGCCCTGTGTCGAGGATGAGATTCAATCTCTTTCTCGAGAGCTCCACGGCGCCACGATCCTGAAACAGGAGTCTCGAGAAGATGTCTGCGTGAGGGGGACCGTCGACCAGTATCCTCTGATCATTACGTTGCATACCGAGGCGTCATCGTCATCGACCATAGTCACTGAATCCATTGTCGATCAAAAGACCCAGAAGAAGTCTCCAAGCCAGAAGACCACGCCCCCGGTCATCAAAGAAAGGCCGGCAGTTCAGCCGCCCAGGCCAACCGTCGCATCGAATTGCACTGCTTCGATCCCTGGCACCAGTGTCAATGACAAGTCGTCTGCAAAATCATACAACGGGGTCTCTACGCAGCCTCCCAAAACTGGTCGCATTGTCAATGACAAACCGCCTTTGAGATCGTCCAACGGTGAAGTCCCTACGCAGCCACCTAGATCTTCCAAGCCAGCCACCGTTGTTCAGAACACAGTGCCAGTGACTCAGCAGATTCCTCATCCAAATGCCACTGTCTCTGCGAGCACGCAGGAAGTAAATGCTCCTCGACGCAGTTCAACCGCTCACGAACGTGCTGCCACTGCCTCATCAGCTGCACCGCCGCCGCGACAATCACCACCGCCTCCACCACCACACAAAGGTGCAACCCGGCAGCCATCTGGACGTTCTCGGTCGGGCAGTATCCGGTTCGGCCATTCAGAACAGCGGTCGTCGACATACCAACCGGTTTCCAAAACACCAGGTTATGTATCCGATTCCGCCACCGCGAACCATAGGGAACCTCGGGGTCGTACGACTGAACAACGCACTGCGCCGCAGGATCATCTCCTGTTTAAACAGCCTGTAACTTCACCCACGCTGGCTGAAAGGCTTGAGGAGAAGCTGAGACGCAGGCACGAACTGCGCGATGTGGAGTCTGATGCTAATCATGGTGCGCAAGCTGCTACTATCACCGCTGCCAATGTGAACTCACAACAATCCCTAGCACCAAATGTCTCTGCCGCACCCAAGCAGTCTATTCCCAGGAGGCCTTCTCAAAGAAAGAAAGACACGAATGTCTCGTCATCGGCTTCCCAGTTTCCAGCTCCTAGCTTCGAAAATAGCCGTGATTCTCCGAAGGGCGATGATGAGTCTGTCAATGGTTACCACCTAAAGAGGCCTTCTTCCACATCGCCTCAGCCCTCGCCGTCTTGCCGACCCGGAAAGGAAGCCGATCCTTTCGAGGAATCCTTTGCTGCTGCATCTCAAGCGCCCGAAGTATCGTCACAGGTCCCGCCGAACGGCCAGCTGACCAGGTCCAAGTCGCTCAACAAGTCATCTGCGGATCATGCACGGCGGTCTGTGGCTTTCTTTGATGAGGAGATTCCCCGTGCTTCGCAGCCTCGTCGCCGTTCTCAATCCTCGCGTCGCGGCAGCCCTTCCAAAGAGATCGGGGCCTCGACTCCCTCAAGCACTTCAAGCCTCTGCCTCCTGCCATGCCCCAGATCAACTCCAACCGCAGGCCACCAAGACTGGTATACCATCAAGGGATTGACACACCTCGATATTTGCCCCTCCTGCATGACCCAGGTCGGCCAGTCCAAATTCCGTGACTTCTTCATTCCGAGCCTTCCCAAACCCCGGGACCAGGCAGTCCGCTGCTCGTTGAGCGAGCCCTGGACGCGTCTGGCGTGGCTGCAGACGATCAAGAAGCAGCACGACGATCTGGAGATGCTCTACCATGTCTCTCGGCCACCCCCCGGCAGCTTCCACTGCCCTGGCCACACCGTCGCAGAAGAGTACTGGTACCGAGTGGTCGACCCCGACACGGGCATGTTCCTGCCCAAGTTCAACGTCTGCCCGGCGTGCGTGCGCAGCATCCGCATTCTCATGCCTGCCCACCGCGACACCTTTAAATGTAGCTCCGTCCCGCAGGAGCGCGTCTGCGACATGGCAACCCACAGCCCGCGCTTCGTCCAGTTCATTGACCTTCTCGACATGGCGGCCAACCGTGCCGAATTTGCAGCTACTGCTAATGGCAACAACAACAATAGCGGCGGCGGCGGTGGCAGCGGCGCCAGCACCAGCACCATCAATACAGCCGGAATCCCCGACATGCGTGAATTTCTCGCCTACGCCCGGCGCAAGGTTGTCCTACGTGACTGCCGGCGCGACCGCCTGATTCTCAGCGCGTGGCACTACATCCCCCAGCTTCCGGAGCTAACGGCCTGCGAAGACTGCTACGACGATGTGATATGGCCACTTGCACGAGCGAATAAGCCCCTAGCGCGCATGTTCTCGACCAGCATGCGTCTCTTGCCGGGCGACGGGCCCACCAGCTGCCGCGAAGCAAGCTGCCAGCTCTACTCGCCGCGCATGCGGGCCAAATTCCGCGAGGCCGTCGCCAAGAATGACTTCACGTACCTTCGGCTCATGGCCCTGCGGCGCTTCGACGCCGAGCAGCGCTTCCGGGATCGGCGGCAGGGGCTTCTTGAAGATGAGGCGCGGGGATACAACCGCGAGACGGAGTTGAGGAAGAATGCCGAAGAGTGGAAGAAGTGGGAGTGACTTTTCTCCATTCCGTGCCTGTTCTTGTTTTTTTTTTTTGTTTTTTTTTTCTTGTCTCTTCCCTTCTCTTCTCTTCTTTTCTTGTTTCTCTCTTCATTTTGTTATAAAGCATGCATATTCTGGCGTTGTTGTACAACAATACATACATACATAGAGTAGACCATCAATAGAAGGATATAATTGACCTGTTGCACAATTTCATTGACTCTTAGAAGCTACTGTTAGAAGCTACTAATATATGTATGGCTATAGTAAATATGTTATATCATCCCACCAAACCCACAACCTCATCCGGCCATTTCTTACCCCAAACCAAAGCCCGCGAAGGCACCCGCCCACCGATCGGGGCCAGGACGCGGACTTTGCCCTTCTCGCCATCCACGTCGGCAACGTATAGAAATCCCATAATGCTTGCGTCGCGGATCGCCGGGGCGGGGGCATTTGGCGGGGCGTGCGTGATTGCTAGGAGGGTGTTGGCGAGGAGGGAGGGGGCCGGGCCAGGCACCTTTTTCAAAGGAACGGAGAGGCCGTCGATGGGTGCTGACGAGGATGCCGTTGCTTCTGTACTTCCCGGCTCGTCTGAATGTGATGGTTGTTGGTTGGGGTCGTGGGATGATGGATCAACTCCTCCTCCTTCTCCTCCTCCGGTGAAGAAGGGGTCTCCCGTGCCCAGCTGGGATGGGTCGTATTCGTCTTCATCCTCGTCAACGGTTGGGGGGATGTAGTTGTAGATCGCTAGGGAGTTGAAATCGAGCTGTGTGGCGTGTGGCGAGAGCGTGACAAGGGTCGAGGTGGCGGAGAGGGAGAGCGCCGATGAGGCAGTGGACGGGACGGAGTTGCCGAAGAAATACGTTCGAATCTGGGACTCCCGCACGGCCTTCATGAACCCGACGTCGCGGTCAACGCACCCGCCGGACTTCGACAGCTTGACTACCGAGATGCGTTCGTCTGTGGCCACAGCGGACGCGCTGGACGTGGGCTTGTTGTCATAGTCCTTGACCATGGTGCTGTAGAGACGTTCGGAGCCAATGACAAGGATAGTGGAGACTGATAATAGGTCAGCACAAACAGCATGTTCTTGAGGTGGTGAAAAACGTACTCGAGAACTCGGTGATGATATGGTTGATCATTTGGAGACCTCCGGCCTTGCCCTGACTCAGGATGCCCGGCGTGTCAACAATGATGCCAGTCTCTCTGGAATCTTCATCCTCGGCCATACGGCCCATCACCGAGAGGGCAAGACGTGATACGATAGGCCGATAGATCATCCCGTCCGCCTCGAGCGGATTCTGTGAAGGATAGAAATACACCAGCGGCAGCTTGACGGGGACGGGGCTCGGCCCAGACATCGGACTACTCCCCCATCCCTGCTCGATATCGATCATGTTCCGAAACGCCGTGGCCGTCAGCGTCCCGGGGACACTAAGCATGCCCTCTGACGGATCGAGATTCACCACAATAGGCTGGCGTCCGCTCTTGACACCGTAGGCCGTCAGGATCTTCGCGAGACTCGTCTTGCCTGCATCTTCGGGTCCTAGGATGAGCACTCGCGGGCCATCTCTACCTGCAGCCTTGGCCTGCTGCCTCATCTCCTCCAGCGCAAAATGCACGTTCGCGTATTCCACCATCGGCGTCTCCTCCGCCGTGTACTCGCTCTGACACCCGCCGGCGCTCAGGCCGCGAGCAGCGCTGCCGTTGACCTCCCCGGGCAAGAACCCATCCAGCGAGGACACCGCATCTCCCGCGTTGACCTCCAACGTACAGCCATGCCAGGTATAAATCGCCGCCTTGGTGCCCGAAAACGTGTAGGTCTGCGACGGCGCGAGCTCTGTTCCGAAAAGTTCTGCGGTACCGGCCAGGAGCTATTGCACGCGCGTCAGAATTGATCAGATATACAACAAAGAGAAAAAGCAAAAGGACTCCCTACCTTTACCCGCACGGTGGTCCCAAAGGCGACTTCAAACCTCCATTCCGTTCCCTGCGACAAGCTGATCTGAGTAGGCGGAGCGGCAGCAAACGGTCTGTCTGCGGTGGGCTGCGTGAGCTCTAGACCAGGAAGGGACATTGCATACCTAGCCCAGAGAAGTCTGCAGAGACCAGGGGTTTGGTTTCAAGCAAGAAGAAAAAGGGATAATTTATACCAGATTAATATCAGGTCGAGGAATCTTAATTAATAGAGGTGGTGGTTCGTCCACCCGCAGTCGGAAGGCGGTGTTTTGCTTGTTTGCAACAATTGACTGTCAATTGAATCACTACTTTATTTATAACTGGAGTATGATGTAGCCCTCTATCAGTATACTATTATATCATATATTATTATACTTCATTATCGATGTAGTCCTGCATTGAAAGATTTTCATATTTTTTTTTCCCTCAGTGATATATCTTTCTAGGCTGCCCTTCTTCACAGCTGTCGACCGAACCGACTATCGTCTTGGGTAGAGGAGCAAACGCGCGTTCTGACAGAACAAGAGAGTAAGAAGAGACTGGAGTGAACGACAGAAACAGGCGAAAAACTTGTCATTTAACAGGTGTAGGTAGGGTCCAACAGTATTCCAAATCAAGTCATGTATAACCAGCTCGTCTTGGAGAACTCGTCGTGCGGAGAAAACAGGGTCAAGTTATTAGGAAAAAGGGGGATTTGAGAGTGAGAAGGAAATCGATACAATAAATACTGGGAATCACGGTTGGAAGTAATATATTCTTGGTAACGGAACGGGGGAGGGGGAGACAAGCAGACGGTACTCTGGACCCGGTGGTCAGACTCAAAGTCGTTAAGAAACACACAGGAATGGGATCGACATCGACACAGATATTACGTTGAGGTGGAAATTGCTGTTCGCTTGGTCGGCTAGGCTGGCCTAGAAGAAATAAGGAATTGCAGCTCTGTTGGGGAGGTCCAGTTAGTTGGGATCTGTTCGCGGTCAAGAGAAATCAGATGATATATAACTCACGCAAGAGCCAATGTGGCCGTCACGCCGACGAGAGCACGATTCCGTACGCGCTCCCGTTTGAGCTTTTCTTCCAGCACCCGGGCCTTCTTGGCCCGCTGCACTGGAAGATCTGAAGGTTCCTCACCGTCCTCCTCGGCGACTTCTTCCTGCTTGCGTTTCTTGGCGGCCTTGGGCGATGTGGACGCTTCGGCTGTGTCTTCTTCTCCCTGCTGCAGCTTCCTGGCTTCCTCGACCATCTCCTTGGCCTTTGCAATCATCTGCTCGGTATCGGCGGCCGAGGGCAAGTCGGGCAGGGAGATGGGCATTTCAACGGAAACAGTGGTCTTGGTCGTCTCCACGTCGCCCGTGGCCTCCACGGTTGATTCCACGTCCACTTTGACCTTCTCCCCCTCTTCCTTCGCTTCAACGGGCTCGGCGGTGGCAGCAGTCTTCTCGGCAGTCTTCTTGGACTTGGACTTCACACCCTCATCCTCCGCCGCCTCTTCGGCCTTGGTCTCGTCAATCACGTCCAGCTTTCCATTAGCCTTCCCCGATGCCGCGGCGGAAGATTCTAGCGCGGACTGCAGATCTGAGTTGGTGGCACTTGTGGATGCCGCAGCCGTCTCCTTGGCTGCCCTGGTCTGTCTCGGTTTGCGTGGCGAGACGGGTTTCTTGCTGGGAGAAGCAGATCGTCTGCTACGACGCAGCGTGGGCGCGGGTGCCAGTTCCGGCGCTTCCAGTGGGGGAAGATCAAACTTGGGCGGGGGAGTAATCTGCTTCTTCGCATTCGACGGGCTCTGGACAATCTCAGTTGGATCCAGCAGGGCGCGAACCCAGTCGTGCATCCCGTAATCTTTGGCTAAATCGAGGGCTGCACATCCACGTCAGTCAATCTATCTCGATTTCCTTCATTTTCCCCCCCACACAGGGCTCGAGGGAGTCAGCCCACCAAGTACAGGCGAAATCCAGACGTTACCAGCGATCTCATCCTCACTGGTCTCGTTTCGGGACTTCAGGTATTCTCTCTCAGATCGCTCCTCCTCCAACTTGGCCCAAGGGAATGCGATCTTGAACATCCCCGTGGCACTCACGAAACCATCCTTGCTCCGACGCTTAAATCGTACAAGTGAGCATATAGAAGACCGATGTAGACCAGGGCAACGAGACTTACCATCAAGAAGTACGTCTCGGGCGGCTGAGCGTGCGACGGGAAGATCTCGCTTCCTTTGAGATCTTTCGGCAACGGCGCACGAAGGTGGGCATACTCGAAAGGTCCGAGGTTCTCAGGCTTGGTCGCGTTGGACGTACCCACCTGCGCAGGCTTGACCGCGAGATGTGTCTTTCCCAAACGCCGGGATGCAAGCAACTCTTCGTCTGCAAAATTTGCGCAAAAAAAATGACAAACACATTAGCCAGGACGCTCTTCCCCGGCGACGAGGCGAGAGAAATTTTCAAGGGACTTACAAGGCGGTGCCGTATCGGAGAGAATCAGAGGGTTCAACCTTTTCGGAAGAGATCGCATCATGATGACAACCGACAGTATCGTAACAGGAGCCAAGAAGGCGGCGATGCGCTTCCTTCAGGTCTCGAAGAAGGGCTCAGTCACCCGAGCGACACGGCAAAAAAAAAAGCACAGGTGGGATTGCGACGCCAACGACGGCCACGTTGCAGGCGCGCGCGTTTTGTGTTTTAATCCGCCGGTGGTCCGGAAGGGAGAACAGTCAATGATGCTCTTGATCCGCAAGGAGCTCGGCCACCGAGTGCACGCACGTCTTCAGCGAAACGATCGGGGGGCAGCACTGTGATATGCAAACGACGCGTGCAGCGGTAAAAAAAAAGCGCGACGGGGTCGAATGGGGATAGATCGATAGATAGATAGATTAGGGGGGGGAAGGAAAGCAGTGCAGGTGGAATGGGGCGGACGTTTGGCGCGCTCAAATCACATACAGCGAGTCGTACCGTAACAATGCCCAGCATAGCAGCAACTTCCAAAAGTTGTCCTGTTGAATAGGCTATTGGCCAATGGGAATCTGCATAGGGCGGCTTGAAGTGGGGCTTGAGTGCTCAATGGTCACATGAGGCGGCACTGAAACAGTGGGTCCGGTACCTGTTGGCAAGGTATGATTGGCGGCTTGCGCCGTCCCCGGTATCTGACAGGTATCGTATCGTAACAGTAGGTATGCTGTAATGCAGCCTTGGTGCCTTGATTATCAGGCATGAATGTGTCCCGTCACCTCCTTCCTCCCTGTGGGAGGTGTTCATGCAGCATGCAGCATGTATGTGCTCTATGTCTTGAATTATGTTGGTCACAATGGGTGCAGATGCAGTTACAGCTCATACATGACGCCTAAGCTGCTGCCGGGACCTGGAGAATGTGATTCTGGCGACCTCTAGCTGTCTGCGAGCTCTATATAATCAGATATCTGCCAAGGAATAAGTTGAAGATGACTTCATCTGGTATCATATTATAGCCTTAAGGTATGCGTTTACTTCTCAGTCAAGAAAGCTGTCAGTTCAGAGGAAACTGGGGACAGAATGGCTGAAGAATGACTCACGAAAACCGTCTATGAAAGTCTAGACGATTTGACCCAATAATCAGAGAGCCCAGTTATCAACTCCCGAGTACCGTGTCAGGGGAACTCCATAGACAGTTGCATAGAGCGGCGCTCTTGCTCTGTGGCTAGGTTAGCTGGAGGGTTCCTGATGAACGACACTGTCAGTCGATTAGTCCTGTTGTCTTCAACTGCATTGCAACACAACCCGTCAATAATGAGTCTACCATCGTCGATCCGAGTACGAGATCCGAGCATGGCGGGTGACATATCAACAGGATGGAGCAGAATGGCTGTCAAGGCTCTGGTAAACTTGTTGACAGAGCTGTGGGCTCCAAATCAGCCGTGTTTCCATACAATTATCCTCGAAAATAAGCTCAAATTCAACTGGCCTTCCACCGCCAGTCAGCACAGCCGCTGCTCAGATTGTCACCAACTCCCAGAACTGCTCTTGTTGTCCCGGTTCAAGGGCAGAACAGCCTCGATATGGTCTCAGAAAAAAGAAACCCTGTCCGTCAATGACATCTTTCCGTTGGCCTGGAAGCCAGACCCATTTTGACCGTTCCTCAAGCATCCTTATTTGACCTCCTTCGCCCGTCCACCGCCTTTCCAACCCCACCGTGGCTAAAGAGACGACCGCCCAAGAGGCGACAATCTTATTTATTCTATTATTATTCTCCTTGAGAGACAGAGGAGCCCCTTTTCCCTTTGCTGCTTCGAGCTGTCTTCCTTCATCTTCACCTGTTCAGGGACCTCAAGTTATAAACTACCTACCTGGTATCTCGGTCTTACCCGTGCCACGAACCTTGGTTCCCTATCAATAAGGAGTACCCCGCCGCCCGATACAAAACATACACCACCACACCTCTATCTCACACAGAAATAATGGCCGACCACGAGGATGATCTCACTGCCTCCAAGACCGCTGGCTTCAAGGTCGGCGAGAAGAAGACTCTCGAAGAGTACACAAAGCTTGGTGCGTTGGTATCGTCTCATCCTGCGCTTACTAGATATCCAACCCGGGGGGGGGGGGGGGGCTGGAGTACTTTCACTCTCCATCCGGCTTTGTGGACGATATCTTTGCTCGCTGGATTGCAATTGCTTATTATTCCCCTTGGTTTCCCCACAATCCGTAATCTCTGAGGCTGACAGTAATGCTTTCGGAACAGACCAAGAAGATGAGGCGATGAACCGCTGGAAGGCGTCGCTGGGATTGAACACGGGAGAACCCGTCGGCAACCCCAATGACCCGCGCAAGTGCATCATCAAATCGCTCGCGCTCGAGGTGGCCGGACGGCCCGATGTGGTGATTGATCTGGCCTCAGATGAGGCGGTGAAAACCCTCAAAGAGCACCCTTTCACAATCAAGGAGGGCGCCACGTTCCGCATCAAGATCAACTTCCAGGTAAACCACGAGGTGCTCAGCGGTCTGAAGTATATTCAGGTGGTGAAGCGAAAGGGTGTCCGGGTTAGCAAGGATGAGGAGATGCTGGTAAGTCGAGTCAGGGAAGAAAAATATTCAATTGACTGGAGAATATACACCCTCTAACTTCACTCTGATAGGGAAGCTATGCCCCCAGCACAACCGACAAGCCCGTTTATGAGAGACGATGTGAGTACCCAATTCCCCGGATGTAAATCATATATTCATCGTGGTCCCCCGACCTTAACTCACCTCTGCGCAGTTAACCCCGAGGAGGCCCCGTCTGGTCTGCTGTACCGCGGCACATACGATGCCGTGTCACGATTCGTTGATGATGATGACCATGCCCATCTCCAGTTCGAGTGGACCTTCAAGATTGCAAAGGATTGGTAGTCAGGGTTTCCATAGAGCAAATAAATATATTTATACGATTTTTGGAATGACTTTGAGAAATGCGACAATATATCATTTCTATAGAGAAATATATATAGGTATACAAAAGCAGAGAATTGCAAGCTTTTACGGATAGAGCCAGGGTGGTCTATTACATGAGGCATTGATCAATTCTTTTATGTACCAAACTCCCCGAGTTGACAAAAAAAAAAGGGGTATCACAAAAAGTAGTCGATGACGGGATTCTGACCATCCTTGTTCTGCTGAGCCTGCTGCTCGCTGCGGTGGATGTCGTTCTCTGGGGCGGCGTCGAAGATATTAAAGAAGCGCTCGCCCGTGTCGCTGACCTCGAGCACGCTGGCCAGGTTCCCGCAGCGGTAGCAGTAGTTCGGGGCGCTCCAGACTGTGCTCAGCCGGTCGTCGTACAGCACCTGATACCCTTCTTGGCAAAGCTGGTGGGCGCGCAGGATGTGCGACATGCTGTTCACCTCGAGGAACTTGCGCACCACCTGCGCGCCAAAGGTGTATCCGGCACCACGCGGGGAGAGGGAGAACTCGTCCCGCTCGGTGTCCGGGTCGGACCAGACCAGGTCCGCCATCGGGCCCTCGTGCGGGATCTCCCGGAAGCGATCGATGATCTTGATCTGGTCGATGGAGTGGATCGAGGGAGACAGGCCCCCGTGCACGCAGAAGATTTGGTCGTTGATCACCACGCTGAGCGTCAGGAAGTCGAACATGTCGGTGAAGTAGTGCCAGACGTTCGCGTTGCCGTACTTGCGCGCGCATTCCGTGTAGAACCCGTACGACTGCGTCACCCCGCGTGACTCGTGATTGCCGCGGATGAGATGCACTCGCTGGGGATACCGGAGCTTCAAGCAGACGAGCAGCGAGATCGTCTCGACACTAAACAAACCACGGTCCACGTAATCGCCTACAGATCATCAGCTTATGTCCCATATAGAATGATTTGTAACCTTCTCCGTTTTGCCTTTCCCCCCTCACCTAAAAACAGATAGTTTGTGTTCGGACAGAATCCGCCGATTTTGAAGATCTCGATCATGTCAAAGAACTGGCCATGGATGTCTCCAACAACGGTGACGGGGGCAGCGATATGGACCACATTGCTCTCCTTCATCAAGAGTTCCTTTGCTTTGGCACAGATCGCCTCAATAACCGAGTCTGCTAAGAGCTCCTTTCGGTACAATCGCTCAATGCATTCATCCAGATCGATACTTGCTATCATAAATCATCAGCCATGGTCTCTTGATCCCGCATCCGACACTCCATTTCAATTTTTGTTCTTTTTTTCAAGGCCTATCGGTACGTACAGGGAAGGCCCGGCATGGCGGCGGCGGCGGATTCGGACCTCGGAGACCAACAGGCCGACGACGACAGCGGTGACTTGGCGGACGGAAATAGGTCTCAGCTCAAAGCTGGTACGAGATGACACGAGAGATGTCAAGGAGGTCGTAGGGGAGGGCCAACTAGGAAGGCAAAAGGCTCGTGTAAGGATAGTGTGTCTGAGATCTTCCGGCCACCGCTCGCATCATGACCACCAGCTCGCACTGGGAAATGAGTCAGGTTCAAGTACGCCGGGTCGAACGAAGGCCAGCGTCTGCTCCCGGTGGCTCGTGGGGGGGGTTTCACGAAGCCAAATCGTATCGAGGACTAATCTGGCGACATTCACGGGGCCAAGACGACTTCCGTGATGGCGGCTCAGCAGCTCTCAAATATGGTGAATGTTATCGCAATTTCGAATGTGTCGTTGACGCCAGGGGATTCTGTCCGAGGTCACCGCCTTTTATATCAGGGAAAGACTAGGAATTAATAAAGGATCAATCATTTCATGATAATTGTCATAAGAATAGAGATTAAAAGTAGAGGCAGGGATAAAGGCAAAGTAAACTGTTATTCATTTCTAGTATTATAGAAATCCTGTATCTCCAAGAAGCTTGGGTATCGACTCATTGTATATATTTTGCCAATTTGGGCACAATGTTGAATGTAGTATCTAGATAGTGGGCTATATATATCTTCAAGATATATCCCCTACAATAGACGTTGGGACTCCTTCTTCACTGTTTCTCTGTCGGAGTCGGTTTCCTCCTCTTCGTCATCTTCGCCATCATCTTCTTCGTCATCATCATCCTCCTCTTCTGTCTCTTCTTCTGATTCTTCCTCGTCCTCCTCTTCCCCGGAATCAGTCTCCTCCTCCGAGTCCGTTTCTTCCTCAGTTTCGCTCTCCTCATCGTCCAGCCATTCATCAAGGGTCCTTCCCTTGCCTGCGTTGGTTGCTGCCCCGTTCTTCTGAGGTCCGGATGCAGGTGCAGCAAGGGTGTCGTGGTCTCTAAGCGCTTTGTCGAGGCGTTCGCCTGCTGTGGTGGGCGTCTTTTCGGCCATATCATTTTTGACGTCTCTCAGACGGGAGTCGGGTTCCTGTCCCGGTTTAACCCTGATCGGAAGAGACTCATAGCCTTTGAGGCCATTGGAACCAGCGGCTGCGCCGACAACCAACGTAGAGGTCCCGATGAGGAGATCTTTGCGCGTTTCTGATGGACTGGGGGCGTACGGTACTGGTTTCGGCGCCAGAAGCAGTAAACTAGCCAGTTGTGTAGACCGAGGGTCTGAGAGCAGTGCTTTGTATAACCTGGCGCGGTCCCGTAAGTCATACGAGACGTCATACCGGGTAAGAAGCAGGATGTATCGCCAGAGTAGAGTGATTGTATCTTCCTTTGGTGGTTCTTGCTGCTCCTCCTCCTGCCTTTCTTCCTTCTGCTCGTCTGCCCATTCGTTATTGACTGTTATCCCGCCAGAGACATTGGGTTTAGGTTCCTCGGCTTCCTCGGCCGGCGGGTTTAGCAGGAGATGGTGTAAGTAGACCTTGGCACCGAGGAGGACGATCTGCTGTTTTGTCACCTCTGATTCATCCGAAAATCCCTTAACTAAGATGCGTAGGACATCTGGTGCAATGTTTTGCTCCGGTTCGGCACCGGCGTACTCGCCCACGAGCCAAATAATAGTGGCTCTTGCCTCGGGGTTTGTTGTCGATCCAAGATGTTTGACCAATTCGATAACTGTCCGCTTGTGAGAAGCAGGGTCCTGCTGGATCATGTGGCGAATAACAGTCAATGACTCCGACACCAGGGTATCATCTAAGCTCGACACTTGAGATAAAAGAACGCGGAGGCAGTGGTTGGCGGTGTTCATATCATTCTGGGCGCAGCGCCCAATGGCGCGCACGCACTCGCGCACCAGATCCGGATCAGTGCCGCGAGAAAAATGCTCCAGCTCGCTGATAATCACACCCTTCCAATGCAGCCCACAGTGAGGGAACAAAATCGTTAGCAACTCGAGCTTGAGACACCAGATATGAGACGGCTCATTGGCATGGATCAGGAAATGCGACACGTATTTCGCGAACATCGTCGGGTGATGCAAAGCAACCACGACAATGTTGTAGAGGGCAACATGCTGGATATCCTGAGGACTGCGGAGCAAGGCAACCAGAGGGCCAACTGCAGCAGCAATGTAATCTGGAGGTGCTAAGTAGAGAAAACAGCGAACAACGCTCATGATCACAGCCGAATTGCGACTTTGCAGCAGTAGCTTACAGCTGCGAAGGAAGAGTTCCAAATCTGGATGCAAGACCTCCACTTCTGTCCCGTCTTCAGCAGCAGGATTATCTGCGACTTCGTCATCTTCATCCTCGTAAAAGCCTTTGGTGGTCGATTTGTTAACCCGTTCGGTCTTTCTAGGAAAACATTTTCGCCCGTAGTTGGTTAAGAGACGCAAGGTCGCCAACTGAGCCCACTCATCCATATCCACTAGCTTTTTGACCAGACTCCGGTAGTGTTGGTGGATGAGGTCAATCCGATCCGGGCAGACATCTAAGAAAGCAGCGACAGCCGGCCCGACCACGAAATACTGGGAATCACCGAGCAGTGTCGACAGATAGCCAATCAGCTGTGGCAAACTGCTGGGGTCTAAGCGATAGCATTTCGGAATAGCCAATGCAGCAGCCTTGCGAACATGGGGGCTCATATCTCCGCAACCTCTTTTTATCGCCAGAGACACGATCTGACTGATCACAGGCACCCGAATGCCAGACATGGTACGAAGAGCCATAGCTCGGACCTGCGGGTTCTGGTCTGTGAGCGACTTTTGTATCGCATTGATGGACAAGAGTGCCAGGTCTGGTTCTGCTTCGGCATGGTGGACAAGGTAGATATACACCAGCTTCTTGACCTCGACATTCGGATTGGCCACGTTCTTGACAACCGCGGAAAAGAAGTTGAGGGAGGCTTCTGACGGATCATTGCGATACATAATCTAATTTCAAAGAGGTTAACCATCAGCCAAGGCATTTTCAACTCCCATAGATCTCCAGGTACACAAGTGATATGATCTTACCGAAATGACCTTGCGCATCCCATCGAGAACCTCCCGTTCATTGCGACTGTCAAGCAGCTTCTTGATATGCGGCACACTGTAGCTTTGAGAAGTGTAGTCCGGGGCTGTCCCTCTACTCAACGTCGCCGACTGTGCTGCCTCCAGCGTGAGCTCTCGAGCTGTTCATACAGTGCTGTGTTAGCGGATGACACAACCCCCATCTATCACGTTCACCCCGAATCAATGGCCCATACCTGTTTCCAGCATTGAAGAAATCCTTGAAATCGTCTCCATTTTGACCCCAAAACAGCCCTACCAGGGGGGGCAACACCGACCGAAAGTGTGCTTTGTGGAAGTTCCGGGTCGGGCAGGTTGGCTTGTCGAATTGGCGGGTGGAAGTTGGAGGTGGGACAGTGCCAAAATCCCGCCATGGGAGATAAGCGCAGTAATCCATGCCCCCATCAATAAACCCACCTACAAGCTCCCTTTGAGTCAGGTACACCTCGGCTGGAGAAATGACACTGGCATATGCGAGATAAAGGCAATGTCGAGGGGCTATTGGCAGCTGATTTCAGCTTCTACGAGTGAAATATGACGCTTACTCGCAAGATCTACTCTTGCAATCTTGTGACTGATTTTCTGGACTATCTTCTCCACGACTCCGAGAGGGAAACGACTTTAGTGGTCTGTTCGTCGAGAGAGCGATTTCTCGAACAGCTGTATGCTGCGATTCATTTGAGCCAGCCCGACCATGGGGCGGAGGAGCCTCATGAGCAAGCCGACGGTGACGTGAGCTCGCAAGGGTTTCCCGACATCTCGCTGTCCAAATACCAACGCTTACTCACAAAAACCATCGGCCTGCTAGGAAGATCACGGCGGGTCAAGCTGGTATTTTGCCAGACTGTGGAAACCCTGCGTGCATACATCTCGGTGCTGCCTGTTGTCTGGGCCAAGCATGCACCCGCCTCGGGGGAACAGCAGGTCAGACAGCCTCTACTTGCTGTTTTGAATTTACTGGAGCTTCACCGTTTGAGCTCAGAGTTTTCGGCGCAGGGGCTTTCGCGGACGCTGGCGACTATGGTCGAAATGGCTGCGAGCGTGGGTTCAGACCTACTGCTCTGCGAATGCAGAGATGCTACTGGTGTTTCCGGTATCGACAGCGGACAGAGATTATGGTTCGGCAATGTACCGATTCTCAGCAGCGCTATCCGGATCGGGGGAGACGATGGAGCGTGGAGTGGCCATGGAGTACCGGTGATTCGCGTCGTCCAGAGGTGGTTTGAATTTGATGACCACTGCCCGGCCTTACAAGCAACTACAAACAGCTAGGCTAAAAGGAAAGGAAACACAAAAAAAGGACTTAAAGAAATGTATGTACCGCTGGTCAATATGACGAACCATAAATCATTCAAGTGGGTATCCTAGAGCCAACCCTAGAACTCCTGAATCCTACAAAAACACCCAATAAAAAGAACCATAACCAGCCATATATTTCGTTACAGGCATTTCTCCATCTCGGTGATGTATAGCTTGATGTGAGATTCGAGCTTGATGTATTGGTCGTGGGCGCTGTGTATCTCGTTCTCGATATTCTCTTTGAGGTCGGTCATCTGGATAAGAGTTAGAGATGGTGTCAGAGCAGAGTGAGAGAGAGAGGAGAGCGAGCGTACCTTTTTCTCTGTCTGTTCAATTGCGATTCTTCTTCTTTCAATATCACGCTGCTTCTCTGCACGTTCTTCCCGCAGCTGCTTCTGGACATTGCGAAGCTCCTCCATCCGTGCCTGGGCAATTTCCGCCTTCTCCTGGGCATTCTTCCGTAATGTCTCAATTCTTTCATGCCACCGTGCTAGTTGGCGCTGTAGAAGCTTCTCGGTCTGCTCCACTTCTCGAACATTATTGCCGCGCTCGGATATAGCCTCCTTGTTCCTGACGGCCCGTGATTCTTCGTCATCTTCCTTCTGAAGCTCCACGGATATGTCCTCGAGTAACTTGATGCAGGCTTGAATGTCATTGGAAACCACCGTAAAAGTATCCGAAGATGTCTGTAATGCGCGGGCTCGCCTCTCCATAGCGTCGATATGTACCTTCTCCCGCACCAGATTCTCGGACAGTTCTGTCAATGACGATTGCAGGGTAGCGGGGCTCTCCAATACGTAAGGTCGGAGCTTCTCTGTCTCCTGCCGACTGCGGACAAGCCTTTCCATCTTTTCTTCAAGCGAGGTCTGGCGCCTCGCCTTCTCTGCTTTGACGCGTTCCAAATTTTCCGCCACCCGCTCCTGGGTTCTCCGTAAATCGAGCAATCGAGCCTTTAGTTCGTCGTTGCGCCGCACTTTTTCCTTAACCTGACTTTCGACCGCCTTCTGACTGCGTCTCATTTCCTCCAGGCGCTGTTCCATCTCCTGATTCTCTGCAAATAGGGTCTCTATCTGTGCTTTCGTCTTCTCCGTCTTGTTGAAGTGCTCGTCGATGACGGCGGTTTGCGACTCGCGGAACCGGACAAAGTTGATCAGATAGGAAAAGATCTTGACAAGTCTATCGTGCGTGGGCTTGGTCAGGTCTGTGAAAGTGAAATCGTTTACTCCGCACTATACCACAGCCGGTCAGTTAGCCAGAGGGGTTGTTTCGTCCAGCGAGGGGTCGGTCAGTATTACCTCCATCAGCAGTCGTTTCAGATTCACAAAGAATCCCATCAGATTCCGCGTATCAAGAGGAACAATATCCGCAAAATCACCACCAACATCTTCCGCTGCAGCGCGCATCCCAGGCTCGACGGTTTCCCGGGTAATATTCATGAGGAGCTCAGCAAACCATTCCAGCACCATCTGGATCTGCTGTGCGTTGGGCTTGAGCAGATCGGCCGCTGTAAACGGAATACCAATATCATTGATACATCCCGCGATCTCCTTATCGGGCTGGTCCTGCTGTCAGCGCCCAGCCAGACGAGGAAAGGGACAACGGTAAGGGGACCCAGAACAGGGCACTCACCAGACGCATCAACGCATCGTTTTCATCTTCCTTCTTGCGGCCTCGGGCATGCTGCTGCTGAGAGCCATGAAACTGCTGGCTCATACGATGATTGTACGCCATGGTGTGTCCGACCGACAGGCTACCCAGGCAAGGTCAATAGGCGACGGGGATGTTTATTATTATTATTATTATTTATAATGGTCGTTGTTTACCCGCACGAGGGACTGACGGAGCGACCGGAAGGGGACTAGCGCGACTCGGAGGGGTAGGCGGTGCAAACAACCCAAACACTCTTTTGCAGAATGACTCGTTCAGGCGAGCACAAAATCCATATTGGATTCTGTCCCAGCTGTTGAAACGTCTACACGGGGTTATTGCGGCTCGCTGGGGCTGCGTATAACAGCAAGATGGCGACTGCTAAGGATGCTTCGGCTGGTTCCGCCAACAAGCCATTTGAGTAGGTGGCCTTTTCTTCAAGGCATTGCTTGATGGACATAGACAGCGTTGCTGATGCCTGGGGTGTTTTTAGTATTGTCGCGACATACAATAATCTCCTGCGCTCTGATCCCGACTTGACGATGCCCATTGCGGCCATCGAAGCCTTGGTCCTTCTGCTTACACACTCTCCGTCATCAACAATATCTGAGACGCTGGACCTGTTGGAAAAGTCCACAGCCGATCTGAAGAAAGCCATCCCGAACCCCATCGGCCTCTCCGCTGGAACCGACCTTTTCCAGCGGTACCTGATCACAACGCTGCAGAGACCCGGGCAGCTAGGCCCAGCGGGGGATTTCAATGCCATTCGAGCACACCTTCTGTCGAATGGACGGCTGTTCATCCGACGTGCTAAAGAAAGTCGAGACAAGATTGCGACATTCGGACGAGGGTTTGTGCGCGATGGAAGTACTGTCCTCACAAACGGTGGATCTCGTGTTGTTGCCTCACTGCTGCAACATGCTGCGGGGGAGAAAGGTGGCCCCTCCGCCGTGCGGTTCCGAGTGATCTACGTGCTCTCCTCGGCAAAGGGGAACCTGGAGAACCACCACGCAGAGCCAGAGGGCATGGAAACCGTGCGCGCCTTACGAGCCGCGGGGGTCCCGGTCGCCACGATCCCAGAATCTGCCGTTGCCTACTCTTTGGGCAAGGCAGATGTGGTCATTGTCGGTGCTGAGGGCGTGGTGGAGAACGGCGGGATTGTCTCCCGTCTGGGGACGTACCAGATCGGCCTGCTGGCCAAGGCGATGGGCAAGCCCTTCTACGTCGTGGCGGAGAGCCACAAATTCGTCCGTCTATACCCCTTGGGCCAGTATGACCTCCCGATAGAACAGCATGTCATCGACTTCAAGACGGACGAGGACCTCACCGACGAAGCTCACCCCAGCGATTGCACTGACAAGGCTGTTCTCGGCGAGGCTGTCGATTTCACACCCCCCCATCTGATCTCTGCCCTGATCACAGACAGTGGTGTCCTGACTCCTAGTGCCGTTAGTGAAGAGTTGATCAAAATATGGTTCTAAGATGGGGACCAAAAGAAAAGAAAAAAAAATCCATGACTTGACGCTAGTTCCCCTGCGAAACCCTTCTTCATACGGCGAGCCCAAACGCTGAGCCCATTGAACAAATACAGGCCAGAATGATATCAATGCAGATATCGTATTTCGACTTGTTATGGGGGGAAAACCACCCAGTCCGACCGATTGATCCATCACGGCCCTTCAGCCGACCCTGCCACTCTCCTCCGTACACGTCATATCAAAAGTATGAATTACGAAGCTACAGACAGGGTCCCTCTTTTTAGTTTTATGATCAGTCCTTGCAAGTTCAGGCCTTGGCTATTCGCGGGAGCGTTTCGAAGATTAGGATACTTGGTACGAGTGGGCTGTACACATAGCAAAAGAAAGACTATGTAATATGTACTAGTTTCTTCTATGACTGCACTTATGAAGCCGTTTAGAAAAATATACACCATTCTTTTTAATGTCATGTTCATATATACACCGGCCATGTGTCCAGTTGTAGTTATCATAGTATCGTCAGTCGTGATGCGTTCTCAGGTCGGTAGGAAGTATCGAATCTCGAGCAAGGCTGGGTCTTTTCTTTTTCAAGCCCAGCAACACGGTCGTATAATCAAAGAAAATCGTCACTCGTCATATTCGTCAATCATCACGGGGCGTACTCCACAGCCCTGAGTACGGGGTAGAGGTAAATAGTAGTAGTTCTCAGTTGGCGATCTGTTTCAGATAATGGATGCTCTGTAAGTCGAGCACCTGCATCGAGGCAAATGCATAGAGGAGGAAGTATCCGAAGGCAACGAATAGCCACAGCGCTTCCATTTCGCTCTCTCTTTCTTTTCGACTGTTGATACCGGCGAGGGTTTCACTAACACTCCTATGGGAGAAGTGTCATGCAAGTTAAAAGAGTAGTAGGCTAGTAGAAGCGCAAGTCCCCCCTTCAATGCCTGGTAATCCAACGGGAAATCGCTTTTTCTTTTATTTAACAACTCTACTCTGCCCTCCCCTCCCACATGTCACAGAGAGAAAAAAAAAACCAAGGACAAGAGAAATTCTCGGTACACACAAAAGCGGGGTACTAATTCCAGAGGAGGGGGAACGAAAAAAAAATCCGAGGGATACCATGCCATCTTCTGTCCACTTGATGGACAGAGCACAACGACCTTTAGGCTTTCATACCCATCTTCGGAGGCTCGCGGATACTGATGACTCGTCACGCATCACGAATCAACTCCACCGGTTAAGGTGTGGACTCTATAGTCTCTGGAGTACCTGTGCTCGGGCCCAGGCGGTGTATACTACACATGAGTACTTGGTTTAATGGGTTGTTTATCAGATTTGGTGAACAATAAGGATGCGGTGAAGGAAGGTTACGGGCTCGCCTCTGTCGTGATTGGCAGGAGATGATGGAACGACCTTGACGTGTTGTCAGTGACAGGCACATTGTTCGGTCAGGTCGATGCAGAGGTTACTCCATTCCTTCTTGATTGTTACGTGGGTGATTCGTCCTGAGGCTGAGCAGTGAACAACAGAGATATGGTCCATCTTCCAATTCCGACTCCTCGTCCTCCGATAGGCAAGAAGAAAAGAGAGAGTAAAAAAAAAATAAAACGGGTCGGACCTCGCCAGTCGTCCAGTCAAAGAATTGTTCTGGAATAATGTCGACGATGGGGATTGTCGCCCAACGGGAATACAGAATAATGGTGGTGGAAATTGGACAGTGGACACTGACTGGATCGTACCCCCCTTGTGGTAGAGGGAGGGGGAAGATGACTGCTGTCAATTTCTCACCCCCCCCCTTCCCCCTTCCCCTCGTGTGCAGATTCTCTCTACCAAGCATCCGAGATCCTGGTCTCTATCCCGGCCGTTATCTTTCTGTGTTCTCGTCGGGTCGGTTAGTTGCATTTGATTCCCGGGCAGGTTTCTAACCAACCGTCCTGTGTTCAAACGATGCAGACACAACCCTCCGCGGTTGACTCGTATGAGATGAAAGCGGATGGAGCTGATCCCGAAAATTCGCGAGCCAGAGAGTCATCGTCCGAGAACGAAGCTGGCCACACCGGCACCTCTTGGTCTATCAAGAAATTCCTGGCGCGACGCAGGAGTCGCAGATACCGTGTGCTTGAGAGAGAGACCAATCGGCTGAGGAAGCGACCCTCATAATAGAGCCATCCTTGAGGACTCTACAGTCGTGCTGTACAATCTTCGCTCTGACAAAGAGTTTCGTGGTTTTATCCCCTCCCCCCCCCTTTCTGGAGGAATAACGTGCCATTTGAGGTCTCTAGACTCTTAGACCTAGTGACATCCCGCTGGACTACCAAGCCATACTACATACATACCTTTGCATACGATATAAACAGGCTACGGAGTATACTGAATTCCTGATCCAACTCCATTGATTATACGGAATAGTATGCTAGAGGACACTGGAGTCTGTACAGAGTACGGTCTCTACGGACTCTACTACTACATACGGTACATACAATTCCTATCAACAGCTCAATCCATTGCTTGCTTTTTCTCCGTATGTGATACGTTGTGGGAATTGGTCTACCCATAACCCCCCACCATGTCGACGGCCAACACGTCACAGTTCAACGTGGCTCGCCATGATCCACCGCATCTAGAGAGATACTGTAGGGATGGATCTTCAATTTATTCCCTCCCCCCCTTCTTCTTGTACAGAGTACGAAAAAAAAACAGCCTCAGAGATGAGGTGGTCATGACGGACCCCGACCGACTCACCGCACTGCCAATTGTGCGTGCCTTGGGCGGCACGGCGTTTGCAGCTTCACGACAGATCGGATACCCGCACGAGGACTGCTCTGTTTCCCAATGATTTTACCGATGGGAAGTACTCCATTGAGAGTCCTCCGTTCTGAATGACAGCGAATGGCAATGTCACTTGTCGATGACCCCCCCCCCCCTGGGAGCACTCCTTACCATGTACGGAGTACATCCCGGATAGTTGCAAGGATAGGTCAGGCTACTAATCCTACGGCATGAACTCTGAAGGGCATGCCTGGGGGTAGTTCTCCGAAGAAGAAGGGGGGGGACGGTTGCGCACGGAGTCCGGAGTGGATTTTTTCAGATGGAATTGGATGATGTCATCCAATTGCACGGTGACTGAGCCGTCTCCATCAGGATGTGCATTGACGTACGAAGGTATGGATTGTCTGAAAGGAGTCTGGAATATACGGAGTACTCTGTCGACTACATCAACTACGGTACATCTACGGAGTACATACCACTCTGTACAGAGTACTCCATACCTATGACTTACTACTTACCTTACTACCTATACGGAGTTTGTACGGAGTACCAAACGCTTAACATCTAGCCCTGTGTCATATGTCCGGCTGTCTTGCAGATAGAATTAATATGGGCCGTCCGGAACTACTCCGTATGTGGATAGGTAATATCGACAGCGAAATTACTCCGAACGCCAAGGCTAAGCCGGTCCCACTGTCTGTAGTAGTATGTACCTAGTCAGTAGTTACTATATAGACATAGCCATCAGAAAAATTGAGACATGAGGTACTCTGTAGTATGTCTTGACTGGAGGTAAGGAGTGAACATAGGGATACTAGTTGATAGTATGTAGTAATATGAGATGGCTACCAAATTGATATTATCAGTTAGTATTTACGAAGATACTCCGTACTACCATAGGTAAATAGGTAGGTACCTAGGTAACTAACTAATTACGACGCCTCGTCAACTAAATCTCGTTAGTAGTTAGTTCCTCCTCTTACTCCGTATGTCTCCGTAGAATTATGCAAGGTACAGCAGATCAGACTCAGGATCTCGATCAGAGACTAGGTACAGAGTATAGATCATGGGGAGATAGCATAGAATATAGATCGTGACTTGTACAGTATGTAGTATGTAGTAGGGTTGAATTATTGATTATTGTTATTGATATTGATATTGTTGAAATTACCTTCTCCATCAAGCCCCATTCTCCATAATGATTGCGGGACGTGGAAATTAATCCCATGGAAAGAAAGGGGCGGTGACAGGCGGGAAGCAAAAGAAGACTTTGGACGGTCCAGGCCTAAGATTGAAAGATTCAACAACGGTCAGCAGGTCGGAGGAAGGTACCGACTGCATAGTAATTACTTGGTACTCGCTACCTAGAAAATACCTTGTCATAAGAATATAGTATCAGAAGATAATATGAATGATATAAATTATTCTGGTCTTCCCCACACCAGGAACGGCCTAAACAAACAGGCTGAGACAGTCAGTCAGTCTATGACTGAAAGCAATCGAGAGTCCTGGATAAGTGTTTACTACGGAGCACTTGTGGTTAGTTACCAGGTAACTAACAAGATGGGTAGTTCAGTCCTCTGTAAGCCTAGCCACTACTAGTTAACCCAATAATTAATACTAAAGCCTTTTGACTTACGAGAATCGACGATCACCGAGTCACATTTTTTTGTGGCCTGAACCTGCTTCGTGCCTTAACGGATTCCCTGAGTCCCTCCCGTCCAGGCGTCCACTGTCCTGTCCAGTCCAGTCCAGTCCAGTCCCTTCCCCTTCTTCCTGCAACCTCTGCTCGTCTGCTCGCCCTCATCCACGTGTCGAGCTCTTCATCTGTCTTTTCCATCCGGTGTCATTGTCATTTCTTCCCGGTCATCTCCCATCTTCTTCGAAACATCATCCACCGCTATCCACCGACTCTTCACCACTTTCTCACGTGTCTCCCGGTCTAGAATACTCCCACCTACTACCTACCTACCTACCTACCACCCCTCATGAATTCAGTCACCCATCCCCGATCCATCGAACAGGAAACCGCCTGTGTTTGACCAACCAGCCAGTGAGCTGAGCACAAGGGTGAGCGAGACCTTGATCTCTCGGGTCGCCCTTGTTGGCTACCACCGCCGCCATCACCACCACCACCACCACCCCCATCCCCGATCCATCGAACAGGAAACCGCCTGTGTTTGACCAACCAGCCAGTGAGCTGAGCACAAGGGTGAGCGAGACCTTGATCTCTCGGGTCGCCCTTGTTGGCTACCACCGCCGCCATCACCACCACCACCACCACCACCAACACCAACACCAACACCACCCCCTCCCCCTTCCCACCCATCAGCCATGGCGATCTGGCCGTTCGGCCGCAAGAATAAGCGGCATACGATTCAGTTTGGGACCTCGGATACCGCAGGGATCCCGTCCCTGTCTACCTCAGAGTCCGCGCCCGGACTAGTCAGGAAACCATCTCGCAAGCGATCCAAGCGTCAGAAGCAACAGCGATACTCGCAACCCCCGGAGGACGGGTCCTTTACCGCCGCGCCCTTTTATCATACCGGTGGCCCCCTATCCGAGGTTGATGGGCACTCCAAGAAGAGCAGCAGTCGGAATCCCTCGGTGCGCCACGACCTGCATTTCGATGACCACACCTCTCGCTCGAGTGTGGGGGGAGGACAACATGAGAAGCACCAGGGGGGGTCCGTCATCGGGAGGACTTCGTCGATACTCCGACGGAAACCCAGCCAGAGCAACAACAACAATAACAATAATGGGCCCTCAGTACTGCGGAGGAAGTTGAGCAAACGAAAAGCCAACGAGATCGCCAGAGAGCACGAGATCCGTCTGCTGTCCTCCTCTCCCATCGATATCCCCCGGCGACCCGTCGCCCTGGTTCACGATAACTTTTCCGTCGATACCGGCCGCACACCCCGGGCGACCAGTCGACGCTCCGACCGTCATCTCTCCGCCGATCCGGGCCTTTTCATCCGCGACTCCGCCGCTTCCTCCATGACTGACATCTCCGAGTCATATACCTTCAAAGTCAACGCGTTTGCTGCCTGGACGCCGCGACCGGCCATCCGCTACGTCGAGACTCCCCGCACCCCCCGTGCACTGTCGGCGGCCTCCACACGGCGTGAGAAACGGCCGGTCCTGTCCATCTCCGAAGAGGACATCCAGTCAAAGAAGCGGGTCGAGGAGCTGGCTGATGATCTGGACGCCGGGGCCTTGAGAGAACTGTTGGAACGGGATCGGCGTCGCCGCGAGCGGAAGCGATTGGACGAACAGGAACGCCTACAACGCCGACTTCAACGCCGAGCCGAGCGACAGCAGCAGGAGGACCGCCGGGCCGCCGAAGAACTGTCCACTGGCCATGTCACTGACGAGGGTTTCGTGGAGGTCCCTCGTGGCAGGTCAATCATAACAAATGCTACTACTACCACCACCACCACCACCACCACTACCACTACCACCTCCACCAACGCCGACGATTTCATCTCGGCGGACCCTTCCACTCGTGCGGGAGAGCCACGAGACCGTGAGGTCGTTGCGGCTGCTCCGACTAACCCAACAGGCTCCTGGCTCCGTGACCCCTCCAAGGATAGCAAACGCATGAGCCAGGAGTCCTTTGAGAGCGTTCACGTGATAGGAAACCTGGATGACAGCTCTATCCGGGCGAAGAGACTGGGCCAGCGCCGGAGCCTGGCCCTCTCGCAGAGCACCGTTTCGGATTCACCCCGGCGCCACGGAATCGGCAGTGCCAACACCTCGCAGATCTATGACATGGCGCGCGAGTCGACCTCGGACGTCTCGCGGACGATCGACTCGGAACGACGCTTGTCGGATACCAGCGGGAAACACATGAGCTCGCTCTCGTCCTTCTTCCGCCGGGGCAGCTCACGACTCAAGCGGAGCTACCGGGAACGCGTGCACGACCACGCCTCCGACTTCTCCAACACCTCTCACGAATCCTTTTTCAAGGTCCAATCCCAACAATCTTCTGGCCCGCCACCCTACACAGCACCCAAGACTTTCCTCCGTCCGGGCACAATTCAGCGGCCCTTCTCCAAATTCACCGAACATTTTGACGATGATGAGCCCATGTCTCCGCCAGACTCGCGTCTACAGTCCCCAGATATCCCAGAGACGATCTTCGACCACTCTCCTCCGGACGAAGGGGAGGTGGTGGTGGAGGAGGAGGAGGAGGAGGAGGAGGAGGACACCTACCTGCACGTCGGTACCGACATTCCCGTCTCATCCGTCGCGAATAATTCGAATGAAAGCTCAAGTCGTCACCGGTCGTGGGTCGTGGACAGCTTGGATGCCGCCGCAGTGGCGGCCGATAATGTACCGTTGTCTCAGTCCCTGGCTTCGATCGACTCGGAAGGCTCCTGGATGTCCGGGCAATTCCTACGTCGGATCTCGAAGCGAGCCAGCACCAACCCCCGGGGCTCCAGCCTCGCATCTACAAGCCGGTTCGCGGATGGAGAGCAGCAGCAGAAACAGCTCCCCGGTGAGGACTACTTTGCCCGGTTCACGCCGTCCGGCGATGATGACGATGAAGGTGACGACGACGACCACCATCACCACCATCACCACGACGACGAGGCACGGGAGTCGCCTGAAGACGACACGGTCAATTTCGAGGTCGACTTGACTACTACATCTCGACTGTCCCCCGCCGACGAAGCGGAGGAGACCTGGCATGAGGAAGTTGCCAAGCGGCCGACGATTGTCAATCCCATCCTTCGTCCCAAATCCAACCAGGGGCTTTTAAACTACGTCTCAATGATTTCTGACGAGGCAGATGATTAACCTAGGTATTATTATCTTCTTTTTTTTTCATTATTTCTATTTACTATTATTCATTGATTCAGTATCTCCCAGATACTTGTACTCTATTCTAATTCCTCTTCTGCTCATTTTTTACCTCCCCCCATTCTCTCTCTCTCTCCCTCTCAAACCCCTCATATTGCTTTGCATAGCATTCCCCATCTCACCCTAGTCACTCTTTACCTACCACCTTTCCTTTGTCTAGACATATGACTTCCAAGGGGCCATGATTGCCTCTATGAACCCCATCACCTTGTTAGATACCCCTGTTTATGTACATATAATTATTATCCATTAATAAATAGTTTTATTAAACATTCATTCTAGAAAGTACCCTGTACCTAAATACTACTACTAGCCAGGCCAACTCCACAGCATTCCAGACCCTTAAATTTGTAAGCGGATCACGTCATCTGCCGCGCCCCTAAAATCTCTCTCTACCTAATGAACAGCAGTACCGAAAGTAACAGTACCACCACTTCTACCTCACATAATCCGACTTATCCAGGTACCTTTACCTAAGTCTCTGTGCATCTCCCTGACAAATCATTTTCCCAGGTAAATCTTTCTTCTTCTTCACTGCTTAATCATCCTTGAGAAGCCTATGACGTGCACATAGCTCCCCGCTCTCCTCTCCCCCCGCCGCCCTACAAATAGCTAATCTGCCTCATATCGTGATAGATCTTCTAGAAAAAAAATAATTCACCGTGGCATCCCTTCGCCCAACGTCTCGTCTCCTCTCCGCCAGGATCGCACCCGGCTTGATCTCCCGTGCAGCTAGGAGTCGCTTGACAGTCTATCCGTCTATCATCCCTACGAACAAGACCTTCCGCGCATTCTCATCGAGTCCGTCTTCTTTCTTCCACGCAACAAAAGCTACAATGGCTGGTGGGAACGTTATTGTGATCAACTCGTAGGTTGACAATAAATCTTACTTTATATATAGAAACTAATATGATAGGTCCGCCGAGTTCAAGGAAAAAGTCATCGATGCCCAAGGCCCCGTGGTGGTCGACTTCTTCGCGACCTGGTGCGGCCCCTGCAAGATGATCGCGCCGCAGATCGAGAAGCTGAGCGAGGAACACACTTCCATCAAGTTCTACCAGGTGGATGTTGACGCCCTGCCGGAGGTGTCGGCCGAGCAGGCCATCCGGGCTATGCCGACGCTGATCTTCTTCAAGGATGGCGAGAAGGTCGGGGAGGTCGTTGGCGCGAACCCCAAGGCGATCGTTACTGGTGTTCAGCAGCTGGTGTAACTTGATTCATTTCAATAATAACTGAGATAATTCCATAATAACTGGATGAACTCGATAGTACTCAATAATGTACTCAATAGTATACCCCATGGTACTCAATAATGGTACTCAGAAAAGGTACACCGTACCCGATGATAACTACAATAACAGACTCAATAAAAGCAACAATTTTAGATTCTCACCGAGTCTTATGACGATTGTCAAGCCACATACACATACTCAGACCACAGACTACAGTTTAGTATAAGTTGAAACATCTCTGTATACATCCAAAATCTAGACGACCAAGTTTTGGGCTTTTATAGTTTTCTACCTGTAGTTCTTGACCTTAGATAGGGACCTGTTAATTAATACCTATCGATAACTTAGTCTAAACATGTGACCTGCTCGTGACTGACCAGTGACCACTGGCCAACTCCTATCTAAACTTCCTCCTCCTAAATCGCTGCCGAGTTCCATGGCTCCTTCGGAACTCAGATCCAGGGTGAGTACTAGCCAGGGCCTTGATTCCGAATCGATATACGGAGTACTCCTGAATCATCTCGTACTAGTCAGAAGTACTAACTACAGACAAATAACTAGGTATCATGGTAGTAGTCTCTGCCCGGAGTCTACGCTGGTTCGACTGACGTCGGAATTCGTCCCCCAGCTCCACTGTCCTCGCTTCCAACCCGTCCATCACATCTTTCAGCTACGGAATTATTTTTTTAGGGTTCTCGCCTAGCTCTCCATCCCTGCTAGACACAGCCTGGGAGTTGTTATTGGATGCAGCCGATCCCCCGCTATCATTCACATGTCCCCTGGTTTTGTTCGGCACGAGTCGCGTCTCGGCGATACGGAGTACGCACCACTCAACTCGCAAATATGCCACTATGGCAGTGGCTTAGAGAATTGCAGCAGGGATGTGAAATTAGGTCTGGCAGGGCTCAATCACAAACACTCTACGGAGTACTACTACCTACTAGCTACCTAGGAAATCCCCCCTTATTATTGAGTGGCTGCCTTCGCTGTCACTGTCATTATGTAAGGTATGACTACCTAACAACTCTATTTGAGTAGTTGGGTAGTTACAGAATACTCCGTACGGATGGTTGTGATATTACCTAATTTCCAGTTCTGATTTCTCGCCATGTGGCATCCATGGGCTTACCATGGCTGGCCAGAGCTGGTCTCTCAAGTATGGGTTAAGTTAGTGTTCCACCTTTTCTTTTTTATCTTGATGAAAAGGAACTAACTACCTTTTTTTTTTCTGTCTCCTCCATCGCTTTGGAAATCGGATCCACCGAATCTCGTCGTGTCTCGGGGGACGGCTGTCCCGGCGGCGCTCCCATTGGACCCTGCCAACTCAGTCCCCAGCGCTTTAGCCATCTCCTCCGATCTAGATGGAGTCGGACACAGGCCCAGTGGGGTAGCTCGCCTATGCGATCGGAGTAGTTCGCTGCTAGCCTGGTACTGTGCTCATTCCTGCGTTCGCGGCTTGGCCCTCATTGATCCTGATGGGATGGGGAGGGATTCTGAAAAGAGATATCCAGAGAGGGTCGGACACTGGAACGCTAAGCTGTGCTAAACCAAATTCCTGGACATGGGCTCGATCCAGGATAGGATTTATGATCCATGGCCCAAACGCCATCGAGGGGCTTTCCCCTCGTAAACCTGGTTCTGGCTTGCCAGTCAAGACTCGCAGCCGCGTGGGCACAATCATATTATCCGAGCAGTCCTGGCATAGGAGCAACTGTACTACATATACTACTTGATATGGCCCTGCCGTGTATGCTGATTATTACCTTGCCTTTGTCCATCCGCACGTCATTACTTGTCTGACCAACTCCCATCCCCATTCTTCTTCATATATACTGTACATACATACATACCCCCATGTAGATACCAGGCGTCGAGTCTCTCTCGTTTATATCCATCTTTCTTTCTCTTTGCTTTCCATCCGTCTGGTCAATCGCGGTTCTATCCATTCCATTCCTTCAATCCTTCAATCCTTCAATCCTCCCTTTCTTCATTCATTCATGATCCCTTCGTTTCTATAGCCAAGTTGACTGGTTTTCTTTCCCACCACATCATGGCGAGTGCATATCGCCATCTCGACCTGGCCAAGGCCAGCGTCTCATACCTACCCGGTTACATCGTGCTCTCCTACGTGGTGAGCTTGATGGGCTGTGCCACCACGCTGGAGCTGCTCCATCGCCGCACCTCGCGCGCGGGTCTATACAACTGGTACCTCTTACTCACCTCCTCCATCACCATGGGCGGCATCGGTATCTGGTGCATGCATTTCATCGGCAACCGCGCCATCGTCCTTGCCGACGGCGACTCGCACATCCAGATCTCCTACAACGTCACTTTCACCGCCGTCTCCTTTGTTCTCCCCGTCTGTGTCGTCTTCGTCGCCTTCTACACCATCGGCGCCGCCGAGAAGGCCGGTTATGTACGCATCCTACTCGGCGGTGTGCTCACCGGCAGCGCCGTCTGCGGCATGCACTACATCGGTCAGCTGGGTATTGCTAACTACAGCTGCGTCTACGTTCCCGGGACTGTCGTCGGTGCCGCCATCATCGCCCTCGTCTCCGCAACCACCGCTCTGGGCGTCTTCTTCCGCTGGGAAGCCTCCTGGACCGATAGCTGGTGGCGTCGCGGTCTCTGTGCCGCCCTGCTCGCCGTCGCTGTATCCGGTATGCATTGGACCGCTACCGTCGGCACCTCCTACCGCAATCATGACAAGACGCATCAGTCTTCCAGCCAATTGTCAAGAAGTCAGACCGTTATCATCTGCGCTGTTCTGGTAAGCACCAAGCACCCCCCCGCTAAGCTATCTCTTGCTATATATCTTTCTGGGCAAAGAAGGAACCAACCTTTGTTTTCTAGTCGTGTGCCTCTTGTCTGTTGCTATCTGCATGTGCCATTATTGCCGGTGAGAACCGTCGGCGGTCGACAACCCGCGCCCATCAACTGGTGCTATCCTGTGTCTTCTTTGATCCTGCAGGTCGGGTCATGGTCACCCCGCAGGCGTTGCTACCTAGTCGGAAGATCGTGGAGCATTACGTTGGACGGGTTAGTTCTTTATACCGGGGGGTGGGAGTTATGTTGCTAATCACTGCGGCAGACTTTCAAAGACGACGATCTGACTCGCACCCATCCGGCGTTCCTGTGGGCGTTTCGGGCAAGCCGCAATTGGAAATTGATCAAAGATCTGGTGCCATTCATGAAGGGCCGTCTGGAATCCGAGCATGCTGTCATCCAGCGACATGTTCGGTCTAGAGGCGGCGTAACGGACAAGGAGACGGAGCTGCAGGTCGACTTCGACACCCTCTTCAAACAGCTCTTCTGCGTCACGGCGCAGGAGCTTGCCGACGACCTGCGACAGCCGCTGCAGGACTTGGGGATTCTGTACGACAACATCATGACCACCGTCAATCCGATCTCACGCCTCTCGCGGGCCATGGGCTACACCTCTTCTAGCACGGGCAAAGGCCAACTGGTCTTCACGGTGCGCCAGCTGAACAAGCAGGAGGCTTCCCGGCTCGCAGCTTCGGGCTTCCGGTTCGCGACCATCGAACATGTTGCGCCGACGCTGGCGCGCCGACTCCACGTCGCCGCGACAGGATTGGGCGGGAGTCTGCGCGACATGCGCGACTACGCAACCTCGAGCCGCAACTTCCAGCAAGGGGTACATCTGATCTCGTTCGTAATGCGGCCGACGGTGAACGAGCACTTCGAACTGTTGACGGCCAAGGGCGTAGGCAACCCCTTGCCGTCGGCCACACTGCCGACCAAGCGCCTGCAGATGCGCCACATGGAGCTCCTCTCGCACATGGACGGCTGGGACATGGCGATGTGCATCAAGTGGCTGCGGTCCGAGGCCGCGGCCATGCATTACCCGGACATCACCGATTTCCGCGACGAGCTAATACACGCCGTATCGGAGCTTTTCATCTCGCTGCCCCCCCATCTCAACGCCGCCGCACGCCTGACGGCCCGCCCTTTACTGGCCCCCTGCCGCGGCAGCCGACTGTCGGACGAACAACACTGCGTTCTGCTAGCCTTTTATGCCGTCGCCCCTCTCGACACCCAGATCTCCAACCCAGACTACAGCTTCACCCCGTTCCGCCTGTTTCGCCTACAGCAGCAGGTCAACGATGGCGTCGCCGACCACGACGGCTTCTCCAAGGAACTCGGCCAGGAGCTCTTCTACTCTAACGTCCTCTCCAATATGGACCCCCAAGATAACAATAACAGCTCGACTCTCAATCCCCTTGGTCCCGCCGGTCGCCAGCGCTCCTCCGCCTCCTCCCGTCGTTTCCTTCCCTGGCCCGGCCGGAAACGCGGCCTGTCCGCCGTCTCGCAGGAGTCACTGGTCCAGAGCAACAGCAACCCGTTCGGCGACATCATGGTCCGCAAGGAAATCCGCGTCGATGTCGCCAAGTTCGAAGACTCCGCGGCTGCAGCTGCAGCCTACCCCCCCGTCAATAAGAAACTTCCGCACGACTCGAAAATCACCATCGCCGGAGGAAGCGCCGCGAACAACAGCACTTTCGTCGACGAGTTGTACAATCTGTGTTTTGCGCCCGGCATGCGTCTTCGCCCCGACGTGACTTATCAGAACCAGTTGGACAATGTATGAACAGTACATCGGCATCCTTCATTACCCACCCAATCAACTGAACCAAATGTCGGTTCCAGCTTCCAAAAAGCAATCGGCCATTAAAGCCATCATCTATACTCTGTAATCATGATTTCCATGATGGATGGCATTTCGCACCAGAGTTTCAGCTTGGCTACTCCCGGTTTTTATGATACCAGCGTCTGACTTTGCATGCCAGCCACTTTTAACAGCATGGAATATTGCTGTCTAATATATTATCTGTCGGCATGGATGAAATCAGGACCATGATGAAGAGGAGAGATACTAGATTAGCAACAATGAGTAGGATCATTGATATGGCTAGTCATATATATGACCAGATGAAATAGTTCTGCATATACTCCCTATTTAACGAATAGGCAGATGAAAGACTGATCTAACAGATTCTCATGCGCAATATGTTTCTGTAGAATCAATACTAGAATTAATATGTCGCTAGACTAGAACTAATGAAAGCTCAAGCTTCTCGAGTCCCCTCTTGGGAAATTCAAGCATTACTGTCATGACAAGACATTATTCATAAATGGGTAGTATTTTGGAATCGGATCATCCACAGGTCCTCGAATTACAAAGCAGGACTATTTTGAATTGGATATTCCCATCGTACCACTTTCACACATCTATCTAGAGCCATACCTAGAGCCAGGCGCCCGCACTGCTCTAATGCTTCTAATGATCCCCAGTCAAGGTAAGACAAGACTTTTTTTTTTCTCTCTCCCCTCCCGCCTGGTAATGTAATGCACATGCACGACTTTTTGGGTCCGATATTCCAGCCCTCCGGCGATTCCCCTCGCCCCCCCCCCCCCCAAACGCCTCAAACTAGACTAGAAAAGACCAAAATATGCTCCCGAGGAGATAGTCGCTGAAAAGAAAAGAAAAGAAAAGAAAAAAGAAAGGAATATCCGTATGTAAAAGGCATGGTCGCCGCAGAGAATGTCGGAATGGTTGCGGAAGTTGTAAAGATGTCGCTCAAATCAGACCCAACACGCCAACGATGCAATCCTATGTATTGATCGAAAACCTAAGATAGGCATTCCCCGTCCAAATACTCCTTGGAAATGATTTTGAACGAGACAGAAAGCCCGCCAAGAAGAAAGATTAAAAAACTAAAAATATGCGTGTCGTAACTTCGTGCGATGTGGAGCAAAGGGTTTGCTATGAGATGGACCGCAAACCAGAGCCAAGGGGGATAGTAATCAGGATTATAGTTCCCTCTGAACGTTGCGTTTGCTTAGGTTTCGTTGACTCCGGCGTAGTTTCGACCCTGGAGTTGGTTCTGTGGGTGCAGTAGGAGTAGTAGTAGTAGTAGTAGTAGTAGTAGTAGTAGTAGTAGTAGTAGTAGGGGTAGTAGTAGGTGTAGAAGGAGATTGCTGTCGCGTCCTGCGGGTACGTCTTCTCCGAGGTTCTGGGGCGGCGTTGATCGATGGTGTCTCCTTGCCTTCGACGCTTTCACCATCAGAAGACACTTTGGACACTACCTTTGGAGCCGCGACATCCGGGCTGACGCGCAGCCGTAACGATACAAGATCATTCTGGTCATCCCGGAAAGCAATGCCAACGGTGACATTTGGTAATATACGGCGTTTCTGCTCTCGCGCTCGGGTGCGTCGAGGCATGGGCCGGATGCAATCTTCCTCATCGCTGTCTTCTGCAGATCGCTTGCTAGCAGTGCTAAACGGGGACGACGATCGTGAAGATGGCTGTTGCAGAAGCTGCTTGAGGACGGATTTCTGAGGCACGAGTTCTGATGGAGCGACGGACGACGCCGACTTGGTTTCCAAGTCAGCAAATGATGTAGTCGATGGCTGAGACGAAACAGATGAGCTGCCACTTTCATCCAGCAAATTCGAAAACGCTCTTTCGATATCCCCGCGGCAATGTTGGAGCATCTCGATGATGGTGGCTTGATCGTACCGCCCACCTAGACCTTCCTGGATAGTAGAAATCTTCCATGGAGTGGCCACATCCACCACCGTATCGCCGGGCGAGGCTAAGTGGCTCTCTCCTAATCCAACTTGAACACCTGCATCTGCTCTTGCCCCTCCCACTTTGACGTGGGGAAGACCGGTGTGTGGACCGTCTCGGTTTCGGACTGAGGAATAATGGTTGAAGCTCTGCAGAGATTTAGAAAAGAAGCCAATGTCCCCTAAGGAAAAACTTACATGAAAAGCAATATGGACGGCCTCTCTGTTCGCATCAATCGAGGCGTTTACATCTCGGAAATGCTGGACGCCTGAATCCATGTAAACATGAACGTCTCGCATGTACGACTGACAGAATGCCTGGATCTCTTCGGCTCCGCCCCATACACCATTTTTCCGGCTGTCCGCCAGTCGATTGTCGAACACCTGCTCTTGTTCTTTGACATGGACGGGAGAACCAGCCGACGAGGAAGAACATGACGACGAGAAGGAGGCGGCGTAAGCGTGTTTGGCCGCCGTGGCAGCGGCTCGTCGCGGGGCCCGACGTTCACCCCCAACGCCTGCCGTAAAGTTCATGAAATAGTTCTTATTGGCAGCAATGTGGTTTGCAAGGCGGCAACGAATATCGTCGGAGCGGGAGAAATTGCCATAAAACTGGTCGGAAAGGGCATAGTAGAGGCAATTGCCTGAACAGGGAGTCAGTCGAATACCTAACATTTTTGATGTCTCCTTTCTATCTAAATTACACGAGTGGGAGTAGCCATTGGCCGTGACACGCAAAACCAGCACTGTCATGAAGCAAGAAAGCACGAGACACAGAGACAGACACACATACCGTCACCCTTTGTCGGAAGAGCATACAATCCCCGCTCCTCGAGACACGCAAGTTTTAACTCAAGACATTCCTCTGCCTCTTCTGACACCCCCAACGGGTCCTTGACTGAATTGGATCGACGCCCGTCGGCATCGGGGGTGCCTTTCCGCGTGTTGGAAGAGGACTGGCGGGCGGCGAGAATGGGCACAATCCTGGCGCGGTTGTTCACGTCAGCCATGATTGCACAAGCTCTGCTCGACGAAACGCCCTCATTTGTCGCTTTCCGGAGGGGCGTTTGACGGTTCGTCGAGCAGAGAAGCAATAGGAATACAGAGATAAAAAAGAAGAAAAGGAAAGACAGCGACCGGGGGAGATCCAGATCCCATTTGCAAAAGACACAACAAAACAACAAGGGGGGCGCGGGAGGAAGAGAGAAGTGAAAAAGCGACCGTTACCGTTTTTGGTGGACGAGGGCGAGCAGGCTTTACCGAGACAGGCGGTGAAGCGCTTTAGGCGCTGTTTATTGGAGGAAAACGCGTGGAGGCGGAGCGTATTCGGCGGTTCTGCCGTGTAATGACGAAATACAACGAGATGCCAACCCAGGGTTTTATTGCTATTGTCTAATGGGAAGATCAATATTATAATATATTCACTGTAATCCAGGGGTTTCCCTCCCAGGTATTCGCCTGTCTGGAGTAATTCCTTTTCGCTGATTCCAGCAGTAGCCAATGGATGGTCTCCGACTCCGACTGAGCAGGCGACTGCTTTTTACCGTCGGAAAACACCATCCTTATCAGTGATACCGATTTCCCCCGCTCCCTGTTAAGTACCTGGCAGTAAGCCCTGCGCTCTGGAGTAGATCAAGGGCCCCTGGTTTCCTTGTATCTATCTCATCGTTGAAGATTAGACAGATCGGTTATCTGGTACTGAATATTCCCATTTCTCGACGCCATGGCTTCTCCCAACACGATTGTTGTTCTTGGGTACGGTCTCCTCTTCTGGCTCTTATCTTGACACTGCCTCGACGACATGGATCACGATAGAATATAACTACTTACTGACAGTCTCCAGAGCCGGTGTATCCGGGCTGACGACGGCGTATCTGCTGTCTCAGGACCCTACGAACCAGATCACAGTGGTTGCCAAGCATATGCCGGGGGACTACGACATTGAATATGCGTCGCCGTGGGCTGGTGCCAACTATTTCCCGTATGTCTTAATCGGGTAGAGGATCTCTATCTATACTCTATCCCAAATCTCCTTGGCATAATCGATGGAAGCGCTGCTGATTCAATCTCCAGAACTGGTGCCCCGGGCAGCGATCATGCGGAATGGGAGCGAGCGACCTGGCCGGCTCTGAGCGAGTTGGCCCAGAACCAGCCGGAAGCAGGCATTCACTTCCAGCGTATGTTATCAGACAATCAAAAACGACTCTAGAACTACTGACATACGACTCTTCTGCCAGCGTCGATCGTCTATAATCGAGAGAAAGACCAAAACTCAAATACTGGAAAATGGTTCGCAGAACTCACGCGGGAAGACCCGTGGTATAAGGATGTGGTTCCAGATGTAATGAAATCGTGGACCTGCTCTTTTTTTCAATTGGTTATGCTGACTGACGCTGCTAGTTCCGGAAAATTCCCTCAAACGAGCTTGCCCCCGGCATTGACAATGCGTCCTATTTCACATCTGTCTGCATTAACGTTGCCGTCTACCTTCCCTGGCTGATCGGCCAGTGTAGGAGGAACGGCGTCGTATTTAAGCGAGGAGTCTTCAAGCACGTCAGTGATGCGGCTCACGCACATCATTCAGGGAAGAAGGCCGACCTCGTCGTCAATTGCACGGGTCTGGGATCGAAAAAGCTCGGCGGGGTGCTCGACGACGCCCTCTACCCGGCACGGGGCCAGGTTGTTGTTGTCCGCAACGATCCCGGTGCAATGGTTTCCATTTCTGGATCCGATGATGGAGCAGATGAAGTCGTCTACATGATGACGAGGGCAGCAGGTGAACACTCCCATAAAGAAAATCCATTTTCTCCAAGTGAATACTAAATATCGTAGGAGGCGGTACCGTCATCGGTGGTTCGTACCAGAAAGACAACTGGGAATCACAACCAGACCCCAACCTGGCTGTCCGCATTATGAAGCGCGCGGTTGCGCTGTGGCCCAACCTCGTTGCCGAGGGCCAGGGAATCGAGGGCCTTGACATCATCCGGCACGGAGTCGGCTTGCGGCCTGTGCGCGAGGGAGGTCCGCGTGTCGCCAAAGACGTCGTCGATGGGGTTCCTGTCGTGCACAACTACGGCCATGGCGGGTTCGGATACCAGGCTTCGTACGGCTGTGCGTACACGGCGGTCAAGCTGGCCAAGGAGGCCTTGCAGGAGAGGAACCAAGCGAAACTGTAATCTCGATGGTATATATACATATATATAGTGGTCCATATTTTTCACGTGATATTGACAGTGATGTTTGATGACGACATGGCCTAGACCTGTTCCTGCATATAATTCATTGAATCAATTCTCCATGTATTCATGCTTAGCACTTCAGGCAAAATGGCCACCACACGATCCGAATCGAATCTAGAGAGACGCCAACAGATTGAAACAGAGACCCAGACAGAGACAGAGAGAGGACACAGTGACGTCTCATCCAGAGTCAACAAGATCCTTAACGAGTACGGCAGGACTCCATTATCCAGCACATCCATCCAGGAGCCTCTCCAGTCCACGCCCGAAACAATCCTAGCGTTCGTTCTAGACGCACTGCTGAAATCACGCCCGATCTCGCACGATCTCGCACAACGGGCTGCCAACCAACTGATCGAAGAGGGATACCACGATATAAACGTCTTGGCAGGGAGTACATGGCAGGAAAGGACCAAAGCGCTGCAGGCTGGAGGGTATAATCGGTATAGAGAGCAGGGGGCGACCAATCTCGGCGATCTTGCTACACTAGTGAATGATAAATACAGTATTTCCTTCCAGATTCAATCCCTCTATAGAAGACTTAAGTATTGACTGCTATAGGTGGTGATTTGAACAATCTCGTTTCTCGAGCAAATCGAAACCGTGACAAGGTCAAACATTTGATCAAAGAGGTGAAAGGTCTCGGCGATCTGGGGGCTGATATCTTCCTGAACAATGTGCAGAGCGTCTGGCCGTCGATGGCGCCCTTTGTCGATGCGCGGAGCATCAAGGCAGCCGAGGAACTCGGACTGGGTACAGACCTGGAAGTTATCTATAGGGAGCTGGGTCACGACTCCTTCAAGATGAGTAGATTCGCTAATGGGTTATCTGCCGTACGACTGGAGAAGAAGGTGCATAAAGTCGAGGTGGAAATGAAATCAGAGTAGCTAGCTCTGAGCGGAGCTCTTGTAGAAGAAAAGGGGAAATATGTATATAGACATATTTATATCCTATCTCGTTTTCTGCTAAACAGAGCTCTTGTCAATCAACAACGTCATCCCCATCTCCTTGGGCATTGAATCGGCAAACCCGTTCCGTGAGTAGAGTCTCCTGCCAGGCTCGTCGGCGAACAACGTCACGTAAGCTACTCCCTCTGGAGCCTCGCGCCGGATACGTGCCAGCAGAGTCTTCATAATGATATCCCCGAGCCCCCGTCGTTGATGGTCGGGGAGCACCGCCATGTCTGCGATATGGAAGTACCAGCCGCCGTCGCCAATAATGCGGCCCATACCGACAGGTTGTGCAGATGAACCAGTCATCTCGTCAGTGTAGGTGATGTAGCAGCCGAACCAGCTGCCATTGGCGACGTAGGCTGCCTGCGAGGCAGTTTTCGGGGTGAGACCCGATGCAGAGCGCAGGTGGACATAATCTGGTACCGGGGGGTAGCCTTCATGAAGAGTGTAACCTGGTGGAAGAGAAAGCGATGTCATGATGCAGGGATAACGAGTACTAGTGGTGGATGACTGCGGTTACTACCCTGGAGAGAAACAAAGGTCTCTAAAAGGCTTTTGCTACCTAACTCGAGGTCCTCATCCAAGCCTAGCCCCTGTCAGACTAATATCAGGGTGTGGGGTAGACGATAAGATATTGGTTAATTCGATCGCTGACCCAGTTAGTTGGATGAATTCTGCAGTGGGTACCTAAGTGATTACTTTATATTAATGATGACTCGGAGACAGTGTGACTCACCACCTCTCTGACTGAGAATCGAATAAAAAGTTCATAATCTCTCTATCAATCATGGAAGACTTTGTTATCTGACAGTGTTGTTACTTTCTCCACTCACTATCGTTGTCTCGCTGTGTGGATCCGGCCGATAAAAATTTCTCTGTATAGGTGGGTACTTACTAGTCAGTGGTTGTGCCTTTAGAGAAATCTCGGAATAGCAACTCATATAGAGCAGGGGTAAATTCCAAAGGAATTAAAAAATTTTTGCTGCCATTGTGCTGGATAGAGAAGCTCGTTTCCTTCCACTATGTCAAAAGAGGCGAGTAGCACCACCGCAGGTGCTACAGATGATGGCAATGAACTGCCTCGTCAGCTTGAGCAATATGAACTAGAGCCTTTACCTGCCTCATTAGATGTGGCATTGGATGAGCCTCCTCGAAGCCGGTTTAGAATCTTGGCAATCATGGTTGCGCTGTCTGTGAGTATCTCTCTGTCAGGCATTGACAGTGTTGGTGTGACTGATGGCATCTTTAGCTTTCCTTATTTGTAGCTGCTTTGGATCAGACTATTACCGCGACAGCCATTCCGACCATCGCCTCCAAGCTGCACTCAGCGGCTGGTTATACCTGGATTGGAGGCGCGTACCTCCTTGGCAATGCTGCCGGCTCGCCAATCTGGGCAAAGCTGTCCGACATCTGGGGCCGCAAACTGCTCCTCTTGCTTGCGGTCGCATTGTTTTTTGTCAGTTCCATAATTTGCGGTGTTGCAGTCAATATGCAGATGTTAATCGCTGGTCGTGCCTTGCAAGGGACTGCCGGCGGCGGACTGCTGCAGCTGGTGACAATCACAGTCTCAGACCTTTTCAGCGTCAGGTAGGGAGTTGACCCAGTAGAAAGAAAAAGTCTTTCGCTTGAATGCTAATAGACAATGATAGACACAGAAGTCTCTACCTGGGTCTTTTGGAGTTCATCTGGGCTCTGGCTGGGGGTACCGGTCCACTTATTGGCGGTGCCTTCTCTGAGTATGTCTCCTGGAGATGGTGTTTCTTTGTTAACCTGCCGGTCTGTGCTATTGCTTTCGTTCTTTTGTGCCTGTACCTGGATGTGCATAACCCCAAGACCAGGATGCTGGAAGGTTTCCAGGCTATTGACTGGTTCGGGAGTTTGTCCATTCTCGGACTGACCCTGATGCTGTTGCTTGGACTACAATTCGGAGGAGAAACTTTCTCTTGGAGCTCTCCCCAAGTCATCTGTTTGATAGTCTTTGGCTTTCTGTGTTCTTTGCTGTTCATATACAGCGAAAAGCGCCTCGCAAAGTATCCCCTCATGCCGATGGAGCTCTTCAACTGCACCTCGAATATCGCTAGTTTGTTAGTGGCATCGGCACATGGATTTGTGAGTATACAAACTTGCTGGAAGGTTCTGCCGAGCGAAGAGGCTAACGTGCCCAGGTATTCATCGCCGGTGAATACTATATCCCCCTATATCTTCAATCCGTCAAGGGTGCCTCCCCGATGCGGTCTGGTCTGTTACTTCTTCCGTTGGACCTTTCCGAGGCTGCCTTTGGGATTGTGGCGGGCATCGTCATCCACCGCACAGGGCGATACCTTGAGCTGATTTGGATCGGAGTCGTGGGTCTTACCGTCGGAACCGGCCTATACATCACCCTGGACGCATCATCCTCGCTAGGTCAGGTTGTCGGTTTCCAGCTTATCGCCGGCATGGGCGCAGGGCTTCTGTTTCAGTCTCCCATCATTGCGCTACAGGCCATGGTCTCCCAGGAAGACACGGCAACCGCAACCGCAACCATGGGGTTCCTGCGCAATATGGCAACCGCAGCTTCTATTGTGATTGGCGGCGTTGTCTTCCAGAACAGTATGAGCCTGCAGTCCTCCAAACTGAGAGCAGCAGGCCTCTCGGATACTTTACTGAACGAGCTATCTGGTGCCTCCGCCGCAGCCAACATTGCCCTCGTTGATACGGTCAAGAATCCTGTTGAGTTGAAGGCTATCAAGGCGGCGTTTGCGTGGAGCCTACGAAACATGTGGATTCTCAACACATGCATGGCCGCCTGCGGTATCGTTGGCAGCATCTTCATCTCAAGACAACGCCTGAGCAAAGAGCACACGGAGACAAAAACCGGGCTGAAGAAGGATCCACTCCCTGTTGCAGAGAGCGCGGCGCCTGCCATTCCATGAGCCCTAGTACAGGTATAGCCATCAGGGTAGCCGATAATTATATCTCTTTAGAATACTAGATAGCTCATTTATAGCAAAAATTTAAGGTAGTGGTTAGACTTGGAACGTTGCAGGTTGGTCGCACCTTCTCAATCAGTGTCCGTCAACAATATCGTATTAGGTAAGCAGCGAATATGATATGTCATAGATGAGTAAGCGCCAAGATTACACCATACCGCATTGGGCGAGCCGCGACCCGCTGCTTGCGACAGTGGCTCACGACCACAGCGCTCTTGCTGACAACGTCAACAACATACCTATCCTTGAACCCTGCAATAGCGATTCCGCTGGTCTCATCTTGACACTACTCCTGTCTCTGGTGAGTATTAACACTGTCTCATTTGGTGATAAGGTCAGTTGGCGTGTCTTCTGTGATACGCGGACAATGAGGATGAGGCTAACCAAGCTTCGTGGAGCAAGCAGGCTACAACATTCCATCCAAGAGCCTTCCCTTCAAGCAACTAGGTGGGTTGCTCTTGTGCAATTAAAAATGACCGAATTGACCGGTAGATTGATGCTGATAAATTCAAGTGCATCTCCGCTCTGGATTCTCGCTTTCCGGATTCAATCAGCTACTACCTACTCCCAGAACGATACACGTGTACCTGTTTTGATCTTGTGATCACGCTTCGAAAAGCTTGCAAAAACGCAGCAGTCTTATAGTCTCATTATACTGCAACAATGGACTTCTCAAACATCTTGTACGTTTTGCGCGGTCACAGCTGCCTTACCAAGGTTCCGGCTTCTGTGTGGTTCAGCTCTGTCCATCGCGTCATTGTCTGGAGAGGCGGAGCCTGAAAAGCAGCTGTATTCTGCCTCGAGGGCTATTTCAACTGACAAATTGTGAGCACAGTCGTATCGGCAACATTGTCATTGGTGTGTTGATGGTTCTCGGAGGCATCAGCCAGTTCTTCCCGATCTCTCTGAGCTCTGTCGTCGTGGGTGTATATGTCATCCTTTTCGGTCTCAGTATGCTTTTTTCCAAGGAATCTTGCAGAAATGCGCTGGCGGGTTCTCGCTGACTCTGAAATCTGTAGTCGTTGCTAGCCTGGAGTTCCTTCCTACCATCCCCGACTATGTCTATCGCTATGCGTCCTTCCTCTTTTCTTTCCTGGGCCGTGGCGTCTGTAAGTCATCGATTCCACACGTGCACACTCGCCCGATCACACATGCTGACCACAGACCCCAGTTTACATCTTCGTTGGATCGCTTCTCCTCCACGACAGTGTCTTGCGAATCATTGCAGGCTCGCTCGTCGGCCTTTTCGGTGTCGGATATGTGGCTCTGGAGTTTATTCCGTCCATCGAGCCCCCGACGAACATGCGCGAGGCGGACCAGAGCTGGGGCGCTGAGCAGGTCTAATCGACAAGTGCAGCTGTGAGAGGGGGAACCCTGTTCTTTGGACGGACACGGTCGCCTTCAACCGCCTTCAAATGTTTGCGAACCCCTCGCCGCGCGGTGAGCAAAGGAGTTGGACCATAATTATAACGGACGAGTTTGATGACATGGGGGTAACAGTGATAGTTTCGGAGGGAGGCCCACGGGCCACCCCTCTCTATGTAGAACGCGCTGGCCCTCTCGGTGAACCTAGTATACCTACCATTCTAGCTTTTGATTACTTTTCTTTTTCTCAACATCCTGTCCCATATGGGCTGATTTTTCCTCCTCAAATATTTTTTTTATTTATTTTCTTTTTTTGGAATTGTATGATATGTCTTAAGTATAAAGTTTGAAACTTGCAAAACGCTGCACCCTGTTTCACTCGCACCGAAAGTCTACTCCGAAGTACTTATCTCCGATACATTAATAGTACTGGTATCGCGAAGTTTGTACTCCGTACGTGGACTCTGGTCTCTCGGGCTTTCTCCTATGCAGTGCATACTAAATTAGTCCTTAAAGGCATTATTAGGCTTAAGTCCGATATGCTGGCAAGGGTTTATTTTACGGAAGTACACAAGGCACCAGCCTATGAGAGACACAACAAGTTCGGTAAGCCTTGGAGTGGAACAGGTGGATAGGGACTGGCGCGCCAATGATATATGGCGAAGATGTCACTGTGGCGGCTTCGATAACGACATGGGATCATGGGAGTCTGCACTAGATAGGTACTATTATTTATTGCATGGGTCATATGTTCATCACAGACTTAAAGTTAACTAGTAACTAACTACAGAGTACTGTATAGGTAATTAGTTAGTTAATTAGTTACTAAGGGAGTAAAACCCCTATTCATACCATGTATTAAGTAATCGCTGTGGTCTAGTCATGGCTGCCTAATTTTTTATCAATCTAAAAGTCGTGGGAACACAGTCTCGGCAGTCGAATCCAGAATCCGAACTCCGAGAGCCAATAGGAAGCCGCCGAATCGCGCTGACGATAAAATGGCCTAACGGCGCACCAATCAGAGACTGTACATTGGCTGTCAAACTGCGCTAGCCCCTATTTTAGCAAGTCACCCACCGGCATTGACAAACGCTAACCCTATCCGGGAGGCGGTGGGCTTCCCTATCGATTCTGGGGGAAGGAAAAAGGACAAGAGGACAATCGCATCACCTTATTTGCATCAGGAGATCCTTCCAAGCGATGCAGATACTCGGGCGATTTCGAGATAAAAGACAGATTTCCTCCGTCCGGATTGCCAGAGGGCCACCACCATGGAATTATCTCACCGCGAAAGGGACGATCCGCCGACGCAGATCCCCCTGAGAGATCGATAACGACGACAGGAGTCAGTCCTGGGCGATAAGCGTAGCAAAACCTAGGCTGTTCCTACGTATCGAGTACAACAACTACCAGGATCATAAGCGTACCCCGTATTTATTATTGATTGTCGTAGACGTGTGTAAAGTGCTTGTAGTGACTGATCTAGCCCCCCCCCATTTACGATTTATTATCTCTGTATCCACCCAAAAAGCTTTTGCAACGTCGCGGCGGGTCGTCATCTGTCTTTGGCTGACTATCTGATCTGATCCCGGTGTTCTTTCTGGCGTGGTCCCTGCCTTTCTTCTTCTCTCAACACTCTCCCTCCCTCTCTCCCTTACTTTTTTTTCCCCTTCCACATTTATTTCTCCCACCCTTCGCTTTCATTTTTTCTCTCTTTCTTCGCGTCTGGTCTTTTGTCGCCTCCCCCAGACTTGGGAAATCACCTGACGAAGTAGCGTGGCGATCCCACGCCATCGAAGATCTGAAGAATCTGGGTTGAGTGGCGGACGTGAACTATCATTTTTTTTTCTACCTTGCTCCCTACCATCGAAGATATCCTTTCCCATCAAGTGTCGCAATCGCAGATCATTATCTCGTGTTGGGGCTTATCCGATCGTCATCGCTCCACGCTGCAGCCCGCCTGCCTCCTGCTCTTTGTTCTCTGGAGACACCCTGACCGACATTTGAACTTGTGATACTCAACACTCCACCGGTCCTGTCTACTAAGCCTGCGGTGAAACCTCGTTTATCCTCGAGAAATCCGATCGCCTGCCCCCCTTTCCCTCTCGGTACGCTTGCCGATCTAGAATTCTTTCCCCGGACACCAGAAACCAGACCTAAACGAAGCGCCACACACACAGGAAGATCCTTTGGAGGGGGAAAAATAAACGACCAAGTGTGGTAGTGGAAAAGGTCGAGTCGCGATGCTGGCCTCGATAACACAAATGGATACTGGATCCTCCCTCCCTCGGAATCGAGACGTCCTCATGCGACACCCGTCGGCCGAAGATCTCGATGCTGCCCAGCAACTGGTCTCGTCCGCTCGAGTTGGCCGGGAACGCTCTGCGGATTGGCACCAGGAGGATGACCTCGCGGACTATCGCAGCGGCCCAGTCAGTGCGATGGGACTGGACGTTGCGGGCGAGGGCGCTGCCGCGGCCCCCGATTCACAATCAGAATCCGCCCCCGGTATCCTGGCTGAGCAGAACAATACATCACCCAAACAACAAAAGGACACGTCGTTTCTAGGACACTCATGCAGGTAGGTCTTGGATAGAGGAAGAGAAAGAGAGACAGAGACAAGAGAAATTATCTCTACTACGGGAGTGATGAGTATCTACTGACATGAGTCGCAGTAACTGCGGAACGAAGAGCACGCCGCTCTGGCGAAGATCCCCAACAGGAGCCATGATTTGCAACGCCTGTGGTCTTTACCTCAAGGCGAGGAACGTCGCCCGTCCTACAAAACGCAGCCGCATACAGCCCGGGAACCCTCAACAGACAGGTACTTGGGGCTCCCCACAGGAGCAAAATACCGCGACAGGCGAAAATGGATGTAGCAATAAGGGATCCTGTCCTGGCGGTGGGAATTGCAACGGGACCGGAGGGGCTGAGGGGTGTGACGGGTGTCCGGCTTACAACAATCGCGTGTACAAATCCCTGCAACGAGGTGCGACAGCCCCTCAACCGTCGCTGCCAGACGCACCTGCGCCTGCTTCGGAGAACAATAAGCCCGTCGATCTGCCCGAGGTAGACACAGTGAAGGTGGTGCCGCCCCAAAGCGATAGCAACAATCTGCTGGTTTCGTGTCAGAACTGTGGGACAACCGTCACTCCACTTTGGCGGCGGGATGAGAATGGTCATCCTATCTGCAACGCCTGCGGTACGCTTCCTCCTTCTCCTTGTGTTTACTATCATTTATATGATGTTTTTTTTTTCTCCCTTGTTCAAAAAAAACCCCTTCTTTGTGGATTAAGTCTAATTGACCAATAGGCCTGTACTACAAACTCCACGGTTGCTATCGCCCCAGTACGATGAAGAAGACGATTATCAAGCGGCGGAAACGCGTTGTGCCGGCGCTCCGGGATCAGTCGCCCACTGCCACTACCCACTCTTCGAACGGCTCATCTGCTTCACCCGAAGCCTCGCCTGCTACGCTGGCATACTCACAAGACGGATACCAGAAGTATTACGGCTCTGATCACATGGAGCAGATTCCTGGTCGCTCTTCGCCGCAGGCTCCTCCGCGGCCCTTCACCTTTGCGCCGCCCCCGGTGGATTTCACAGGCTTTAACCTCGCACCCATCTCACTGCCTCACCACCCCCCGCCGCCGCCGAGACTGCTCGAGCCTGAGAGACTCAGTGCTCCCGCTACCGGTCACTCGCCGAACTCCACTCACTTCGGTCGACGCTCGATCTCTCCCAACCCATCTGGAAATCCCAAGAAGCGGTCGCTGGCGGAAACCGCCGCATCCGCAGAGGCCTCCTCGATCCCCACCACCATGGGAGCGGGCTCGAACCAGCTGCCTCCGATCATGGCGTCGGCCGACCCCAACCCGCCGGCCCGGCTCAGCCCGATCTCCTCCATCCTGAACCAGTCAGCTCTCGCCGATGATTCGCGTCTGGACCCTTCGCTCCCATCGCTCGGCCGGCAACCGCCTCATCTATCTGCACACCCCATTCCACACGCGCAGCTCCAGTCTTTACGGAGCGTCCCGGATCGGGATGGATTTATGTCAGAGCGGCGCGCCCAGCTGCTGCGCGAGGCGGAAGAGATGCGCGAGGCGTTGAGAGCCAAGGAGCGTGAGCTGGCGGAATTAGGGCAATAATAGGCTGGCTAGACAGTGTCAAATCTTCTCTTCTACGTTTCCTATCAACTGGTTATGTGGCTTTTTTTTATCAGTTGCAAAAAGTCGCCCCTTTTTTTATCTTTTCTTTCCCTTTGCCTGATGGTTTCTACAGCGCTGGCGGGATATGTCTTTTTTGCTTTTTCTTTTCTTTTCCTACTATCTGGGAGGCTATGTCTGTACCCCTCGGCTCTCTTGTTGACTTGCAGTTTCAGAGCTATGGAGCTTGGTTTTGGGTCACAACGGTTCAATTTATGTACTCGATCAAAATTAGACGATATCATCCAGTATGATGATGATTTATTAACTGGTGATTCACGAATCAATACAACGCATCTTTCGACTACTATAGTTACTGCTGTACGAAGTATACTGTAGTTTGGTTCGCGATGTCATGATGACTGGATACTCTCGCCTCAGGTACACCTTCAGAGAGCTGCTCTCGAGAAACTATGTGAATCATCTACGTGATTAGATCATCCACCATGTCTAACTCTCCTCGCACATATACCCTCAACTTCCTCGGGGACGTCATGTTGGGTCGTCTGGTCGACCAACTATTCCCCCAGCATGTGTCCAACGCGCGCGAAGCCGAGATCATCACCTCATTCACGGAACGGGCCCCCTCTTTCTTCAAGAACTATACCCACCGTTCACCATGGGGCAACACCCTACCCTTATTGCACCAGGCGGATATGAACCTCATCAACCTCGAGACCTCGGTGACGACCTCCCGCGTCCCCTGGCCAGACAAGGCGTTCAACTACCGCATGCATCCGGCGAACATCGCGGTGCTGCACGAGGGCCAGGTCGACTATGCCAGCCTGGCAAACAACCATACCCTGGATTTCGGGACGGAGGGCCTCGTCGAGACCGTGTGGACACTGAAAACCGCGCACATCGCTTTCGCAGGCGCGGGGGAGACGAACGTCCAGGCGTCGCGGGCAGTCGAGCTGAAACTCCCCAGGGTGTATCCCCCGTCCGGAAGACGGTCGTTAGCAGATAAGTATCAGAAGATGGAAGAGGATACAAAGCCACAGACTAGAGATAAAGACCACACTCATATCATACATGTCTACTCTGCGGCCGATCACCCGCACGACTGGGCCGTAGTGCCCACCTTCAATCTAATCGATTACTCCTCCACCACCCGGCACCGACTCAAACACATCCTAATGAACAACCAGACAGCTAGCGGGGGGACCTCGGCACTGAACGCCCAGACACCCGCCCTGAAGATCTTCAGCGTACACTGGGGCCCCAACTACGCATGGCACCCTGACGAACGGACGATCCGCTCGCTAGCCCATTTCCTTGTCGACGAGTGCGGCGTCGACATTATCCACGGCCACTCCAGCCACCACATCCAGGGCGTGGAGGTGTACCGTGGCAAACTCATCATCTACGGCTGCGGTGATTTTGTCGACGACTATGCGCTCAACGAGGTGTTTCGCAACGATCTCGGAGCCGTGTGGAGGGTGACCGTCTCGGAGAAACAGACTACTGATACTACTACTAGCAGCAGCGGTGTTGAGCTTTCTACGTTGGAGATTTTTCCTACCCGCATCGAGCGGTTCCAGGCACATCTCCTAGAACCCATGGATCCAGACTACGACTGGACAAGGAGGAAAGTCACGGTTCTGAGCGAGAGGCTGGGCACGACGGTGAACTCGGAGGTTGGCGAGCAGGGGCAGATTGTTATCGATTTGAAGACTCAATGACAGGTTCTTGATAGCATTGTTCGAGTTGTAGGAAGATATGATCTTTATCATTTCTTACCTCGCTAGGCAAGTTCTTTGACGTCACGTTGAGCTCGCGCTGTCTCAACAGAGAATATGGTAGCATCATGTTCATTGATCTGTCCTACTGGTACGCAGCGAATATACTATTATCTGATTAGTAATTTAGCTGTTGGCAGTATCCATACACCTACTATGATGCACTTGCTTGAGAATAAGCTCATATTACACTTTGAAATGTAAAGGTATCTTAAATGACCCGCCTTGCGGTCATTGGAAAGTCAATATAACTCAGATTAATATCAAATTAGGCCCGATATTACTCTATACAAACTACATCAAGAATTGAAAAAGAGGCAGACTGCCGTTTTCATCCCCGAGAGGAGATACGTTTTGATCCTGGAAACAGAGAACCGCGCTGTTGAGGCCCGCTTCTGCACTGTGGCCGACGGCATTATCACCATGGCAGCCTGAGACTCGATTGGTGCAGCCCTGCCTCCTGCCTTAGACGAGGCCAGGTAATTCCACGTCTTCCTGTATAAATGCTTCCAGATATGGGTTTGCTTGTCACTATGTGTATCGTCCAAAGGGACATGAGTAGAGTAAAACCGTCTCTGTAGCCCGGTACATGTTAGTTAAGAGCGCTCTACATCCAGAAACCCATTCCTTACTTGTGTGTCGTTCCCAGCAGGGCGCAGGCCCTCGTTCTCTCCCTGGAAGGTTTGGCATAAAGTCAAGTCTTGTTTGTATGGTGGATCCAGAGACATAGAATGTTCAGCGTTGTCCGATTCCACAGGTGGAGATTCGATTTCATCAGCTGAGATCGAGTACCGGAGGGGTGACGGCCGGTAGGTCATCGTTCCAAGGCTCGTGCGCCTATGAGATCGGGTTGCTTCTTGTCGTCGCATGTCGGCTCTGCGTTGCTTTCTAGACGGGATCGGACACTGTTGAATGAATCCATTGCCAACAACGCATCTGCTTGAGAAATATGAGTCGATTTCGCCGTCGTCCATCAAGGTGCCGTCCTGTCTTTCCTTCTCGTCTTCTGTCCATTTTCCATGAGGGCTGTATGTCTTGAAGGTGCGGCCAGCTGCAAAGTTTACCAGATCCGAGCCTGTTTGTGTAAGATCATCGACGCCACTCTCCAGGAATACAAGGACCGGGTCAACAAAATGTGTCGCTCGTGACATGGTGGCTTGAATTCGCAGATCGTCCCTTGGATGGAGTACCTTGGGTGCCGAGAGAAGGTAAAACAGAGAGATACATGGCTCTGTGCCGCTGGGCTCGTAGACAGGGTCGCCGTTCCAGTTGAAGTGGTGAACAGCCCGTCCCTGTTTAGGCTCGTATCTCACAAATTCGGCTCGGTGGGAGAATGCGTCCCACACACGGGTCTGCAGCGACATCTTATCATTCTCGAACTTCTGCGGCTCCCAGAACTCGTCCAAGATATCCGCATTTATGACTAGTTCTGCGTTGTGGGCTTCGAGAGGATATCCATGTAGCTCTTCCTCGTCCATGTCGTCGTTTGTGGCGGTATTTTCTTCCCAGTCCTCTGCCCAGTTGAACGTCTTGATATTGTCGCTCATGTTGAGTATTATTTAAAGAATGATGATGGTGGTGGTGATGATGATGAGTTGCAGAAAATAAATGAACAGAACGCTCAAGTAGATGGCTTGAGTAGAGAAGAGTTACTTGGAAACCATACCAGCAAGGAGATGAGATACCGTTTCCTCTTGAGCAGTCCTCTATTCTTATAGATTCGAGTCATGGTATCAATAAAGAAAGCTGAAAATGAAAGAGACTGAGCAATCACCCATTATTAATATCATTGATGTTAATACTAGTCTTTATTATGGCAATTTGTTATGGATGGTTGACTAGGTATTTGATTGATTTGCAACATTGGCATTGTCACTCTGATTCACTGCCCTCTTGGAACAATGCCCTTTCACGGGCCTTTGAACACTATGGCATGCTATCAAGGTATTAAATTGCATTGAGTCTGGATTTAGAACATCGTAATCGAAAGGCAATTAGATCTCGGGTCTATCCCTCAGCTCAGAGTCAGTATCATTGTCTTCTTATAGCTCAAGGGAAACACTGTATTATCTTTATGTAGTATAAGTAGAGATATTTCTGTCTTTAGGCTATTCATATCTGTCTTAGAAATAGAGAAAGTGAATGCTTAATGCCCTTTAATGCCAATTGTTAGATGTTAACAAAGAAAAGGATGAGTGGTGGTCAAACAGCAGGAGACAATGAAACTATAGGTTTGTACCTCATTATGTCATATATGGCGAGAGTAAAACACTCATCCTCGATGGTCTAACGGTCATGATTTCCGCTTGTCATCTCTTCTTGAGAACAAGCGCGGGAGACCTGGGTTCGACTCCCAGTCGGGGAGAATCTTTTTTTTTCATTCTTTATCTTTTCTACGGTTTCTTCCTTAGTCCTTATCGTGACCACGACCACCGTATCTACTCCGAGCGTTGCTGACGCGATTGGCAGCCCCGCTTCGCCATCCCCCGCACAGCATGCCGAAACTCTTGACCTCTCTCTTCCTCTTCCTACACGACTTTCGTTTTAACGTGTTATTGTCGATAGACTGGGCTGGTTATCTCCCCTAAGGTGCAAGGTATTTTCTTGCTCTCCGTATGAACAGTTTTCGGGCGTATAGCAAATCGATTGCACTCCTCCGCCAGCTTACACTCTCTCGGACCAGCATCACCCGCACGACTTACTTCGTTCCCTTGACTCAGACCCCCTTTTTGGAGCGCACAATGGCAACAGCAATGGCAAAGCGCTTGGAGGGGAAGACAATCCTGGTCACAGGGGCTTCCTCGGGCATTGGCAGAAGCACTGCCAAGGAGTTTGCCCGGACGGCTCCCAAGAACCTGAAGATTATCCTGGCAGCACGACGGGTTGATACGTTGAAGGAGATCGCCCAGGAGATCAAGGAGGAGGTGGGTGACGGTGTCAAAGTACTTCCTGCAAAGCTGGATGTCAGCAACCCCGAGGAGGTCAAGAACTTTGTCTCTTCTCTGCCGGCCGAGTTCCAGGATATTGACATTTTGGTCAACAACGCGTGAGTCGGCTGTGCTTCTAAAAAGCCCAAATAGCGATGGATGCTGATATGGTTTTTGTTGCTCTAGTGGTCTGGTCAAGGGTGTTGCTCAGGCCCCCAACATCGACCCCCAAGACGTGGATGTGATGTTTTCCACCAACGTCACTGGTCTGATCAACATGACTCAGGCGATTCTGCCCATCTTCAAGAAGAGAAGTGAGGGCGGCCGTGGAGACATCATCAATATTGGCAGTATTGCCGGTCGCGAGCCGTACCCTGGCGGCAGCATCTACTGTGCCACAAAGGCTGCCGTGCGCTCTTTTACCGATGCGTTGAGAAAGGAGCTTATCGCTACGAGGATCCGGATTATCGAGATCGATCCTGGCCAAGTGGAAACGGTGAGAGCTGTCCTTTTTACCTATATGAGAGACCTCACTGTTTAGCTAATCTATTATTCTTTTTTTAAGGAGTTCTCCGTGGTGCGATTCTACGGAGACAAGAGCAAGGCTGATGCAGTTTATGCGTAAGACCATGGATCAATGGTTGGTTCTTGTACCAAGGAGAAACTGACATGACCGCAGAGGCTGCGAGCCACTGACCCCCGACGACATCGCCGAGGTGATTGTCTTCGCCGCTGGCCGGCGAGAGAATGTCGTGATCGCCGACACTTTAATCTTCCCCAGCCACCAGGTCAGTGCTGCCATGTTGATGAAGCTGATCAAGCTGACCTTCTTTAGGCCTCGCCCGGTGCGATGCATCGCAAGGTCTAGTTACTCCGTATCCAATCCTTTTGAGGGGGGGTTGTGGTGGCAGGATTCAGGTACATACTCCCGTATATTATGAGTTCGGTAGTAAGGTAAGTATGGTATATACCTAGGTATGCATGTCCCACTCGGATATTAGCTAGATGTTAGACAGTGAGAAGCTGCCCAATGATGATGCAAACCTCGTTTGCTTCCCCTGTTTAGCCAGCCCTTTTCCACTCCGAAGGAACAGAAGGAAACTACCGAACTTAAGTTTCTGTACGGAACTTTCTGGATCAGTCCTGTGTCCAGTCATCAGTTCTCACTCAGTGTTCCACCATTGAGATTGGGTTTACGTATTTCTATTTCTCCTTACTCTTACGGAGAGGCCCAGAAAGGGGGCTCGAGCAGGACTCCACTAGCTCGCAGAATACCACCGGTAGTGATTATTAGGGAATACCGTAGGATATCTAATATTAATGAATCAGGGGACGGCAGCGTCGGCTCGCCGGGCTCGGCTGCTGGACCCCCTCGACGGAAAAGCAGATCACAGATCATCTCGCGCGCCGTGAGAACCACTTATAGATGACTCCGAAGTATAAACTAAACTAATTAAGAGGTAATTAGCACTAAACAGTTACTAAATACTATATACTAGAAAATAGTTAGGATGCTAATAAAGTAAGCTGACAATAACTACCCAATCTAATAATGATTTCAATCTACTACATAATTAATCTACCTATTAATTAATCTAACACTGACGTCGAAAAAGGGGCAGGCAAAATTGTGGCTTGAAAGGTTTGCCCAACGCCCTATCCGATTCGGGAACAAGATCACGTGCGGCTGAGGATCCACCGCTGCAGCCTGCAAGCCAAGGAACGATTGATATCTCGACCGCCATCAGCGTTCAGGTACGTAGTTAAATTCTAGTTATTTGTGTTAATTATTATTATTGTTGTTGTTATGAATCTGTCTTCGGAAGTCAGCTGGCGAGCCCTAGGTGCCGATCCACGGTTCGTCTGAATACAGAGTACTCACTCGGTACGGAGTACGGAGGGAGTACAAACGTACCTGGTGGCGGTGAACACCTCATACGATCGAGTGCTGGAGACAAAATGCAAATCTCATCCTGCAGACTATTCGCTAGTCAATTAGTTAGCTGACTGCCTTCCTACAGAGTACAGAGTACGGCGTACAGCGTACACCTTTTGATTCCCTCTGTTGTGAACGGGTCTAACTCCGAAGGAGAAGGTAGAGCCAAGGTCCAGTCTCTCTTCCAGCCCACTTAAAATTGCCTTGGATCCATGTTTCGAGGCGGCCACATCACAAGGCATTTAAGGGGTAAGTTTCTAGTCACTTGCTAAGATGCTAACTAACTACCTAACGACTTAGCAGTTGACTAATTAATAGCTAGTCGCGAGCATTACTTAGATCGTGATGCTTCTTCCACCAGCATCAGCCTTCCCCTTACCTTCTAGAAGCAATGGCGAACAAGTCGTTCCAACTACCCCGGAAAGTAGGACGAGTAGCACAACGGCGATGTACGAACTTTGTACATTGACTCAACCCTACTCCGTATTATTACCTGCCGATCGTTGTCGATGGCTCACAATCGGCGCTTACGGATCAGATCATGGACATGAGTTGTTGTTTGTCTTGTCTTGGCTCCAGACGCGATGTGAGTGACAGGTAGGAAAGTGACGCATAATCGCAGCATTCCACGGACGAATCGACATCATCGCGATGCTATCTATGGTGGGATACCGGTTGCAAGTACGGAGTACTTCGTAGTTAAGTTAGTACTAACTAGTTAGTCGGTTAGTTAGTAGTTGGTTATCTTTGAATTTTCCAATGTAGCAACGGTCTAGCCTTCGTCTCCCATCCTCCTGAGGCCTGAGTCCTCTTTATATCAAACTTGGACAAACGAGTGATGGTGGAGGACCAGCCAGAGGCCGTTCTAAGATTGATTTGGCCGATTAGTGGCGCTAACGGTGGGCTCGCTCGCGACGATGACCGGGAGGGAGGGAAGTTTGGTTGGATAACTTGCGAATCGGGAGTCGAAATGAGCCGCTGGGCGTTGGTAAAATCCGAGCGCGCGGTCAGTTGTCACAGTTGATTCGGAGTTATGGCTTGCATCAATGGGAGGGGGGGAGAACTCTCTAAGAAATAGTTAGTAGTGTAGAGAGAGGAGAGAGAGAGAGAGAGACTTCGGACTGGTCGAATGGAACTCGAGGTGGTTGTTATTTCCACACACCCACGGCGTGTTTGTTCTGCGCGGTTCTTGCGTGCAGCACCGCGCATCCCCACTGCTTCTCCCCTGATTCCACTCCCTGCCACCACCCACCCACACCCCCCTTCGAAATAAGCCTACCAAGACAAGATTGATTCATTCCCATTCCTCTTGGATCAATTCCCTAACCCCCGCTCGATTGTCGCCCAGTGAGTGTTTCTCGGCAGGAGAATTCAAGGGTCTCTGTCCGTCCTGTCGACAATTCCATTCCACCACTCCCCCCGACCGCGAAGACCCGACGGACTGATCTGATCTGAACTGAACTGACTGAACCTGACGGCCGGAAACTGAGCAGCACTACTGGAATAGTCAATAGAAACCCCCTGACGGTCTCTCTCGACTTGACCCCCCCCCTCTCTCCCTCTATCTTGGGCCTGTTCAAGCTTGGCCCCTACGTACTACGACTAGTCGTCGCTAGACCCGCCAGTTGCTAAGGCACCTCCGTCCTGCGCGAAAGTCTCCCGACACCCTGGGTCCCGACTCTGAACCCTTCCTGCCGAAAGAAAACCTGTGTTGCTGATTTCCTCGACCCGTGGCATCGCTGTTGTGATTTGTTTGCATTGCTTGTCAGTCTTTCAGACAGCAGCCAAAGATTCCTCTCGATGGCTTCCAAGGTAAGCCCTGTCGGGCCACTCCTCTCCCTGCTCTCGCTTGCTCTCTCTCTATCATCCCCTTTACCGCTCTTCTCCGACAGAGGAGAAAGAAGGGGAAATAGCGCACTCTTCCTCTGCTCTCTTCTTCATCAGGGTCAAACACATCGTTTCTACAGTGGGCTAATCAAAGCTTTGTCACACCTAGTTTCTCAGAGAGTACAAGCTGGTGGTGGTAGGAGGTGGTGGTGTCGGAAAGTCTTGTTTGACAATCCAATTAATCCAGAGCCACTTTGTCGACGAATACGATCCAACAATTGAAGGTGGGTGCTGGCTGCGACTCCCTGTGCCTGCGATCGCGTTGGCTGACTTGGAATTTCTCCTTTTTTTTCTTCTTTGCTACAGATTCGTACCGCAAACAGTGTGTCATTGACGATGAGGTTGCGCTGCTCGACGTTCTCGATACGGCCGGCCAGGAGGAATACTCGGCAATGCGAGAGCAGTATATGAGAACCGGCGAGGGGTTCCTGCTTGTCTACTCGATAACATCCCGCCAATCCTTCGAGGAAATAATGACTTTCCAACAACAAATCCTACGAGTGAAGGACAAGGACTATTTCCCCATAATTGTGGTCGGAAACAAGTGCGATTTGGAGAAGGAGCGCGTCGTCTCACAACAGGGTACGCCATGAATCCGGACTCTGCATGGCCTTCGTTTAAATGTTCCGTTGCAGTCGCTAATGTTTACTTCTTTTCTTTCAGAGGGCGAGGCCTTAGCTCGGTCGTTCGGCTGCAAGTTTATCGAAACGTCGGCAAAATCGCGGATCAACGTTGAAAACGCATTCTACGACCTCGTGCGCGAAATCCGTCGATACAACAAGGAAATGTCGTCCTACCCCTCCGGCTCTGGCGCATTCGGCGCTCGCGCCCCCGAAGGCAAGATGGAGGTCGAGGAGGGCGGCGAGGCAGGCGGTTGCTGCTCGAAATGTGTGATCATGTAATTGTGTCCGCATCGACATGCACTCGGCAAATCCGAATCAAACAAAGAAAACACAAGAAAGAAGAGAGCGAGAGGGCAGACCTCGAGGCACAGCAGAAATGTATATGCCTCTTGCCTCTCGTTGGAGAGCTGAAGAGCTGGCTGACTGGGATATTTCGCTGCGATTGTTTCTTCCTTTTCTCTCTTTTTCTTTTTTTTTGATAACGTGAGGCTCGTCACGGGATGATGTCCTTAATGCCCGCCATCGTCTCCCACGAATGTTCGATTTCGATTCCCCTCTACCTTTACTTCTTTTTTTTTAGTGCCTCCGACTACGTTTTGCAAACCATTTCTTTCTTCGCCGCCCCCTTCATCCTGCGCCCGAGCGAACGAGGTTACCAATGATGTCTCTTCGATTGATTTTACCTGCCTGCCGTGGCAGATGCTTGTGCTTTAGGCCACGGCTCACATTTCACGGAGCTTCGAGCTGTTTTATTTGGCCGATTCTTTTCTTCATTCTTCACCCCCCATCATCTACTTGCTGTGACTTATTGAGGTCTTCGATATCCTCCTTTTTTTTGTTCTTTTCTTTCATCTCTCGTCTAATTATATCCTCCGACCTGCCTCCCCCCCCCAATCCTTTTACTACCACTACTACTACTATTTTTTTGCCCGGGTCATCCGGGTCGTTCAGGTAATGTATTTCTTACAAATCCACCCAGCATGTACGACAGGGCTTCAGGAGAGCGAATCGGGAACCAAAAAAAGGGAACAAATGCTTTGGAATACATGCTGTGCTCCTCTTTTTTTTTTCTTTATTTGATATCTTTTTTTTCATTCATCTTCTTTTTTTTGAATGGCTCCCTTTTGTTTCCCATTATCCACCATCTCATCCATCCTTGTGTGTGTTTTTTTTTGTTTGTTTACAGGCGCGCTTCTAGAAATAGTCAGTGATTCATGCAATCTGCAATGCTTTCTTTTCCTTTCCACTTTGATTGAAAATATTATATCAGCAGTAGATGTTCAGTATGCTTATATTGTAGTATAGGTATAACTATATTCCATGTAATACTGGCCTGCTTGGTACTTATAATGAATGATCAGTATAGTATGTGTACAGTATATGTACAGGCTTGCTGATAGTATTTACCCAAGTTATTTATATGCAGTACACGCACTGTACATCAGTTGGACTCCTCTGGAGGATCCAGCTCATCCTCACGCTGAACCCACTTGCCCTCGACGTTCATCTCGACCTCAGGGATAAGCGACTGCACGTAGACCTGGTCGGTGCCAACCAGGGTGACGGTGTTGCGCTTCAGGCCCCAGCGCGGGTAACTGCCGACCTTGATGCCGTGCGAGGCGACTCTACCCGCCAGCTCGGTGAGATAGGGGGCCACGGCGCTCTCCGGGAGCGGCGTGCTGATCAGAACACGATAGATGCCCTTTCCCTCCGGGTCTGTCAGACGGGGCAAGATGACGGGTTTGAGATGGGCGAGCAGGCGCTCGAAGAGCCGCGGCACCCCAGGCAAGATGTGTACGTTGCCGTTCACCACCGCGATGGGCACCCACATGTCCTCTGCGACGAAGAGGGCCTGGTCCTCGGCGGGAAGGGAGGAGTCGAACGGCAACTCGACCATGCGCAACTTGGCCGTCAGCCCTGGCGAGGGGGTCTCCCAGTCGAAATTCGGCTGCATCGGGTGCGGCTTCGAGAGCACCTTCATCCGTTCAAACGCCGGCTTGTGAAGCACCAGTGGGAGGTTGAAGGCTTTGCCTATCGACTCGTACGTGATGTCATCGTGTCTGTAAAACATCAGATACAAACACATATATGCCCATACACATATATATCTCTAGAGAGAGATCTTACGTCGGCCCAATTCCTCCGCTGGTGACGACAAAGTCGTACCGATCGCTCATGCGGCGGACGGCCTCGATGATCTCGCTCTCATCGTCGGCGATGACCTCGATGCGCTTCAGCTCGATGCCGAGCGAGAAGCACCATTTGGCAAAGAAGGTGGAATTGGTATCGACGGTCTACTAATCAGCATCCACGACGTATAAAAAAAGAATAGTTGCAATCCAGCTGGACAGGATGAACAATTGATACCTTCCCACCCAGGACTTCATCGCCAATAATCAAACACGCAGCCGTGTGTATCGTCTTCGCCGTGGGAGCCGCAGATGATGTCATGGCGAGCGGTGTCAGGCGCGGGGACCACAGCGAGGGGATGGAAGAAGCAGACGGGGAAACGTGAGCAAGCGACGGACGAGAGAGCTGGCGAAGGACCAGGTTCAGTCGATTGAACATGAAGATGTAGAAGCAGGATGAGGATCACGCGAGTGAGGGAGGAGAGAACTCAGAATGGCCGGGTGGGCGTTGATTGTTGGTTGGCACGAGCGATCTGGTCTGGTGGGGTGAAAATCCAGCGGAGAAATCCCAGCGGAGTAAAACAGAACCGCCGTTCCAACATCGAAGATAATTGTGATAACGACTGTTTTATTCGACTACATTTGTTTAATTCTCCATATTGCTAATCTCCTTGCAGGTGTTCCGTATACTGGAATTTCCCCTTGTACTCTCCTACTCCTCTACTCCACCATGGTAAGTGTATTAGTATCTACTACCCCGCAACACCGCTGACGACGGGCTTGACTTGACCACAGTCTGAATCACGACTATACTCCTTCTCGCCCGAGACGAAAGAGAAGCTGCGCAAGTTCCGCCTCGGGACGTCGCGGGCCAAAGATCCCCAAGCCATAATCTGTATGAACTCCGCAGTCCGCTACCAACCCGAACAGGGCAAAACAAGCATTCTAATCCTCGTTAATTAGATATCATTGATGGAAAGAACCAGGAGATTCGCCCTGCGGATGGCGAGGTGTACACCAAGATGGAGGATGTGGCCGATGAACTGCCCGAGTCGAGTCCACGGTTCATTCTTCTAAGTCACCCTCTGACACTCGTGAGTAGTTCCATATCATCGACGTTAAATTGAATAAGGATTTGACGGGAACGAATTTTACTGACGGGCCTGTCAATGTAGGCCTCCGGCCGCCTGTCCGTCCCCTACGTCCTTCTCTACTATCTTCCCGAGAACTGCAACCCGTCGATGCGGATGATGTACGCCGGGGCGGTCGAGCTGATGCGTAGCACGGCCGAAGTCAATCGGGTCATTGAGGTGGAGAGCGAGGAGGATGTCATTTCGATTGAGAAGAGGCTGCACGGGTCGGAGTGATTGATCCATCATTGCGAGGGGTTTGAGTTGGGTCTAGTATATATTGAATCCATGGCTGTGTTGGTCCGCTGATATCCTTTTTTCACATATATGTGCGTGTTTGACTTTAGAATTGAAAATAGTTTATATGAACTGACTGTACTTTGGGGCTTTCTAACTCTTAAATCTTTAGTTATCAGGTTTTCGGCTGCTGCAAGCCAGACAAAACCCACCTGGTTAGGTCGGTTATCCGGCTTCCTTGCTGTACGCGTCAAGTTTTTCTTCATCAGAACGCGCAACATTCGAATTAATGATGAATCACTAGGGCGCAGCCGAAGCCTGTCAACTGATTGTGCCAATGAATGGAGGTCACTACGCGAGGCACCATCATACGATGTCAACAGTCATTCTAATCCTTCATTTCGGTGGACTCAATCGGCGACGTGGACAAGGAATCGTTGCTGCTCGCAAACCTACGGGGGAAATCCAAGGGGTATCAAGTCTCTTAGGCAGACGCTGGAAGCAAATCGCCGGCCGCAGGAACTTGATTCCGACACAACGAAACAGAAATAGCAATACACCGTCGTCTGGTGTGATGGATGATAAATGGTGGCCTTTCTTCGGCGTCATGCGCCACATCAACCAGAGATCAGGTTGTCGTCTTGCATGTACAAGCAGTAGTGCAACGGAAGATAAAGGAAAGACGGATCAGAGGGTTCTTCTGCTTCTTCTGCCTTTTCAGACCTCAATTCAGCCGGGCAGTGAGATAGTAGACTGCTGCTGGTGCAGTTGATGATGATGGCTACCAGGTAGAAATGTCCAAATCTGGCGATGATTGGTTCTCCTCTGGAGAGGCGATCTGGTGGGCGCAGGCGATCGTTATCCACTCAGCGCCCTGAAGAAAGCCAAACGACTCAGCTGGGTGTCGTAGGCCGTGTACTACATAGCGTGTAGTAATGAGCTGATACGTCCGCCGAGTATTCCGTCGACAATCGTAGGTACCTAGGTAGTGAGCTGATGCCTACCCCGTAGCGATTTTATGCCAATTTACATCAGCACAGTGACTGCGAGATAGGCAGCTCGATTACTCGGTATGGTGTAGTTAGTATGTATTTGCCGACAAGCGAGGTCGCATTGAAACTGCTTGTCGCCTACTCTCCCGTAGAGTGGCTCCAGTAGGGAGGAGTCTAGAAATTAGTATCAGGCAATCTGCAGCGGCCAAATACAACAAGCCGGACAGTGTCCGGGCCAGTCCCACATCGAGCAGACTTAGGCGTGCGAATCCCTACCGAAAATAGAGATGGGCGCCGACAATCCTAGGTCAAAGTGGATGTTTTTCCAGACCATCATCTATCTCCCCCCCGAGATCCAGGGGATGGGATTGAAGAATTGAAAGGACCGGGAGGAAGCCTTTGGGGGGGGGGGGGGGGGGGAAAGGGAAAAAAAAAAAAAAGGATTGCTTCCGACCCAGTGGCCTGGTGTGTTCATGGCACTGGCCATGTTTGCATACAATACAGTACTGTATTACCGATACTGTATTGCATACAGGGAGGTACTCCGTACTGACCCCCTGTGTTTTTTCGGTGATACCCCCGTTTCCATACACACGCTAGTACCAGTAAGGTCTACCTAGGTACGGTGCTTGAGGGTAGCTAATGTAATGATAGAGTGGTCCCTGGTACCAAGTAGTATCTCCCTATGGTACCGACCACCTGGAAGAAGGGAACAAGGCTTGGAAGTTAGTTCCCAGAACAAGCTTTATGACGGGGAGGTTTCCATGGTCTGTATCAAGGCTTACGTAAAGAACTCTAATACCAGACTAACCCATCAATAGGTATTATTTGATACCAGGTATTACTTCTCCTAACCAATTATCTCTCACATCTATGTAGTAAGTACTACTAAAGTACGGAGTACTCCGTACAATAGATTGTCTGAAGACAATAGTAACTAAGGTAGGTACTGACTAACTACTTACCTAGGTAGATAACTACGGAGTATACGAAGTATAACTAACTACTACCTCCTAATAGAAGAATCCTTCGAACTATAATATAGTATTTGCCTGATATATTACATAGATAATCTCATACTGTCCATTAATAAAGATTAGTAACTATAGAATGCTATACTATAGTAAAGTAACAGATAATGCTATAACTAATACTTGGTCAAATTTCATAGTAGTGATACCTAGTTATACCTAGGTACCTACTATAACTAATACTTATCTATACCTGATACCTTACTTAGTATACCAGGTAGGTACTACAGATGTACGGAGTATCTGTATTACGCAGGATGCACTAGATAAACCTTCCACAACGAGCACGGATCGTGCCAGCGCCAAATCCTCGACTCGTTGGCCACGCCTCTTTTCGCTCTTTGCCCCCCTCTCTCCCCTCCCTGGCGCTTTAGTCTCGACTTCTAGGAGCCGATAGTCTCACTACCGTTGTCTTGGTCGCGTCGCTTATAGTACGGAGTACGGCCATCCCTGGCCTGTTGCAACACGCTGTCTGCCGGCCGTTCGAGTCTCGCTATTTCTCTGCGGATTTCCTCCTTGGTTCTTTGAAGATTCCATTCTTGTCTGGATCTTCCTTGTTAGAGACGATCTGCCCCTTAGCCTGCCTCTGCAGTATCCTGCATACGGAGGACATCCCATCCTGCGTCCATCGCGGCGAGCTGAAGCAGCAAAGAACCCGCCCGTCACCCAACCAATCACCCGGACCCAGGCTAGGCCCGACCACCCTCACCCACGGCTCAAGCGCTGTTAAAGAACGACTGTCCGCGCCGCCTGCGCCCCAGACCGTTGCTGCTTCCCAGTGCATCTCGTGCATTTCCACTTTTGCCCATCTGCCTGTCCTTGGGCCTGAGGCTTGTCGATTCTTGGTCTCTCTATCAACACTTGGGGAATTGAATTCGACTTGATCTTTTTCTTTTTTTTTTTTTTTTTTCAATTCATTGCTTTCACCCTTTTCTTTTTATCACTACCACCATCATGTCTGCTCCTGGTGATGAAAAGTCCGAGGGACTGACAAAATATATGAAACGTATGAAGACTGTTCTTCGTCGCTCAACCAGCTCTAGAAATTCGTCCATCTCAAGCATGCAGGAAGTTCTTGGAGCCCCTAAACCGGCACCGTAAGTTTTGCGGCCTGCATTATTTTCATTTTCATTTTATTTTTATGATTCTTACTCATTCCACTCTCCATAGTCCCAAGGTGGAGGCCCAACCGACCGTTGCTCCTGCTCCTGCTCCTGCTCCTATTGTCGCTGCTGCTGCTGCTGCTGCTGCTGCCGCCGCCGCGACCGTCCCTAGCAGCTCCAAACCCAAAACCCGCGAGCCGACCGTTGTTTCTCACTGGAGCGCTATTCAGCAGGAAAAGGCCCGCGCTCTGTTCGCCAAATATGGCCTGACTCTCGAGCCTGGCGAGTGGAAGTCGCCCTCCAACCTGACTGTCCAGCGTGTTGCGAAGCCGATCCGCATGAGGGTTCACCGTACCTGCCACCGCTGCCAGACCACCTTCGGCCCTGACAAGGTCTGCGTCAACTGCCAGCACACTCGCTGCAAGAAGTGTCCCCGCCACCCGCAGTCCAAGAGCCCCGAGGAGAAGGAGAAGGAGGCCGCCGTCAAGCTCAAGGCCCTCGAGGCCCGTCTCGCCGAGTCCAAGGGCAAGACCGCCGCCATTTCCACCGCCGCAGCTGCCGCAAAGAAGAAGAACCTGCTCACCATCCCCTCCCGCACCGGCGGCCAGGATCTCATCCGCAAACCGATCAAACAGCGTGTTCGCCGGACCTGTCACATGTGCAACACCCTCTTCCACGGATCCGACAAGGAATGTACCCAGTGCAAGCATATCCGCTGCAAGAAGTGTCCCCGTGATCCGTATGTCATTCTTTTTTTTTTTTTTTTTTTTTTTTTTTTTTTTTTTAAAAAAAAAAAAAACCGGCTTTTGTATGGCACTGAACTGACCAACCCCGACAGACCCAAACTCCACAAGTATCCCGACGGATATCCTGGTGACGCCGAACCCCCGTACGAAAAGCCTGAGCGCGTGTGGAGGAAACCTCGAAGGCGCGTGCGCTACACCTGCCACAAGTGTTCGACGACCTTCCGCTCCCGCGAGAAGGTCTGCTCGGGCTGTGGTGAAGCCAAGGGGCCGGATACCTTACGTGATCCGTAAGTCTCTCCTAGAGTTACTGGAAGTTTACAACCATAGTCGAGTGATTTTGCTAACTCTGTCAGTCCTAAACGCATCCCTCAGGAGCCGGATCCGGAAGTCCTCAGACGTGTCGAAGCACGACTGGCGGCTCTCAATATTAGGTCTTAAAGTTCTCGGTCTTCTGGCTCAATTGACTCGATCCCTGTCGGCCTTGTGACCTTGATGTTTCGATCTTGAGCTTGATTCGACGGAACTAGATCTATCACTGCTCCCTGTGTGACTGTCTACGACTTGCTGTTGCTGTTGCTTTGTTGATTCGTGCGCCTGTTCCCTGCAGCATCTTCACATACCCATACCTCCCTTCCCCCCAATGTTTTTCCCCCCATTCGTTACGCCCATCATGACATCCCCTAAACGAGCATCGCAGAGTCGGCCGCACCGTTCCGCTCCTTCATAGCTGCACGTGAATACACTCCTTGTCATTGTACCGTATCTCTTCGTAGTGCCTCGGTAGTAGACATACGTATGTTATAATATTGATGGAACTACGGCCAGGAGTCGGAGCCGAGCCAGAGAAGCACACTCTGACGCAGACCACTAATCCATAATTACTCCATAGCGATAGGTATGGAGAACACCGTACGGTGGGCGGGTAAAGGGACGGACGGGACGGCTCCATCGTCGGACCGCTATTAGCGCTCCATAGATGGTTTGTAATATTGTATTGTAGTATGTAGTACTATTAATGTGTCTACTTGATATAATTAAATCAATTGAAGAGAATATTCTGAATATCATTTATACTCCGTCTATATTTATCTATATATATATATAGATTGTATATATGCTCATGTTTTATATAAAGTAGGGAGACTCGACATTGTACGAACCTTGAAATCCACTTACTAGTTACGTAGTGCTACGTAGATACAACATCCACTGCCTGCGCTGTTTCGTGGCTCGCACTAGAAACTTTATCCGCTGTATCTGGACGAACTTGGAAACGCACTAGTGGGCGTCTTTACGGGGTACGAAGTGGTAGTATTGAGTTACTAGTTTAGTAACTGCAGAGTTATGATTATAGGGTAAAGTACCCGAGAGGTAGATACCTAGGTACTTATAGGTACTCACTATTTAATCAATGGGTGCTCTGCACTTTACTGCTATATATGTAGTGCCTATGTACTATGTATGAGTATTCTTAATTTTGGATGATATCATGGTGTGACATATGACACATCTACTAACCTCCATCTGGAATTTTCTCCGCGCCGATGGTACTCCTATGGAATCTAGAGTAATGCTAAGTAGTATAAGTATGGAGTAAGTAGGTACGGAGTAGTTAGTTGACTGACTACCTAACTAACTAATGACTAACTTACTCCGAAAAGTTATCCGACGGGTAGTGGACCAAAATAGCAAACTAAACGGCGCCCCGCCCGACGACCGTTTATGCTGCAAGTGTCGTTGGAACAGAGTATATTTTGGAAACGGGGTATATACATATCGGGACTCATTCCGAGGGGCAAGATTTTGTGATAGGTATAAAGAAACCGCTGAACCAGTGAATCAAGCGGGTTCACCGAGTAAGTGACAGCGGATTTAGACTTTCTCCGTGATGGCTAATTAGAGTTGAAATGATGAGTCCAATATCTTGTTGGACCAGTTAGATGGTGATATTCCTACTACATATATATGGTGCTGGTCAATTGTGAGGAGTCCTTCTGTGGAATAGTATTACGATGTAAGTTCCCATGGCTATACTCCGTACCTGCTTACCCTAGGGTCTAGAATCACTAGTTACTACATAAGTACTACTCCGTTGATCCTCAATATTGGTCTATTATTGGCATTATAGCTCCACACTCTATAGTATGTATCGTTATAAAGTGAGGTATCCAGTTCTACTGGAGACCAGATGACGTACAACAGCAGTGGGAATTGAAATACAACCCATCCTACTTGATAAGCCTTTGAATTAGTTACAGAGTACGGAGTACGGAGTACGGAGTACGGAGAGTTGCCCCTGTTAAAAAAAAAAAGGCTACAGTACCGGTTAAAAAAAACAAACTATACTATATATGGTATGCCAAGATTATAGCATATACCTTATTCTCTATATGGAGTACCACATAAATTATCAACACAGGTGCTGTATATTTTATACTTTCTATACTCTCTTCTATACTTATAGAGAAATACCCCTTGCTTGTCTACCATGATGCCATGAGATGGAATGCTCGACCATGTGGATATACGGATTCTGGCGGCTCGGTCCGCCGAACTTGTGCCCGCCCTGTGCACCAATAAGGAAGAGGATAAGACCAATACGGCGCTAGTAACAATACTATTCTGTATGTTACGACTAGTAATATATGTATCTAACGGGTATGATCCTTTAGTACATAGGATACAGAGAACTATAATAGAGTATTTATTGTCTTCATATAGGTAGTAACTATTCTGATTATTACTGATTACTATCAGGGTGTTAGTCCAGTCAACTGAACTAGCTACCTAGTAGAGACCATGAATCCTTTGGTATATGTAGTATAAACTAGATCCATAATTACTCCATATGATATAACTTTGAGGACTCAGGGCATGTTTAGTATACTACAGTAGTATACAGAGTACCTAGGTAGATACCTAGTAGGTAATAACTAACATTAATACCAACAGTACTGTCATTAAGGATTGATTGTAATTATTACATACGCAGATTCGGGGTCTGCTCACACCTCGCCCGAGAGTTTAGATACTACGCCTCTACGGAGTAACGGGCGAGTCTCGACTAGGTAATAGTTGCCTATTTTTCTACTAGATAGGTACCTACTAGGTACCTTAGTCACTTACCACTGGCCAGTCCTGCGGTGATTACAGCATATGTTCGGTTCGGGATATGCAGTACGCAAAGCAAGTGCATGGGAGACACCAAACACCGGAATATGTAGTCCTCCGTACTACATCGTCACCCAAGGGCCGGGCCTCCCGACATCATGGCACCTAATAGGATTCCTCCCCGCTGTGCATCCGTTACGAACCTCGTCGGTGGGGATGGTGTTTTTTTTTTTTCGATCTCCCACCAATGACCTACCTGGGGAGGAGGGGCGAGCGGGCGAAGGGCCTGTAGCTTGCGGGCTGCAGCAGCAAGACGCGTTGCCAGTGCTTGCCACTCCATTATACTACTACCTAAGTCTGGGTATTAGTAGTTACCAGGTAGTTACCTACCTAGGGTAGTGAGTTAGTTCATGCAGCGTTTTACTGCATAAAGTTGTTGCCTATGTTACACAAGTTCAGTTATAAACTAGGCAACTGGTTAGTAACTCTACTATAGTATGGTTACTAGTAAACTCCGTAGTACTCTATATAAATACTCGGTAAATATCTCAGTATACAGAAGTATCATAATGACTACAGGGTGTTGATCTAGACAGTGGATTTCCTGCATGGTCATCTGCACTCGCCACTGGCTGCATACAAGGATATAGTGAGTTGTTCTTTCTTTCAGAAGACGGATCCCAAGCCTTCCGCTGGGGAAGAAGAGAGGGGAAGAGACGATAACATGAAAGGAATAAAAATACAATAAAAAACAATAAAAAACAAGAACCGCGGCTGGGCCTTACATCGTCGTACGGAGTATACCTAGTCGGTCAGGACGGGAAGACAGGGTGCGGGTGAAATATAGACCCCGGGGTCCGACTTTGCAGTACTACTAGGATGTATTTTGCATAGTATACGAAGGGGTAATCCTGAAGAAGATGGATCGATTGATAGTATTGACTCGCCGTCCCTCAAATGCTTGATTCTAACTAGTTATTCATTGCAAAGAATTTGTCAACAGACCTGATAGTGTCACCATGTTGTACACGGTACAGGCAATGCATGTGCATTTACAGACAACATGCCTCGAAACGCACATCCGTACTGAAAGCATTACATTCGTGGCGAACCTCGGATCCAGACAAGAAAAGGTCACAGTCGAGGCCTCGTGGCTCTTTCGATACCCTGCTTGTCCTCGGCGGCATGCCGCTTGCGACTCCGCTTTACTTGACACTGACGACAGACAACATAGAAAGAGTTACTCGGATGATAGTTTAACATCGAGTAGGGGGTATTCTCTCCCAGGAAGACGACAGCAGACCAATCTAGACATTGTTCGCAGAAGGCGTCGGGGCATGCGGCACACGCGAAGATGAGACCGCCCGCTTGGGCGGCCTTGCGCTCACACTGGCTACATGAGTGGCTTGAACAGGTGTGATGTCCCCAGAGGTCGGTTTCATAGTTTCTCATGCACCGCGTATGGAAACTCCTGGGGCAAATTTTGCACTGCTCGAGTCGATGGGACTTGTGGCAGACAAAACACATCTAAGGTAACAGTGAGTAATGGGTTTTTTGTGCTTATGATGGAACTCTGTGATTCGACTGCTCACCTCTTCATGCATTAACTTGTCTGTTTTTTCCTCTGTCTTCTTCATTGGTTCACAGCCCTTGAACATGGGAGAGACGGCCTCTCCGGGGCGGCATTCCAGACTAGCTTTGTTCACGTAGTATCCATCGATGACAAGCGTGCGGTTTTTACCGACGCGACGACTTTCTGGAGACAGGCATTCTACCTTGAGGTCTTCCCCCCGGAACTTTCGACGTCTGGTATCGACCCTTTCCCCGTTGAATATGTCTGTCTGTATTCTTTCGCTGCGATGAAGCCAGGACTCCTCATCGGCCTTCGAAGAAAACTCGTGCTCTCCAGGTCGTAGAGAACATCGTTCGATGACGGTCTCGTAATCCCAGTTGGCGAAGTCGACGTCGATAGAAGAGAGGGATGAGGAGCTGTTTCTATTGATAAAACTGGAGATGGCTTGCACATTCATACTGTCTGCTGACATCATATCAGTGCCAAGTATATCGAAGATATCGCCGCCCAGAGCTTGCACACTATCGATGACTTTGGAACCCAAGTAACTCTTCTTCTCGGACCTTCGCCGCATCTGCTCCTCGATGGTACCTTGGGAATAGAGCTTAAAGATTTGAACCGGCTTTGTTTGTCCTATTCTGTGGACTCTTGCTTCTGCCTGCCGCATAACAGACGGGTTCCAGTCTTCGTCTAAGAAAATGACCGTCGATGCGCTGGTAAGATTGAGGCCTTCGCCACCTGCTCGGATCGAGATGAGGAAAATCATGTACCGGGGGTCATGGCTGAAGAGAAATACATTCAAGTTACGCCAGGCGCTGGGCGTTCTACCGTCAAGTCGCACGTACTTGAATGCACTTGGATTTCCATCAAGATTGTCCAGAACGTCTTCGCAGAGGTCGAGAGCTTGTTCGAAGCCGGAGAAAATTATGATCTTCTGGTTTTCGATGACAACAAACTGCTGGACGAGCTTCTGAAGGACTGCGAATTTCCCAGAGTTGGTGACGAGGTGTTGCCCAGGAACATACACTTCAGGGAATCCCGAATCTGTCAAGTAGGGATGAATGGAACACTGTCATGTTAGTATATGGCTTTGACCTCAGCAATTTATCCTTTGGCATACCTTTCGTAGCTCCATAAGAATGTTTCTTATTATGATGGTAGGTTTGGAATCCGTCGCCTGAGGCTTCGTCTGATCCGTGGAGATATCTTGTTGCCCCTGTGCTGGAAAAGAGTCGCTAACACCAGTCAATACCTTCATGTAATATCTGGCCTGTAGCTCTGCTAATGGGACCGTAAGTGCAACCTCCTTCTTGGAGGGGATATCGAGGCCGATTCCCGGGGTTTCCTTGGTTCGTCTGAGCATTATCAGGTCAAGGAATCTTTTGGCATATTCAATAAATTCTTTGTCCACTTGGCCTTCATTCAGACGAAATGCCTCTTTGAAGGTGCCAGCGGTGCATTTCGTGAAGACGTCCGGAAACAACCAGTGGAAGATTGACCAGAGCTCGAGGAGATCGTTTTGAACCGGTGTCCTGGAACTTTTAGCTTAAGCTTAATACAGACTCTGGGGGCTATCTGAAAGTTACCCTGTCAACACCAGTTTATACTCGCACCGGACCTTTTTAATCGCTTGAGACCGGGTGGCGAGGTAGTTTTTAATCCGGTGCCCTTCATCCAGAATCATGCCTCTCCATACGTATGATCGCTGAAACCAGGTGAGGTCCGAAGCAAGAGTCTCGTATGTGGTGACCACTACATCTATAGTTGTTGCTTTTCCCTGGTCTGCTCCGTTGGGTCGGTTTTTGGAGCAAGATGGTCGTCGGCTGGCCAGCATCGCCCTGGCTTCCTGCCTCTCCTCGGACGTTCCATAGTATTTGAGCACAGTCAAATCGGGGGCCCATTTATCAGCCTCAGTCATCCACGATCCCATAACACTGAGTGGACAGACCACCAAAAACGGAGGTTGCCTCCCAGTATGGGCTGTTTCGTGTTCCTTCACATGCTGTAAGAAAGAAAGGGTCTGAAGCGTCTTGCCTAGTCCCATGTCATCTCCCAGTATTCCACCGATCCCATTGTTCTTCAAGAAGAGTAGGAAGGAGAGCCCTTCCAATTGATATGGTTTCAAAGTTGCACGGATACTAAGGATTATATTGTTAAATAAAAAAGCTCTTATTTTGACTAGAGGCTATTCTCTAGGAGATAGCTTACCCGTCTGGCTGCTTGTCGATCCGTTCGTATTTATTGATGTAGGACGCTATTTTGTCGAGTAGCAAGAAATGTTCTTTGAAGTTTGTATTCTCAGAGACAAGCGGACGTATGAATTCTCCGTTGGCAGCTATCCATGTCTTCCGTTTCTTCTCCAGTTCATCCCTCCTGCTCTTCGCACTCGGAGTTGCAACTGGCTCCTTCTCTTGAATAGGGAAAGAGAAATGGTTTCCACGAGCTACATCTGTCAGCACACGATCCTTCAATAAGGATGTATCACTTACATTTGGTTCTGGGGATGGACTTAGGCGTATCTGGCAGGATAGGGGAGGATGGAGGTGTTGGTGTGACGGATCTCGAGGTTAGGGGTGATGAGCGATCTGTACAGCGCGACAATGAAGGTGAAAGATAGAGCTCTTGGAGATCCATATTTCTGTTCGTCAAGGTTTCCCACGCATATGACACTATTCGTTGTACGTTCCGTTTGCCACGGCATACAGGAGAAGAGGAGGTTTGACAGGAAAATGGTCTTGACGATGGATGAACACGACGGCCCTCTCGTCAACTTAGGGTCCATTCACTTGGAGGTCTGATATAACATGATACCAGCCATTTGGTCTGTATTGCTCTGAAGCAGAGCGGCGATAAGAGAGTAGCCATCTACCAGCAAATATGGAAGAATGAGTGAAGACACTGATGAGGCAGTGAATGAACTGTAGACGAGCTGAATCTGCCCGGCATGACTCTTAACAGGGAAGGAAGAACGGGGGAGAATGTAGTGGGCATGGCCTAGATCCCCGGAATAGCATCGAGACACAGAAGCAAGACAAGTGACGAAGTCTAGATAGTGCCATAGCTAATATCAGCTTAGTTGAGTGTCACTGAAGACTTTGGTATCATCTCGCAAGATACCCCTGATTTGTGTATGGTGACTTGGAATAAGAGATCGTAGAGAAGAAGATAGAATAGAATATTAGGTAAATAAGAGAGACAATTCACCGGGGCAGACATGTAGAAGTGACTTCCCTGAGTGGAATAAGAGTGAAATATCCGAAGGAAAGTAGAGAGAAGGCGAGAGTTGACTGGGAGCCCAAAAAGATTGAAAAAAAGTCACCGTTTAGTCCTACAGCCTTGTCAAAAGTCATTTACCCCTTCAAGTCCACTCTGCATCCTGAGAGGCGTCCAACAACCAGCCTTGGCCTTTAATATGACACCCTTATTCTTCTTCTTCTTTTCCAATGCCTGCCATAAGAATACATTTACTTCCTTTCAATGGCTCCGACTGTATATACTAATCCCCCAACAGTGAGAATCATACCAAACTATGCCTCGTGGATTTTCTTTTTGCCCCAGATGGAAGATGCGCACATTCAATATTCGGCCAGGTCAGTCTGCTAGTGAATCTGACCTTCGGATCCTCGAGTTTTACCATGACATGACCTGGCAATGGCAGGATATACCTGGAGAAGGACCAGCATTGCTGGTGACTTGGCTATGTTGTACCAACTGTTGTTGTCCTATAATACGGCTACGGCGACGCCAGGTTGGCGCCATGAGGAGAGAAATGCAGACAACAATAAGAGCCGAGAAGGATATTGCTGGTAATGAAGAATGAGATGTTGATCATAGAGCTGAAGTGATCAACCAAGGCTACAGTCTACCGAACAGACTTGAAGAGAGATAATAAAGCAGCAGAATAACTTGATTGCAAGGAAACTCGCAAGATAATAACGTCATCTCCAAGTATGTATTCCAGGAAGGGAATAGAAATCCTCACCTTGAACCATGTTCTGTAGATGGACTCTTCGATTGTCGTCGTCTGGTTTGCCCTTTCAAAACCTTATCTGTTATCAGCGCCAAATTCACATCTTCTCCAGTCCAACACTTGCATCACTCTACAAAATTTCTAGAATTCCAATCAACCCGCGACCTAGGTTGTTGGTTTTTGACTTGAGTGGGGATCAAAGTGCAACACCATGACGACGTCAAAGCTTCACATCGCCGAGGAGCTTCTCCAACGCGCCCACTCCCCCGACACAGCCTTGCAACTCTTCACCGAACGCATCAAGCAGAAACCTCTCTTCCTACGACCAACGTCCCCCACCCCAGCTGACAACCGCTCCCGACGTCGCTTACACCGGCTCCGCAAGAAAGAGTACTTCCTCCGCAAGCAGAAGCCGAAACCTCTGTCTGCGCGCGAGAAGCGCGCTTCGGGGATCTATAAGCTACCACCGGACGAATGCAAATACGAGATCTTCCAAGGCCTGCACAAGATGTGGGTTGATTACATGCTGGACGTGCTGGACCTCAAGGACCGCCGCGCTGGCAGCAGCGCCCCCATCACACCTCTGTCTCACGGGAGTAAGCTGGCAAGTGCGGATTTCCACGGCGCACAGGTCGAAGTCGTCCGCAGCCAGTGCTCGAGTCGTGTCGGGTTGAAAGGGATTGTGGTTCGGGATACCAAGTTTACCTTTGTGGTGGTTACGGAGAAGGATGAATTAAAGAGTGCGTTTTTCATTTATTTTACTCGAGCAGCACGCCGCCAGAGTCCTTTTTTTTTCTTCCTTGCAGCTAATCCTGGTATTTTCTCTCTTCAGCTATCCCGAAAGAGCAGTCGATCTTTCGATTTACGGTCCCCCTTCCACTGTCGACAGACAGGGATACGACTGAGGAGGACAAGAGTGATGGGGCGAGCGAGCCGTTGGTATTTGAGATACATGGCAGTCAGTTTCGGAATCGACCGGTGGACCGTGCGAATAAGAAGTTCAAATGGAGGAATGTCGACTACTTATGAGTGAAACACGCATGATCCAAAATGTCACCAGTTGGAATAATTCATTTCCTTACGCCCGAAAGAAGACACTTCTACCGACAGAATCCATCGGATCTCGTTCGGTGCTCTCCGCTCTAGACGTCATGGGAACTTGTCTCGCTAGCCTTCATGAAGAGGAGCAGGTTATGGACCGAGCTATTTCACTGAACCGTCTTTGGGCTGCACCGGTTGGTCCTTCTATATCGATCGTCGACATCGGATAGAAAGGCGACCTACGAGCGCCCCCTCATCTTCCAAGGGAAGCTGTATCCTTCAAGAGGCTTTTTATGAAGGACAGAGATTGGAAAAAAAATATTGGATTTCCGTCGGGGTTAATCCTTATCTCACAAGTGACCAGCAGTTTGAACTAGTTGCGAGAAGCAATAACTATAATAGTAGCTGCAAATTGTACATGGAAGATATTCCCAGATCCTTGAGCTCTTATGCGTGTAACGAAGACCCGACTTCATGATGAGATATTTAAGCTTAAATATCTTCAGGAGGCCAGTCTTATTTATGTCAAGACCATAATCTAAGCAGAGAACTGTTGTACACCTCATTTGTGTTCAACATTCCAGATAGCTGGGCGTGATTTCTGCAACACCCCCTGAGAACAGTCTGCTGTTCCAGAGGGATTGAAAAATCCAAGACCCAATTCGTATTACCGCCGCCGGTCGACATTTGACTGAGTATGAGAAGGTTCCCAGGAGCGCACGAGTTATTTCACATTCCTGCCCACTCAATACTAAAAGTTCGGATCGTATCCTGGCCCTCAGCCTGAGACTTTTCAGCATTCTTTTCTACCCCGCCAAGCAAGAAGCCTTTTTTCACGCCGGTCCCCAACCGGCCTCCGGAAACCACGTCCATCAGCTTGATCTCTTCGTCCCACTCAGCAGAGGCGACGAGGAAATGCGAATGAAAGCGCAATGGGTCGCCCGGGTATGCAAGGTACTGGCAGCCGAACCGGAGACCGGGCGACAAGTAATAGCCTTGCGAGTGGAGATGCGTGAACAACGGATACGATGGAGGGACCTGTGGAAGTGGCAAGACCTGCTCGGGAGACGGGGAAGAAGGCAACAGCCCATGCGATGTTGCAGGAGTGATGCCCATGGCGACCTCGGTGGACGCGACGGATGCCTGTGAGGACTGTCCTTCTCCGCTAGGTGTTGCTGCTGGCTGTGGACTGCTTGCAAACATCTCCAAGTCAGAAGGAGCATCATCAGTGTGAGCTGGGACGGGCTGCTGTTTCTGCTCGGAGTCCTTCTTCACTTTGGTGGCCTTCTTTTTCTCCATTTTCTTCAGAACCTCTTCTCGCTGTTGTTCCCTGCGGGTTGCTTGGAGTCGCGAAGCTTGGAGGCCTTGAGATTCTAAGTCCTGGAGGTAACGCTGGCGGTCTGCCTCCATGAGGGCTTTCATGCCATCGCGCTGAGCCTTGGCTTCGTCTACGATGTAAGCTACACCTTTCTCAACCAACAACCGGGCCTCTTCGGGCATCAGCTGGAGCGGGAGGCCCAGAAAGACATTCTGCTGAGGGATTTGTGGCAGAGTTCCGATCAAGACCCCACAAATGTGGTGTTCGCGTCTCAGATACGTGACATCGTCAATTGAGAAAAGAAAGTAGCTACCGGATATGAAGGAAATTGGAATAGGAAGGCTGGGCGTGAAATCCATTGTTCTTGTTAAGCTCGCTGATCTCTAAATACTTGACTGCTTCTGAACCATACTAGTTAGCGTCAAGTTCAACGACAGGTTGGTTCCAAAAATCATCGCGAGACAATTATAATGCAAATCATTTTCAAGTACATTTCTCAGTCACAGGTGCTCTTTTTTTTGAGATTAAATGCGAGCTTCAGGGGATTGACAGATTTTGTAGTTATATAATCATGCAAAAAGGGAAGAAAAAACCGACTCAAATAAATTAACTTACCATCCACATAACAGGGACATTCTTAACGACAGTCAAAAGGCCCTGAGTTTGTCCAGCAAAATCAGAGTGGCCAGGTTCTGAGAGCGAGGGAAGAGAAAGAAAAGTTTCGCGGTGGTGGGAAATTCTTAAAACGGACTGGGGCCAATTGAAGCTTTTCCTCTTTGGGCACGGCCCTCTCGGCAATCCGAGAGCTTCCAAAGAACCGCTGACCGGCAATAGTAATGAATGTGAGATCTCAAGACTCACACCAACACAGACCGGCTACAAATATTGAGCTGAGATGAATTTTCTGCTATTGATTAGCCTAGTCTTCTTCGGGCCGCTGGCTCTGTTCATAGGTCAGTTTCAGGCCCTTGCAAGAGCTGTTACAACCTCGAAACCCCGCGACGGCTAACACAGCGTAGGATGGCTAGCTCTTTCTTCCTGTCTTGGAAACGGATTTCGGGCTAGAATAGGTGGTTCTTCAACCAGATCTAGCGTTGGTGGTTATGGGCGAAGCTATCTCCGCACGATGGCCAACAGCGGATCAGCATTGTCGGAGCAAATAGAGATGGAGAGCATGATGACAGAGCAGGAGTGGGACGAGGATTAATCGCCGATCGGGCTTGCGTGATATTCTTAGGGGGGTTTTTTTTTCAGGATCAAAACTCGAGGTCGGCCTTCTTTGGCATCCCCGACGTCTGGGATCCCTCCTGTCCTTCTTTGTCACCCTCGGCTGGCGGCAGACTGAATGGTTTGATTTCGAACTTCCTCCGACTGAGAATGAACGCCCAATCTTGCCCGACGTTTTTATCGCTGCCTCCCCCCCGTTCATGCAAAACGGGTAGCCTGTGAGTCTTGAGCATACCCTGGGGCGGTTCCTCTTGAGCCGTGGCAGCGCCCGAAGTTGCCAGGGCGTCCGATGAATGCGGGAAGGGACACAGCTCAATGACCCCGTCTGCGATGAGCTCCATCCATCGGACCAGGCCGGACGAGCGTGGGAAGAGAGATAGCGGGAGAGTGATCATGGCGGTCACCCGAGCGGCATACGTGCTTAGCAAGGCTCGGAGAGAGTGAAGGAATTGCAGGACGAATTCGGGCTGGCTGGATTCCGGCGGATAGATCGTCGGGTTAAGCAGGGAGGGTATCACGATACGATGGATGGTGTTCGCGGGGCTCGACGCGATCGCGGACTGCAATCGTCTGTATATGGAGAGAAACGGAGACTCCCTCGATGGGACAAGCGGGATGAAGCTCATATTCGAGATGGAGGGATGGGTAAGGCGCTTTGTCAAGTCAAACGCATGACAGAACGCCTGCTGCTTGGAGTCCTGATCACCGTCTGCGGCACTCTGAACCTGGTCTCCTGTAGCCGCTGCAGGGGTTATCCAATCAGTGTCATATATTCCCATGAGACTGAACTATATGCTCTTTCTCTCACCTCTGGAACCTGCGATTCCCGCCCCAAACTCTCCCAAACGCTCGTATCGCCATGCGATCTTCATTTTTTCGTCTTTACGCTTCAGCGACTTGTCTTCCGTAGCATCTGCCGCGCCAATTAAACCAGGCAGGGAGCGCCCCCACGGCTCCGGCACTCCCACAACATGCACTTTGTGGCCTTGCACCACCCCCTCAGCGGCGTAGAACCGCAGTAATGTGCCGGCGAAATCCGTCGTCCCGTTCTCTTCCACCAGCAGGATCTTGCCCATCGGCAGTCCTGCATGGCCCGCAAGCAGATTGTCCAGCGACAAGGAGCCTGTCGAGGTTGTTGGGCGGCCGTCATCGGGGGAGGGGCGGATGCCCGGGCTTGGAGCTGGTGATGGAGCGGCTTGGAGGGGCTGGCCGGGGACATGGGCGGCGGGAGTCCGGGCAAGACCGGACGAGAGGCCTATATTTCGTTTCCGAAAGGACATGATGGTGTTGAAGTGCGAAAATCTAGCGTGCACAACCTTCGTTGGTTATGTAGTATTGCTTTCCACTGCTGTTCTCTCCTAGCACTTTTTTTTGTATGGCGGGGCGTAGTAAAAGCGGCACTAGACCGAGTAAAAGAAAAAAAAAGCTTCCGCCGATTTGATCTCCACAAGACGATAGATAATAGACACCATTGAGTGCTGAGATCTGAGCAGACTTAACGTCAGTCTACAAGCCCTTCTCTATTATTTCATCATCGTCATTCTCTATAAGTATCTTTTTTGTCTTTTTTTGAACCGTCACCATGTCCGATCCGCTTCTGTTCGAAGACACCTTCACCGTCACGGGCGTCAACTCGCAGAAATACGACCGCGTGTCGCGCCTGAGCTGCACCTCGTCCGACTCGCTGACGACCTTCACGCTTGATATCAACTCGGAGCTGTATCCATGCTCGGCGGGCGAGTCGCTGTCCATGGCGCTGGCGTCGACCCTTTCGCTCGATGGCAAAGATGAGTCGGGGGCTAAGGGCGGCTGGCGCGAGGTCGGGATGGGCGAGCAAACCCTGGCCAACGACTACGACTATGTCTGCCATGGGAAGGTGTATCGGTTTGAAGAGGGATCTACTGCGGGGAACATGTATGTTTTTTTCAGAATTTGTCCCCTTAGTTGAATACCGGGGCTGGGGCTAAACTTTTCAATTCTAGGGCTGTCTTCGTTTCCTTTGGCGGTCTCCTGCTTTATCTCGAGGGTCCCTACAAAAAGCTTGCGCCTTTGAAGATTGACAACGTCTATCTGTTGCTGAAGAAATAGAGAGGGTGATGACATTTGGAATGCATTGTGGAAAATATAAGTATAGTCTTTGCATTGGCTGGAACCACGCGCGTCTTGTCAGACACCCTGGAGTTTCATGCCGAAGAAAAGTCTGTCAATATGACCGTTTCTGGGTTGCAGCGTCGGCGTTTGATTGGTGATAACTGGGTATCGTTTCTAATAATAGACTCATTGAAAATGAAAGATGGCGTACATAGCTTCACCCAAGTCTGTCTAGTATCGATGGTATACATGTCCTGTTCATCAAGTGGCGTGCGATGCAGTGGGGAACTCCAGACGGCGATGCAGTCTGGCGATAATCTCCAGATAATCAGGTTCTGTCTCTGGAGTGAGGATGCCATGTCGGATGAAAAAGTCGATCAGCACGACAGCACAGTTTGGTTTAAACTCCCCGTTGGCCAGGGCCTCTTTAGCCTGATCGACAGTCCAGAGATAGAATTCCTCCACTTCCGAATCGCAAGGCTTGGGTGTGATGCTCGCGTCCAGTTTCACATCGTATATATACTCTACCTCTGGCTGCAACAGGCCAGTCTCGCCTCCCGCGCGGGCGTCCCTCACATAGTGGTACGTAATGCAGCTCACAGCCGTCGCGTTGGCCCTGATCACATCTTCCGGCAGGGACGCCTCCTCCATGGCTTCGCGCACCACGCATTCAAACGGCCTCTCGCCCGTTGCCATCCCCCCCGCGACAGAGTTGTCCAGCATCCCGGGGAATGTTTGCTTGTTCCTGGAGCGTCGAGGTACCCATAACCGCAGGGAACTAGTGTCGTCACTGTCTTGCACGTAGCAAGTGGCATGAACACCGTACGAGACGACCCCAAACAGCGGCGTTGCACTTCGCTCCATCTCGAACAGGAACTGGCCTCCAGGCCCGTAGATCGGGTACTTCTCGTTTCGCCAGCCCTTGAGCACCTCGAAGTCGTCGCCCTTCACCGCCTGGGCCAACGTCTCCGCCATGAGGTCGCTCCGCTGTTCTGGCATCGCATCCTGAGGCGCCACAAGGGTGACGGTCCGTGTCGCTGCATCAATCGCCCAGCAATGCTCCGGCCAGGAGAACTTCTCGACGACAGCGTTAGGGATATACCCTAGCACCGCCTTGCAGCCCGATACATGAAACGAATGGTAATTCGCCAGATGCTCCTTATAGAACTCCGGATCGTCATGATAGTAAGGGAAGCTGTATTTTGTCGGTCAGTCAGTGACTCAACGGGGGGGGGGGAACCTCCTAAGACAAAAAACGTACGTGTCACACTCTTTGACCAGGTCCAGATACGATTTGACCATCTTGCCTTTCTGTAGTAGCTGTCGTGTATGTAGATATCCAAAATTATGTGCTAGATGAGAATGAACAGCAGAGAGAGAGCGAGCGAGCGACTCCTCCCATATATAATTTTTACATTGTCTCGACGACTGCGCCTCAGGCTTGTTCCTTCATGATACGCAGCGATACGCCCAAGCAAAGCTTATCGATAGAGGGGGAAGAGGCAGCCTTCGGGCAGGGCAAGCAAGAATATTTCCGCCGCAGGGCCGGTTTGCGTCACCGCCTCTGGTAAGGCGTTCTTTGAGCTTCCATCCGGGAGAAAACCACAACACGCACAAAGAAAGGGAGGACGGTCCTCAGCCGCAGGACACACAGCTTAGACTTATGATTCTTGAGATTCGCTGCTGATTTAGGTTCTAGAGATCCGCGTTTGTCCACCTTGCCGCCTGCTATTCGAAGAGCACTGCCCCGCGTTAGGACTGCGAGATACTATAGGTTGTACAATACGAGAGAAAGGAAGGGTCACTGTGCTGAGGGTACCTTATTCCAGCACCCAGGGTGTTACAGAGTTTGCTATGTTCTCAGTGATTATACCAGGCAGACCGTGCCTTACAGATATCGTCGCGGTGGACGGCCAGCCCGGCCAGCCGACCAAGTTCGCCTTCACCTTCCCGTTTAGCCCGTCGTTCAGCGACGTGGTCGTCTTCTTCCTCCCCGGCACTGTTCTGCCCCAAGACACCGCAGCTGCGATCTATATCCAGATCCCCGAATCGAACCCGTCTCCCAATGGTCCCGAGTTCCGGTTTCTCGGCGCATTAGCCAACGACAAGCCGTCTGCCATCTTCAAGGCCCGCCAGGCTGAAACGTCCACTGGTCCGCAGCGCACAGAGGCAGAGGAGGAAGATGAAATGCTCGACGAAGGCGCAAGCAATCTGTCTGGTGGCAGCGCCCAGGTGACAGGAATGGTCACCCTGGGAATCTCGATTGAGCCGATTCAGACCGTTGCGCCGCAGGTGGCAGCCCTGGAGGCCCAAAGCTCTATCAGCCAGTCGTCCTCCACGGCGCTTGTGCGTCAGTCACCGCAAGAGCGGCAACAGAAGGCAATCTCGACCAAAGTGTTAGCCCAACGAATCATTGGCAATGCGTTCAATTTTCTAGCGAGCTTTGCCTCGTCGGATCCCAGTAACAAAGGGCAAGAGGTCGTGCCGCTGAAAAGCTTTCAGGATTGGTGGTCGAAATTTGAAAGACGAGTGCAGATGGATCCAGGATTCCTAGAACGGGAGGAGTCGAATATCTGATCGATAGAGGTGTGTTTATTTTTTTTTCCTTTTCAGATCAAGAGGAGGAATGTATAGATATATTGGATTGAAGAGATGGTCAGATATTGTTCTATATATGCTGTTATAATGTATTCTACGAGGAATGAGTTCCATGGCTATATCGTTCAATCCTGCGCTTCGAGCGTACTACATCTAGAGCTAGACCGTTCAACTACCGAGATGCATCGGTAATTAAATCTATGCGCTGATCAGTTCCTATTAGAACAGCAATTTACAGGTGTCTATCCAGTAAGCAATCATTGTTGAATTGTTCTCGAATACTTCCATCAATTTACGTGGCGTGGCTGATAACTACCAAAAAAGGCAGGCGCCAATAATCACAGCCACATTGCGGTGGCTCAGCATTCACGGGATCTACCATCGCCTATAAGTCTACTATATCCTCACCGCAACTCATCTCTCAAGGCAGATCTGTTCAGCCTTTCTGAACATTGCGTTGAACTATTAAATTATCTGTTCTCAACCCCCTCTGTGCCTTAGGGAGACCATCCATTGGCCTGCCCAGTCAGCTTGATAGATCTCTTGGACGGGTGAAACCATTTCCCCTACCACACTTCACAAAATGAATGTTTAAAATGGCTCTCATAGTGAAGCATGACATGTCTGAAGCGTGGTTGAGACTACAATGTATAATGTCAAATGTTAACATGGCGATGCAAACGGTCAGGCTTCCGGATGCGTCGCTGTCGCTGGTACAACCCTATGGATAGGCAACATATCTGATAAAACGTCTCAAGGCTATGAAATGCCCATTGCAACCGGAGGAGACGCAGCGAGCTTGCCTGTACTGCCTTGCTTCCTTGTGTTCTCTGCTAGGCAGTCGATACGAGCACGATGTCAATACCCATTCAGCGAAGAATCCAGATACTGACGGGACTCGCCGTGGTTGTCTGGGTACTTATTATAATCCTTTCACCAAGAGTGGACTCGTCTGGAGCAAGTTTATCAATCTCGCGGCACTTTAGAGGACAAAAGAAGCCACGATACCGGCGTGATGTCGCCGTTGCGACTTATTTCTCCGGCGAAACAGCGACCAGCAACGATATCCAAGAGGATAACTACTTCATTGCCACTCGAACCTTGACATACCAGCTTCGACACTCGCCTCAGACACGACTGGATCCATCGATCGCATTCATCATTCTCGTCACGCCCGACGTGAGCCAAAGGAAACGTAACCAGCTTGTCCGAGAGGGCGCCATCGTGATCGAGGTTGACAAGGTGGAAACCAATCTGACCGTCGGCGAACCTCGCTGGCGAGGGTGCTGGACAAAACTCCGGCTCTTCGACCCGGAAATCCTCCCCTTCGAGAGAGTCCTTTTCATGGACAGTGACACGGTCCTTACGCGGTCCGTTGACGGGGTCTTCAATGACCCAGCTGCCAAGCTCCACCGCACGTTGAATCTGACCGGCCAGAGTCAAGAAGATGAAGCAGCCCTACCGGGCAAGTATCTCTTCGCAGGAAAGCCCGAAGCCGGCACGTACAGCCATTCATACCCGCCGGACATGTCGGGCGACTATCTCAACGCCGGGTTCTTCGTGTACTCGCCCTCCCATGCCATCCTGCAGCACTACCTGTCTCTTCTCGAGTTGCAGGGAAGGTTCAGCCCGGACATGCCGGAGCAGAATCTGCTCAACTACGCGCACCGCCGGGATGGGAATATGCCCTGGCAGAAGCTGCACTACAGCTGGAACATGAACTTTGTCACGCCTGAGGATCTGCGCAACCAGCCTGCCTCGTTGCACGTCAAGTACTGGGACAAGAGCCTGCAGCAGGAGGTCATCGACTATGCGTTGCGTTGTAGATGGGAGATGGAGGGCTTCTGGATTGGAGTGAATCAAAGGGCGAAGAAGATTGATCTTTTTAATCATTGATATAGCAACTTTTTATGAATTCTATTCATGAAATTCTATTTCTATATTCATTCAAACTCTGAGGATTGGCTATGTAAATGCTGTCGCATTCGAGCCCAATATTCTCTCACTTCAGCCGGATAATTTGTTTCCTCCAAAGCCACTTCCCATGAGGGAAGATGGTGCCGCGCCACGTTTGTAAACTCGGTCATGGTGTCGTTCCGCTCCGCGCCCATCGTGCCGGCGAAGTGCACTAGGAAATCGCCCCGGTGGATCTGAAGCTCTTCGGGGTGAATCTCGCTCATGCCTCCGTCGGGTTTGCCGCGGTAGGCGTTGAACCAGCGCAGGGGCACGTACGCGGTTGAATTCGCAAAGTATTCATTGTCCAACAAGAAGCCGAGGGCAGACTGGTCACGAAAGACCAGCAGAGTGTCTGGGTTGTCGTATGGATAGGCTATGATTGAGGAGAGCAGCTCAACCGACCACGGGTGGACCTTGATAGGGAAGACTCCATTATTGACACCGTTCCAGTCCTTGCTCAGTACCAGGTGGATATGCTCGAAATCCTCCGTGGGTGGCAGGAACAGCTCAATCGGGATGTTTGGGTTCATCACTATCGTGTCTGCATCAAACCATCTACTCTCATTAATTTGTATTCGTGGATAAGAAGTAGATGCTATTTGAGAAGGCCGCAGCACTTACAGAATCCACTCTAATCGCTCCCCTTCAGGCTTCATCAGTTCTTGAAGTACGAGAGACAGGAGGAAAGCCGGCTTGGTCCAGACATCGCTGAGGATCCCCTGACGCAAAACATGCATGGGATACTGGAACCTGCGACTATGCTCACGGTGGGTTCGCAAGGCCTCTTCATAGACCGGGCTGTCTCCATACACGATGGTCGCCTTTGCGATGGATGGTCTGCGAGCCTCAATCTGAACAGACGGCCCTGTCCGTGGTGACCAACGATCAATGTCGAATTCAAATCCTATTCAAAGCATCAGTATCTCATGTAGTCAACATTTTCCTTCTTCCCTGATCATACTCCCGCCATTCGCGTGGGATCTGTAGACAATGAAGAATAGCCCCGTCACAATACACGCCAGAACGCCGAGTCGTAAGAAATGTCGCTGTCTCTGCCCACCGGCAAGATATCCATGCGAAGGATATAAGTAGGTCATCTTTCGACTTACTCCATCCAGAGTTGAAAAGGATGCCCAGCTGCTTTGGAGATGAGGCAACCCCTCACGGAGCTTTGAGTGCGATACCCAGGCAGTCGCATCGCGTCGCTGAAGAACACGATTCTCTCATAGCCAAACCGGTATAACCGTTCGCGGACATCCATCATATCGCAAGATGACAAGAGCTGCCATGTCGCTCCAGCGGGTGCGTTTCCGGACATGCATCCACATTCCAGCGGGCGAGCCAATGCGTCGTGAGGGGAAAGGACGGAAAGGGAAAGACAACAACAATGTCAGATAATAATGGGAAAAGCATCCTCGCAGGTGGTTAATCGGCCCAATTATTAGCCTGCAGAGATACCTTTCTTCATGGTTTAGTACTCGGTACTTTTGCATTCAAGGGAGAAGCTCCACAAGCACCATTGTATGCAAGGCAATGCAGGCAGTTTTACGAGGAGGAGTTTTCTGGTGAGGGGTAACTGCCTCGCCTATCTTGATAAGAGACGGTCAAGGAAGGCCCTCCAGGCCTAAATCCGCCAACAAATCCTTGGAGAAACTGCCATGAGAAACGATTCTTGGGCCAGAAGACCGGGATCGGCTTGGTTATTTTATTTCATTTATTGTGGCTGTTTTTTCTCCGAGGCCATGACTCCGATGACTCACAGCTAGTTGACTCGATTGCTTACCAGAAAATTTCTCCAACCGATAAAAAGCAAGATTCATTCCACTCGGTGTCGCAGTGCCGTGTTTGACCACCTGCAGAAGCGCGGTATTCAGTTCATTCGGTTACATTCCTGGAGGAATTGTTAAAGTGCCTAAAAGCTAGATCAGAGCCTCCCTTGTCGTCTCTTGTTCTGTGAATAGCACTCTGGATATGGAGTCGGAAGGAAAACTTCCTCAACCAGACAATGCCGACGAAGCAACGCCTCTTCTAGGGAACCAGTCTTCAAATTACCGGTCCACAGACGACATAAAGCCTAGATTCACGGTCTCTGAGGATGATCTCGAGTCAAGGTTGCCGTCGAGGGGTTATGCGTTGGAAGACGACGCGGCCTTGGTCACCCTGGCCAAGGTAAGCTCGATTCCTCAAGGATTGGATATTGAACCGGACCTCGAGCGAATCTTCCCCACTACATCAGCGACCGATGATGCAGGTGGCAGCACCAATGAGGATACAAGCTATGCTGCTCGGTTCCTGAATGTCAGTCCCATGCGGTTCTGGTTGATCTTCTCGGGCGTTCTTCTCGGGTACGTGATCGGTTTTTTTGACTCAACTTTGATGGCTTCCAGCCATCCAGTCATCACGTCTCACTTTCATGCCTCGAACTCCGCTTCCTGGCTGTCTACCGCGTTTCTGTTGACCTCTACCGCGTTCATGCCCCTGTTCGGCCGGGTGTCTGATACTTTTGGCCGGCGTCCGGTCTACTTATTCTCCATCTTTGTTTTCTTCGTGACCACTGCCTGGTGTGCCATGGCGCAGAGTATCGGCAGCTTCATTGCAGCGAGAGCCCTGTGTGGGCTCGGAGCGGGCGGCGTGACTTCCCTGGGAATGATCATCTCCAGTGACCTCGTCCGGATTGAGTACCGTGGAGTGTACCAGTCTTACATTAACCTCTCTCTGGGCGTCGGCGGCTCCTTGGGTCTTTCGCTCGGGGGATTTCTGTGCGACCAAGTAGGATGGCGAGGTGCGTTTTACGTACAACTACCCTTCATCTTCGTCTATTTTATAGTCACAGCATGGACCGTGCCTGCCGACCTGGGTATCAAAATGGTGGGTTCCGGACGGATGACAATCATACAGTTGCTCCGAAGCGTTGACCTGACGGGATCCTGCCTCCTGATTATCGGCGTGACAGCGCTGATCGCGGGTCTCAACCTAGGCGGCAATGTCTTCAGCTGGAGCCACCCTCTTGTAATCTCCTCCTTGATTCTATCTGCGATCTTTGCTGTACTGTTTGTGAAATATGAGCGACATGTTGAGCGTGCTGTCATGCCCATTAGCCTTCTCACCAAGAACCCCCGAGCCAGCCTGATCTTCGGGAACTTCTTTGGAGCCATCGCTGTCAACACAGCCTTCTTCAATGCCCCTCTGTACTTTCAAGCGGTAAAACTCGCGACACCCACGGAATCTGGCCTCCGACTGATAGCCCCATCGCTTGCAGTCACCATGTCCAGCGTTGGTACGGGCTTCCTCATCACTCGGACTAGGCGCTGCAAGCCGACTATTGTTTTGGGCGGGTTTTTACTAGTCCTTGGAGGCATTGCCACAGCGACAATTGGGGCCGACACTCCTGACTGGCTGGCAATGCTCTCTCTGTCCTTCGCACCTCTCGGTCAAGGCTTCTCCTTCCCCTCTCTGATGATCTCTGTGCTTGCCACCAGTGAACAGGACGAACAAGCCGTTTCCACCACCACTCTGGGATTGTTCAGAAATTTGGGAACCGTGCTAGGCGTTTCGATCAGCAGCTGGATCCTCCAGAATTCCCTAGTCCTAGAACTTGAGAGAATGGTCACTGGTCCTGAAAAGCAAGATATCATTCTTCTAGTGCGAAAATCGGTTCGTGCCATTGCCGAACTAGATCCTTTGCATAAGCAGCAAGGTAAGTGGTGATACCAGTTGAATCAACAACCTTTCTCCTACTAAAATGGCTCTCTATATCAGTTATCGAAGCATACGCAGCCTCTCTTCGCATCACCTTGGGTTCGGTAGCCCTCTGGGCTTCCTTCATGTTCCTACTACATTTTCGACTGCGTCTCCCGGTCCTGGGTAGCAAGAGAACATGAGCATGAGCATTATTATATTCATAAACACTTTCACCCTCATCCCTATTACACCATGACCATGATCTTTCTTTCTCTCTGTGAGTATCTTCAGATCCTTCACACTCTCATTTTTATGAATACTTTACGAGTACACGGAAAAAGTTATGCTGTTTATGAACAAGGCGAGCAGGATATAGGTATATTTTTCTAGACAAGCAGATGGTTTGGTATTTGTGACTGTAATAGGTTCATTTTTAGTTTGTACTTGAGAATGTTGCATCTTAGCAGATTTATTAATACATTCCTTCGCTCTTAATAAAGTACGAAGTACTAGCACCTGGTCTTCTCCAGTCTTTATTCAGTCATAGATTCAAATCAAATTACAGATTGAAGACCCGCCATCATCTAACTTATTATTGACATTCTGTCAATGATTCTCTCCAAACACGATCAGATTTCGTGGCGAGTCTTTATGTCGCGACGTCTTGCTGAGAAATTCCCCGCGTCTTGTCCGAGAACCACAAAATCCCGATATCAGCGAAGAAGATAATCGTGGTGCTTTCTGATACACACTCTTGCGACCCCACTGCGATCAACTGTGCAGGGCACTATTCTTATTGAAGAGTATGTAGATTAGTTCCCAGAAAGGAAACTATTACGATCATTAACACTGCTTTGAAAGATTGCAGCTGACATTTCCCCAGTCTTGCAGATAATCTACCAGAAAACAATCCCTACACCCTTTACCTTTTTTCCACGAGTCCTCCTGCGGTGTTGGCTCACCCAAACCACTGCCTACACAGCTATAGTCGCAAGGGAAAGAAAAGTGCTGGAGGGGAACAAGTATTGGGATTATCGCGTCCAACTCCTGCTTCTGACGCGTGAAGGAGGCTGGCTGCCCCGAGGCCGAGAGCGCCGTGCCAGAACGCCGCAGCCAATCCCGACAGCGACCCTTCATGTCATAAATAAGTGGAAACCGGTATGGAGGGCGGGTCTTGAGAGGTGATCGCGAGGGTCTTCTGAAGCGTACCTTTGGGAGGGGGAGATAATCCATCTTCTCGACCAGCCATGGCTTCCGCCACTGGAGAGGGCCCTTTTCCCCAGCCAAGTGTGGACGTAGGCCCGGCAGAGACCTCCAAACGCAATTACGACAACGCTGGCCCCCGATCGACACTATGCGATGACAGCCGGGTAGCGACGCCCAATAGCTCTGGTTCTGGGTCGCCCTTTGTACAAGATCCTGGAGGCAGCAGACTCCAGCAGCAGCAGAATAATGAGACGGGGCCCAATGAGCCGCCCAAGGCTCGGCGGGTCCGTACAGGCTGTCTAACCTGCCGAGAGCGACATCTAAAATGCGACGAGACGCTCCCTCGCTGTCACAATTGCCGGAAATCCGATCGGGTCTGTCGACGCGGAATGCGCCTCAACTTCATCGATACGCAGATGGTCGCGCCGCCGTACGATATAACCCGTCCGCCAGGGACCCCAGTGACCTTTCAAGATGAGTCCCGGTACATCGCTTCGGAGTATGTCGGTGGGTTTGAACGATATCCCCCTCTAGAGCCCGATCCTCCGATAGAGAGAGAAAAGCAAACGCAGTTTGATTATGTCGGAATGCTGGGCCCTACGACGCTCTCGAAGCATCATCTCTCAGCTACCGGGTCATTGCTGTCAGCTTTTACAGGGCCGTCACAGTCAGATACGCCCGATCTGATTTTTGGCAGCCATGCCTCGCAAACGGCCTTCTCAGACCAGGTGTTGGCGCAAGCCCCGTTTCATCCGCTGAAGCCGGTCGATCAGAATTCCACTAGTCGATCCTTTCTCAGTGAGCCCGAGGAGGTTCTTCTCATGCAGGTGTTTGTGGAGGAAATCGGTATATGGATGGATTCCATGGATCCAATGAAGCATGTAGGTTTAGGTTCTTGTTTCTCTCCCCCCTCTCTTTCCCTCTAATATGGGATAGTTTACGACGATTTTACCATTCCACGCCTTGGAAGAACCTATGCTGCTCAGAGCTTTCATGGCATGTGCTGCCCGGCATCTCTTCCTTGTCAATCCGTCGTACGGCGAGCCCAAAGCATCCTACTACTACGATGCGGCCTCCCGAGACCTGCTGAATTACTTGCAAGACCCCGATCGCGACTCGGTCTTATGTGCTACGACGGCCATCATTCTAAATGTCTACGAAATAATGTCTGGCCAAGAAATGCATCGAATGACCCACATCGCCGGCGCGAGAGCCCTCATCAAGGAGTGCCAGTGGGATGCGAAATCGCCGGGCCTGGGCAGCGCATGCTTCTGGTTAAATATCGGGATCGAGCTCATGAGCTGTCTTCATTACAACTGGACCTTGGCCTGGGATCCGGACACCTGGGGTGTGGACATGGACATGGAGCATGCGCAACCTTCCTTCGCGGGGAACGAAGAACTGTGGACATATCGCGTGCTGTACATCTGCGCCAAGATCGCCAACTTCCGCTCCTCCATCCCTCAGTTCCAGGTGCTAGATCGCTCGGCTCATGATCCGCAGCTTACCGAGCGGTTCCAGGAGTGGAACACCTACAACAGCTGGTGTGATCAATGGGCAAAAGCAGTTCCCCGATCAATGACACCACTTGGATATATCCCGTCGTGGCAGACGAGTACCCGTTCTACCTTTCCGGAGGTCTGGTAAGCACTGGCTTTTCCTCACTGTTCTGACTTACGATACGAAATAACTAATGGGGACAGGCTCATCAAACGATCGTCGGTGGTGGCCCGTTTGTTCTACCATACTGCACGTATCCTGCTCGCCAAAATCCACCCGTTAGAATCCGAATACAGTCCCGAAATGCGCAACATACAGCAGATTCACGCCCACGATATCTGCGGTATCGTCGCGCATGTAAAAGACAGGTATGTGATGGGGTTTCCCACCTGGAAAAAAAGTTTCTAGATACTAAAACCTCCCCGCAAAGAGGAATTTCAAGTATTTCAATCCGCTGTCTAGCGCTCGCCGCCGAGTGCCTCGTTCCCCGAGAAGCTCAACAAGAAGTCCTGAACATCCTTGACAAAATCAATAGAGAAACCGGCTGGGCCGTGGAGACCATCAAGGCGGAACTTCAAGAGACATGGGGTTGGACTGTCCCTGAGACCCATCCACATCATTCCTCTGCCTCTTTTATCGGCGATGATTCCTCGTTGGCCACCTCTGTCCACGCTTTACATCGACCCAAGACATCAGCCGGCGTCGTCAATCCCATGATGGCGACCGCCGACTTTTCCATGGAGAACCACCCTTACCAGAGCCACTATGTCGCGCCACACCAGCATCTAGAGCATTATCACCATTACGACACTTTCTGAGTTGCCCGTCTTGCCTTGCATGGAGTTTTTTTGGTTTTAGACCTGATGGGTTTGATTTGATGGAATGGGCGCACCACACTATATGATATGATACCACCTGTACTATTTTGATACCTGTATTCCAGGTTCACTCCAATGGGATTTATATAACTACTGTATAATAGTTAACCACTCGGTGCTGAAGTAGCATAACCGAGGAACTCCAAGAGTAGCATCAAAAATATACATCAAATAATACCGAAATGATAAATAACATACATATCTCACCATGACCTGAAATAAAAACCAGTTGACCTTCAAGTCCTGCTATGGTGGAACGCCAAGACATCTCCGGCTGCAACTTCAGCACTTCAGCTTTCTTTCAACCCTGGAGCACATCAACAATATGAGAAGTTAGCATGGTTTTGAAGTTTCGGATAGACGTGGAGCTGACTTTCACAGGTATCTAAACTCAGTATCTTAGGTCATCTCAAAAGCAACAATGAATAGAGACCAACAGGCCCCAGGCCCAGCAACACCAACCTATATCCTACGCGGGCATGCAGCGCCCATCCATGCCCTGCATATCTTCTGCCAGAACCTGCGGCTGGTGTCTGGCGATGCAGAGGGATGGATCATCGTCTGGGACATGGTGACCAAACGGCCTGTTGCTGCGTGGAAGGCGCACGAGGGGGCTGTTCTCGAAGTGAAGGGCGTGAGTTCTGAGGCAGTCGAAATTTATACGTAAATCTTGATGTCTTTGTCTACATATATACGAGATAGAGAAAAACTTACACCTATACAGGCATGGGCGAGATCACAAGCTACGACTGTGGAGATTCCGTGCACAAGAGGAAGGCCTACTCGAAAAGACTCTCCCTGTTGACGCGCATGAAACACCACACTCCGAACCGGGGATCCAGCCATGGCTAGTTCATTCGCTTCCCGTCAACGCGCTGAACTTCTGTGCCTTTTCGATCCTCCAGATCGAGCACGACAAGTCAGACACCGGGCTCGACAACAAAACATCCCCCGTGCTAGTGGCGGTGCCGAACGCGCTCGACTCGGGCGCCATCGATCTTTTCCACCTCCCACTCGAACGCCGCATCTCTACCGTCCCGGCCGCGGCGGGCGTGAAGACCGGTATGGTTATGGCGGTAAGTCTCTTCTCCAACCCGGCAGGGCTGTACGTTTGTTCCGCCTACGAAGATGGCCGAGTGATGGTCTTCGTCCGTCGGGGAGCTCTTATCATCGAGACCACTACTACCGGCCCTCCCGATCCCCCTTGGACGTGGGAGAACGTTTACACGAGTTGCCCTCACTCACAGCCCGTCCTGTCCATCGACCTGGCGCCTAGTAAGGCCTACTTTCTGTCCTCTTCGGCAGACGCCGTACTAGCCAAGCATGAGATCCCATCGCTACCGAGTGCATCGCGCGCACTTCAGGATTCCCCACCGAAACAATCGGCTAACACGAAACATTCAGGCCAGCAGGGCCTGCGGATCCGCGACGATGGCCGCATCTTCGCGACCGCCGGCTGGGACGCGAGAATCAGAGTCTACTCGTGTAAAACGATGAAGGAGCTCGCCGTGCTGAAGTGGCATAAGGAGGGATGCTACGCCGTGGCGTTCGGAGAAATCAATGGAATCGTCGACTCGAAATATCCTGGCGACGGCAGCCATACGGATGAGCCTAACGACAGTGATTCTCAAGCCCTGAACAGGGATGAGAGTGGCTTTTCCCTTGCGGCAGTCCAGCAGCAGCGGAACAGAAAGGTGCAAAATACGCACTGGTTAGCAGCCGGGTCAAAGGATGGGAAGATCTCATTATGGGATATCTATTGAGCCATGCACCTTATCTATATACATTGAGATCAAAAGAGTCGCTTTTTTATGAGAGAATATTGAGATAAAAAGACGGGGGAAAGAAGAGACAGGAAAGAAAAAAGAGCCTCGAAAAAGTGTGAGCTCATGCAAGATTGAATTCGCTTGCGCCGGCCATATGCTCCTTCAACTTGGCCCGCATCAGCCGAGCGGCCTCGGCGACATCGTTGTTATTATTGGCAGCAGAGGCACCATCCCTGTCGCCGCGACCACCCTTCTTGCCCGCCGGTTTGCGCTCGGCCTTGAAGTCTTTCTTCGCGTCGTCCTTCCCGGGCCGCAGGCCAGGCACGTTGATCTTGCTCGGGCGGTCCCGCAGCGCGAAACTCTTCGCGAGATGTCCCAAGTGCAGTTCTTTGATGTTGAACATGTTTCGTTCGCTCGAGACGTGTGTGGCGTACGCTCGAATATGCGACTGGTACGCCCGCCGAGCCATCTCCAGGTACTCTGAGTTGTCCTGCGCCCAGCGCTCCACATCCATCTGCCAGTCGGTGGTTTTCTCCTCCCAGTCGACGTTGTCGGACCCAATATTCCCCCCGAACCCGCGCTTGAGGATGTCGTTAGCATCGGTGCGTGTAAGAGCCTTGCCGCCATCCCGATATCCGCGTTTCAAGATCTCGACATAGTTCTCCTCATTTCCGGGCAGGAGGAAGATCAGCGCCCGGCCATCACGTCCTACACGTGCGGTACGCCCGATACGATGCAAGTGTTCCTCGGCGCTAAAGGCTGGGTCATACTCGATAACCAGATCTACGTTCGGCAGATCCAAACCACGGGAAGCAACGTCAGTACAGACCAGGACGGAGGGATTGCGGTTCTTGGCAAAGGAGTTGAGAGTCGCCGTTCGAACATGTTGCGGCAGTGAGCCGTGGAGTTTGTGGAGTGTCACAGGGTTGGAGCTATTGGAAAAAGCGGTCGCCGGGGCGATTGTACCGTGGAGATGTCGATTGTCGTCCTCCTCTTTTGTTGTTTCTGTTTCTTTTGCGTCGCTAGTCTCGCTTTCATTTCCAGACTTGCGTTCACTTGCGTTTCTTGTAAATACTTCAAAATGGAATTCGACGGAATCGGCGCAGGAGACAAAGATGATTGCCTTCATGACGGACCCCTTTCTCATAAACGTTCGTTTCAAAAATGCCGTAAGCGTGACAAGCCGAAGCTTAGCTGCCACCACGGCGTAAGACTGCTTGAGCTGTGCCGGAACCCTGAATGCATCCTCCTCCGTCTTCGTCTTACTTTCTTCATCTTCGTCGGCCGGGTCCGCCTTGATATGAATAGCATCCTTTAAGCTGATCTCCCCGAGTCTCTGTACATTCATTTTCAACGTGGCGGAGCAGAGAATCGTGGTCCGGCGGGTAGGAACCCCGGGTATCCGACTGGGACGCTGCCTCGCATCAAGCTTCTTGACAATTCCCTGGATCTCATCCTCGAAACCTAGATCCATCAAACGGTCGCCCTCGTCGAGCACAAGCCACCGCACATTGCTCACGTCTAGTGCCTGCGTGTTTTCCAAGTGATCTGCGAGTCTTCCAGGCGTTGCTACCAGGATATTCAAGCCCTTGCGCAGCCTGGCCTTCTCGGATTTTTTCTTCTCTCCTCCAATGACCGTGCCGGCGACAAGCCAATTTGCGCATCGCAGCAAGCCTTCCAATACAACAGATATTTGTTTGCACAGCTCTCGCGTCGGGGCCAGAACGATGGCAAACAGCCCGCTATCGCGGTGAACAGAGACATCGTTTCCATCTGCATCACGCTTGACAGCCTCGCTGGCCTTTGCCTTGGAAAGGGCCATGATTCTCTGTACCAGCGGTAATAGATATGCTAGTGTTTTTCCAGAACCCGTTTCCGCTTGAATAAACGCATCGCATTCCTCCTTGAGCAACTGCGTAATGGAGGATTTCTGAATGGCAGTAGGGGCCTTCAGCTCGAGCTTGGTTAATAAGTGCGCAGCGAGCGTAGGCGATAGACCCAGGTTCGTAAACGTATCCATCCCATCGATCAGCGGGGCGTTGGTCGGCTTTGCGTCTTCCACAGTCGCATCTTTCGGCTCGTCCTCGACATCATTTTTCGGCGTGGGATTCTTTGAAAAAAGTGAAGAGACAAATGGACGGGCCTGGCCTGGCTGCTGCTGCTTTCTATGCTCGCCGCCCTGATCGCGCGACGACGCATGGCCGTCATGATCCCGATCCGTCCTCTGTCTTTTTGCTGGCCGTGCTCCAGAGACCTGTATGTGGTTCGGATTAGCTGGCGGCTTGCGATCGCCGGCATCTTTTCGTGGGCCTTTTGCCCGATGTTGGGCGATTTTTTTCGCGCTCAACCGGTCTCGCCATGTGCCGCCTTTGAATTTCGGCTCAGCCTTGATGACACTGTCGCTGATAGCGAAGTTCAGAAGCATTCCATCATCGGCCATTTTGAATCCAGCTGGCTAGTAGCTGTACAAGCTTGTTGCTGCTCCTTCTGTTGTTGTATGGACAACGGCGGGACATGAGGAAGGAAATTTTCTCGGCCCGACGTACCTCCGAGCCCTAGAGTTCTGCCCTACTTCCTTTTTGGTCGAAGGGGATAACGAGATATTTGTTTGAGTATAAGGGAGTACTGTATATCTAAGGGCAAGATTTCTAATTTGGCTATATTCTTTTTAAAAATCTTCATATATGTACATATGACGTGTCCTCAAACCTTGGGCTTGAAGATCAGGTTGTCAATCAGCCGAACAGGGACCTTGCCATCACCCAGGCCACGGTTCTCCTCGGGGCTTGATTCCTCCAGGGGAAGCATCTTCACAGCGCCGCTCAGTATGGCGCCTCGTGTGCGGTCGACCACCTCAAGCTCAGTTAAGTCGTCCGGGTCTGCGAGAGAGATGTAGTCCACCTCGAACAGGGCCCTTTCCGATGGCGACAGGGCTTTCTGTGCAGCGAGCACCTTTTGCGCGACTTCGTTTGCAGCTCCTAAAATATCTGCACGACTAACCTTTCCGGATTCGAACGCATTTTCGGCTGCTTTCAGGGCACTGTACAAAACAAGACCCACTGCTCGCCTCCTGTCACCGAGATAGACGTTCCGCGAGCTCATTGCCAGACCATCGTGTTCACGGACAGTCGTACCGATCTTGACCTCGGTACCGAGATGGAAGTCTTGGACCATGCGCCGAATGATCACGGTTTGCTGAACGTCCTTCTGGCCAAAGTACACACGGTCGGGGGTCACGATGTTGAAGAGCTTCATGCACACGGTAGCAACGCCTCTGAAAAACACCGGACGTGAGGCACCTTCCAGTTTGGTTGCCAGAGGGGTGATGGTCACAAACGAGCCATAGCCATGGATCTCCGAAGTTGGTGGCAGAGTAGGGTACATGACTTTCGATGTTGGAGCCAGAATAGCCGTGACACGTCCGGGGGTTGTTGAAGAACCCTTCACGCCATTTCCTTGTCCATGTGACGCAAGCTCGGCATTCAGCTTTTCGATCTTTTCGATGTCGCTATCCCAGGTCCGCGGGTAGCTCTCCAGATCCTCATTGACGCCGAACTGCGTCGGGTTCACGTAGATACTGACAAAAACATCCGTATTCTCGGCCGCCGCCTGGCGGATCAGCGACAGGTGGCCCTCATGCAACGCCCCCATGGTCGGAACAAGGCCAACTGTCCGGTCGGAGCGCAACAGCTGCTGCCTGAGCTGTCGGAGCGGGGGAACATCGCGGAACACCTGGAACGAGTGCGATTTCGGGGTTTGGGACGCCATTGTCGCCGCTGCAAGTCGCGAGGACGCTATCGTATCTCCGGTTAGCTAAAACCAATGGCTATACAGAAACCAAAGCCAGTGCGTACTCGACAGCGCCCTCCTTATATACCGCGACATTCTGCAGCGGAAATTGAATTTCCCCTGGATCCTGGCTCAAAGAGTGGAGCGGCGTGGATTGACAGTCAACTAAAATTGAGGATCAGACCCCAGCATGTACATCAACACCCCCTGACAGAGAGGCACTCCACATCTCAGCCGTGGGTTTTTTTTCCTCGTTCTTTTCCTCAGAGCTTGTCGTGATCCTGCCTGCTGCGTTGACCTGATCCTTCCTTTCCTGCCGGTGGGGAGCTGGACTTCTCTATCGGGACTAGTGTGCACGTGATAAACACGTGACTATATCCCGAGGTAACTCGCCAGGGCGCGGCTGCCACCTCCTCAAGCAGGAAGCCGGAGACAGGGCGATGCTTTTGCTCTTCGCTGTGTGGCCATCGTGCGATGGATGACTTGAGGATTTGCTTGGCTCTGTATACTCCGTTATCTGAACCGCCAATTGCCCTTGCGAACGGGGCAGCTCCCCGCTATCTACCTGTCCTGCGTACCCCACTGTATACAAGATGCCTGCGGAGAAGGCTGCAGCAGTCGACGATGGACAGGCGGCTCCAGACCTCGAAATCGTCGGGGATAAGGTGACCATTCATCCCACTGGTTTCACGGGAGGGCCGGGGATTCATGACGGGACGATCACGGAGCGGAATCTGGTCCATCATATGGCTCGGTTTCGGGAGAATCCGTTCGACTTCTTACGGGAAGTGAGCCTGTATATGTCCGGAACTGGCTGGCGGGCATACGACGACGTGATCGGACAGCCAATTTTCTACGCTGGGTTTTCGGAACGGATGAAGACCATGATCTTGGCCAGCCCGATTCTTCAGAGCAAGGTCACCGAACTCGCAGAGAAACGGCTTGCTGTAGAAGAGAAGGAAGGGTTGCTCAGGGCACGAAACGGGTCACTGGACGAGGCTAGGTCCAAACGCCGGAGAGAAATGGAAGGGAATTTGAGGGAGGTCGTGGAAACGATGATGGACAGCATGATCTGCAAGATGGAAAGCAAGAGGTTCATTCGCACGGCCTACTATCTATGCACGCAGCTTCTTACAAGAGCATACCACCAAGGTGAGCATAACTGTCTGTCGTTCTGGAGTCCCTTGGGAGCTTTTTCTAAGATGATTTATTTGCCAGGCATCCATGTGTCGAGCGAGGAGGTTCTGCGATTACGATCGGTGGCTGAAGAGGCAGCGCGGAAAAAACAATCTATTGTGTTTCTGCCATGTCACAAGTCCCATGTGGACTACGTCTCACTGCAGTTGATTTGCTATCGCCTAGGCATTGGTTTGCCAATAGTCGTTGCAGGAGATAACTTGAATATTCCTCTACTGGGGCCGTTCTTGCAGCATGCAGGTAGGATTGGGTCGAAATGTCTATATGTGAGAATACATCACTGATCTTTCCAGGTGCTATGTGGATTCGAAGAAGCTTCGGAAACGATCCGTTGTATATCACGGTCGTGCAGGCCTACATCGATACGCTGTTGCAGCAGGGCTTTAACTTTGAATGCTTCATTGAAGGTGGCCGGTCGAGAACTGGAAAGCTCCTATCCCCGAAGTTTGGTATCCTCAGCTTCATTGTGGAGAGTGTGCTCTCGGGTCGGGTTCAGGATACTATCATCTGTCCTGTAAGCACACAGTATGACAAGGTGATCGAGACTGAGTATGACCATCCGGCATCGTTATGTTTGGCAGCTTTTAACTGACCTTTCCTCCCCACTAGGTCTTATATCAGTGAACTCCTCGGACAACCAAAACGAAAGGAGAATCTGGCAGACTTGGTTTCATCTTCTTCTGTTCTCTCGCTCAAGCTTGGCCGGGTAGATGTTCGTTTCCACGAGCCATGGAGCCTGAGAGATTTCCTTTCCCAGCAGCTCACTCGCCTTCAACCCGATCTCGGCTCGAACCCGAGCCAGCATCTAACGCAGGCAGAAAGAGGCAAGATTCTGAGGACATTGGGATATCGCGTACTATCAGAAATCAATGACGTGGCTGTCATGATGCCCACGGCACTCGTGGGCACGGTGCTTCTGACGCTTCGTGGCCGTGGCGTAGGCAAAGCAGAGCTCGTCCGTCGAGTCGATTGGCTCTGCGAAAGGGTCAGAGCCAAAGGCGGACGAGTCGCGCATTTCTATCGTGCCCCAACCGAGACAGTGGTTGATCGCGCCCTGGATGTGATGGGCCCCAAATTGGTTGGTGAGGTACCCGGTCTAGCAGAGCCGACATACTATGCTGTGGATCGCTTTCAGCTCTCCTTCTACCGCAACATGACCATCCACCTGTTCATCACGGAGGCATTGGTATCCGCCGCAATGTATACGCGAGTCAAGCAAGGCGGCGGCCCTGCCCACCAACGCATGACATACGAGGCCCTACTAAGCCAGGTCTCGTTCTTATCACAGCTTTTCCGTGGCGAGTTCATCTTCCCTCCCGAGGGTTTGACTACGAACCTGGAGAATACCTTGCGCGATCTGGAGCGCGACAATGTGATACTCGTCACCCGCAACTTTTCTGGGACTCCACTCACTGTGGAGCTGAGTGATGCAGAGCGCCAGTGTGGACGTGAGAACTACGATTTCTACTGCTTCCTGATCTGGCCATTCATCGAGGCTTGCTGGCTCGGTGCAGTCTCTCTCCTAGGACTCACCCCTCCATTGAACGGCCACCAAGAGGTCTGGATTGACATGAAGAAGGCACAAGATAGCGCGCAACTAGTAAGACCGACCGCCCTGCACTGGTCAAAGAGTTTAGGCTGACATCCATCCTACAGCTTGGTAAGACCCTTTACCACCAAGGGGATCTGTCTTATTTCGAGGCTGTGAACAAGGAGACTCTCAAGAATTCCTTCCAGAGATTCCAGGAAGAAGGAATCATACTTGTTGCCAAGGCCACCATCCGGCTGGCTCCAGAATGGACCCTTGAGCGCGACTCTGAGAGTGGCAGGCTGCTTCCACGTGGCCGTCTATGGGACTTTGTGGAGCTGATCGCGCAGTCAAGACGTGAAGGGTGAGTTTCCTCATATAAACCCCGTTTCCTCCAACTGACACTGGATCTTTAGGAAAAATCGCCGCGATGGAGCAACTGTGTCATCGCGTGTGCTGACCATGACCGACTCTGTCGGCCGAAAGCTCTTCGACGGCGCCACAAGCCCTGGCCCAGGCACGCTGGAAGAGGTATCAGACGTCTCATCCCCGAAAATGCGCAGGAAGGCGATAGGGACCGAGGCAAGGCTCTAGGATTGTGTCCGTGGTGAGCGTGTATGTTCTTTTGTAACTGATCCTGCTGATAATTTTTAATAAATATGTGAATACATTCCTTGCGGGCGCACGCTTGCATCTTATATCTGAAATACATATTTATATACCCATCCATTTTCTGTCCCGAAGAAGCAATTTGACGCAGGAACCCCCTGACACGATTCATATGCTCTGTGATGCTTCTGGATTTCTCTTCCACCTCCAACTTATACTCTCTTTTGCGTAAAGATTTACAAAAATGCCTTTAACCACACTTTGTAGCTTGCCAATGATCTTTGCGACGTCGTGACGTCATTCATCGCCATGTCCGCGGAGCTGCCTCGGAATAAACAAACATCGATTTAAAGAAGGAATGGCCATTTATTCCCATCTGCAATGACAGCAAAGGCACAGCTAAATAGAACAGACGAGGCATAGAAGCAAAAAATGCTCACCCGACGACTTGTGTTCCATGCCAGGCCTTGGGTGGCGTTGGGAAGGGCATACCATGCCACCTCCCCGTCCAAGCTGACGGCTCAGCAGATGCAGCTGGTGAAAGCGACGATCCCAGCGTTGGAAAGTCACGGCGTGGCAATCACGACACTGTTCTACGAGCGGCTCCTCGAGAAACACCCAGAGCTCCGCAACATCTTCAACACGGCCCACCAGGCCACGGGGGAACAGCCGGCGGCTCTGGCACATGCGGTATGGGCGTATGCGACGAACATCGAGAATCCCGAAGCGCTGAAGACGGCCATCTCCCGGATAGGCCACAAGCATGCGAGCCTGGGGGTGACCGCGGAGCAGTATGGTGTCGTGGGGCAGGAACTGCTGGCGGCGATCAAGGAGGTGCTCGGAGAAGCGGTCGACAAACCGCTTGTAGAAGCGTGGGCGGCCGCATACCAACAGCTAGCCGACTACTTCATCTCATTTGAGAGCGAGCTGTACCGACAGGCGCTGGAGACGCCCGGCGGGTGGCGCGGCTGGCGCAAGTTCTTCATCGCAAGAAAGCAGCAGGAGAGCGAGGAGATCATCTCGTTCTACCTGGTGCCTCTTGACGGCGAGCTGCTTCCAACCTACCAGCCCGGCCAGTTTGTGAGTGTGCGGTGCTTTGTGCCCGAGCTGGGCGTCTACCAACCACGCCAGTACAGTCTGTCGGACGTGCCGAACCGGAAACACTTCCAGATCTCGGTGAAGAAGGAGTTTGCCTCGTCCGCGAAACCGGCGGGCCGCATCTCCAACGTGCTGCATGACGCTCTCCCAGACGGGTTCGAGGTGGACGTCAGCATGCCCTTTGGCGACTTTGTCCTCGACACCAACGCCACCACGCCCGCGGTGCTGATCAGCGGCGGCGTCGGCTTAACCCCCATGATGGCCATGTTGAAAACAATCGTCTCCCTGGGTAAACAGCGCCGGGTGGTTTTCGTCCATGCGGTCCGCAACGGCCGCGTGCACGCCATGAAGGACACGCTCGCCCATATCGTCGCCGAGAATCCCCAGGTCGGCCGGGCGGTCTTCTACGAAGAGGTCTCCGCGCAGGATCGACAGGGGGTCGACTACGATTTCCAGGGACGCGTGGATCTCTCGAAACTTGACGGCCGCGCCCTCCTCCCCCACGCAGACTACTATATCTGTGGGCCGGCGCCTTTTATGAACGCCCAGAGCCAAAGTCTACAGGGGATGGGCGTGCTTCCGGACCGTATCCATATGGAGGTGTTTGGGTCTCCTCGGGGATAAGCCTGATAGACAGAGAACGAATCTCGTATCAGACACTCTTGTCATTCTAATTTGTGTTACTAAATCGAATATAAAAAGTCCTATAACAAGTCCTCCGTACGTCCTATCTCTTGGCTTGACATCTAGCAGGAGTAATTTTATGCTTCAATCCAACGACTATCTAGTACTATCTACACAATCTACTCCGTATGTGATTAGCTTATCTCTGCATTGATCTCCTCAATAGAAATCCAGTCTAAACCCCAGATGGTGATAAGATCCGACCTGTATCATCCTTATCTTGCATGTCGATCAAGCCCATCGATCCTGAGATCTGAGTGGATGGACAGGCCTCGCTGGCTTCGTAATAACTTGTATATAACAAGTATACTTCCTCTTGGCGTTGATAAGGTCGTGGGCAATAGATGCCTGGGGGGGGAGATGCCAATTGTCTTTGACGCAATAGTATAGATAGGTAGCAACAGTATGGGCCTAAACCCCAGTTCAAGTCGAAGTCTCCCAAGTCTCATGTTTTTACCTTGCGAATCTTGAACCATGAGTGAAGTATGTCTGAAACTTCTTGGATTTGGAAGTCAATGGTACTGACTGATGCAAGCCTGTATACAATGCATCCACGCCCGCCGGTGGGAATCCAACCAAAGTAGACGTGAATGCGCAATACACAGGATACGAGTATAATTACACCTACATTGTCTTCTGCGGCTTCATCGTCTGGCTCATCATCCCGGGCATCGGTCTGCTCTATGGTGGTCTGGCCCGGAGGAAGTCCGCGTTGGCTTTGCTGTTCCAGTCGCTGATGGTTGTCGCGGTGTAAGTTGGATCCGAAAGTCAAGAATGTCAATGTTGTTCAGTCGGCTGAAGGGTTCAAAAAACAGCACCACCTTCCAATGGATGTTCTGGGGATACTCGCTTGCATACTCGAGGGATGCCGGCCCATTCATCGGCACACTGAAGAACTTTGGAATGATCAATGTGCTAGCAGCCCCGTCACCAGGCTCGGCCGTCTTGCCAGAGATCGTCTTCTGTCTGTATCAGCTTCTGTTCTGTGCCTGCACGGTGAGCTCGATTCTCGCGGGGTAGAGGCTCGATCAACCAAACTGATTAAACATTATTTAGGTGATGATTGTCGTCGGTGGTGCCTTTGAGCGAGGCAACATCTTGCCATCGTTAGTCTTCAGCTTTTTCTGGGCAACTGTGGTCTACTGCCCCATCGCATGCTGGACATGGAACCCCAACGGCTGGCTATATAACTTACCATCTCTGGATTTTGCTGGCGGGGGTCCCGTCCACATTTCCTCTGGCTGGTCGGCGCTTGCATACGCCTTTGTGCTCGGCAAGCGCAAGCATCACGGCGAAAAATCCCATGGAAAACCGCACAACACCACCCTAGTCTTCTTGGGCACCACGTTGATCTGGTTCGGTTGGTTTGGCTTCAACGGCGGATCCGCTCTCAACGCCACTGTCCGGGCCATGGTTGCTGCCTTCAACACCAACACGGCTGCCTGCACCGGTCTCCTTGGCTGGGTGCTCGTGGACTACATCAAACACAAGGGTAAATTCTCGGTCGTGGGAGCGTGCGAGGGTGCCATCGCTGGCCTGGTGGGTATCACACCCGCGGCTGGGTTTGTGTCTGTGTGGCTAGCGGCATGTATTGGCTTTATCACCGCCATCGTCTGCTCGCTCTTGCAGGACGTCAACGACTGGCTCAACATCGACGAAGGCATGGATGTTTTCAAGCTCCACGGAATTGGAGGTATGGTGGGCGCCTTCTTGACCGGCCTGTTCGCAACGGAATCCATCTCTGCTCTGGACGGCGTGACGCTGGCGGGCGGACCCATCGACGGCAACGGCATCCAGGTCGGCAAGCAGCTCGCGGAGGTGTGTGCTATCTCGGCATACTCGTTTGTAGTCACTTATATCCTGCTGTTCCTTCTCCGGCTCGTCCCCGGGATGAACCTGCGCGTCGACGAGGAGTCAGAGATGATTGGCTTGGACCGCGCACAGTTCATGGACGAGCAGATAGGCGACTGGACCATGACTGAGTGCGAGCCGTCTCTGCCTGCGGTGGGTATGACCGTGATGCCGTCAAAGAACGATCTCCCGAGCTCCCAAGAGCCGTCAGAGGTGCCAAGTGACGGACTATGAGGGCGTATTCGTACAACAGATGCAGTCTTCTTGTGCGGTTCTCGGGTGTCACTGTGGTTACTGTATTCCCACCTGTATGTAGTACTCAATAGGTAGTTCCTTCCCTGTTCCTACCTAAGTTCTGTTCCTATGATATCACATGATCCCATCACATGATCAGTAATTACTAATCAGTGATTACATCACATGATGACGGCCCAGACTTCCCTTTCTCGGCTCCGTCGGAGGATTCGCCCAGCACGTGCAGCCACCAGCCTTTACTGTTCAGCCTTCTAAAATAAGGCCTGCATCAAGGCGATGATCATGGCGGGTCATCATTTCCACAGTACGAAGTACGGAGTAATAAAGGGTAATAGAGGGCTCGGCTGTGCTACTACTTCATAACACTCCGTACAGGATGGTACTTCAGATATATCAATTTACAACCAGGTAATCAATACTGCTCCTCTGTACTCTGTATTACAGAGCCCAACCCCTATGCAGGGTAATCCATAGGCACCCCATAGGCACTCCATACCTCTCCATAATGAATTGCTAGATTACGTATGTTGCATCACTGTTTTGCCTGTTTTGCTTCTTTTGCCTGCGCCAAGACCGTCTAGTCCCGCGACTAAACCCGAAACGTTCCTGGCGACGTTTTTCTTATCATCGCCGCGTTGTCGCTCGCTCCTCCTAATAATACCACCTGCCATTCGTTGCGTTTCAAGCGATTCTGTTGTCTGCAAGCCACTCGTTCAGAGGTCTTACCTCGATATATCTCTCTCTCGCATCCTCCGCCTTTGCTGATCCTCTGGGGTTTTTTTCCCTGGACCCCCCCCGCACTTCCTTTGTTCGCAGCGCTCGCTCAAAACTACGTGCTTTCCGCCCCCCCTCCCCCCTTCGAAGCCATCCTCTCAGGACTGGGCCGCACCGTATCGAGGCCATGCTCTTAGTATAATCATTATCATCTCGCTTGATATCCAAATGGGCAAATGTACGGTTCTTGTGCTTGGATTGATGATCTGGTACGGCGTGTTGTGCAAAGCTAACGGTCTGGACAGGGCGTTACGGAGTTGTCCTGGACGCGGGTTCGTCTGTGAGTAGCAGTCTGGAGGAGTCGTTGTCCATGAAGATTCTAGGTGTTCTAGATCTGACAGGCGTGTCTAGGGGACTCGAGCACATGTATATCGATGGCTGGATAATGCCGTCGCACGGAAGGAGGCCGACGCGACATCGTTGAAATCCTTACCCCAGATTGTGACCAAGTCTGACTGGACCAAAAAGATACACCCTGGTAGGTCGAAAGTAATGTCTTTTTTCACATTGCTTTTTACATTGCTAATATTTTAATAGGGGTTTCCACATTTGCAGACAAGCCAGAACAAGTTGGTCAGGACCACCTCGCAGAACTGCTCCAGCACGCTCTCGATATTGTTCCCAAGAATGCTGTGGACGAAACTCCCATATTCCTACTTGCGACCGCCGGTATGCGTTTGCTGAATGATGTCCAACAAAGTCTCCTCCTCGAACAAACTTGCTCGTATATTCGCGCCAATTCCGATTTCCAGCTGCCCGATTGTGACCTTCATATCCAGGTCATTCCCGGTGTCACGGAAGGTCTGTACGGCTGGATAGCAACAAACTACCTGATGGGCAGCTTCGATATGCCAGGAAAACATGATCACGGCAAGGGTCACCACACGTACGGGTTCTTGGACATGGGCGGTGCTTCGGCGCAGATTGCCTTTGCACCCAACGCAACGGAGGCTGAAAAACATGCCAACGATTTGAAGCTACTGCGATTGCGGAATATCGACGGCTCTGTGCAGGAGCACAAAGTCTTTGTTACTTCGTGGCTCGAGTTCGGTGTTCGCGAAGCACGCAAACGCTTCGTCAAAGCCCTTGAACTTGCAATCGGAACAGATGTCATGGAGTATCCGGACCCTTGTCTTCCAGCCGGACTTCGCACAACCCTCAATGGGAAAGTACTGCCGCCGTCCTCGCCTGGTCCTTCTCTTGTGGGTACGGGGAGATTCGACGAGTGTCTTGGGATCTCATATACGCTACTTGATAAGGACGCACCCTGTGCAGACGAGCCTTGTCTCTTGCATGGCATGCACACGCCGGCAATCGACTTTGATGTCAATCATTTCATTGGCATTAGCGAGTACTGGCATACCACACATGAGATCTTCGAAATGGGCCACAAGGACAAGGCATACGACTTCAATACATATCAAAGCCGGGTGAAGGAGTTTTGCTCCCAAAGCTGGGACGCTATCGAAGATGGAATCGAGCAACACAAATGGGGCAAGAAGGTCGACTGGGAAGCCGCCTCGGAGGTCTGCTTCAAGGCATCTTGGATCATCAATGTCTTGCATGATGGAATCGGGATTCCGCGCGTCGGGCTAGAAAATACCACAGGTTCTGGCCACAATGGCACCAAGGAAGTGCTCTCGCATGCCGGCGAAAAGGGGTATCTTGATGCATTCCAGGCAGTGAACAAAATCGATTCGACAGAAGTGAGCTGGACGTTGGGCAAGATATTACTCTACGCCTCCTCGCAGGTTCCTGCTCCTGTCGCTGAAGAGGTACTGCCCGTGGGTTTTGGCAGCAATGTCGATGGAATCCCTAGCGACTTCCAATATCCGAGTGTTGATCTGCTGCCACACCCCATCGAAACCCCGAGTGAGCATTGGCATGACACCCTTTTCCGAGGTGAATCCCCACGCCGGATCCCGGGTATCTTCCTCTTCGTCTTTATCGTTGTTCTCGCTGGATTCTTCCTCTGCGGCCGGAACCGTCGCCTACGGGCTTACCACAAAGTCAATCGCTTGTTCCGCAGGCCGACGCATCCCACTTATCCCAAGCGGAGGGGGTTTCTGGGTGGAAAGCTACCCTTCCTAAGCCGCAACACTCCGTCGTACGAGCGGGTCCTAGAAGACGGCTCCCACGACTTCGAGCTAGGCAGTGCGGACTCAGACGGCAGCGAGATTGTCGAGGCCGGTAGGGCATCAGAGGACGATTCTGTGAGCATTTCACAACCAAAGCGAACATCTAGCTGGGGCTCTACCACCCCGACTCTCAAATTCGGCTTGGAAAACGGCTCCTCGGCGAGTATCGGACTTGGGATCAGTGCTGGTCCAGTCAGTAATGCCATGGACCGCGCAGGTTTGGTCGTGCGCACGGAAAGTCGCGACCATCTAGCTCCGATTGCACTGGGACCGACGACGAACGGACGACGATCCAGAGCAGGCTCCCCGACTCGATCCCACCATAAGTCTCCGATTATGACTCCTTTAGCTGACGACTGAGATTCTCTTCTCCCCCACTATAAGCTCCTTGACGCTTCTCTTCCGGTCTATTTCGATTTTTACTATACCTCTATTTTGGAGTTTCCTGGCACGGCGGTCGATGAATATCTGGGTGTTTGCGATTTCCCCCTTTTCTATTTTTTTTTCTTCCCCTTTATCTCTCTGAACCCCTCGACGACTCCGCCTGCGGATTAATTTCTGGTATCATAATTTTCTCGGTTCTGGCGCTGCTGTATATAGCAACTGCTTGTTGTTTTTCCTTTCAGGCCGAGCAGAGCACCTACCTACACTTTTAATAAACCTGTACTATTAGACTTTGGTTATCACTGCGTCAGGCAGTCGATCCTTACATTTTTGAAAAGTATTAATGAATACCTGATCATGATTATTTTTTTCTTCTATCTTGTAGCCCTTGGTTCTTTACCAACCATATTCTTTGTATTCAAAACCACTCTATCAAGCTGGTATATGGACAATGTTAATTTCTAGTTTACAAGTACCGTATAACTACCAGACAAGTAGGATAATCACATAGCTTCTCGTTACTCGGCCTGTCTAGAATCCGTCCGTATTCCCTGTCTCCAAGGATATCAGCATCGTCTTGTGAGACACAGTCTTTAAGCCTGTGCGTTTAAGCTCGGGACACCGCATCCGAGGCAACTGCTGTGGCACTTGGTGTATCGGTTGTGTATCTTTTATAGGAAAGAAGGTCAAATGAGTACAGAAGTTCACCATAGAAGTAGAAGTAAGGATGTAGTATCTGTTTAGACGCCTGGTTATCAAGGCATCAGTTTCACGTGCTTCTTTTTCACCGCCTTCCCGTTTGCTGCCTGAGGTCACGCATACGAGTTCGATTTGAATCTTGAGCCCAAAAATGCGCAAAGAGCACGTCCAGCTTCACCATTCCGCCTGAGTGTGTTTTGTTTATTGGTTTTTTTTCTCTTCTATAGCTTCAAAGTCTATGTTTACGAACCAGATACCCGCTTAGAATATTCAAGGTCACGACTGCCGCCATGCGATTGACCGTCGAGCTTATCCAGAATTCCCTTTCCTATATCAACCCTCTCAAGGACCGCGAGTTGGATCTCCGAGGTGCGTTTCGCCCTGGCCTGGAAAGGACAGATACTACGCTTGATAAACAAAACAAAACGAGAGAGCTGGATTGATTTCAATGTGTATATTTGTATCGTGTAGGGCACAAGATTCCTGCAATTGAGAACTTGGGTGTCGCAAAGGTTGGTTCGCGGTCCAAACTTATCCTTATACTTCTCTCCCTTCGTCTGTGTCTTGAACAAGGAAGCTCAACGGTTTGTTGTTAGGACCAAGATGCGATCGATTTCACAGACAACGACATCGCCTCGCTCGGTAACTTCCCGCACTTCCCCCGCTTGAAAACGCTCCTCCTCGCGCGCAACAGAGTCAACCACATCCAGCCGACGTTAGCAGCATCGGTACCAAACCTGACAGCCCTGGTCTTGACGGCAAACAATCTGTCGGAACTAGCAGATTTAGATCCTTTGCGGAATCTAGCTGGCTTGACTCATTTAGTGCTGTTGGAGAACCCCATCACAAGAAAAGAGGTCAGTTTCTCCTCTGCAAGAGACCAAATTACCCTGGAACTCTTTGAACTCTTTGAATTCGTTGAACTTACTTTATACAGAACTACCGGTACTGGGTGATCTGGCGGATTCCCACGATCCGTTTTCTCGACTATCAAAAGGTGAAGGACGCAGAACGGGCCGCGGCCAACGAGCTCTTCGGCACTGCCGAACAACCGTCCGCGCTCGCCTCCAAGATCATCGGAATCAAGTCCCGTACCTTTGACATCTCCTCGGCCGCGCCCAGCGAGCGCGCCACGGCAGACAAGGCCATCCGGGTGAAGTTGACGGAGAAGGAGCGCAAACGGGTCGAGAAGCTCATCCGCGAAGCCAAGAGCCTGCAGGAGATCACCCGGCTGGAAAGGGAACTCAACGAAGGCCGCATACCGGGCGGTGCATTTGCAGACGACGACACAGACATGCAGATGTAATAAGAGCAAGTCTTACGATATTCTTCTTTTTCCCTTATCCTTGATTTTGTTGTCATAATCATGTTGCCATGCATAAAAAGCCGTTGGTATGTGCTGGTTCATCGGGGACGGTGTTATGGATTTGCGTGTGGCAGTAATCGAATTAAAGGGTCGGGTTTCCTATATCATGGTCCAATCTGACTTGGATGCTTCCATTCTCTGTCTATAGATGAAAGCCTGTGGGTGGATTTCTGATAGTTACTATCCATCATTGGATATAAGTACTAGTAATACCATCGACACATGGGTTGATCTTCTATGAAGACCTACTTCCTAGATCAGAAGATCCAATTATATAGGTCTATAGTCATTGATCTGCCTACCTACTCCCCTATTTCCAACACATTGCTGTCTTCCATGGGAGTCCAGGGTAGATGAGAGTCGACCTATATCTCACTACCTACCTAGGTACCTACCATCTGGTTATAGCTCTACAGGTTAGGTACCTCAGGCAACAAAAGACAGTCACTCACCTCTGAATATCCCCAGGCAGACGCAAGCTTCCCTTGACTGTCACGATCAGGTCTCCATCTATTCAAGTATCCGGGATATCACGAATCGAGGGAATACTAGACCAGCTACTAAAAATTGTCAAGACGGTGGGTCATTGATCCTCAGAACAAAAGCTGACTGTTGTTTGTCGATTATACGTCTCAGCAGACCCTAGTCTATCACAATATAACTCCAAGATACCAGTCTTATTCGGTCTCATCATGGCTAAAGGTGCAGAATGAAACGAAGCGGCATAGGATCGAGAGAGATTCCTACCCATCGATCCCGCAGAGCGACCAGGACCAAGAAAACACTGTCGCAGATACAGACTGCAACCGTTCCTATGAGCTTCCGACTCGTACCGACGACTCCCCGAGCGAATGGGCGAATTCCGAGGAAGCAGCGTCGTTCCGGGCACCAACGAGGCGCCGGTCAGGACTTAGTTAACCACCCGGCGCTCGCCTCGTATCCCCCATATGTGGGTGTCGGAGTTGCCGAGAAGGTCGAGGCCGCAGGAAAGCCCATCCATCTTTTTCTCGCTGATGAAAGCGACGCCCACGTGGTTGCCAGATATCCGGAGTCAGCCGTATTTCACCAGGGACATCAACCCCCCAACGCTTCCTTACACGTGGGGGACCTGGACACGATGCGCGAGCTCTTCTTGGAAGCCGTCGGCATGGAGGTGCTCGTCGCGGGATTCGTGATAATTCTCTTTGAGAAAACTAGCCAGGTCAAGGCTGCGGACCAGCGGCCTTGGCCCTGTGAGATTGGCGGCCTACGGGTCTTCTTTGACCGAGCAGACTATACACCGTGACATCAGGTACGTCTGAGACCGCGGCGATCAGAACCACCTCATCGGAGCCGAGTATATGGGTCTGAGGCTTCGCCTGCCCGACGGCTCTTGCGCCATTACCACCTTTGCGCATGGGTTCGTCAACGATCCGAGCCCATGTTGGGTCTCGCAAGTGGCCGGATGGTTGAAATGGGTATATTACATACGTATAGTTGCGTGAGGGGGGGGCATTGGCGGGCTATATCGGCCGTACGTCTAGGCGAAGAGGCCCCCGAATACCTCATCTCAAAGGGCCGACTCAGGAACAGCCCACTCGACACGCGAGTGTGGCTTTTGCCGCCTCGAATCAAGAGGTAAACTCACCCAATTCAGCCTTTCTGTGGCTTCGCCAAGCTGACCGTGTGCGATAGGTCGGCACCATCATGAGAACCTTCGAAGCCATACCCCGCCGGTGACGCTCAGGATCTGTCACCCATCATGGACGAGTCCCTCTCCGGTGGACGACTGGCCGGGCGCCCCGCTGTGTCTCGGGGGGGCCGCAAGACACGGTGTTCCAGAACTTCCAACGGATGTCGTCGGGTCGGCAGCGACTTCCTTCCTCTTGAAATCCGGGCATCTGAGAACAGTATTTCTCGAAATTCGAATACACAAGTAACAGCCAGGGCCGAGTAAAGAACTTTCAGCTATGATGTAGGGGTTATCTCCATACAGAGCCAAGAATAGTTATATTAAACTAACTAGACAAATTCGGGGCCAGATATAGGCTGTTATATACATAGACATAGTAGAGTTATGCATTATGTCCCGGGTTCCTAAGGCATGGTTATTTATATTGTGCAATATTCACTGTCAAAACCATAATGGGGCCCCTATAGCTCTCTTCATAGGTATGAAAATAATATCTTATATAGTATAACTATAGTAATTAAGACCAACTTCCACCATATAGTGCTAATGACTATCCCTTACGATGATATAGTGCTGGTCAATGTAAAAATACTATTTATATTATCTTATGCAAGTCAAGTAAAAATAAATACATAGAAGGACATATGGCTTGCTGTTCAGGTTAATTGGATATTCCAAGAGGCCATATAATATAGGTTTAGTTAGATGTCAGACCAGTATAGCTGTGTGGCATATAAATCTATACAGGGCATAATGTGTTTAGTGCCGACAATCACTCTGTAGACTCGGTTGAAAATGCATCTTGCCCATTGTCTGCGCATCAGAGCCTCATTTGCCAGCAGGATCGAAAGGCTCGCCGAGGGTTGCAAGGACAACTTGAGCAAGGCAATGCATCAGGTTGAGAGAGAGCCTTGCCAGTAAATCCCTGTCTAGTCAACATGATGTCAGCAAAAACACGTCAACCCTAGAGAAAAAAAAAAAAAAAAAAAGAACGAAACCCCTGCCAACAGTTTGCTCAGGGCTGATGTGCTACGTCAGACCGGAGACGTCGATGGCCTAATGTGATCGATCTCTGGCGTCTGATCGGAATGCCATGATCTGCTGAGAGTGCCAGGAAACGTTCTTATCTGCTGTCTGCAAAGAGAATAGAACCATAGTCAAGACAGACTTCTGCTTGGAGAAGGAGAGTTTTGCTCTCCGGGAGGACCAAGTGATTAACAAATAGCACACTGCTTATGTCTAGTTTGTAGGCAGCTCTGCGACAGGGATGGCTGCCAGCTCAGCATTAGGGGTGCCTTGTAGCTCTGTCTTAGGGGCACCTCCCAGCTCAGTCTTCGGGGCACTTGGGGGCAGCATAGGCTCCGATTGGGGCAGTTCCCCCAGCTCAGCCTTTCTCGTATGAACCCTCCTCCACCACCACCATCCTGCCAGCGCAAGGATCAGCACAGCGACCGCGACGCCCACACCGATCCTTGCGTCCGCTCCAGCGGAGAGACCAGAGCTTGTTGTACTTGCTGTTGCTGTTGCTGTTGCTGTTGCCGACACCGTCGCAGGAGTCAAGCCCGTTGTCAGATAACGGATGGACACTCCGTATGCATTGAATCCGCCCGTACTACCGACTGATGCTGTGGAAGTCGCCACTGTTCCATTCGTAGTGTACAGTTTGTATGTTCGCGGGGGCGTTCCAGGTACACTGCTCGGTGTACCATGGATAAGAGGTTTCTGTTTGACACCAGTAGCCACTTGGAAGTCAGTATCATATATAGTATAAATATATCAAGGTAGACAGTTACCTTGAACAACATGTGGCAAGGATCTCGGTGGCAGCGCTATCAATCGGTATAGCTGTGCTGCAGTTAACGCTGTATCCGCTGGGACATATCCCCGGCGAGTAATAAGAACTGGCGCTCCAGTCCGGCGGCAGGCAGATCGAAGGAGTGGCTGGACCGAGCTTGAACCAGGTGTTTACACCGGTTACTGATCCAGACACAGAGACGGCGCTGCTTCCCACGTAGATATCACTGAGGCATGAGGAGGGAGGAGTAAAGGTGGTTGTCAAGGGCACTACCGTGGTGGTTGGCACTACTGTAGTGGTCATGGTGGTCGTCAGGGCGAAAAGAAGCACAACTACCAAATGAAATATGTAGTATGTAGGTGGTACTTCATATTTAAGAGAGAGAGAGAGAGAGAGTAAGCACTAGTTATCTGGTCTGTAGTAGTATTGGTATTGCATGAGTAGTATGTACAACCATCAGTGAAACAGGCAGTGTCAGGCCCCTGGCAGCTGAAAGCCCCGAGATATCTATTCTATCATATTATCATAGCGCTTTCTGTGCTCACTAAGGAGAGATTTATCCTTTAACACTCGAGGTTTAAGCCATCTGAATCTCAGACCTAATATTTAATATGAGGCTCAAGTCTTGAGAAAGCCAGAGCCCACGATAAGATATCAGCACGTCATCCCACTGCGACGTCACACTTAGCCAAATAACAATTCCTGTGGTGCAAGAATTGCAATTGCTAGACAATCTTATGGTATCTAGTCTTGAAATTATATGCTTCCACTTGGTAGATTGATATACCTCTGGCGAATCCATCCTGGCACCGCTACGACTCATAACCAACGCCTTATCGCTTCGACGCGGGGTTCACCCAGGCAAGCCCACCAAACAACCATTCTCCTCAATTATCAGGGGAATCCGTCTTTATGGAAGCTAGGAAGAACTAATATATATAGCAAGGAGATTCATATATACGCGTTCGATGATGACGAATATTCCCCGCGCGCCATGGCGCGATAGTCTCTCCTCCCAGCTCGACGAGAGCTCGATAAAGGAGTTCAGCCTGGCAACCGTCTCGGTCGACGAGAAAGGGACCCCTTTACCTCGGGTGCGAACGTGTGGGTTTCGTGGCTTCTGGCCTGAACCACAACTTCACTCGTCTGCAGAGGAGGCATTGAAGAAACAGGAACCCGAAGGGCGGAACCCGGCGGTGTTCGAAAGCGATATGCTTTCCTTTACGACGGATGTGAGGATGGAGAAGCTGCAGGAGATCAACTCCCGGTCAGGACATGCGGTTGAGGCAGTGTTCTGGTTGCGGGATATGGCGACGCAGTGGCGGGTGAAGGGGCTGGCGTTTGGGATTGGCGCCGCGAGGGAGGAGGAGGGGGAGCAGACGGCCCGCGCAGAGATCAAGAAGGCAATGAGGGTGAAGGCCGGATCAGAAGAGGGCAGTCAATCGACGTGGTCGTGGGAGAGAGAGGTGACGACCTATTTCGCGAATCATACGCCTGTCATGAGAGGTAGGTCTAGTTCTCTGTTCAGCATTTGCTCTGTTCCTACAATTTTTTATTCACTAACGTTGCTAATCTGTCAGGCTCATTCAAGAACCCTCCGCCAGGCCGCCCACGCTCTGAAATCCCGTCAGACCCTGCTTTGAAACTGGGACAGAAGGTGGAGGATCTACACGACCCGGTTGCGAGGAAGAACTTCAGGGTGGTTGTCATTCGGCCCGTGGAGGTGGACAGACTCGACCTGGCAGACTACGAACAGCCGCGACGATGGAAGTGGAGGCTCACCAATGCGGATTCTGTCTATGACGGAGATGAGTCAGGGGATTGGGAAGAGGTTGAGCTGTGGCCGTAGATGTGATGGGACTGTTTCCATCCCCGGTGGGGAAGCAGGTGTCACTATCACCAGTCTTGCTTACTCTCACTTCTTCGTGTATACACTAACTGGTATCAAGTTTGCTTCTTCTCACTTCTTCATAATTTTATAGGCCACTTTATGTGGACCAGCCTCGAAACACCTGTCTATATCTCCAATGATATTCGTTAGTCTCCAACTGAGAGTAAGGTAAAGTGAGAGATACAAACTGTCTCCAGTGAATATAGAGAAAATCTCTCAATGTGCGGCATTATTTAAGTCTTTTTTCTCTTCTCTCCATCCTCCTCTTCTCTCCCTCCTTCTCTCTTCTCTTCTCCTCCCAACCACAGAGAAACTTTTTCTAGAGACACTCTCCAGCATTCATTGCCTCCTGCCTCTTGCCTCTTGATTCCTGTGCCTTGCTTGCGTTGACTCTTCCTTCTCCTCCTCATCATCCTCATCCTCCTCAAGCCAGCACAGACAAGCTGCTTCGTTCCAGAGACCGTCTCTGTTTGGTGGCTCGCCGCTCGCGAAGAAAAAGTAAGGACAAGGATAAGCACCCTTCTAGTCGTCAAAGAAAGAGACTGTCGAAGGACCTGCTAACCCTTCTCAGATCAGTCGAGTCGAGAATCGCTCCTCCTGATTTCAAATTGAACACAAGGTAAGCCCGTCTCTCCTGTCCAGTCGATTTGAGGACTCAGCTAACATGACTCGAAAGAAACAGTTCCCTATTGCAAATGGCGACTGTCAAGAACCAGCCAGTTTGCAAGAGCTGTGGGGGCCGTCGTCCAACAGGCTTCCTGGCCACCGTCACAGGAATGTGCCTCGCTTGTGCGCAGGCCAGTGCTCGGTCTTCGGACCCTGGACTGGTAGCAGCTAAGACTCCAGCTGCTTTGAAGCCCGCTGCGCAGGGCAACGAAACAAACGAGGAGGAGTCCGGTGGTCAGGAGCTGCCTGTCCAACTCCAGGTCGCGGCTGAGGAAGCCACTGGTGGTGACAAGGGCGACGACGTGTCCCCCAGCCAGGGGACTGCCAACAGTCGCAAGGTAATCTTTCATCCATCCTATCTTTTCTTCTTTTTTTTCTGTGTGTATGTTTGCTGATGTGTATAGAGGCGTCTCCCCCCATCAGCAGCCAATCCATCTGATGGGGTAAAATTGACGCCGGCCTGCGCGAGCTGCAAGCGGTCGAAGATACGTTGTCCTCATCGTCGCGCGGTGACCCCCGGCGAAGACAACGTCCCCTCCCGGAAACGGAAACGAGGGGCGGACGATGCAGTCTCTGCCACGGCCGGAGCCGTCAAGGATGACGCCGGCAATGACAACGGCGCGGCTGCCCCGGTGGGCGCGGAGAGCGAGACTCCCCCACCAGCGAAGAAGAGGGTCCAGAAGGTCCGGTTCGTGGGCGATAAACCCGGGGATGAAGGTGGGAAGGTCTCTCCGGAGCCTTCAAGCCCGACCTGTGCGGTAGCGGTCAACCACGAGTCCGGCCCCGTGGGTGAGACCACAGCTTCTTTGTCAAGGCAGTCCCAGGGCCGCACGCTCCGCAAACGCAAGTTTGTTGAAGAAGAAGAAGAAGAAGGGGGTTCGCAGGAGAGCGATGCGCCTTCGGGCGTTGCCGATGCTCCTCCTCGCCCTACGCGTGCGGCAGCCGCTGCGGACGACGACGTGGTGGTAGTGGCCAGCACCGGAGACGGGGTTGAACCTCCTCGGAAGCGATCTCGTCGGGGGCGCAAGCCTAACGGCGATCGGGTTGCCGTCGAGACGGTCGTCCAGACCGACTCTGCCGTCGCTCCCGTTCGACCACAAACCGGCGACGACACCGCTGCTGCTGGCGCTACTACTGTCGCCCCAGCTCCTGGGCCGCGGTCTTTCCCCCCCTTCCCGCGCGACACGCTCGAAGGGGCCGCCCTTTTGTCCCAGCATACAGTTCTCAGCAGAGAGCTGCAGCAGCGCCTTGAAGAAGCAGAGACCAGGTGGAACGAAGCGGTCACAGCTCTTCACGCAGCCAAACAGGCGTTGGACAATTGGGTGGAGGTTTGGCGGAGTGGCCAGTGATGGTCTACTGCCTCCAAGCCGGGGAAAGGGATCACTGCGGCGCGCCGTTTCGACTGTTGGTAGTAGGTACTTGGTACACCTGGGTGGAAGACGATCTTTTTTCCCTGTTTTTTGTTTTTTTCTGTTTTTACTGGCGTTTTCTTTTTGTTGTTGGATCTTGTATTCCCCCTTGTGGACTGGTACAGCAGCGCAAGCAGGGGCTGTTTGTCGATGATTGACCGGTCGTGGAGTCGATTGAACCCGTGGCGATTGAGTCATGTTGGGGCAGTCGACAGCGATGAGGGCGACATCGGGATGGGATCCTGTCTGTACATTTTCTGTTTCTTTGGTTGTCTTATTGTTCTTGCATGATACCAGCTAGCATACTACTACATACATGATGATGATATGATGATTTCAATAGTTATAGATTCCATACAGAATTGATGACGCTGTCTATTACTATTTATCTCTATGAACTTGAAGAATCTCGAGACTTGGTGATTGCATCATCTTAGTACTTTACACTCGTCCTCTATCTAGGTGCCTAGTTAGTAGTTAACTACCCGATGGTTGACTATGTAAGGTAGTCAGGTACCATTACTACATCGATCGATCTGCATCTTGATATATGAATTAGATCTCCCATTCCATATGGGTAGATATGCGACATTACTATTATGTAGTACACCATACTCCGTATACTCCATGCAATAGCGTATGGAAATACTAGTAGTACAGACTACTCTGTACTACTCTGTACAGTATACTACCTTACTATATTTACTATGGAACTCCAAGCTGCAGACATTGCGCAATTTCTTCGCTTAGTACACTGTAAGTAGACTACTCCGTAACTATACTCCGTAGTTGTATCAGGATTAATAATAGTTAGTCTGCATATATGTACCTAGTCGTAATAGAGTACTAGTTACCTCTAGATAGGTACTACCTAGGTACTAGGTAAGTACTGAAGATACCCTTTTCAGTCAGGTGCTGTAGTGCGGCACGAATATCGAAATCTACTGGTAGACCACTACTAGTTCAATCTCATTCTACTCTATACCAGATAGACTCTATGATCAATGAATCAACAAGTATCTACACATTCACCATTATTCCAGAGCTATACTCTCTATAAAGTACCTAAATACTACGAATCAGACCACTACTACATATCAACTCGTACTCGGTAGGACTCCGTAGCACCAATCAGTGTATCAGATCAGGTTGGTGGAGTTGCGGGCGTGGGCCGGTCCATCCGGCGGATTCGGCCGCACTTCCGCGGGCGAGCCGTCGTCAGCCCACAACGGTTGAGTAGAAGTACGGAGTAAAGTACGGAGTATTACTTTGGAGTAGTACTAGGAGGTTGAAGTACTTAAGACAATAGATATCTAGTGAATACAATAGTTGTAGGTATTCATCAAGGTGGTACAATAATATTGAGAATAATCTATCATAATGACAGTAAATAATCTTATTATATATTATTGGTGGGAGAGAACAAAGAATATTAATTACAAGTATGGAGACTCCGACCGGTTACCCGTCTCCAGTCTGTATGTACTCCATAGTTACTCTGTACCTACAGAAGTAACTCTACTCGAGTCATACTCCATACTCCGTACTAAAGAAGAATAATTAAAGTACTACGGAGTATACTTTGTAGGATAACTTGGTATAACTACAACTTCGTACTTTGGAGATTCTTTACCAAGACAATGCCTACATTACTACACGATGCTCACCGCCGGTTTTAGCGCTGGCAACCTGGCCTGGCACATGCATATTAATATATGTAGACTGTAGTAGACCACCGCCGGAGGAGAGAGGGAGGAGGAGGGGGTGGGTGGTCAGCAATCAATGACAGGGGAGTGGGCTATTGCAGGGTATATCGTGGTGTACGGAGTACAGGGAATAAATACCTCTATATTTATCCGACAAGAACCAAATAGATATAAGAGTATATAAGAGGAATAAAGGAATGAATGAATAAAGGAATAAAGGAATAAGATGATATATTAATATTCAATAGCAAGAACTATCTAATAATATCTTAAATATCTACTACAAGTGCTGCTGGCCGAAGAATTTGACTGTCAGTACCATACAGTACTACACTAACAGTACCATACGCATATTACAATACAGCCGTGTCCTCCTTTTCCACAACGCTTCGCTGCCTTCTGTCCCGCGTCTCCTCCCCCGGCGTCTGTCATTTTCATTCTCTCTGTCTCTCTCTGTCTCTCTCTCTCTCTCTCCCTCTTCCCCTCCTTGTGAAGCTCCAACGTCAAGGCGCTTCCAACGCTCACATTAGCTGGATATCGATCATTACAGGTTACAGCTCTACAGCCGAACAGCTTGCAGCTTGACTCGCTGGCCTTGCCTGCTGCGGTGCTGCTTCTAATTGACGCAAGACACTGACAGTAGTGGCCCACCACGCTTAACTAGTCCAGGCGGACCCGGCCTAGAAAGAAGTTGCTCACTTGCTTCTCCCGCTTTGCTTGTTTGTCCTTTGTCCTTCTCGCTCTCTGCCGCGCCTCATCCTCGTCCTCGTCTTCTCGTCCTCTCCCCCCCTCTCTCCCGCTTTCTCCCTTCCTTTCTCTTTCTCTCAAACGGAACCGGGAGAGACTGAATTCACGATTGACGATTGACGATATTGTATTCCTTTTTCTCTTCTTCTGCTTCTGCTTCTCTTGTTTCCATTATCCTTGACGGTTTTTCCTCTTCTTGTGCCAGGCTAGCCATGGCTCGCACACAAATCGACGCCCTCGACGCCTTCTCCCACCTCTCCGACAATGTGCCCACCTGGATCAACCAGGTCTCAGACCTGGTCGTCCACACGACCGCCAAACACGCCGAGTTCTCTGCTGCGTTTAAGAAACTAGCCGTTGTCCGTTCGCCGCGGCGACGCAAGAATAGCTCTGTCTGTTCTATCCATACTGAGAAGGGCACGTCCGACGTGTTGGCTTCGGGGATTCCGAGGAAACGAGGCAACGAGGAGGTCCGCTCGCTGAGCTCGAGTGAAGGGGAAGAAGGAAAACAACAAAAAAGGGAACAAGAAGAAGACGCTGGCGGTGCAAGTATGGTCAGCTTTCGAAATAATCTAGTCATCCACTACGACGGCCACACGCAAGAGACGCTCGAAGAAATCGTCCGCCACATCGGTACCGCCCGCAACTATCTCCGCCGCGGCAAGATGTCACAAATGGCTCGGCCACCTGCCGTGCTCCGGTTCACCGTGGAAGCCGACAATAACGGCGGCGCACTGGGCGAGAGTGGCGTGGATCCCCTGATGGCTTCCATCCGCAGAACACGAAACCGGGGGCCGGCCCCTAGTAGCGCACAAAACAACAACAACACCGCCACCAATTCAACAACTACCAACAGCAAGGGGATCACCAAAGACTCGTCGTTTGATTTTGCCGACAAACAGCTCGAGCTGGCGCACGGGCTGTGCGAGTCGGCGGCGCACCAGTTCCTTCGCGTAGGTGAATGCTCGGCGCTACTGGAGAGCGTAGAGAGCAAGTTTACCCTGCTGCAGGAGATGGCCGCCAACGAGGTGGAGCGACTCAAAGCGGAGCGGTTGAAGGAACAGCAAGAGGTCGCCGCCGCCACCGCCACCACCACATCAGATATGCCCGCCGCCCCTGCCGCCCCTGCCTCGGGGAAGAAGCCGCTGGCTCGCAATGAAAAGGCCGGCACCCCTGGTTCGGCAATCGAGGTGGATGACGACTCGTCGCCCTCGATCGAGTCCATCGACCTGGCCGCTTTCCGAGCGAGTAATCGGTACCGAGCATAGATCTCTCTCTCTCTCTCTCTCCAAAGTGATAAGTTGATATAAACCAACTTGGCAAATAATCTCGCAAGCAAAGAATCTTTCAACAGCAAATCGGCAACCAACTCGCATCAACCCGTTTAGCATCTCAGATACCACTCGTTCATTCGGTTCTCATATCATCTTCATCACCTTCTGGGTTATCTATGCCAGTCTTTACAGTTACGAAGCGGGCGTTGTATTGGGAGGCGCATTTGATTTTGACGGCAGTGAAGTGATGTACATAGCATCTATGAGTTTTTTACCCTATCCTATCTTAGGTATCTTAGGTATCTTAGGTGTCCCGTAGAATCAGTAGGCAGAACTGGGTATGATGCGGAGAAATCATAGGGCCGAGTCCAGGTCCGAATCCGACCGAATCCGAGCTCGTAAGGCACAACTAGCCTACTAGTACTAGGTAGTTAGTTTACTCCGTACTAATCAGTTTCACCATGATCTGAGCCAGGCCAGGCCGAAGATCGCCATGGCTTGCGACTAGTGATAGTAGCTTAAGTGTGGCTGCACTACTACTACTACTACTACTACTACTACTACCTGTATGACTACAGTCGAGAACAGTGACTCAATAAAACAAGGTATATTATCTATAGTCTATCCTTTTTCCAAACCGTACTCCTATCCTAACCCAGTAATACCGATACGATAGAATAGAGAAGCAAATTACAATTACCGCCTCTCCGACCAAATTCTGGTACTAGATTGGAACTGCTGGCGCGGCATTTCCGCGACGCCAGCAAACGGACACCCGGAATGTTTCGGCGGCGCCGCGGAGAGGACTGTGCTCGAGCGTTTGGGTAAGGTCGAGGTGGAGGAAACCGAACGGGCGTCCGAGACGGATCTCGCGTCCGAGGTCGAGGTCGAGGTCGCCAGCGACATGACGCTCGTGTTGCGCGTCAGCACCGAGGCCCAGTCGTCGAGCGGCGTCTCCGGGCGTGAGGGTGCGATACTGCTGCTTCCACTGTGGCCGCTGTGTCTGCTTTCCGGGGATTGACGATGTGCAGTGTGTGCGGTGTGTGCGGTATGTGCGGTATGTGCGGTATGTGCTTGTGTTTGTGTTTGTTCCTTTTCTTCTTCTTCCCGCCGCAACCCTGCTTCAATATCCTCTTGGTACTCCTCCCCATCACGGAGTCGCCAACGCGCAAACAGATCGTTTTGGATCCAGATCAGCTTGTTGAACGCCCGCATCAGCGAAACCTTGTACTGTAACGACACCTTGGGCAACTGGAGGATCCCTTCCGTCATCGCGTCCTGGATGTATCCCAGGCATACGCCAATATAGATGTATTCCACGTTCAGGGCGTGTCTTCGTTCGCGGCCGACATGCATTAACCTATAATAGCATTTAACGGATGCTCAAATAAAAGGGTTAAGGGTTAAACTCACCCCACTTTATCCAAGTACTTCCAAAACTCCATCTGCGTCGGCTCCGAACACAGCTTGGTCAGATACCAGCGCAGGTGCATCTTCCGCCGCTGGATCGGCGGGCTGTCATCACACATGTACTCCTCGATCTCCTCCTCGGACGCCGAGTCCCGCGTGTGGAACACGCGGGCCGTGATATCCGTCTCCAGCAGCTTGGCGTATACTCCTTGGACCACCTTGGGGATCAGCATTCGCAGATGCTTCTGCCCAGTTGTCAGAACAGCAATGTCATCTACTCCAAACAATCAGTCAAGGTATCGTACAACAGACAGCAGGAGAGGCAGAGCGTACCAGTGCCAAAGTCTAGAAACCCCTTCAGATACTCAACCCGGGTGGGAAGATCGGTGTAGAGAGCTTTGCGGTCAACATGTTTCATTGTGAGAGACATAATTGATGCCTATGAATGAGATGTGAGGTGATCTGATCTGATATAAGTGGTAGTGATGTAAGGGTAATGGTGTGGTATGATAGAGCAACCCGGCGGCCTCTTATACCAACTTCGGCAAAAAGAACTAGGCAATGAATCAGAGAGAAAGAGAGAAAAAAGCAAAACAGAAAAAAGGAAAAAAAAATAAAAATTAATAAAAATGAAAATAAAAATAAAACACCACTAGGGGAGAAAAACACAGGGGAAAAAAAAAAGGCCCCAGAACGGAGTGAACGGAGTCAAGGACAAGAACACTGACAGCAACGGTCATCGCTTCGTTTGTTTTCGCCTATCATTGGTGCCAAGTTCAACTCCACAGGGAATGGAGGAGGATCCACAGACCGTCTGATCACATTTTGCCATGATCACTCCTTTTCCGATTCTCTCCACAGTAGTTAGTATTATTCTGTTGGGGGGAAAAAAAAAAAAGAGTGAGGGAGAGAGATGAAGGACCGGGTGTTGTTGGTGTTCTTCCGGCACGATTGTGCTCCGGCACAGGCCATGCATATCTCCGTGCGGTCTGATCACCATCAACGGATTCTAGAACGAGGAATTTGACCCTGACCGGCCTGGCAATGGCTTCCGAATCAACACGAGGAAGATGCGG